AGGCCCTCTGCCTGGTTCCCTGTAACTTCCTGCAGTGAGGGAACCGCCAGAAGGCCCTCGGTGCTGGACCTCAGTGTCCTGGTAGAACGATGGGGGTGGAGACGCTCCTTCAGATATACTGTACCAAGGCCGTTTAGGGCTTTCAAGGTCAGCACCAACACTTTGAATTGTGCTGGGAGCCAATGTAGGTCTTTCAAGACCGGTGTTATGTGGTCTCGGCAGCCGCTCCCAGTCACCAGTCTAGCTGCCGCGTTCTGAATTAGTTGTAGTTTCTGGGTCACCTTCAAAGGTAGCCCCACTGCAGGAATTGCAGCTGAAGAATCCCAGGCAAATGACCAACCAACCCATCTTAAAACTTCCAGGCTAACCTCCCCCTCTCCCTCACACTCAACACAGCACAGGGAACAGGCCATTGTCCCACTGGGCTCTGGATCAGGATGAAATTGTTTCTAATGCCATTTGCTGTGTTGCTGCATTTCAGGGTTATCCCCTCACCTTTGTCCCCTCACCCACATGCAAGCAGGAGCAACACCTCCCACCTGCCCTGCCTGGGCCCATCACTGCCCCCCACCCCACCCCTGAATCAAGGGCAGGTCCCTGTCCCTAGTGCTCCAGGCCCAGAACAGCTCTTCTCTGCCCAGCTCCAGTCGAGCCAATTGCTAGCGAAATTATTTCGGCATCTTTTGCAAGCTAAATAAGGCACGTTTTGCAACCGGCGAGGGGAGACCTTTAGCCATGGCGAAATATGCATGAGCACATATTGACCCGTTAACGAAACCTGACACAGCCCACCCACTCTTATCACCAGGCCAAAGCACCACCATTGCACCCAAAATCACCTTGGTTACACCCCCCATGCAGGACAGAATGTCCTCTTCAAAGCTTCCCCCTTCAGGTACTGCATTGAGCTGGCATTTGGGAGAGGCAGTTAGCTATTAAGTGGATTGCACTGGCATAGTCAGCCTCTGACGTCCTTACAAGAACAGAAGCAGCTGCTGTGACCTTGCAGGCTCACAACCGCAGCAGCAGCAGCCATTGCCAAAGAGAGGGCGGGCTCCTCCTCCTCCTCTAGCAGGCGGGCTCCCCTGGAGAAGGGGCCAACCAATCAGAGCACCTGCCTGCCTGCCCCCCAACATCCTTCCAACAGGCAGCATCAACAATGCAGCGCAGGGGCAGGCAGGGTGAGTGGGGGATGGGGAATCAGAAGGATCATTTGGGGAGGTGGGGGGGGAGTGTTTCTCAAGCACAAAGGGGACCTCGAATTTAGACACTTCTTAATTTGCAGAAGGACGGCACCTTGTCTTTATGCGCATTGGACCAAAGTGTAACGCACTCTCTCAGCTCAGAGCTGCAAAGAAAACCAATTAGAGATGGCAGCATAGTTTTGCTAACCGATATCGCATTAGAGTTTAAAATGTTCTGGACCTCGGAGGACGGTTTGGCATACCATTGCAGAGCAAGGCAAGATGGATAGCCGTAGAATCGTAGCGTCAGAAGGAATCCTTGAGGGTTAATTCAGTCCAAGCTCTCTGTCATTCAGGAATCACAGCTAATTAATTCCTGACAGATGACCGCCCAACCTGTTTAAAAACCTCCAGTGAAGAAGAGGTTCTGAGACTCAGTGTTCTGCAGACCATCAGAACAGGATTTTCTTCTGCTCTTCCTCTGAACAGCTGTGTTCCCTTCACCCCTTTCATCCTCCCAACCACGCTGTGAGGCAGGTTAGGCTGAAAATGGCTGTGGAGAGCAGCTGGCAAAGAGCCGGCCCCACATAGAGTGTGCTGCAATTATCCAATCTGGAAGTTACCACGTGTGGAGTACAGCAGCCAAGTCATCTCATTCCAAAAGGGGTTAAAGCTGGCAAATCAGCCAGAGCTGAAATAAGGCACCTGAGGTCACCTTAGCATCCAGCAACAGCGCTGAACCCAGGAGCAAACTCAAAAGCTGCGCCTTCCAAGGGAGCGCAACCCCACCAAGGGAGAGTCGGCTCCCCATCTGTTGGGCCTGAGAATCTGGGACCCGTCACACCTCCATCTTTTCAGCACTCAGGTTCTGTTTATTGGCCCACTTCCAACCCATCACTGCCTCCAAGCGCTGGTCTAACACCTCAACCACCTCTCCTGATTCAGGTGGAACAGAGAGATGGAGCTGGGCATCATCTGCATATTGGGCTCAGCCCCTAGGAGGTGGCGCACCTGTCCGGAAGGATACTGGGGCCAACACTATCCTAAGCGGCAGATTGAGGAGAATGAGCCAAGATTGCACAACACTCTCATCTCTCTCCCAATAAATGTCATCAGTCAAGGTCAACCAAGTCAGTTTGGATGCCATGACCAGGCCTGAAGCCAGATTGGAACAGATCTAAGTAATCCGCTTCCTCCAAACATGCCTGAAGTTGGACCGCCAACCTTCTCAAGAACCTTGTCCAGAAAGTGGATATCTGCCCCTGTGCAATAGTTGTTAACACTTATGGGGCCAGGGCAGGAGTCTTCTTAAGGAGGTGGCGCAGAACTGACTCCTTCAAGGCAAATTGTGCCTCCCCACTTTCCAATGAAGCATTAATTTTTGGATTAGGAAAGCCTTGCCACAGTAGAATCATAGGATGGCAGAGTTGGAAAGGACCCCAAGGCTCACCTAGTCCAACATCCTCCAATACGGAACTCTCAACTAAAGTTCATGCACTGGTTTACTTCAAGACTGGATTACTGCAGTGTGCTATCTGTGGGGCTTCCTGAGGAGGATCAAACCTGGGAAGCCATCTGCCCAGGCCATGCATGAGAGCTACCAGAACATCTGGCTGGCTGCTACCAGAAACGGTGGACTAGATCACCCCAGCCCCCCTGAGATACTCCAACTGGAGCTGAATACCAATTGCAGGGCGGAGGAACACTCAGGAAGGCACTGCAGCTGGCTGGCCACATAACTAGATGCAGGCCAGGCTCTGCTTACATTAGGACCATCTCTACAATTCCCCAACTGCCTATTACCACTTTTCCAAGAGCAGGACTCAACAGCCATGGAGTATTCTTCAGAGCAGATTACGAGATGAGATAAAATGCCAGGAAGGGGAGAGTTGCCTGGGAACGAACGATCTGCAGTTGTGACTACAGGGCAGGAAGTCCTCAGGGCCAGCACAGATCCTTGCAGGACTCCCCTGCTGCCCCCACCCCAGCTCACAACTCCACAGAGCCAGCAGTGGGGGAAAGAGTAATTATATAATTACAGGGTGCAGCTTGAAGATTAGAGCATGCTATAGAGGCAACAAGAGGCTGCATGAAATAAGACCAGATTCTCAACATTGCAGTTAAACTGCTCATCCACATGGCTGAAGCGCCCACTTACCAGTGTGCCAGATGCTCCTCGGAGCATTTGGCTATGATCTTCCAGGACTGACGGCATGCCAGAAAATATGCTCTAACCATCTTCAGGGGGGATGAAAGAAGTTCTAGGTCTGCACCACCACCCATGTGTCTCAAGGGATGAGGGGATTGAGGCAAGGTAGACAGGACAGCATGGAAGTGGAGGGCTCCCCTGGGTAGCTCAACTTCGACCTCAGCAAAGCTCAGACCCATTCTTTGGAATGGAATGCCTAAACTCCTAGCTTCCATGATAAACCAGGTGGGCAGGGCAGGGCCTCTGCGCTCCATGCTCCAGTAACCTGCAGGTCAGGCTCATTACATGGTGCTGTCTCCGTAAACTGCCCTCAGGACAGAATGTGTCTGCTAGATGACTAGTCAGGACTGGCTGGTATCATGTGACACCTGTGGTATATCAATCCCCTAAGGCACCCGGTCTGTTTGCTGGGACCTAGAAAAGCTTTTCACGGCTGAGGGCCAGAGCACTTAAGGGCTGCTTCGCCCTCCCTAGGTACCCACCTATAAACAAATATACGGGACTGCTTTGAAGGTGGTGCCTCACAGGATCTCCCCAGGCGCCTGCCTTTCTGCAAAGTCCTTTTGATCTTCCTGAGCTTTTTGGCAATGGTTCAAATATTTGATATTTTCATGCTGGTTCTTTGATTTTGTGGCCTGTTAGTTAACGTTTTAGTGTTTATCTTTGTAAGTGCATTTGACATAAAGGAACAAATCTGGATCATTCAGGGAAAAAAGAACCTGCAGGATCGGGCCAATGGCCCATCTAGTCCAGTAACCTGTTCTCACAGTGGCCAACCAGATGCCCCAGTGAGAGACCCTCAAGCAGGATTCACTCCCAAGAGCCTTCTCACCTTCTGTGGTTACCAGAAACTGGCATCAATAGCCCCTTCATTCATAAAGGAGAGGACTATCTCCAGGAATCCTTCAGAAGGTAATGGATTCCCCTTCATTGGGAGACTGGCCATCTGCCAGATTCTTTAGCTGTGATTCCTGCATTGCCGGGGGTTGGACTAGATGACCCTTGGGGGTCACCTTTCAACTCTACAGGTGCTGCCGTTTCCAAATCACGCAGTGAAGCCACTTGCACATGCAGACATTCTTGGCTCACTGAACCAAACTGGATTGGTGCTTATTTAACAAGAGAGTTTGGGTTGATGGCTGTCTTGGGCCCCAGTACCATGTACTTCCAAGCAAAGATTCAGCGCTGCCCCCCACCAAAACACACCCCAGCCTACTTTATTTTAAAAAGTTTTTTTTATTTATAAAAGTGGCCCCTCATCACATACATTTCTGCTAAGCTACTCCCTCCTCCTCATTGTGCTCGCCAGGTTCAAGGCTCAGCTCAGAGAACAAGAATGATAGGTCTAACAACATTAATTATGAAGTTAAAGCTCAATACAAAACAGTATAGAAATGTAGACACAATTATTCACAGCCCAGCAGAAGTGGGACTTCTCTAGTTCCAAGACAAGAGATTTACGCGTAAAAGCAGGTACAGCATCAAGAAGACAACCGGCCCCTCTTGCACATGGTGGAGTCACCCTAACACTGTTTCAGCCACTTGGCAAGGATATGCAGACAGGCGTTTGTGGGCAGCAAAGCTACGGGGTTGCTGGCACATCTGTTTCATCGCCCTAGGATGGGGTACTTGAACAGTGCCATGATGGCAGCACTGATGAGACCAGAAATTGGGACTGTGACGAACCAGGCCATGAAGATGTTGCGGAACAGGCGCCAGTCCACGGCTTTCTTGGAGCGCAGCCATCCCACAGAGACCACAGAACCCACCTGCAGCAAGGGACAAAGCATAGGTCTTGCACAAGCACTCCTGACAAGGGATAAGATCTGAAAGTCCCAGGCACCAAGGCAGGCGGGCCCACAAAGGCTAGTCAGAACAGTCCAGAATTCATTCAGTTCACAAAACGGTGAAGAACTCTCCATTACCTTAGAGCTCAAATGAATTTTAAAAGCAAGCTTAATCCAGTTCTCAAACTGAGACAGAGGCAAAAGGGAAAGTGTGCTAGGACTTGGATCTGCAAGATCAGGAATCAGATCCCTGCTCAGCCATGAAGCCGAGGTGGCCTTGAGCAAACAACTTTCTCCCAGCCCAGGTATGAGAATAAAAATGCAATACCCCACCCCGGTTCTTGAGCCAGCCAAAATCTGCCACTCTATAGACCCACTTTCTTCCTAATGCCCACTTGTAGAGCCCGAGCCTCAACTGGACTGCCCTTGACAGTGACATAGATCCAAGTGTTACGCAGAGAAGCTCTTCCACTTACCTTGCAGTGAGTCGTGCTGATAGGCAAGCCAACATTTGAAGCAATTACTACGGTCAAAGCAGACGCCAGCTCAATGCTGAAGCCACTGTGGACAAAGAGCTGGTGTTAGGCTGAGCCACTGGGCAGCTACAATATATCAGGGTTCCCAAAGTGGAGCCCAAGGTTGTCACAATCCCCACCCCTTCCATTTCAAGTTGTTTTTCCCTTTTGCTGGGGCTGGGAAGCAAACTGCAGCCTCCAACTGCCCTGTCATTTCTCCTTCTTTTACCCTGAATGGGCTCACAGCTCTTGCTCATAGGAAAGGCAGTTGGAAGCTGACGCTCTGCCTTCCAGCTGCAGCTAAAAGAAAAGGGACCCTGCAGTTACTGGTAACCATGTAACATTTGGCTGCCCCACTCTAAATTATTCCGTTTTGAAGTCTAGCTGTAAGCCTGAATTGACATCCCAGGATGACACACCCACACTCTTCAAGGCCTCATTCAGGGCTGGCAACAGAGTCAAGGACACAATATTAAATTATCCATGTCTGGTATATCACAATTTACGCTCACCACCCTCTGGCAAAGGAGCACCCAGCCTTCCTCTTCCTCCTGGAGCTTCCAAAGGGGGCTGCAATTATCCTGTTACCCCTCCCTCTGCTCTAAGGTTGGAGGAAGGGGTGAGCGCCTTTGGCTGCTGCACAGGTGAGTGATGCAGAGCACCTTGGCATCCGCAGAGCCAAACACACACCTTTATGATAAGTGAGAGCCCTGAAGAGATAGAGTGTCCTAGCAGTCACATTTTTTTGCTCTGCTGCCAAGACTGAAACAGCAAACCTTTACACATCAAGGAGGCTAGAGGAAAAAGCCCCCAGGGGAGGCTGGCGCAGATGAAAGGCTTGTCCGCTGTGCACAAGGCACAGCTACTCAGTTCAAAGGCTGAAGGCTACAAAGCGCTAAGCAAACTCAGGAAGGGCATGAAGCAAAGCTGAATAAACTGAGCAGGTATGAAGAAGAAAACACGCAGCACTGCCAGAAAGAGAACTAGCTCCAAGGGTGAAAGGAACAAGGCAGATAGTTGAGGCGTTGTGGAATCAAAGTTGAACCCCCAAAGGCTCATCTAGTCCAACCCCATGCCATGCAGGAACCACAGCTCAAGAATCCCTGACAGATGGCCAGCCAACATCTGCTGAAAAGCCTCCAATGAAGGAGTGTCCACCACTTTCAGGGGGTCAAGAGCATTCACTAAAGAAAACTGCTTCAGAAGAAGGCATGGCTGAAGCTTTGCTGGGGGTTATTTTTCTTGTCAGAGACGGTAAGCTTGCATCAGGAAGACTTTAGGTGTGATGACAAACCTTCACACTGATGCTTACATAACAGAGTTCTAAACACCTTCAAAGCAAGTGGACAAACCCAAGACCTTTTCAGCTAATAGGGTCCTTACATCTGCCAGCTCCATTCCAGCCCAGCCCTCCAAACCACACAGTTTACTTCCCCCCCTCAGCGTGCTCAGTATAAAGCAAAAAAGCTTTCCACTTTACCTAGATGGTGTGATGGGAGTGAGATCCTTCCCCATGGTCTGAATGACCCTCCTCCCCCAGATCCACAGGCCAGTGCAGATCCCGACACCACCGTACAGCAAGAGCCAAATCGGTGTCGCCACCTTTGAAGACACGTCGCCTGTTCTGTAGACCAAGTACAGGGCAACCAGAGGACCAATCGCATTGCTGCCAAAAGGGAACACACAGGGATCAATTAAGTGGAAAGACAAAGAAGGGAAAACCCCAGCAGGGAGCCATTTTGCCAAATGCTCCATTACAGGCAGGGCCTTATGGGAAAACAGAACTTTCTAAACCACTCAAGCTGCCCAGCCACTGACCTCACATCATTTCCCCCATGGGCGAAGGACCCAAAGCAGGCCGTCAGGATCTGCAGGAATTGAAAGAGGAGGGACACCTCTGGCTTGTCCTGGTCGTGCCACTCATCCAGGGAGCCGCTGCTGCCACCCTTCTCTGCCTGGCTCAAGTCCACATCGGCTGGGTGGGGATCGGCCACAGCGTTGCAGTAGCTGGTGTAGCTGTCCATCCGGATCCTCTTCTTGGAATCTGATCCAGACCATGCCAGCCTCTCCGCCTCATCTGCTCCCTTTGGCTCAGCCTCCTTCACCCGGAACGAGTCCAGGGGCATTCCACAGATGGCCATGGTGTATGAGGTGTAGCTGTTGTTGCGGCGCAGGGGCTTGCTGTCCGCTGAGGAGTCGCCCATGCAGTCCCCCACCTTGGCCAGGTGGAGCTTGTGCAGCAGTTCCTTGTAGAGGCCAGAGTCCTTGTGCACCGTGTGGTAATGCCCGCTGGAACTCATCTGGCTGCTGACAGCCTGGTTGAATTGGGCAAGGCTACCGTTTGGAAAGGACATGGCTCCTGCAGGCAGAAAGTCCGGGTTGGCACAAGAAGGGAAACTGCCCTGGCATCACAGCTCACACTTGCTTGAGCTACCCCACCCCTCATGCCCCACTTCAGAGCCAACTCACCGCTGTCAATGCTGGTCTCCTTCATCTCCACCCTGGGCAGCCGCTCCCGCTCTGGAATCTCCTCCAGCTCTCCCAGGTTGAAGGAGACCATCCTTTCCTCCACAGCTGCTCTGTGGGGCACAGAAGACGGCTCCCCTTCGGTAGGGGAACTCCTCTGGTCATCATCAGCAATCTTATTATCCACCTTGGCCTCATCCTGCTCTTTCAGGCTGCTCTTCTTCTTCATTAAGGGACTTTCAGAGGGACTTGATTTGATCTCTTCTGCAGAAGGAAGTGAAGTTGCAGGAGGACAAGAGAGAAAGCCTTCATAATGTGCATAAAGAGATGCCTGAAACCTTGCCTTGCCTCTCTGTTAAAGCAGCAGCCCTGAGCTAGTAGGTTTTGAATCCTGTTTATAGCATCTGTGAAAACACTGGGCAAAAAAAGCTGAGGACGTGCACAGGGTTCTGCATCCAGGGCTTTAGATGTGACAGACATGCCTCTCTTGGGTATCCCTTTCCTACCACCTATGTGCATAGAGTTTATGTCTGCCTTTTGTCACTTGGCCTGACACAGGGAACAGATAGAAGTGCACACAGAAAAGGCTCTTAAGTTCTCAACTGCACAAAATCCAGAAGACATCCATTTGTGCCAGTCAAGTGCCCTGTGGGAAGATGCATGAAGGGCGCTTCATGTTTAGATTACGTTTGAAAGCAAACAGCCAGCCTCTCACTGCATTCAGATATACATTTGCAAGCTTACATTATGTACAATTCTAAATGTACTTACGTTCAATTTTCTTCTTCATTCTTGGACAGACAAAGAACCAGACGATGAGAGCACACACAACAGCGCTCCCCGCCGATATGAGGACGATGCCCCAGACGGGAAGTTTGTCAAAGCCCAGCACTAGGAAATAAAACAATGCATCTTGAAAACCCCAAGGCCGGCGGGGCCCTTCCCAGCACAAAAGAGCTCTTCCCCAGCTGAATAGAAGGTTTAGTGACCAGGGTTTCTTGCTCTTCTGAGATCTGCAACATCTATGTCTTCCATATCAACAGGCCATGAAGTCTAGCATTCAAAGTTACAACTGCAGCTTAACAGAAGTAAAAGATACAACCTGCCAGGTTACATTCTTTCCATCCAACATCCACATGCTCTAAAACCCTCCCTCCGTTAACAGTGTTTGTGAAGCTTGGAAACAGCTCCACTCACATTATCAGGCTTCCCAAACCTGTCTCAGACTCACAAGAGTCTTTTTACAGAGTTAGCCCGAGAGCGCTTCAATTGGCCCAGCTACAGAAACTTCAGGGCCTCTCACAGCATAAGGCCTCCTTTACAGAAAAGGATTTGCCCTGCTGGAATTAGGTAGTTCAAATTAGGTCTTAGCCTCCAAACATAACACACCTGGTTTCTTCTCCCTGCCCACCCCCACCCATCGCTTCCATGGTTAGCTGCACTTTTTGTTTACTTGCCCCCCTAAAGGCATGAGGCTAGATGCAGAATGTGTCAATAGCAACAAAAGGCTCCAAGGCAAAACCAGGAGGGAGCCCGCAGATTTGTGATTGACATTTATCTGACCCCCAAGTACCACAGAACAACTGTGGCGCAAACTATCCCCCATTCCAAGTGGGACATGGTGCCATAGCCTACCCTTGCTCCATATTCTTTGTGTCAGAGCTGCCACCGTCTCTCACCTTGAGGCAACCAATATTCAAATCTAAGCTTTTAACCTTCATTAGACAACTTGAAACTTAGAATTGCTGACACCCATCTGCTTTCCACCAGGCACAACCTAATCCTACATCTTAAGTATTGAACTAGAAGGCAGCTTCTTTCTCCTGCTCTTAGTAACAGACAGTTTAAGATTTCAACTGAGAGACCCCAGAAAAACACAAGAAAGGACCATGGAATTCCTCTTCAAAGTACTTGGTTGCCAGCAGCTCTTCTTGGGGGCGGGAGGATAACAGGATGAATTATTTGGGATCAAACGCAATCAAGGCATCATCGGAAAAAACACCACAGGGCCTCTTGCCCTGCCATGAGCCTGAATTCATTAAGCAGAATGTTGAGAAGGCCCCCTTCTTTCTCAGCAGCTGGCATCCCAGGTCTCAGCAAAGAGGCAAAGGGGGAGGGGAAGAGGAGAGTGTCAGGATTTGCAGGTAATTAAAGGAGGGAGCCTGTGGCACCCCAGTATCAGCAGCTAAGCTGTCAGAATCTGCAGCTTCTGTGAGGACTAAGGAGAACAGGTCTCTACTAGCCATTTAGATTGTGAGCAGGCAGGCCTCTTGGGTAGGAGGGAGGAAACTATTATCTAGGGTTGAGCCTGCAGCCTTCTGTAACTGGCCCAGGCCAGCTGCCTTCTAGGAGAAGTCATTCCTGTAAAGCAAAAGGGGTAAAATTCTTTGTTTGATTGAGAAGTTAATAAAGGGTTATAAAAATTCAAGCTCTTGTTTCAATGTCTACTTACAAGGCGCACCACTGTACATAATGGAGAAGAGGTTGATCCCGATTGTACAGGCATAGAAGATGGGCAATGCACGCAAACCATTCGGAACGGGATCTACCTACAAGACAAGGAGTTTTGCAATAGGCAAACCCAGGTCCCCTCTGCTCACAGCAATACCACATAAGTGAAAAATTGTTCAAGCCCACATTTCTGTGGGGAATTCCCCACATTTACAAATGCATTGCTTTGTAACTATCATAGCATGATTTAAAACAATACAATTGAAACTGGGTCTGTGAAATGAATACAATGCTACTCAAATCTAGATTCAAAGTTGCCAGTGGCAATTCACTGTTGCCCCTCCCATCTAGTCTGGGCCAGACTGTGGACTACAGATCTATTCAGCCATGTGCCTGCATGAAAAGGAACAACCTCTCAACAGAGAACTCTGGACAGCTGTAACAGAGACAATTCATCTTTTAGAGAGATGTGAGAATCTGCTGCTGGGGAAAACTTAAATTACATTTCACATAAGCCACATATGCAATTTTTTAAACTGTGGTTTACATAACATTTGTTCTGCCTAGAACACTAAACTATATTTTTTTAAAATTCTCTTCAGCATAGTCAGTGCCAAGGAAAGGGAAAATGCCATCACTTGGCAAGTGTCCAGCCAAGTGGAAGCTGTCCACAGACTGACACAAATTAAAAATTACACTAGGCCTGTAGGCTACCTTGGGGGGGGGCACATTTTGCAATCCATTATTAGCATTCCAGCTTCAGTTAATAAAGCTTCTAGACCTCATGGCTCTCAATGTGAGTTCTGACATGCCGGCAGCAGCATGTTTCAGGAGTCCCCACCCACCACATTCATCTCATATGCACATCAGGTTTTACTGGGAGGAAGACCTACCTTGGAAAGAATGAACCTACGGACAACAAAGAACAGGACAGCAGACATGATGCCAGAAAGGAGGGGGGAGATGAACCAGGACAGCACTGGAAAAGAATTAAGGACACACTAAATATTTGCTACTGCAAGACAATGCTGTTGCCACATTAAAATTGCATACTGAAATCAAGGCCTGCATTTATTAAGGAAAAGATGGCCATAAGGTTATTGCTTACCAACTTTAAGCAATTCAGACCACTTGACTCCTTCCTGTCCTTTGGCAACGAGAGAGAAGCCAATTGTCGCCCCGACAATACAATGTGTACCAGAAATGGGAAGCTTCAAAAACGAAGCCACTAGTTGCCAAACAGCTGAGCCTAAGAAAGAAAGGCAAAGTGGTTAAGAGGAGTTTGGGCAACCACTGAGCCACTCGAAGTGTTAATTCACAGCCAGACGCCCAGCATGAACAATGTGAGCCACATTCAAGTGCTTTTAAGTTTCCAAGCGCAGGCAAGAAGGAATGGATGTTTTACTCACCGAACATGGCACTGATGGAGCCAGCCATGAGAAGCTCTTGGGTGCTGTTGTACATTTCAACGTCTATCAGCCCCTTCCGGATGGTCTCGCTTACTTTGGCTCCAAGCAACACAGAGCCCACCGTCTCAAAGATAGATGCCAGGATGCAGGCTTGCCGGAGGGTCACCACCCCAGAGCCCACGGCGGTGCCAAAGGAATTTGCTACGTCATTGGCACCCACTGAGAATGCCAGGATGAAGGCAATGATGAAACCTAATATCAGCATCCAGAGGAAATCCACCAAGGGGCCTGAGGAGGCCGTGCCGCTCAGGGCAGTGGTGATGTAACTCCTCACAGTGGCGGTGGTTGTCTCCATGATAACTAACTTTGGTGGTTCCCAACAAGCAACTCGTTACTTTGATGTGTAAACAAAAACTGAGGTATGATTTTTTAAAATACTGTAATAAATAGTGTTACAAAATTAAATACAGCAGGGCCAGAAAGTCACTGCTATAAGCTGGGTATGCCAGTCTCTGTGGTCAAGTTCCTTTGGCTGAAAGAGATGCTCAGGGGTGCTGCCTGGTCCGCCATCCTGCTGCGAAAGAGGAGGAGGAAGAAGGACGTCTGTGCGAAGAAGGAGGCAGCAATCGGGGGTCTCTCATCCTGGAAGGAAATTGGAGGGGGTGGAGAGAAAAGAAGAAAAGCCTTGTGTCAGTCAGCCCATGCCGCCCACCACATGGAAGGTCCGTAGACCAGGTAGGAAGAGGAGACTCCCTGCCTCAAGCCCTCAAGAGCCATGGCTGAGGCAATACAGTGGTACCTCGGGTTACATACGCTTCAGGTTAGACTCCGCTAACCCAGAAATAGTACCTCGGGTTAAGAACTTTGCTTCAGGATGAGAACAGAAATCGTGCAGCAGCAGCAGGAGGCCCCATTAGCTAAAGTGGTGCTTCAGGTTAAGAACAGTTTCAGGTTAAGAATGGACCTTACGAATTAAGTTCTTAACCCAAGGTACCACTGTAGCTGGCAGACACAAACTTGTAAGAAATGAATAATCAAGGTGTTCTTACCAAATTTGCTTTGTCAACCCACTACAGTGGTACCTCGGGTTAAGTACTTAATTCTTTCCGGAGGTCCGTTCTTAACCTGAAACTGTTCTTAACCTGAAGCACCACTTTAGCTAATGGGGCCTCCCACTGCCGCTGCGCCACGCAATTTCTGTTCTCATCCTGAAGCAAAGTTCTTAACCTGAAGCACTATTTCTGGGTTGGCGTAGTCTGTAACCTGAAGCGTATGTAACCCGAGGTACCACTGTACTGAGCCAGATGGACGAGGCACCCAACAAACACCTGGCCGACTCCAGGGGGAGCCCCTCACCCCGGCCAGGCGCTCCATGCTTCCTCCCCGCTCCGAGGGCGGCGCTGAGCCGGCTTCCGCGCGGGACAAAGAGGCCGGCCGGCCACACCAGCAGCCATGCCGCCCGCCAAGGTCACCGGCCTGTCCTGACAGGAGTCCGAGGCAGGGGCTCGCTCGCTCCCTTTCCCTCCGGGGGCCGTCGGGCCCCTCCCCCTCCCCTCCCGGGGGACCCTCCCCGCCTCCGCTGTGAGGGCCGGCAGACCCGCGTTTCCCGCCTGCGCCTAACGGCCGCTCCCGCCTGAGGGAAACCCGGAGGAGGAAGAAGCGCCCGCCCGCTCTTTCTCTCCGCCTCAGGCCTCCGCCTCACCGAGTTGGGCCCGTAGGAGTGGCGTCGCCGGCGGAGTCCCCTCAGGTGGTCTGACCCGAGCGGCGGCTGCCCGGGAGTGTCGCCTGCTCCTCGCGCCGGCTGCTCCTCTCCCTTCCCTGGCTGGCGTCCGCCCGCCTCGGCCAATCAGCGGCGCCGACAGCGCCGACGCCCGACCTCGTGCGCACACGGCTCTGTCTCGGAAGGCGCGCGGGCCGCGCCTACTTATAGCCTGGGCCCTCGAGGGAGGCGGGGCCGAGGCCGCCCAGTCACTTCCTGCGCGGGACCAGACAAGAGAAGGAGCGCGCGCGCGGGAGAGAGAGAGAGAGAGAGAGAGAGAGAGCGAGCGCTCTGTCCCGCCACACCCACCCGAAGGAAGCCACGCCCCCGCACCGGAGGGGCCTCCCGCGCAGGCGCGCCTCCCGGGAAGGTGCAGTGGGTGGAAGCCCCGCCAGGGGGCGCCCCGCCTAGCGACCCCCCGAGTGGAAGAGGTGTGGGGGAGGAGGGAACGATCCCACCCACGGGCGATCCCCCACTCGCCGTTTGCTCAGAGGTGCCCCCAACCACCAATAGAGAGGGAAGCATGCTACCCCCCCAGGCACGCGCAGGCCCCCCCCCCGACCCGATCCTTCCCTCTCCCCCACCCATAGCTGTCAACGTTTCCCTTTTTTTAAGGGAAGTTCCCTTATTCCGAGTAGGATTCCACGCAAGAAAAGAGAAAATCATCATCATCATCATCATAATTTATTATTTATACCCCGCCCATCTGACTGGGTTTCCCCAGCCACTCTGGGCGGCTTCCAACAAAACACTAAAATACAATAACCTATTAAACATTAAAACAGGGCTGCCTTCAGATGTCTTCTAAAAGTTCGGTAGTTATTTTTCTCCTTGACATCTGATGGGAGGGCGTTCCACAGGGCAGGTGCCACTACCGAGAAGGCCCTCTGCCTGGTTCCCTGTAACTTGGCTTCTCGCAGCGAGGGAACCGCCAGAAGGCCCTCGGCGCTGGACCTTAGTGTCTGGGCAGAACGAAAAAGTTGACAGCTATGGCAGGCCTCTAGTTTTCTGTCTCTCTTGTGGGAAATGTGTACTTTTTGTGCTTTCTGCAATTTCTGAATACTGGGTGCTTTTTGTAGAATGCCCTCCTGGCACACCAGTGATGAGACACTAGGTTTTATTTCCTTCCTTCCTTCCTTTCTTTCTCTCTCTCTCCTCTTCCTCCCATGAATGTCTTGGAGCCAAGCCTGCCAGAGCCGGTGTCACTGTCATGGTGCCAGGCCAGACCTGTGGGAGGAAAAGGATCCTGTTTTCGTCCCAGCAGGGCCTGCGCCACAGTGGGCAGGCAAGTCATTGTGGCTTTGGGAGGGCAGGAAGGGCAGCCGGAGGGCCAGGAGACGCTGGGGAACAGACTGGCTCTTTTCTTCCATCCCTTGTGGTGTAATTTCCTACCCCTGTGCAACACAGCCAGGCCACAGACACAGAGCATGTTTGCTTTGCGCGCACACACACCTCCATATATCATGTGCTCCAGGCATGGCCAGCAGATGAAACCTACATTGAAAATAAACACCTGCATTTTCAGTTTCTTTTACCTTTTTTTTCTGATGCTTTGGAGCAAACATCTTCCTCCTTTGGATGTAGTCTTACAATAGCTTTCCACTCTTGCCAAGTGGATTTGCAGACACAGCCGTGTGGATTATGCTATGGAAGGGAGCCTGAGGTGCGCTGGACCACAAAGCTCCAAAAACTTTTTTGGGGGTGGCTATTTAAAAAGCTATTTATTGACAAACAAGTATACAAACATAACAAAAAAGAAAGAAAACAATCAGAAATTTAAACTGTAAAGGACCACAATCTGGAAGGAGAAAAAGCAGTGCTTTAAAAAAAATGTTTAAGGGTACTCTCATTTTGACTCAAGAAAATGACTATTTTATAGTTAAAATCGGGAAAAATAAATACAGTAAATGGACAAAAGTACAAAGATTCACAAAATGTTTAGGGGTATGCGTACCTCTGTATGTCCCCCCCAGAAAAAAAGCACTGGAGAAAAGTACAGAGATCCAGCACAGCTCCAAAGGATAATAGTACAGTATTTAACAAAGGTTCCCTTTACAAATAGTAATGATTTATTAAAAAATAACGGCATTCTTCACCTGTAAGTTCCATCTTTATTGAGAACAAAGGTTCTATATAGTCTTAAATGAACCAGATATTTGCATGTACTGATGGTACTGAGCAACCCTATGCCTCAATATTTGTATAAGAAATAAAATGCCATATGCAAAAAAAACCACCAACAACCCACATTCAAGCTTTGCCCTTCAGATGCTTTGTGAGAGACGGGTAATTTGAACCCTGCTTTTTAAGGCTTGCCATTTCCCTCTCTTAGATATTTGGAAGTTCCCACCTGCCTCTGCCGTCCCCTATCCTTCCTCCTCCTCTTTGATTGACGCATTTTCTTCCTTGGTCCAGGATGTAGTTTGGAGCCTCATCAGAACATTGCAGAGTAATGCTACGTGTGTCATAAATGTGAGGTGCCACAGTGGGGAGTAAAGGCCATTGTTGCTTCAAAATCCAGACCGTAACCAGATATATATCCTGCTTGTCATATCTACCCTCATTTATTCACTAGAACTCATGGATATCTGATGAATCTTAAGACAGATAAAAGAAAGGACTTCTTCACGCAGCACGCAGTTAAACTATGGCACTTGCTCCCACAGGAGGCAGAGATGGCCACCAACTTGGATTACTTTAAAAGAGGATTGGACAGATTCTTTTTTATTATTATTATTTATATTATAAATTATATTAGTATTTTCCACACAACAACAACACGAAAAATATCAAAAAATAACAATACACAAAAACCAACATTCAAAAAACAAAAAAACCACAAATCCATATCTTACAGGTTAATAATATAAACACTAAAAAGAAAAACAAACATTGACTTCCACCAGTCTCTCATTGTGTCTTCCTGTTTTCCTGTTTTCCTGATCATCTCTATCCTAGCATCTAGATATAAATCCCTCTTTCTTATCCTTTCACTTCACAAGGTTATTCCAGGCTCGGCCAGATGTTCTGTCCTCGAACCTTGGCTTTTAAGGTATTCATTTAGACACTCCCATTCCTTTTTGACTTCACTTTTTGGTTTTTGTCTTATTATATCTGTCAATTTGTCTAATTCTAAATATTCTGAAAGCTTACATAACCAGGATTGGAGAGGGTGATGGATGGCTACACAATGGCTATGCTCTGCCTCCAAAGTTTGAGGCAGCAGTGCTTCTGAATACCAGTTGCTGGAAACTACAGGAGAGGAGATCACCCTTGTGCTCAAATCCTGCTTGTTGGTTTCCCACTGGGGCATCTGTTTGGCCACCGTGAGAACAGAATCCTGGACTAGACGGGCTCCCTTGGGCCTGATCCAACAGGCTCATCTTGTTGTCGTTTAGTCGTGTCCGACTCTTCGTGGCCCCCTGGATCAGAGCACGCCAGGCACTCCTGTCTTCCACTGCCTCCCGCAGTTTGGTCAAACTCATGCTGGTAGCTTTGAGAACACTATCCAACCATCTCGTCCTCTGTCGTCCCTTTCTCCTTGTGCCCTCCATCTTTCCCAACATCAGGGTCTTTTCCGGGGAGTCTTCTCTTCTCGTGAGGTGGCCAAAGTATTGGAGCCTCAGCTTCAGGATCTGTCCTTCCAGTGAGCACTCAGGGCTGATTTCCTTCAGAATGGAACGGTCTGATCTTCTTGGGACTTTCAAGAGTCTTCTCCAGCACCAGAATTCAAAAGCATCTTATTCACGCCAAGTCCTCCCACACTGAACCCTCTATTGTTTGTGCAATTGAAAGTGGAAGGCACCAGACATCTTGAGGGTGAATTCAGACGTGACTTCCAAAGGCAGCACAGCTGGAGGCCAGAGTGGAGGTTCCCTCCAGAACAGTGTGGCAGGATCCCAGAGGAGCCATAACTTAGCTGGTCCACAGCTGGCTGCCTCATCTGTGCCGGCCTCATTACTCCCACACAGCTAGAAGGAGACAACCGAAAGTGACCCAACCAAGCTTGGAAAAGCTGCTCCACAATGACTCATGAAAGGGCCTCTTGTCTAGAAGATGAGGGTAGGTGTTTTGCTCCAGTCTCAAGAGGAAAGGAGTCTGGAAACACTGGTGGGAACAAGAAACAGGCCTTTGCAGGATGGAGCTTTTGCATCCCGACCTACAGAATTTTGTTTTGTGGTCTGAAGACATGGGACTTCAATCAGAGACAGCTATATTGCCAACTGAGGGCTTAGGTGATTGTTGTTACTTTTTTAAGGGTTTAGGCCACACACCCTAGCCTAGAAACCTGCTTCAGTGTAGGGGGGAAATGTTAAGATGCTTATTATTAGCCATTTTTCAGGACTGATCTCAGTTCTGAAAAACAGGTTTCAGGGCTGGGGACTGATCAGCACCTCTCTGGTTGCTCATAAGGATGACCCGCTGGATCAGAACAATGGCATCCTGTTCTCACAGTTGCTAACTGCATGCCCGTGGGAGACCTTCAGGCAGGACTCAAGCATGAGAGAATTATTTCCGCACCTTGTGGAGTCCAGCAGTTGGGCTTGCTAACTTGCAAGAGCTTCTGGGACAGACACTAGGCACTTCCTGTGTCCTGCTTTTGCTGTACAGTGGTACCCTGGGTTACAGACGCTTCAGGTTACATACGCTTCAGGTTACAGACTCCGCTAACCCAGAAATAGTCCCTCGGGTTAAGAACTTTTCTTCAGGATGAGAACAGAAATTGTGCGGCGGCAGCAGGAGGCCCCATTAGCTAAAGTGGTACCTCAGGTTAAGAATGGTTTCAGGTTAAGAACAGACCTCCAGAACGAATTAAGTTCTTAACCCCAGGTACCACTGTATTTCTCCTCTGAAAAAAGCAGAGCAGCTTTCAACAATTAAATGTAAAACCATACGGTAAAAAAGGGTTGCCATATGTCTGTAATTCCCCAGAGATACCCAGAAAACAGCAGTCGGAAGCAGCGTCCGGGCAGAAATAGCTGGAGTGTCTGGGAAAATCTGGACGTATGGCTAAACTTCCTTTAAAGAGCTCCACAACTTTTGTGTCCGAATTATAACCTTTTTGAAATATGACAACCCTGCTAGAAACCGTATAAAAATTAAATTCAGAAATCAGTGAACAATTATGGAAGGATGCATTCTTAACTGCCTGCACAATCCTGATCGAATAGAAAAGTCCGTAGTTGAAACAGAAAGCAGCTGCTGAATCTCTCCTGGCAGAGCATGCCACATGACAGGGGTGATAATCATTTTCCTGGCTCCCATCTCTGCCAGGAGCTTTTTAATCCCCAGAGGTCATCAGAAATTGCCCTGCTGTGATTGTACGTGGCCATCCTTCCTCCAAAGGCGACATGCCTCACATGAGGGGTAACTGGGTACTTAGGTTTCCACCGTTCAGCCTCGAGGAGTTCGCATGTCCCGAGTCACAGGGCTTAATGAGCCTAGTTGCGTAACCCCAGCGCATGTGAGCATGTCCTTCCAAGGTGAGCCCTACAGACTCCGCCTGCCCAGGGGGAAAGGGCTGCAAAGACCTCGTTGCCCTCTTGCAAGCCAAAGCCTCCCCACCCAAGATGTACCAACAGCTGCCGGCGAAAAAGTTAAGAATTAACAGAGCCAACCCTTCTACCAGCCCATCTCCAAAGCCCTCCAGAGAGATGATTAAACTTATTCCAAAGTGTGTGCATTCATGTCTCTTCTTCCTTTCCACAGTGAGGCAGCATGCAATTTCCCTAGTGGCCCAGGGTAAGGTTGCTGCCTCACAGTGATCACCATTCTGTTCATCTGTTGATGTTTCCCCCAGGTACCTGGACATGCAGACATACATTCCTGGTGATCCTATGTGCATTGGTGGAGCTATCTGAGAACAGACTGCCCTGGGCTCTTGCCCCAGGGAGCTGGAGCAGGACCGGCCCACCCATTGGCCTCACGGAGGCAGTCACCTCAGGCAGCAGGCTGGGGAGGGGTGGCAGATCTGGAAAAAAGGAGCATCCTTATGTGCTTTTGATGCTCCTTTGGCTGCAGATAGTAGCCGCCATTGCCACCCCAGTTATCCCTTGGGACGGGGTGTTCCCTCTGCCACTTCCTGCTCCTCTCCAGCCTCATTTCCCCCTCCAAAGTTGCAGCATGCCCCACAGGCCACCTACAGTCACCTCAGGTGGTGGTAAAGGAGGTGAAATAAATTTTTTTAGGTCATATCTATCTATCATCTATCTATCTATCATCTGTCATCTATCATCTATCTATCTATCTATCTATCTATCTATCTATCTATCTATCTATCTATCATCTATTTATCTATTTATCTATCTATCTATCATCTATCTGCAGCGGTACCTCGGCTTACATACGCTTCAGGTTACATACGCTTCAGGTTACAGACTCCGCTAACCCAGAAATAGTACCTCAGGTTAAGAACTTTGCTTCAGGATGAGAACAGAAATCGTGCTCCGGCGGCGTGGCAGCAGCAGGAGGCCCCATTAGCTAAAGTGGTGCTTCAGGTTAAGAACAGTTTCAGGTTAAGAACGGACCTCCAGAACGAATTAAGTACTTAACCTGAGGTACCACTGTATATGAAATGTTCATAAATGTACCAACCAAGCGCATACATAGATGTGTGGACCACATTTCTGGAGCAGCACAGGAGGACTGCCCTGAAACCATTTTCACTCCCAAACTGACCACACGTTTTCACTGCAAGGAGGGAGGAGGTGGGGGAGCCTCCCCATTGTCTTTTTGTTCACAAATCTGTCTTAAGGGTATGTCTGTGTATGAATCGGGTCAGCCTGTGACCTGGCTCAGGAACTAAGTATTTGTCATTACAAAACACTGGCCAGGCTCCCCAGGGTATCCAATCAAGTAAGCATTAACAGGTAACCTGCCAGACAGGAGGTAAACAACGCACTCAGATTTCTGTTGTAGACCGCCTCTTCTGTGATGTAGGTATGATGTATCTGTGGGGTGGTCTTGAGCTACACCCCTTCTGTGATGTAGGTATGATGTTTCCGTTTAATACAGAGGCGAAATGTATTGGGCCAGGCCTGAGCTGGAGGGAACTGTCCCTGCTGCTGGGCAGCAGGTAAGCATCACCCACCTTCTGTCAGGCTCTTTCCTGACCTAGGAGAGGCCTCCTTTGGGAAAGAGGCAGGAGGATCTGTGGAGGAGCCCAGCGCCACTGAGGAAGGACCTGCAAGAGTCCTAAGGCAGCCTGAGGGAGGGCCTCAGTACGGGGCTCCCCTCTCCTACGACGCATCCAGCCATGTCCTGAGCCCCACTGACACTCCCACTTCACCCACCAGGCCTCAAGATCAATAGCCAGAGGCCTTAGAAGCCTGGAGTCAGCCTACAAGCACTCACTGGGCTGCCCGAAGGCTCTAGCACAGGAGGAAGGGTCTGCTTGGAAGAAGGGAGAAGATCTGGCTGTAAGCAATGACTCTGCAGGTGACCAGGAAGAGGAAATGCGGCCATGAGGATGCTGGCCTCCTGAGCATCGTAGGGTTCACCTCGCTTGCTCCAGTTCCTCACTTGTGGGGATAGTCATGGGAAGCCTCTCACAGCCATGGCAGACTTCTCAGGCCATGTTGTTGTTGTTTAGTCGTGTCCTACTCTTCGTGATCCCATGGACCAGAGCACGCCAGGCACTCCTGTCTTCCACTGCCTCCCACAGTTTGGTCAAACTCATGCTGGTAGCTTCGAGAACACTGTCCAACCATCTCGTCCTCTGTCGTCCCCTTCTCCTTGTGCCCTCCATCTTTCCCAACACCAGGGTCTTTTCCATGGAGTCTTCTCTTCTCATGAGGTGGCCAAAGTATTGGAGCCTCAGCTTCAGGATCTGTCCTTCCACTGAACACTCAGGGCTGATTTCCTTCAGAATGGATAGGTTTGATCTTCTTGCAGTCCATGGGACTTGACCCTGGTACAAGTCCTTATTCTGAACAGGCTTGCAATGCTTCCTGATCTAAGACACTGCAGTAATCTGGAGTTAATTTGCCCCTCCTGTAAAAGGAGTGGGTTCCACATAGACAATAGTAAAAGCAACTTAGAATTTAGGAAACAAGCAAAGATAACCAGTTCATTTCTCACTAGCATTTTATTATTTCAGCTTACAACTAAGTTTGACCAAACTGCGGGAGGCAGTGGAAGACAGGAGTGCCTGGCATGCTGTGGTCCATGGGGTCACGAAGAGTTGGACATGACTAAATGGCTAAACAACAACAACAAAGTCAGGTAAGCAGAATACAGTGGTACCTCAGGTTACAGACGCTTCAGGTTACAGACACTTCAGGTTACAGACTGTGCTAAACCAGAAATAGTACCTCGGGTTAAGAACTTTGCTTCAGGATGAGAACAGAAATCGTGCTTCGGCGGTGCGGCAGCAGCGGGAGGCCCCATTAGCTAAAGTGGTACTTCAGGTTAAGAACAGTTTCAGGTTAAGAATGGACCTCCGGAATGAATTAAGTTCTTAACCCAAGGTACCACTGTAGCTGGCAGACACAAACTTGTAAGAAATGAATAATCAAGGTGTTCTTACCGAATTACTCATCTAAAATACCCCCTTCCCTTCTCCATAAGCTAACATTGGCCCCTGCCTTCCTCCACCTGGAGGACTGGGGTTTTAGGGGGGAAGTTTTGTTGGAAGCTTTTGCTGTTGTTATTGATGTTAACTGATATTACTGATATTAACTTTTTGTATCTTTATCTTTATGTGGAAATTGTTCAGTTTGGTTGTGTAGTTTTTAATGTGTTTTGTTTATTTTTACGACTACTTTGCTTTACTTGTAATTATGTAAATCTTTTCATACTGTAAGCCGCCTTGAGCATTGTTTTAACTGTGGAAAGGCAGCATACAAATAAAATGATGGTTTTCAATGGCTGCTCCAGCATGGACCCCTTTTTACTCTGTGCTCTGTAGGACCAGCCTGACAGCTTTGCTTCAGGTATCTGCTCCCCTCTCCCTTTCTTGCTCTACTTTTAGCTTGAGTGTGTCAAACGTCACACATTCTCTGTCTAAGCTTTTGACAAGGAACCTCCTTGTCCTCTTTAGATCAAGCTGTGTTTGTAGCGTGCAAGTTGCTGCCTGCTTCTACTGTAACTTTGCTCTCTGAAGCAGCATTTACTGTATTTTTTGATCTATAACTCACTTTTTCCCTCCTAAAAAGTAAGGTGAAATGTGTGTGCGTCTTATGGAGTGAATGCAGGCTGTGCAGCTATCACAGAAGCCAGAACAGCAAGAGGGATTGCTGCTTTCATTGCCCAGCGATCCCTCTTGCTGTTCTGGCTTCTGAGATTCAGAATATTTTTTTTCTTGTTTTCCTCCTCCAAAAACTAGGTGCGTCTTGTGGTCTGGTGCATCTTATAGAGCAAAAAATACGGTATATATGCTGTCAATTTCATCACTACTACTATTATTCCCCTTTGTGGATCACTGCCTTGCCATGGCGAAGGGGCTTGAATAACTCAGAGAAGCTATGAGCTATGCCGAGCAGGGCACCCAAGATGGACAGGTCATAGTGGAGAGTTTTGACCAAACGTGATCCACCTGGAGCAGGAACTGGCAAGCCACTCCAGTATCCCTGCCAAGAAAACTCCATGAGGCTCCAATACTTTGGCCACCTTATGAGAAGAGAAGACTCCCTGGAAAAGACCCTGATGTTGAGAAAGATGGAGGGCACAAGGAGAAGGGGACGACAGAGGATGAGACGGTTGGACAGTGTTCTTGAAACTACAAACATGAGTCTGACCAAACTGCGGGAGGCAGTGGAAGATAGGAGTGCCTGGCGTGCTCTGGTCCATGGGGTCACGAAGAGTCAGACACGACTAAACGACTAAACAACTACTACTACTACTACTATTATCTGAAGGCAGCCCTGTTTAGGGAAACTTTTAATGTTTGATTTATTACGGTATTTTAATATTTTGTTGGAAGCCGCCCAGAGTGGCTGGGAAAGCCCAGCCAGATGGGCAGGGTATAAATAATAAATTATTATTATTATTATTATTATTATTATTATTATTATTGCTTTAGCAGCCCAGGGCAATCAAATCTATATGCATATATGCTTCTGAGAGTACAGTTTCACTTTTTAAAAAAATGTATTTTTATTAAAGATTTTCTTGGTTTACAAAAGTATGTGCAATGTCTCTCTCGCTCTCTCTTTTTTCTCCAAGTAACGTTTTTTTACAGATCAGTTTCATTTGTTGAGACATTAGGAAGAAGAGGGGGAAAGTGGGGGAGGAGTACAGTTTCACTTATAGCAATTAACTGCTTAGGAGCATTCTCACCAGGGAACTAAGCCAACCTTTCTTTATCCCTTGTGTGAGTGAGCTTTTGGGGGTAGGGTTAAGGGGGGAAACACGTATTCATAACAAACACACACTATACCTCTAGCAAAAGGTCCTAAAGCTCTTGGTAGTGTATGTAAGGATATGAGTGCTAGACATGTATCTTGTAACAAACTTACTTGGGTACAGTGCCCAATCAGGTATATCATTTGAACAGATCCAGAGCTTTTGTCTTGGTTACTTAATGCTGCAGTCTTGGCTATACAATACTATCTGGATTGTACATGTTGCTGTGTGTGAGAGAGAGGTGGGGGAATCAAATAATCCTTCTCAGTACCCAGTTCTGGGACCTGGAAGTGCTCATGGATCCAGAAGACTGAATCATAGCCTAGAGGGACCTCATCAGCCCCTCGCTGAATGGAAGAGGCCACAGGGGAACCCAGCATGGGTCACCTCGAGGTCTCTGGTGGAAGGGAAGTGAGATGTAAATGTAGCAAATAAATAGAAAGACGGCCTCTGAAGGACTTGCCTGAGTGGACTTTAGCTTCTAAAGCTGAGAGTGAGACAGAGATAAAAGACTTTCAGTTGAGGAACCCAATGGCCCAACTGGGCTGTGTTGACATCCAAAGATCTAGGACCAGAGTGGTTGGGTGGGAGGAGCAGGATTGGCGGAAGCTGCTCTGACCTTTGAAAGGTCCTGAGGTGGGACTGTGTGCTCCAGCCAGCTGGCAAGGAGTGTTGAACTTAGTGCCTTGTTGGGTTGAGCAACTAGTCAACAGGTGAGTCACACAAGTGCAGCAAGTTTACTGTGCCCTCGTGATTACTTGTGGTCATGATGGTGTTTGGGTGGTTATATGCGGTCTCGCTTTCAGCACTGTTGGCCCCTGCAAAAGTTTCGGCAGGGGACAGATTGCTTCGCCTCCAATTCGCTTTCTGCTACAGTCCTAAAACTTTTGCATATTGCAGATGTCCCAGTTGTTGTTTGTTGTCCTGTAGTGCAGGAGTGGCTTTCCAGTCAGCCATAATTGCATAAACCTGGAGGGGAAAAACCATGAGGCACAGATCTTCCATGCCCTCAGACGAGAGCTCTCTCCAAGGATAACAACAGTCCGAAAGGATGAGGCATAAACAAGACCCAACGGCCAAGCCTGAAGGATAAAGGAGTGTCATATTTCTCTCTCTCTCTGGAGTTTTCCACCAGCCAGAAGGCAGTGACTGTGCCCTAACAGCTCCCACCAGCTGAACTGGAATGATGCATGGTGAATGCATTGGGTTAACTACCTGCAGTTGACAGTTTCAGGGATCAGGGTGGCCTAGAGACCTAGCAGCTGAGTGACTGGAGGAAAGGTGGGAAGGGACCTTTTAAGGAAAAGCAATTTCCCCCGTTTAATAAATGCTGTTTTATTTTCTCCATTACAGTGGTACCTCAGGTTAAGTACTTAATTAGTTCCGGAGGTCCGTTCTTAACCTGAAACTGTTCTTAACCTGAAGCACCACTTTAGCTAATGGGGCCTCCCACTGCTGCCGCGGCGCAGGACCACGATTTCTGTTCTCACCCTGAAGCAAAGCTCTTAACCCGAGGTACTATTTCTGGGTTAGCAGAGTCTGTAACCTGAAGCGTCTGTAACCTGAAGGTACCACTGTATGTGTATTGAGCAATGCCGATGACCAGGATTTGTACTGCCTTTTGGAGCTTGCCTGCTGACTTTGTTGGAAGATTCAAGACAGATAAAAGAAAGGACTTCTACAGGCAGTGCATAGTTAAACTATGGAACCACCTTCAACAGGAGGCAGTGATGGCCAATAGCTCAGGTAGCTTTAAAAGAGGATTAGACAAATTAATAGAGAGGGGTTATCAAGGCTACTAGCCATGATAGCAGTGGTGGACATTGGGGTCTCAAATTTCAGCACACCCCTTTTCCAACTCCAAAATTCGCCCACCGCCTCTCACCTTCCATTCTACGTAACAGCTGCGGTGCCCACAAGAAGAAGAAGAGTTTGGATTTGATATCCCGCCTTATCACTACCCCAAGGAGTCTCAAAGCGGCTAACAATCTCCTTACCCTTTCTCCCCCACAACAAACACTCTGTGAGGCGAGTGGGGCTGAGAGATTTCAGAGAAGTGTGACTGGCCCAAGGTCACCCAGCAGCTGCAGGTGGAGGAGCGGGGAAGCGAACCCGGTTCACCAGATTACGAGTCCACCGCTCTTAACCACTACACCACACAAATCTCTGCACCCAGTGTAACTGAACCGGCCACACATCCTCCTCTGGGGATGGCTATGCTCTGCTCCACAGCTGGAGACAGCAAAGCTTCTGAAACCACAGGAGGGGAGAGAGCTCTCATGCTCAAGTCCTGCTTACAGATTTTCTTTTGGGGCATCTGGTTGGCCACTGTTAGGACAGGATGTGGGACTGGATGGGTGATTGGCCTGATCCAGCAAGCTCTTGTTACAGTGGTACCTCGCAAGACGAATGCCTCGCAAGACGAAAAACTCGCAAGACGAAAGAGTTTTTCGTTTTTTGAGTTGCTTCGCAAGACGAATTTCCCTATGGGCTTGCTTCGCAAGACGAAAACGTCTTGCAAGTTTGTTTCCTTTTGGATTTTCAATGCATTCCTATGGGAAACCGTGCTTCGCAAGACGAAAAATTCGCAAGACGAAAAAACTCACAGAACGAATTAATTTCGTCTTGCGAGGCACCACTGTATGTTCTTATGGCTCTTTTTTATCTATTGGGCGAGACACCTGGGACCTGGATCTCACCTGAATTTGCAATTGTGAACATTTAAGCATTTTGACAGCAAGGTGTGCTGTGGCATTAAGATGAGACATATCCCTGTGGGAGGAATGTAGAGAAATTTGGGAAATGATATACAATGAGTTGAAGAAAATGTTTAAAATGACATTAGTAAAAAAAACAAAAAAAAACCCCAGATGCATTTTTGTTAGGGATTGTAGGACAAGACCTGCCAAGGAAAATAAAGAACTTATTTATGTATGCGACAAGAGCGGCAAGAGTCTTGATAGCACAAGGATGGAAGAATGAGGGAATCCCGACAAAAGAACAGTGGCAAGAGAAATTGATGAACTGGCGAAATTGACATGCAAATTGCGAGATAAGGACAGGTGTTACTTTAAAGAAGAATGGGAGCCTTTTGCAAATTATTTTAAAAGATAACAAAATGAACTGGACTCCTTGGCAGGTTTTGAATAAACATACACAAATTTACTGAGAGTTAATATAGTAGATAGATAATATAAGGATGTATAAAATTTTACAATATGCAGAGAATAACATGAGATGAGAAATCAGAGAGAGGAGCTGAGGGAAGTCTTGGAGGGAGAGAGGGAGGGTTTGCTGGGGAGGTGGGAGGGGGAAAAAGGGGGAAATAATGAAGATGATTTGTTTTAATAATTTGTTATGCTGAATTTGATAATAATTTTTTTTTAATAAAAAGAAGAGACATATCCCTATCGAAACACAACCAAGTAGACGGAAAGAAAAAGAGCCCTGCTGCATCTAGCCCACTTCCTCTTATCTCCATGGCCAGCTAGATGCCTGAACGGGAAGACCACAAGCAGGTAAAGGTAAAGGTAAAGGACCCCTGACCATGAGGTCCAGTCGTGACCGACTCTGGGGTTACGGCGCTCATCTTGCTTTATTGGCCGAGGGAGCCGGCGTACAGCTTCCGGGTCATGTGGCCAACATGACTAAGCTGCTTCTGGTGACCCAGAGCAGCGCACGGAAACACCGTTTACCTTCCCGCCGGAGTGGTACCTATTTATCTACTTGCACTTTGACATGCTTTCGAACTGCTAGGTTGGCAAGAGCTGGGGCCGAGCAATGGGAGCTCACCCCGTGGCGGGGATTCGAACCACCGACCTTCTGATCGGCAAGTCCTAGGCTCTGTGGTTTAACCCACAGCGCCACTCACATCCCAAGCAGGACATGAGTGCAAACATAGCACCCTCCCCACTGGTGATTCCCAGGAACTGGAATTCAGAATCAGACCACCACTTAAAGCAAAATCATGGTGGCTATCAGCCACCCACCTCCAGAACACCAAGCAGTGAATGCACGTCAAACATGGTGCGTTCAGATGCCGCCGCCCCTGACCTTCTTGCTTCTTCTTCCACACCACAATTTTAAAATAACGCTGTGCCTGGCATAACAAGCCCTGGAGCAAAGATTCTCACCCTCCAAGAATGTTGCTTTTAACACACACATAATGGCAAGAAGAATCATGCAGGAAACACTGAATTTATTTAGATGTAACCCGACATTTAAGCAGTCTGAGCTTAGCAAGGTGCAAAGAGGCTTGCAACGGCCACAGAGCCTGGATCTCTCTGCACATGCACCAAAGCTGAATCGGACACCATGAGGCCTGCCAGGCTCAAAGGCAAGAGAGGATTGGGTTTGGGGGTGTGTGGAGGGTGGCTGCTTTCTTAAGCCCTGTTGGGCCAGCCTGGGAGTCTCAGGACGGGATCTGCATCCTGGACCAACCAGTGACAAAACGTGAACCTAGGTCTTCTGTGTCCCACCGTTGCAGACGCTGCACTATGTCCAGTTGAGCCAGCATGGCTGCTGAGGAATACCCAGCAGCCAGAGGGCTAGTAGAGACCAAAGAGGCTTGCCAAAGCTACCTTAGCCTTTGCATGTTCTGCAACCTTGTCCTTTCTCTGCATGGGCTCCCATAGTTTTCCAAGCAGGAAGAGGCACCAGCCACCCAATGAAATTTTGCTGGGAGGAGGGAAGCAATCTTAAGGCGCACCAGTCATGCTTCTGAATACCAGTTGCGAGAGACCACAGGAAAAGAGTGTTATTGTGCTTGAGTCCTGCATGCAAGCTTCCCACAGGCATTTGGCTGGCCACTGTGAGAATACGATGCTGGGCTGGATGGGCTCTTGGCCTCATCCAGTAGTTCTTCTGTTCTCATGCAAAGGAGCATCTACAGAGGACTTTTCATGAGACCACTGAACGTTTCAAGGATATGGTTCATGAGGAGGCTTGACACAGAAATTCCTTTTAGTCAGTAAGGGAAATGGGTTTGTTTATTTATTAGTTTCTTCTGTTTACATCTTGATGATCTTAGAGCAGGTTACATTTTAACACACTATAAAACAATACAGTGCTATTTTTAAAAGATAAAGTAGCACAAACATATCTGCAGTGATAAGATTGCAGCAGAACAGCACTAGCAGCCAGTGGAACATTTGCTTGGCTCTCCCCTCTTTGCATATGATGATAAAAATATCTTTTGGGGGGGTTTTGCATCATATTCAAAGCAAGTTCCATGGAGGAAAGGAAGGAAAAACTTATTGGCAGCTTTATTTGAATGCCTGGGGCCAAACTACAAGTTCAGTCTTTTTTCAGAAAAGCAGCCACCGGAGGGAGCAAGTTTGGATTGGAAGGACGATCTAACCCAGGGCTAGGCAACCTAAGGCCCGGGGGCCGGATGCGGCCCAATCACTTTCTCGGGAATCAGTGTGCTTTTACATGAGTAGAATGTGTCCTTTTATTTAAAATGCATCTTTGAGTTATTTGTGGGGCCTGCCTGGTGTTTTTACATGAGCAGAATGTGTGCTTTTATTTCAAATGCATCTCTGGGTTATTTGTGGGGCATAGGAATTTGTTCTCCCCCCCCCCAAAAAAAAAAAAATATAGTCGTCCCCCCAAGGTCTGAGGGACTGTGGACTGGCCCCCTGCTAAAAAAGTTTGCTGGCCCCTGGTCTAACCATTTGCCCCAACGCAAATCCTCTTCCCTTGCCAACTGCTATAACGTATGTAGGAGGGAAAGTCTTTAAGAGGTCTGGGTTGGGAAAGGATTTTGGCCAGGGCTGTGGCACAGAGGTTAGGCTGCTTCCCCTGCTCCCCCACAGCATGGCCAGGATCCAAACTGTCTCTTCCAGTGGGTTGCTTTTGAAAACAGAATACTGTACAGTATTGCAATATGCAGTCGTGGAGCTTTCAATACCATGTGTGGTTTGTTCTTGAGATTTCGTGGGTTACAAAATATAAAAGCACAAAACCAAAAAGTTACAACAAAGTGCTACTCTCATTCTAAGAGAGTAATACTGGCTGCCCCCCAACCAACCTGTGGTGGCAAAAAGACTGCCTTTCCTCTAGTTCAGTTCTGGGTTGCAGACCTGTGAATTTCAGTTCTGCCTCCTATGACAGCCATGCTGTATGGGAAGAAGCGCTGCTGGTTATGGAATAAATGAAAATAAGCAACCCCATGTGCACATCAAATTGTGGCATAGCTGTCAACCTTCCCTTTTTTGGCGGGAAATTCCCTTATTCCAGTGCCGTTTCCCGCTGCTATCCCGGATTGTTAAGACATCCCGTAGACTGTCCCCGGGACAGGTGAGGCTGCTGATCCCTTATTTTCAAATCTGAAAGTTGACAGCTATGAATTGTGGACCTTGCAATCTGAATTCCTGCAGAATCTGGGAAGCTTATGTTTTGATCAGAAGCCCAGTAAGCCAAAGCAAAATTTGTTGTTGGACTGCCTTGTGCCTGCTGGAATTTGTGTGCGTGTTTTAAAAGCCTGTTCTAGATGGATATTTGTACCCTCTTAAGCAAGAGCACATGCTCAGGATAAAATATTTGCTTACTCTAACGATGATATTTAGGATATGGACTCATGTTCTAAGTTTGTAACACACATCAGTGGGTTGCAAGGAGCTGTGATTCCTGTCTCGCAGGGGGTTGAACTAGATGACTCTGGGTCCTTTCCAACTCTGTAGTTCCGATTCTATTCCCCCGCCCCCTACAACAAAGAGGACCTGCCAATTTTGCCACAGGGATGAGCTCCCACTGGCGGCTGAGAAATCATTGCAAGCAATGATTTGGCACTGCTTTTGACCTCTCCTGTGCGCATTGGCCACTTTGCTTGACAGACTTCCACCTGCGCAAGGTCAGAAGCTGGGCATCATTCGAGGAAATCCAAAGGTGCCAGACAGTTACTTCTGTTCGGCTGAAGCCAGGCAACCCACCTAAAGCCAAGATAATCATCCATACACAACCGCTCCAACAACTGGGCTCTTCTTCAAATTCCCCCTATTTGAGTTTGTGGGTACCCATGATTTGCCAAACATCAGATTACTCCGCCAGGAGGGAGGCAAAAAGAGAAGCAACGGGACTACCAGGGGCTCAAGCACTCCTGGCTTTCCTAAACTGCTTTGATGCAGTCAGTGGGCTGCAGAGGGTCAGATCTCATTGACGTTAATGAGCAGGCTTTGGACTGCAGTCTGAAAGTCAAAAATGTCCCTGCTCACTGCAGGACATGCAGAGGAGATATGAAGGAGGAAGCGCAAAAATACCCCACTGTGGGCGAGGGTCTGCTTACATGTACAAAGGGATGGATCAGTGGGAGAGGACCAGCCTGGCATACAGGTCCCAGCTCCATCCCAAATGGATTCTCCTGTTGGGGCTGGGCGTGTCCCCTCCCTCAAACCTTGGAGTGTCAGTCACCAACGGCCAATGTGGAAAACACTGAGCTTGACTGACTCAGGTCACTTCTGCCTGAAACCCTGGAGAGCAGCTGTTGGTCAGTATAGATGGACAAATGGTTTGATTCAGTATTAAGGCAGCTTCTATGCTATGCTCCTGCCAACCCAGCAGTTCGAAAGCACATCATGTTGCAAGTAGATAAATAGGTACCACTCTGGCGGGAAGGTAAACGGCGTTTCCGTGAGCTGCTCTGGTTCGCCAGAAGCGGCTTAGTCATGCTGGCCACATGACCCAGAAGCTGTACGCTGGCTCCCTCGGCCAATAAAGTGAAATGAGCGCCGCAATCCCAATCGGCTACAACTGGACCTAATGGTCAGGGGTCCCTTTACCTTTACCTATGCTATGCTCAGAGGACCAACTTCTCCACAGGATTGGGGGGGGGGGAAGCTGACACGATGGTGCAGAATGTCCAGACCTGTCACGAGGAACTAGGGGGCAGAGCTGAACACCCTCTGAAAATTGAGCGGGGGGGCTGGCTCCCTCAAAAACTAAATGGGGGGGGGAATTGTCTTGGCCCCCAGGAGTCGGCGTCTATGGCTATGCTATTATGTACAGGTAACCTAAATGTGTATTTTCTTGCCGGCAGGGGGGGGGCTGGTTACAAATTTGCTGAGTTCCCCTTACTCTGCTGAGAAAGTTCCCACCCAGGCCTGAGAAAACTGTCCACACTCTTCTGAGAGGAACAATTTGTTGCTAGGCCTGTAATCCATCAGGACGGGAGGACGCTGGTGGTGGTTCCCACTTTTAGGAATATCAGTCGCCACAGACTGAACCAAAGCACAATGAGCAAGTGGCCATTCAGGCTTCCTCGGCTGATCCAAACCTCCTTCATCCACAGATCTGGAATCATCCATTCATCTGAACCATTTCCCTGTTCCAAAATGAGTGTTTGTGAATGCTTCAGTGCTGGTTGGCAGCCCCTCCTGCTTTTGGAGGTGAGCTTTTGACAGCAATAGGGCTGCAGTCAGCACGACTCCCTCCACATGCTCTCTGTCCAGGTATGCCAGCTCCCTCCCTGGCCAACCAGCCCGTTTCCAGGAAGGAAGGAAGGAAGAGGGCAAGCAGAGTTGCACAAGCAGAGTTGCACAAGCACAGCTGCTAGGTTTTGGCCTCATCTTAGGGCGGCCCGCAGGGGAGGGAGAGAGCTTGCTTAGCGTTCAAGCCAAGGAAGCCCATGCCAAGAGTGACCAGCTTCCGCACTTGCCCACCTGTCAATGATTGACTCTCTGCAACTGCCTCAAGCCAGTTTCCTGGCTGCCACCTGCCCTCCATTGGCACCCAGCCTGGCCAGTCACTGAGGGCAGCTGTTGAGATGGTGGAGAAACAGAGGCCAAAGGTGTGTGTAGCTCATATTCAAGGCCCTCCATTGACCCACATCCAATCGGGGCTCGTGCACCACATGCAACTCAAGCTCAGGCACAGATCCCTGGATCCCTTGGCAGAGTCAGGGCTCCGCCCACAAACCTATCAAATAACACACAAGAGCTTCTGAGCACGCGCAGAGACCTGCCTCCTGGATATAGCAGCAGGGAGGTAACATTATGGCAGGAGTGACAAGATAAGATCTGATGGGCCTCTTCAATTACAGTGGTATCTCGGGTTACATACACTTCAGGTTACATACGCTTCAGGTTGCAGACTCTGCTAACCGAGAAATAATACCTCGGGCTAAGAACTTTGCTTCAGAATGAGAACAGAAATCGCGGTAGCGGCGCAGCAGCAGCTGCGGGAGGCCCCATTAGCTAAAGTGGTGCTTCAGGTTAAGAACAGTTTCAGGTTAAGAATGGACCTCTGGAACGAATTAAGTACTTAACCAGAGGTACAACTGTACCTAAAGGGCTGTCACATGGAAGACCGAGCAAGATTGCTTTCCGCTGCTCCAGAGGGGAGGACCCAAGCCAATGGATACAAATTATAATAAAAGAAATTCTGACTAAACATTAAGAAAAACTTTCTGAAGTTAAGAACAGCTTGACAGTGGAACCGAATCCCTTAAGTGGTGGTGGACTACCCTCCGCTGGAGGTTTTTAAACAGAGATTGGAAGGCCATCTGTCAGTGATTCTTTGGCTGTGGTTCTTGCTTGTAGGGAGTTCTATTAGATAGCTCATGGGTCCCTTCCAACTCTCCTATGATTCTATGACCTTCTTTATTGTGAGGACAGGATGCCCCCAGGAGTATCCACAACCAGTAGGTGCAGTGGAAAAAGCACAAAGTAGGTGAGGTCTAACCCCCCCCCTCAAAATGCCGCCTCCCCCCTCCCCCAGCTGTCAGCTGGGAAGGGAGGAGGAAGCCTCCCTTCCACCACACCCAGCACAGAAAACAGGCAGTCGGTTTGTGCAATGTGGGCCTACAAGCCAACTGCTTGCATCATTCTTTCAGCTCCCTAATTTTTAACAAGGTCAGTGGCTGGGCACTTGCCCTATTTACCACTCCAGCACAAAAGTGACGGCATAATCCAGACCGTTCTCCCTCTCTTTTACGGAGGAGAGCCAAGGACAATTGCTTTATAGCGCATCAAAGACAGTTATTACTCATTTGCTGCCCAGGACCCAGCTGCCTTATTCTGCTCCAGGGAATTTACATTTCCTTTATCTGTGCTGGGAAAGTACAATTCTCTGCTGTGTTGGTGCTAGCTGGGTGCTGGCTGCACAAGTATGAGTGGCCCCAAGCAAAGAGTGATGTCACCGTCACTGATGACAAAGGACAAGGTCCACAACCCATCTATCAGAAGAGCAGGGTGGGGGGGAGCTCTCCAGGGTGCAAGCCTGGGCAGTGTGTATGGAGGTCCTGGGCTGTCCAGATGACAAGACCACCCCCCTCAGCTTCACTGATGTGGTCCAAAGGAAAGCAGAGAAGTACATTTGGCACCAGCTTGGCTGCAGGAGTTGCCGGAAGGAGGCGTACAAGGTGCCATACAACCGTCTTAGGAACTCCGCTTCAGATTTGTGTAGGGTTTACTCCTTAGCCTTTTCTTCTCCCAAAGAAAAGCGGCCCAGTTCTCTGAACAGTAAAGTTATCCCCTGCAGAAGGAATGCACTGCCACCCACTGCCTGTGTGAGCCAGATATTCTGTAAAGGTAAAGGTAAAGGGACCCCTGACCATTAGGTGCAGTCGTGGCCAACTCTGGGGTTGCGGCGCTCATCTCGCTTTATTGGCGAAGGAGCCGGTGTACAGCTTACGGGTCATTTGGCCAACATGACTAAGCCGCTTCTGGCGAACCAGAGCAGTGCACGGAAACGCTGTTTACCTTCCCGCCGGAGTGGTACCTATTTATCTACTTGCACTTTGACATGCTTTCAAACTGCTATGTTGGCAAGAGCAGGGACCGAGCAATGGGAGCTCACCCCATCACGGGGATTCGAACCGCCAATCTTCTGATCAGCAAGTCCTAGGCTCTGTGGTTTAACCCACAGCGCCACCCACGTCCCTAATCTTCTGTAATTGGCACCAAACGGAAACCTGCAGGACCACCGCAAAGAGGCTGCCATATAGGAGGGGATGCTTTGAGCAGTTTCTGCACCAAGGCTGCTATAGCCACAAAGATACGTCAATCCCCTGCCTGGAGCAGGGCTAAGCCCAATGGATGTCAACAGCTTCTGGGATGCTCCTGGCATATAAGTCGAGAGTCCAGGAAAACAGATCTGGAAAGAGCCACGAATAAGGGGCACAAACATTCTTTGTTTGGATTTCAACAAAAAAAACCAAAAACCCAACTCCTTTCACAGCAAGAGTCCAGGGCTCAGTCATTCTCTGAGCCTTCACAAGCAAACTGAGTGTCTTCCTTACAAGGTGGCTACCAAGCAGAAGTTCCCAGGTGCCCCTAACTCCCTCTGAAGTCCCTGGCTGGAAGGCTCTTGCTCCTGGCTCAAGAAGCAGAAGGCCCAGCTGGGTCTTGGCTCAAAGACAAGCTCTCCCCAGCAGTGACGGCCAGAACTAAATATACTTGTAGACCACCTTCTCACGAACCGTCTGCACTTCCATCTTGACGGGGCACTTGTACAGGAAGGAGAGCAACGTCTCTGTGTAGCCAATCAGGAAGTAGAACTTGGAAGGCCGCAGCTTCTGCAGGAAAATGGCGCAGATGATCAGCGTGTTGGCACGGCGCTTCAACACAATATCGCTGGCCAGGCAGCCATGGAAGGTGCCGTAGATTAACTTGCGGATGAAGACATCCTCCACAGAGCGTTCAGCTGCCCCTCCCTCGCCGCTCAGGTTACCTACAGGGCGGGCGACAACACAAGGGGAAGGGGGGGGTAGGTTATTAATTCATTAATTGTAGTATTTCTTTCCCACTTTTTCCTCCAAGGAGCTCAAGGTGGTATACATAGTTCTCATCCTCCCCATTTCATCCTTACTGTGAGGTAGGTTAGGCGAGTGTGAGTGACTAGCCCAACATCACCCAGTGGGCTTCAGGGCTGAGTGGGGATTCAAACCCTGGTCTCCCAGGTCCTAATCTGATACTCTAACCACTACACCACACTGACTTTCTGTATCAGGGAGCACCAGCCTTGCTGTGCTCTGCCTTCAGGAGGGTCATAGCTAGTGCTGGTGGTTTCAACCAGCCTTTTGGTTCACAACTTTCACTGGGCGGCAAAATGGCCGAGCCAATGAGGACATGGCTCTCAACCTAGGTCAATCCCAGGGGAAATTATTATGCCTTTATTGAATTGCATTAATTGTTTTGATGAATTAGTGGTTGTCTTTTTGCTTTATTTATATGCTGCTGTGTTCAAATATGATCGTGACTGCAATGTATGTTTGTGATTTAAGGCTCTTGTGGTTGTTGTGGGCTGCTTTGAGCTCAGCGCCTGTTGCTGGAAAAGCAGAATTACAAATATTAAATCAAATCAAAGTGACTGAATACCCTTCCAAGGAGGCCAGGTTTGGAAGAACTTTGTATGCAGCTCATAACAGGTGCCAAGGGAGTATCTACACCTGCCAAGAAAACCACCCATTGCAGACAAGAACACCGAATGAGTTTCTCTTTTCAAGACACAAGTGGTGCAGAAGATGTCAGGAGTGATGACCCCACCCCACCCCACCACCTCCTTTCTCCAACAATAGTGTCCTAGGCCCTGTTTGATGACAACAGCCCCAAACCCAAAACCTTCCAGGAAGGAGTGGCGGCAGACCACTTGTACATCTCCACCTTCTCCAAATACAAGTGCCAGAACAGCCCATTCCCTCCCCCCCCCCACTGCCCCGCAACTCACTTGTGTGCTGGGAGAGCCAGCCCTTGCGGTGTGCAATGAAGTGGGGTGGATGGGCTTCCTCATAGGTTACGGGCTTGTCTCCTTTCCCAACACGAACCCGAGCTGCTCGGTTCTGCAAGAGAGGTGTTGCAGGAGGTGTTTACCTCTCTCACACAAACAGCATGTGTGCGCACAGGAGAATCCTATGCCATCTTTATAATAATGGAAGGCATCTTGCCCTTGCCTGCCGTGCCACAATACACAGGAAGCAAGGGGTGGGCAGAGCCTCACAGCCCTCTGGGTGATTTACAATACATCCACAAGGACCTTTGACTCTGGATTTGGCACCAAAGGGAGTGGTTTTTTTCTAATGCAGATTGCTGTGCAAGGAACATTTATACAAGAGAAAGAAGATTCTTGGGGAAAGAAGACCCAACCCCCCCACCCCTGCTTGAATGCTGTGGTGCTGATTATGTTCCCCTTCCTGACCTAGCCTTTCTATTGAAAGGTCCTGACAGGGGTGGGGGGTAGAGGCTCCCTTGAACCCAACTCAGCTGTGGCATGCTCAGGGCCCCTCACAGGCCTAAAAGGAAAGGTAAAGGGACTCCTGACCATTAGGTCCAGTCGTGACCGACTCTGGGGTTGCGGCACTCATCTCGCTTTATTGGCTGAGGGAGCCAGCGTACAGCTTCTGGGCCATGTGGCCAGCATGACTAAGCTGCTTCTGGCAAACCAGAGCAGCGAAAGGAAACGCCATTGACCTTCCCGCCAGAGCGGTAACTATTTATCTACTTGCACTTTGACGTGCTTTCGAACTGCTAGGTTGGCAGGAGCAGGGACCGAGCAACGGGAGCTCACCCCGTCGTGGGGATTCGAACCGCCGACCTTCTGATCGGCAAGTCCTAGGCTCTGTGGTTTAACACACAGCACCACTCGCATCCCTGGCCTAAATGTGAGGGGACCTAATTCATACAGAAAAATCCCTCTGCAGATAAAATGAAAGGTGCTCCCAACACCTTTTAGCATGGTATGTGGTTAGCTTTCTGCAGCAAGCAAAGTCAGAGAACCCCATTTGAAACCCTGGCCCTAGAAGGAAAAAAAACCAGTCTTTCCTGCAAAAAGGCAGAGTGCTCCACAGCATTCGCAGGACAGCAGCCACCCAAGTATCTTTTGGATCTCTCAGGCTCTTACCTTACAGCAGGCAACACTGGTCTGGAAATCCCGCCTTGCACAGAGCTGCCAAGAAATATTGCCAGGGCTCCCTACAAAGACCTGAGAACAGAATGACAATCAGCTATTCATCTGACACAATGGAGAACCAAACCAAGCACTTCTATGCATATTTTTAGGTTAGCTCAACAGCTCCCCTGTAGTACAGGGGACACAAGCACACACCACACTTTCTAGGTCTCTAGCTCCCACTACTCAGAGATGCTGTTGCCTCTGAACAAAGAGGTGCCATTTAGTTATCAAGAACTAACAATTTTGGCAGCACTCAGCCTCCAAGAAGGTTATGTCCTCAAAAAAGAGAGAAGAAAACTAGAATCAAGGGACTGGCTACAGAGATGGTGGAAAGGTTTGAATTGTTTGAGAAATAAAGAGGATGGACTCAAAATCTTAAGACAGCAAAGCAATGATACTCAATAGTTATTACTGAAACCTGATGGAATGAGATTCATGAATGGAATGGAGGAACTGAAGGGCTTAGATTATTTTAAAAGAACAGATCATTAAAAGGATGTATACACGAATGAAGAAATCTACAAACCTAAACACTTGGGTAAATTTTTTTATAACAGCTACATCTTTGTGGGAGCATGCTGCAGACTGTCATGTCAAAAAGAAGACTTGAATGATGCCTTCCTAGATCTAGAATCATAGGACCCTCAGGGTCATCTAGTCCAACTGTCTTCTATGCAGGAATCTTTTATCCAAGGTAGGGCTTCTGTTCGAGGACCCCGAGATTAAAAGTCTCATGCTCTACTGACTGACCTATCACAGCCAGATGAGCACATTTTCAAAGAAGAGATTTCAACTATCCTGATATATACCGTAAGGCAAGCTTTGCTGAATCTAAAATTCCTGATGCCTGGCTGACAACTTCATCTTCCAGAAGCACTGGAAGCTGCTTGCATGTGGGCAAGACAATACGGGCTATTTTTAGGTGATGGACTGTACCAAAGAGTGGCTTCTGGAGAGAAGAGGCAAGTTGGATGCCCTAAGGTTCCATTCTGGGCCTGGCATAGTTGAACATATTCCTCTATGACTTAGATGGAGGATGCTCATTAAATCTGCAGAAGACACCAGACTGTGAGGGGTAGTGAATACCTTTGAAGGCAGGAGAAGGACGCAAGATTTATCCTGGCAGGAGAAGAACAGGATGGGTGACACCTGGCTTAGCAGGAGCACGTGTGAAAAGGACCTAGGGGTCTTAGCAGAACACAAACTAAACAGGAATCAGGAGTGCACTGTGGAGTAGCTAAAAAGGCTAATGCAATTCTAAGTTGCAACACCAGAAATCATACAGCGTCTAGACTGTGAGAAGAAACGGTTCCAAAGCTCTGCTCTCCTTTGGGCAGGTCTCACCTGGAGTGCCCAGTTCTGGGCCACACACAGTTTAAGGATGATGTTGACAAAGTGGGACATGCCCAGGAGAGGAGGAACAAAGATGGTGAAGGTGCTATGAGGAAATGTGGAAGGCATTGGGCATGTGCAACACACAGAGACAATTAGGAGACATAAAGGTCACCTTCAAGGTGGCGGTTGTTGGACCACAATTTTCCTCATCCCTAGCTGGGTCTGATGGCTGTTGTGGCCCAACATCTGCAGGCCACCACCCTAGCTGCCCCTGACGCGCATGAAGTTGGGCAGGGCCGGAACTGAAGGTAAAGAGATTTAGACTGAACTTCAGGAAGAACTTCCTGATGCTGAAAGCAGCTGAAGGTTCACCGTGCCTGTTCCAGGCTTCATTGGAAGCTTTTAAGCGAAGGCCCCTTAAGTGTAATTTGTCACGTTTATATCCCGCCTTTTTCCCTCCAAGATGCTCAGGATAGTGTTAATGGCTCTCCCCCACTTCCTTCAATAAATCCCACAACAACAACAACAACCATAGCTGTCAACCGTCCCTTATTTGGCGGGAAACTCCCTTATCCCAGCGCCGTGTCCTGCTGCTGTCCCTTATTGATGATGTCCCTTAAATTTCCCAGGTTTCATGCTCGCCCGGCTCAGGAGGGAAGCAGCGGCTCGGGGTCCTCCATGTCGAGAGAGCGCGCACACGAGCTGCTGCGTCTCCGTCTCTCCCTTTTCCCCCTCAGGGGCGCGCCGTGAGATGGGTGGGCGGGCAGCCCCTCTCTTGCGAGACTTCCGCTGCGCTGCCAGGGGAAGCCAGAGGCGGCAGCAGCGGCGGCGGCTGAGGAGGTGGCCTGAGGGAGGAGGAAAAGGAGGAGATGGGGAGGGACGCAGAAGGGCGGCGCTTCAGCGGCGCCGCAACCGCCTCATGCCGGACTCGTGGGCAGCGTGGGCGACATTCTCTCTCCCTCCGTCCTTCTCTCTCAGGCGGGGAAGGGCCGATGGAACTCCTTGCGCCAGGACAACAGCAACCCCGACGTGCTGCTTAGCATACCCTCCAACCAGTGCAGCATCTTAGTGTAGTGATTTCCCCCTCTGCATCCCTTTCATAACTCTATTTTTATAAATCATTTGTCCATCCATAGCCCAAATTTTTACGACAAGTTTTCTGTCAATCCTCCCAATGTATGTAACTGTTTGCAATAGCTTTTCAACTAAATTATAAACTTTCCCCATTCTTTATTAAAGAGGTCCTCTTCCTGGTTTCTAATTCTGCCTGTACGCTTTGCCATCTCGATGTCGTTCATCAGTCTTCTTTGGTCGGCGTTGTAGACCCTTCGGATCATGTAGTCCAACCCCCTGCAAAACACAGTCAGTCGCAGCAAAAGCAGCATGGCTCCATCAGTGGCGGATTTCTGTATAAGCTAAGCAAAATCCCTTATTTTGGCTGCTGGTCCCTTATTTTCGAGGCTGCTGGTCCCTTATTTTCAAATCTGTAAGTTGACAGCTATGACAACTGCTTGGCAAGGGGTTGGACTCGATGGCCCTTGTGGTCTCTTCCAACTCTATGATTCTATGATTCTACAACAACCCTGCGAGGTAGGCTGAGAGGCAGCGACGCCCCCCCCCCAACGTCACACGCGGGGAGCTTCCTGGCCGAGTGGGGGCACCTGAACCCTCCGCAGTAGCGCGTGAAGTCCCTTCCAGCCCCCCCCCCAGCGACTTCCTGACCGCCCCCAGACTCGCCTCGAGGCCCCGCCGAGCCGCCACCGCCGTCCTCCACCAGGGGGCCGCCATCTTGGGACGCGACGTCGGGAAGAAGGAGGAACCGGCCAAGCCTCGCGAGAAGAGGGGAGGGCGGAGGTGCCCGGATGTACTCGGAGACTAGCGATAGAGAGGAAGGGAGGGAGAGCTCGAGCGCCAGCACGTTATGGGTCGAGCCCAAAGAGAGAAGCCGAGCACGTGCCGCCTCACAACTTCCGGTCGCAGTGCGACACCTCCTGGACCTTGCCAGCCCTGAGTTCCAGTGACTTCATCTAGATTTAAAACGGGCATCCAGTCTCTCAGTGACTATTCCAGGGGTGATCGGAGCTGATGCGATTTCACCCGCAAGTTGCAGGAAAAAATATTTTGTCCAGAGATCTGTCTGGCAAGGATGGCTATATCCAGAGAGAAAATGGGCTCTTCTTGTTTTTTGTAATTTAAAAAAGAAATCCAATCGAACAGCAAAATATAAAACTTGGAATCACAGAATTGTATAGTTGGAAGGGACCGTGAGGGTCATCTAGTCCAACCCCCTGCAATGCGGGAATGTTTTGCCCAACTTGGGGCTTGAACCCATGACCTTGAAATTAAGAGTCCCGTGTTCTACAGACTGAGCTATCAGTTGTTAAAACAAGAGGGGAAAAGTCGTGTAATTTTCTCAGTTGGAATTCTTGTATGGGCAAAGAACATAAGAAGCGCCTGCTGGATCAGGCCAAAGTCCAGCGTCCGGTTCTCACAGTGGCCAACCAGATGCCTGTGGAGAATCTCATAAGCAGGACCCGAGCACAAGAGCGCTCTCCGCAACTGGGATTCAGAAACATTATTTCTGCCCCCGACTGTGGAGTCAGAGCATAGCCGTGCCAGCTAGTACCCACTGATGGCCCTCTCCTCCCTGAATTTGTCCAGTCCTCTTTGGAAGCCATCCAGGTACAGTGGTGCCCCGCAAGACGAATGCCTCGCAAGACGGAAAACCCGCTAGACGAAAGGGTTTTCCGTTTTTGAGTTGCTTCGCAGGACGAATTTCCCTATGGGCTTGCTTCGCAAGACGAAAATGTCTTGCGAGTCTTGAGATTTTTTTTTCGCTTTCCCCCCCCTTAATCTAATCTGCTAAGCCTTTAATAGCCTTTAATAGCCTTTTAGCAGCTAATCCGCTAAGCCTTTAAGCCTTTAATAGCCGCTAAACCGCTAATAGCGCTAATCCGTTAAGACGCTAATAGGGTTGCTTCGCAAGACGAAAAAACCGCTAGACGAAGACACTCGCGGAACGGATTAATTTCGTCTTGCGAGGCACCACTGTAATTGGTCATCACTCTCTCCTGTGGCAGCGAGTTCCATAGTTTAACTGCACTGCATGAAGGACAAATTTCTCTTCCTTGTCCTGCTTCTTCCAGCATTCAGTTTCATTGGATGTCCACAGGTTCTAGTGTTATGAGTTTCATATTCATCTTTATGCCCCCCACCCTCAGATGTAAGATAGGGCAGCTGCTGAGTGCTGGCCTGGTGGTAGTGTTACCGGAAAAATCCGAGGGCTCCCTTGGACAAAATAAAGACACCAACCAGGATAACTTGGAGCAAAACAGCAGCCTGTAGGCTTGGCCTTTATTGAACGGTTGCAACAGGGTGTTCCCCTCACTTGCGAGAGAGAGGAAAGACCCAGAAAGATGGTGTGCAAGACCTTATAAAAACTTTTGAAATTCCCATCCTCTAGGTCAAGCCCACCCCCAGAAACATCATGCATACATTACAGAAAGGAGGGGTTGAGGGAGGAGTTGTGGTGGTAACCTGAGTGTCCTATCACCTGGCTGGTTCCCCCTTCCCCCCTCCCCATGAGTACTTTCCAGGTGACAAAGGGGAGTTTCCAGTTTCCTGCCCCAAGAGGGAAGATCTGATCATTGTCCTTTGTTCCAGTCCATGCTGAATCCACTCCCATATGCAAGTTCTTTGTGATCTTGATGGTCTTCTGTCTAGGACCATCAGGGTTGGCATAGCAACTGGGCAGGGCTCCTGTGGATGTGCTGGGATGGTGAAGGGATTATGGCTGACCAGAACCAAGCCACCCCCCTTTGATAGTCCTTGTCATATGGAGTAAAATAAAAATGGAACAGTGCAAATCCGATGTATGGTTGATTTTTCTATGAATTTATAACAGAAGTGTGGCATATGTAGTGTGTGAGTGTGAGTGTGTGAAGTTTGTACAAACTGAATGATTGGGGTGGGGGGTTCCTGCTACAGTTGCATATGTTCTGTCCCCAGGCCCAGACAGGGGGGTGGCATATGGGCCACTTGGCCCAGGCCTCCGATTCCAAAGAGGGCCTCGGTCAGCATATTCACAATTGCTAGGAAAGCATATTTAAATGTAAATACTTCAAATAATCCTTTTCCCTATGTATTTTTAAAAAGCACTATTGTATATCTATATTTTCCATTTTGTCTTTATATGCAGATACACTTCAAGCCTTGAAATAAAACTACTTGTCAGCATAACTTTTGTGAAAATTATTTAAATACTTATTTATAAGACTTCAGTTATCCCCAGGGTAAAAGGGGGGGGGGCACATTATCTACCTGGCCGGGGCTTCTGCAAGGCCCCGTCTGTCCCTTCCTCACGGGCTTGATGTCTAGTGCCCCGTTTTTGACATCCAGGCACGTTGACACCAAATGGTTTCTTTGCAAGCCCCGTCAACCAGCCAGTGATCAGCCTTGCCTTCCAGCCCAGCCATATTGAAAATGAAAACGACCCTGGCATCACCCATGACACCCGAAGTTGGGCAAGCAGGTGTTGTTCTGCAGCCCTGATTAGCCCATGGCTGCTTTCTATAGGATTACTTTCATACACACCCTGGATCCACCATATAGAAAGGAGGTAAATCACTAAAGAAAATAATATTTTATTTTATGGAGGAGAGAGTAAAACAGGGGAAGAGGGGGTCTCTATGTCTCCTCCTGTGTTCTGGAGGAAAGAAGGCACGGTGACGTCTTAGCGAAGGACCCATTTGCTGGCCTTGGAGCAGTTAGCCATTTACCTTCCTCCTCCATACCTGTCCTGTTTATATGGGGTTATGCCAAGTTCTGATGGCACCAGATGCTTCTGATAAAACCAACCAGTCCACAGAAGCTTGTGACTCAAGGTCACCCTTTGCTCTCTGTTGCCCCAGGCAGGCCGACTAAGGTGAAAGCTATTTGGTAGGTTATGGGATGCGGTAGGTTAAACCACAGAGCCTAGGACTTGCTGATCAGAAGGTCGGCGGTTCAAATCCCCACGACGGGGTGAGCTCCCGTTGCTTGGTCCCTGCTCCTGCCAACCTAGCAGTTCAGAAGCACGTCAAAGTGCAAGTAGATAAATAGGTACCGCTCTGGTGGGAAGGTAAACAGCGTTCCTGTGCGCTGCTCTGGTTCGCCAGAAGCAGCTTAGTCATGCTGGCCACATGGCCCGGAAGCTGTACACCGGCTCCCTTGGCCAATAAAGCGAGATGAGCACTGCAACCCCAGAGTCGGCCACGACTGGACCTAATGGTCCGGGGTCCCTTTACCTTTATTCGGTAGGTTGGCACCAGAGAGTGGCTTCAATAGGAAGGGGTCAAAAACGGGTGTTGGGGGGGCCATTATTATTCCCCCTCCCGCCTAGAGCCACAGCTCTGCAACCTCTGAAGCCCCATTGTTAGAGGGAGGGGCAGCTTTGACCAAGAGACAAACCACCAGAGAATTGCCAAGGAACACAAAGAAATGTGTTTCTGCTGCTTTTGATCTTTATTCCATTTCCACCCCATCTTTCGCACACGGAACTCAAGGGAACGTCCATGGGGTTCTCAGATAGGCCCCAAACACCAGAAGCACAGAAGCATTGGCAAGGCGGCCCCATCGCACATCTGTCCCAGTCTTATGTCCTGGTTCGCCTTCCTCTTCAGAGGAGCATCTTGTGGAGGAAGAAACACCTGGAATCACATCCTCCACCAGGCTGGTGGCTGCAGAAACTGGGGGGACCACAGGCGACCAGTTCGTGGGGTTCTCCAGCTCTTCTTGGTTGGCTGGGACAAGGCCAGAACTCTGGTTTACAAATCTACCCACATTCGGCAGATTCTTGCAGTTAGGAACCAAGTTCTTACAGATAACACTGTACTGTTGCCCTCTTGCTCACAGGGATGCGGGCTGGAGAATAATTATTATTTGGGGTGTGCGCACAATCACGCACACACACGGCACTCGCTTGCGGGGGCTGCTGTGGTTGCTCCCTGCACTGGCCAGCATCCTTGCTTGCCCAGAGCCTCTGTCCTGCGTCTGCCTAGATGCCCGCTCCTTCTGGGCAGCTACCACCCACTCCTTCAGATCCCTCCTGCTTGGGTCTGTCCTTTGGAGCCTCGTTGCAGCCACTAAAGGCTTGGTTCTGGATCCCGTTGCTGCTTTCAAGAGCAAGGCTTTTTGTCTTCTGCTGCACACTCAGGTGGATGCTATCAGGCCCTAGTGGGGTGGGAGAGAAAGAGGTAAAGTCAACCACCAGGCTCCCTAACCTCACATGAAGCACCCCCACCGCATGGCAGGTGTTATGTATTGAAGTGCTTACCCTGGTCACCTGGGGTATTGTGTATACAGTGGTACCTCTGGATGTGAACGGGATCTGTTCCGGAGCCCCGTTCGCATCCTGAAGCGAACGCAACCTGCGTCCGCGCGGGTCCCATTTTGCCGCTACCGCGCATGCGCGTGACGTCATTTTGAGCGTCTGCGCATGCGCAAGCAGCGAAACCTGGAAGTAACGCGCTCCGTTACTTCCGGGTCGCTGCGGAGCACAACCCAAAAATACTCATCCTGAAGCTACTTCAACCCGAGATATGACTGTATAGTTTTCAGGAAGACACAAGATCTACCCACTCTGGAAGAATGGCAGATGAAGGTGATTGACTACATGGAATTGGCAGAAATGACTGGCAGAATCCGAGACCAGGGAGAAGAGTCGGTGAAAGAAGACTGGAAGAAATTTAAAGACTATTTACAGAAAGATTGTAAAATTAAGGAATCTTAGAAGGATGTTGGATAGAAACTAAGTGGTTTCCAGCTGTAATGCTTTAAGAGATACGGGGGAAAAAAGGTTTACAAATGGGTAAAAGCTTAATGGTAAGGATTTGCTGAACTAACAAACTGAACTGGAATACAAAAAAGGGAGGTACGAGGAGGTCCGGGGAAATAAGTGTAAGGAAGATATGCTTTGGAAAATTAACTGTGTTTTTAACTGTTTTTATTTTGTATGTTTCTTTTTATTTTTCATTTTTTTGTTATATCTTAAAAACTTTATTCTTTTTTCTGTATTTTGTATTTTCTTGTATTTTTATTTTTTGTCTTTGTGTAATTTTTGTATTCTTTGAACCTTTAATAAATATCATTTAAAAAAAAAAAAAAGACTGTATAGTTTTCACTCAGGTCCACATCAGTTAATTTAAGCGGGAAACCCCGGGATGTTGTTGTTATAATGTTGACAGCCGGCTGCCTATAAAAGCAGGCCGGCTGAGCTGTTCAGTTCAATTCAGTTCCAGCTTACTATAAAGAACCACTTGGAGAAATCTCTGTGTCGTCTGCTTTGTCAACCCACTACAGTGGTACCTCGGGTTAAGTACTTAATTCGTTCCGGAGGTCCATTCTTAACCTGAAACTGTTCTTAACCTGAAGCACCACTTTAGCTAATGGGGCCTCCTGCTGCCGCCGTGCTGCTGGAGCACGATTTCTGTTCTCGTCCTGAAGCAAAGTTCTTAACCCGAGGTACTATTTCTGGGTTAGCGGAGTCTGTAACCTCAAGCGTATGTAACCCGAGGTACCACTGTACTTAATAGCAGCCATTCTGGAGGACAGTTGCTGTCTCGGTCAAGGAGCATGCACAGAAGAGAAGCGCTGACCGCCACGATTTGTTCATAGCTGTAGTCTGATTGCCGGGAAGGAGGGAGCTCATAAGAATATAAGAAGAGTCAGCTGGATCATGGCCCATCTAGCCTCTTATGTGACTGCCCCAGATGCCTCTTTTGGGAGACCAGCAAGTAGGATTTGAGCACAAGAGACCTCTTCCCTCTTGTGGTTTCCAGCAACTGGGATTCAGAAGCATTGCTGCCTTCAACCGCGGAGACAGAGCAGAGCCATCGTGGCTAGGAGCCATCGATAGCCCTCTCCTCTGTGAACTTGTCTTTTAAAGCGATCTAAGTGGGAGGCCATCATCAAGTTGGACAACCATTGCTGCCTCCTGTAGGAGCAAGTTCCATAGTTTAACTCTGTCCTGCACGGCGTGGGGGGGGGCTTAATAATAATAATAATAATAATAATAATAATAATAATAATAATTTGTACCCCGCCCATCTGGCTGGGTTTCCCCAGCCACCCTGGGTGGCTTCCAACAAAGATTACAAATACATTAAAATGTCACACAGTAAAAACTTCCCTGAACAGGGCTGCCTTTAGATGTCTTCTAAATGTCAGGTAGTTGTTTATCTCTTTGACATCTGGTGGGAGGGCGTTCCACAGGGCGGGCGCCACTACCGAGAAGGCCCTCTGCCTGGTTCCCTGTAGCTTTGCTTCTCGCAGGGAGGAAACCACCAGAAGGCCCTTGGCGCTGGACCTCAGCGTCCAGGCTGAACAATGGGGGTGGAGACGCTCCTTCAGGTATACTGGGCCGAGGCCGTTTAGGGCTTTAAAGGTCAGCACCAACACTTTGAATTGTGCTCGGAAACGTACAGACAGACAGGCACTGTGCTGAGCGAGTGGGCACTTGGTACAGCGCAGTGCTGCCAACTCTTCAAAAGTGGGGTGTATTCTAAATAAGCAAGTTAAAGCCGGCACTGAAGATTAAACTGGATTAAACAGCTTACATGTGTTTTGATGTGCTATTAGGAAATTCTTTTTGCACAGTTTGGTTTTGAAATGCATTGTTTTCTTTGCTGCAAGCCACTCTGAGCATCTTTTCGTGTGGGTGTGAGAAAGTGACATGGAAAAAAAAGCGAATGAATGAAAGCTCCGATGGATTTGCATCTTTCCGAAACGCTGGAGAAGAGAGGAAGAGATGGGCCCGTTCGACAGGAGGAGAACCCAGAGTGAGGTCTCGTGGAGAGAGGAACCCCCTGCAGCAAGCAAACTACCTCTGCAGAGCACTTCCTTAGAGTCATTAAGCAAAGAGCAGTTCTCTCCCACCCCACGAGCAATGGTGGGCAACCACTTCCCTCCCCTGTCGCAGGCAGCTTGAACTGTGCCTCCATCCCCCTGTGTCCCTGTCCTCTTTGCCCCTCATTACAGGCTGTCTCGGGACACGGGTGGCGCTGTGGGTTAAACCACAGAGCCTAGGACTTGCCGATCAGAAGGTCGGCGCTTCGAATCCCTGCGACGGGGTGAGCTCCCGTTGCTCGGTCCCTGCTCCTGCCAACCTAGCAGTTCGAAAGCGCGTCAAAGTGCAAGTAGATAAATAGGTACCACTCCAGCGGTACCTATGTGCGCTGCTCTGGTTTGCCAGAAGCAGCTGAGTCATGCTGGCCACATGACCCAGAAGCTGTACGCCAGCTCCCTCGGCCAATAAAGTGAGATGAGCGCCACAACCCCAGAGTCGGCCACGACTGGACCTAATGGTCAGGGATCTGTTTTACAGGCTGCCTCAGCAATTGCCACTCTTTGTAGGGGTCTGGCTTGGGAAGGCAAACTGGCTCACCGAAATAACTGAGGGCCACAGGCAGGAAGACGAGTCCGTGGAGCATCCCCAGCAGCGTGATGATGAGGTTGAGGCGGAAGAAGAAGATCTGGATCAGCTGGGCTTTGGCAAAGGCCAGGACCACGATGCCCGGGAGGTTGGTCATGGCCACGCCAGCAAACACCTGGAGGGAGAGCAAGCAGACATCACAGGCTGGTTATACCCAGAAATCTCCAAATGGAGGAGAAGGGGCAGAGCTGACTCATACAGCGGGGACTGCCTCTGCAGCCAGGTGAGGAGTGCTATGGGCTTGGCAGCCTCACCAACACAGCCCAACGCCCAGCTGGGCATAAACAGCTCCCAAGAGAGGAAGTTGGAAAGTGGAGGGAGAGGCTGAGGAGCTCTCGTGCCAATTTGGAGCTGGTTCCGGATGACCAAAAGCAATGTGTTTATTGGGGGGGCAGGGGGGTGAGAAGAGCACAACTGATTCTGGAGAGGGGGAGCAGAGGTTTGGACAGCCATCCATCAGATTTTTTAGCTGTGATACCTGCAACGCAGGTGGCGCTGTGGTCTAAACCACTGAGCCTACGGCTTGCAAATCAAAAGGTCAGCGGTTTGAATCCCCACGACGGGGTGAGCTCCCGTTGCTTGGTCCTTGCTCCTGCCAACCTAGCAGTTCGAAAGCACATCAAAGTGCAAGTAGATAAATAGGTACCGCTCCGGCGGGAAGGTAAATGGCATGACTGGACCAAATGAAATTAAGTGGTCAGAATGAAATTAAGTGGTCTTAGCAGCAATGTTATAAAGGTGTATGTAAAAATGGATTGTTAACAGATGAGAATTCAAAGTTATAATATATTAAGTTAAAGGATTAAGACAAAACAAAGAGGGAAAGGAATTGCTGAATTAACTAATAGAACGGGAATACAAAAAAGGGAGGTGTGAGGAAGTCAGGGAAGTAAGGTAATGAAATGTAAGTTATGGAAAGATCGATGTGTTTTTTTAAAGTGTTTTTTTATCTTTTTTGTATTTTGTATTTTTTCTTTTTTATTTCTTTTTCTTTTTCTTTTCTTTTAATCTATGTAATTTTTTCTTTGAAACTTTAATAAATATCATTTTTAAAAAAAAAACAAAAAAACAAAAACAAATCGTCAGGGGTCCCTTTACCTTTACCTTTACCTTTACCTTACCTGCATTACAGGGAGATGACACTTGGGGTCCCTTAGGTAAAGGTAAAGGGACCCCTGACCATTAGGTCCAGTCGCGGACGACTCTGGGGTTGCGGTGCTCATCTCGCTTTACTGGCCGAGGGAGCTGGCGTACAGCTTCCGGATCATGTGGCCAGCATGACTCAGCCGCTTCTGGCGAACCAGAGCAGCACACAGAAACGCCGTTTGCCTTCCCGTCAGAGCAGTACCTATTTATCTACTTGCACTTTGATGTGCTTTCGAACTGCTAGGTTGGCAGGAGCAGGGACCCAGCAACGGGAGCTCACCCCGTCGCTGGGATTCAAATCACACTCTACAATTCACTGATTCTACGAACCAGCTCCAAAGGCCCCATGAGGGCAGGGCCTCTCCAGAGGCAGATTTAGGGCACTGTGACCAGTTACACCACACTGGGCACCAAGCCTAGGGGGCACCGCAGGACACCACAATTCTGATGCAATGAATTGAGCAGAATGGAAGAGGAGAGGCAAGAGGGGGGTATGTCACCGTGGACATTTGAAAGACCAAAGCCTGGTCTCTCTTCCCTGCCCCAATGCACCCAAGCAGCATCCTAAATGAAGCCACAGACCTCCCACATGTGCCCCTCTCCCCACGACTCACCGCACTCCCCATGTTGACTGTGGCCTCTCTGGCTCTCTCCACTTTGGTGGGCTGTGTGCTGATAGCGAAGGAGCGGGTGATGTGGGAGACAAACTCCACCGAAATGCCCACAGCCTGCCGGGAGGAACAGAGCCTTTGTCAGAAGGATTATTATTATTAAATCATTTTATTATTATTATTATTATTATTATTGCAAAGCCCACCTGGTGCATTTCCTGGGCCAAAAAGCCCCAGTTGTTTTTTTGTACCATGTGTGGCAATTTCGACCTGATCAGCAACGGGCACAAAAATAGCACCTTGCAAATATGTGGTGCACCTGTCCCAAGGTGAAAGACTTCTGGGAAAAGATTTATAATGAATTGAAAAAATGTTGAAATTGTCAGCATCGCCCTTGAGCCAGTGCCACCAACTGGACTCATCCACTTCAGCCCGGACTGGGCTAGGCGAGCTGGGTAGCACTTCCAGAGACCACCTTCTGCACAGGAACAGGTTAAAGTGCTGTGGACTCACAGCTTAGAGATGTGAGCACCGGATTCACTTCCACAAGAAGACAGTCGTCGCACAGCAGAGTACAACAGACTCTAGCAGAATATATAAAAAACTCGGAGAGCAGCTCTGTAGAATATCTTCTTTATTCTATCTAAACTATTATCCAACTATATACAGAGCTAAATAGGTCTAAGCATAAATGAATGCTACACTGCACTGAGTGTCTGCAGCTGCTCTTAGCAGCAACCTTATCTCTACACACGATCTCTAACACTCAGTCTCTCTCTCTCTCCCCCCGCCCCCCGACGCTGACTGACTTACTGATTTGGTGCTGGAGCAGAATAAGTAGAGAGCAGAACACGCCTCCTCCTCTCTGGAGAATCAGCAGACTCCTCAGGAGATTCTTGGATATGGGAGGGGTGAAATCTCCTCAGAAATACACATTTATTAAGAAACGAGAAGCCTTTCTGCTTGGAATAACAGGTTTGGAATTGCCCAAGAAAGATTGTTTTTGTATGCCACAACTGCAACTATATTTTTTTTGGTCAAAAATTGGAAATTACAAGAAGTACCAAGAGTGGAGGAATGGCAGATGAAGATGATGGACTTTTGGGAGCTAGCCGACCTGACTGGAAGAGTCCGCGACCAGAAGGAGGAGGAGTACCAAGAGGAATGGAAGAAATTCAAATTCTATTTAGCTAAATATGTTGAGATAACTTAAATAGAATTACTTGCAAGTACAGTGGTACCTCAGGTTAAGTACTTAATTCGTTCTGGAGGTCCGTTAACCTGAAACTGTTCTTAACCTGAAGCACCACTTTAGCTAATGGGGCCTCCCGCTGCCGCTGCGCCACTGGAGCACAATTTCTGTTCTCATCCTGAAGCAAAGTTCTTAACCCGAGGTACTATTTCTGGGTTAGCGGAGTCTATAACCTGAAGCGTATGTAACCTGAGGTACCACTGTATCAGATAGGCCTAGGATTTAAATATGTGATGTTGTAGAATACTATGTTGTTAAAATGAAAAGAAAGAAAGATGTTAATCAACCAAGTAAATTCTATGTAAAAATAGTTTTGGAAAACTGCTACAATGATTTATATGGAAACTCAGCCAAGGGGATTCGAGGAAATCACCCAACAATGTTAACAAAAGTGGTATTATGACAGTTAGGATAAATGTTTGTTTGTTTGTTTTTTTAATGTTTTCTTTTCATGTTTGTGGATTTATGTGTCATAAATTTGGAAAACTAATTAAAAAAAATTGGGGGGAGGGAAATGCACCTTGCTTCTGTTGCGATTGAAGGAGACATATGGTCCAACCTAACCTGGGCACCTGGTATGGAAGCGAGAGCTGGACCATAAAGAAGGCTGTTCGCCGAAGGATTGATGCTTTTGAATTCTGGTGCTGGAGGAGACTCTTGAGAGTCCCATGGACTACAAGAAGATCAAACCTCTCCATTCTGAAGGAAATCAGCCCTGAGTGCTCACTGGAAGGACAGATCCTGAAGCTGAGGCTCCAATACTTTGGCCACCTCATGAGAAGAGAAGACTCCCTGGAAAAGACCCTGATGCTGGGAAAGATGGAGGGCACAAGGAGAAGGGGACGACAGAGGACGAGATGATGGGACAGTGTTCTTGAAGCTACCAACATGAGTTTGACCGAACTGCGGGAGGCAGTGGAAGACAGGAGTGCCTGGCGTGCTCTGGTCCAGGGAGTCACGAAGAGTCGGACACGACTAAACGACTAAAGAACAACAACCTGGGCATCAGGTGTGTTTTGTCCAGTGGTTACAATGTTCATAGATTAATTGGTAAAGGAAATCATTGTAATCAGGAAATGGAGAGGGGGAAGAGAAGCAGCAGCAGGTTTTCCCACCATTACCCTTCAAGCTGCTGTGTCGCGTTCAGAATATTTTTTTTCTTGTTTCCCTCCTCTAAAAACTAAGTAGAATTGTCCTTTATATTTGCAAGCCGGTTTGGTGTTTTGGTTTTGTTGCATTACATGGGCTGGCTTACCGTCACCAGGTTAATGAGGGAGATGGCATTGAAGGAAATGTCCCACAGGGTCATGGCTCCCTGGGTGTCCACCAATATCATGATGATGGTGAACAGGTTGATGAGTCCTGAGCGCAGGTCCATGCCCAGCAGGACACAGCAGACCAGGAAGGTGGGGAGCAAGCAGACCGCCAGGTTGATGACTCCCGCAAGAGCGATGCTCAGGAACTGCTCGTAAAAGACATAGGTGATCCTGCAGAAAAACCACAACGGCGGTGGGAACACCAGCGAGGCACAGAGACCCACTTTGACGCTCTCCCCAGAGCCTCGCTGACCCCAGGGGTGAAGAGAAGGGAAACTAGGGACAGTTTCCCCCCAAAAAAGGACAAGATGCCCTTTCCGGTCCCTCCCCAGCCGCTCCCGACATCTTACGTGTATGGGAAGACCGTGAAGTCGGGGTCCGTTCCTGGCACCTGCCGCATGGCAGCGGTGATGTTGGCTGCCAGTTCCCGGGCCGCCTTCAAGGCTGCTGTGTACTCCTGCGAGTTTTTGAGGGGCATGTGGTATGCCATGAAGCGGGATGCTGTGGAGAGAGGAGACAGGCGCTGCAGCGGCCCGGCCACCCAGAGGGGCTGCACCCCTTCGGAGGGGCATTAACCGCCTCCCTCCTCCTGCAGCCTCCCACCTCCGAAGTGGGAGTGCAAGTATATGAAGCCAGAAGCCCACCTCCCCATCTGCATATCCCTCCACCCACCCTGGTTGCCGCAGCAAGAGAGTCGGTGCCCTCCTGGCAGGGCAGCAGAATTCGCACCTGGGGCTTCTTTTTCCTCTGGGGGATGGGAAGGGGGAGACACTCACCTATGACTTCCCCATCTGGTCCCAGCCGCACAGACGTGTCATAGGCACCACGACCCCTGGAGAAAAAGATGGGGGGGCACGTTGAGTGTCAGACAGAAGCACTCCCCATGGCAGACCCAATGCAGCAGGTGCAAACTGGAAATGGCCCCAGAGCCCTTTTTATTTTATTTTATTGATTTATTTATTGCGATTATTATCCCGCCTCCTTTCCCCCAAGGAGCTCAAGGTGGTATACATACTCCTCGCCCCCTTCCTGGCATTTGAACCTCACCACCACAACAGCTTTCCCGTAAGGCAGGCTAGGCTAAGAGACACACTGACTGGTCCAAGGTTACCCAGCGAGCCTCATGGTAGAGTGGGGAGATTCGAACCCTGGTCTCTCTCGGGTCTTAAATCCAGCACTCAAACCACTACACCACACTGGCTCAAAGCCCAGGATAGGAAAGGCTTAGGGCATCCCAGCTGGCTAGCAGGCGGCCAAACTGTTTGTCGCCAACAGCTCCCCAAACGGCTTGGAAACAGCCAGCCCCATGGATGTCTCACACATCAAGATCTTCCTCAGATGTCCCTCCCTCAGGGCCTGGATTTGGAGCTCTCTCCCCACAGAAACACGGGTGGCGCTGTGGGTTAAACCACAGAGCCTAGGACTTGCTGATCAGAAGGTCGGCGGTTTGAATCCCCGCGACGGGGTGAGCTCCCATTGCTTGGTCCCTGCTCCTACCAACCTAGCAGTTCAAAAGCACGTCAAAGTGCAAGTAGATAAATAGGTACCGCTCTGGCGGGAAGGTAAACGGCGTTTCCGTGCGCTGTTCTGGTTCGCCAGAAGCGGCTTAGTCATGCTGGCCACATGACCCGGAAGCTGTACGCCGGCTCCCTCGGCCAGTAAAGCGAGATGAGCGCCGCAACTCCAGAGTCGGTCACGACTGGACCTAATGGTCAGGGGTCCCTTTACCTTTTACCCCCACAGAGGTCAAGCTGCCCCCAGGAAAAAACCATGCGCTCCATAACAATCTCCAACCTCCTTGTGGGCCATTTCCCGCAAAATCCACCCACAGCCTGCCTAGCCTGTCCTGGCCTCGTGGGCTCCACTGGCTCAATCCGGCCGCTCCTCAGCCTCGGAGCAGCAGCTGCCCCCCCCTTCCAGTAGGGGTGCCTCTACAACACACAACCAGGCAAGGAGACCCTCTCTGGGGAGGGGGGGAATAATAATAATAATAATAATAATAATAATAATAATAATAATAATTTATTATTTGTACCCCGCCCATCTGGCTGGGTTTCCCCAGCCACTCTGGGCGGCTTCCATAGAAACCAAAAATACAGTAAAATATCACAGATTAAAAACTTGCCTGAACAGGGCTGCCCTAAGATGTCTTCTAAATGTCAGGTAGTTATTTATCGCTTTGACATCTGATGGGAGGGCGTTCCACAGGGCGGGCGCCACTACCGAGAAGGCCCTCTGCCTGGTTCCCTGTAGCTTTGCTTCTCGCAATGAGGGAACCGCCAGAAGGCCCTCGGCGCTGGACCTCAGCGTCCGGGCAGAACGATGGGGGTGGAGACGCTCCTTCAGGTATACTGGGCCGAGGCCGTTTAGGGCTTTAAAGGTCAACACCAGCACTTTGAATTGTGCTCGGAAACGTACTGGGAGGCAATGTAGGTCTTTCAAGACTGGTGTTATGTGGTCTCGGCGGCCGCCCCCAGTCACCAGTCTAGCTGCCGCATTCTGGATTAGTTGTAGTTTCCGAGTCACCTTCAAAGGTAGCCCCACGTAGAGCGCATTGCAGTAGTCCAAGCGTGAGATAACTAGAGCATGCACCACTCTGGCGCAATCATTCCCTGCTGTAGGAACAATCGCCCAGACCCGAATCCTGACCCGCACACATACACACACCCCCTGGTGCTTGCAGTACTCACGCCTTGGGGCATTTCAGGTTGGGCATGTCATGGAGGAACCAGGGCAGGAACCGGTGGAACTCCTCGACACTTGGCCGGAGGGTCCCGCTCGTCGGAGCCATGCACTTGTTCAACAGGCAGGACAGGGAAGCTGGGGGAGAGAGAGGCAGAGGAGAGGCAGAGCCCCAGGTCCAGGCAGGCATTTCTGGTCCCCTCCAGCTGCAACCTGGGGCAGGGAAACCCCCAGGGGATGTCCTACCACCCTCTATACTTTCATAGAATGATAGAGCTGTAGAGTTGAAAGGGCTCCCCAAGGGCCATCCAGCCCCACCCCCTGCAACGCAAGAATCGCAGCTGAAGAATCTCTGGCGGGTTTCTCTGCTTACTGTCGGTGGAGGGGCAGAACTGGTCCTTATCTGGGCCAAAGCTGTGGATGCGGCAGCAGCTGGAAAAGGGGCTCAGCCAGTCGATGAAGTCGTCCACCCAGGAAGAGGCAGGGATGGCCAGGAAGGACCTGGGGGGAGAGACAGCGGCATGGAGGGGGGCCAAGGCCCACGGCCAAAGAGAGAGCGCAAGGCTCGAAGGGCAATAATAATAATAATAATTTATTATTTGTACCCCGCCCATCTGGCTGGGTTTCCCAAGCCACTCTGTGCGGCTTCCACAGAGACCAAAAATACACGAAAATGTCACACATTAAAAACTTCCCTGAAAAGGGCTGCCTTAAGATGTCAGGTAGTTGTTTATCTCTTTGACATCTGGTGGGACGGCGTTCCACAGGGCGGGCGCCACTACCGAAAAGGCCCTCTGCCTGGTTCCCTGTAGCTTTGCTTCTCGCAATGAGGGAACCGCCAGAAGGCCCTCGGCGCTGGACCTCAGCGTCCGGGCAGAACGATGGGGGTGGAGACGCTCCTTCAGGTATACTGGGCCGAGGTCGTTTAGGGCTTTAAAGCTCAACACCAACACTTTGAATTGTGCTCAGGAACGTACTGGGAGCCAATGTAGGTCTTTCAAGACGGGTGTTATGTGGTCTCGGCGGCCGCCCCCAGTCACTAGTCTAGCTGCCGCATTCTGGATTAGTTGTAGTTTCCGGGTCACCTTAAAAGGTAGCCCCATGTAGAGCGCATTGCAGTAGTCCAAGCAGGAGATAACCAGAGCATGCACCACTCTGGCCAGACAGTCCAAGAGACTGGCAAGAGAGCAGGAAGCAGGCACAGGGCACTTGCTCCTCCCGGGCTGCCTCGGCCGTCTTCCAGGACTTAGGCCCCTCCAGGAGCACCACCTGTGGTCTGCGGGGTGGGGGCTGCCCTTGGAGGAAGGGGCAAAATGAAAAGCTGCAGTGGCGCTCATGGACTGGCTTGCCAAGCCCAGCCTGAGGTGCCACTGGTGAGGTGGAACGAGGAGGGATGGAGCTGATCTTGCAGTGATCGGATGCAGGAAGCTGGGCTCATCCTGCCTGAGAAGGGCCTGGGGTGCCAGGCACCTGATCCTGGGCCCGATGCTGAACCTCAAAATATCAGGAGAAGCTGCTCAATGCTTGTCTGGTCCTCAGCTGGTTGGGGGCTGCTTTGATTTTGAGCTTATTGCCCTCTGGAGCCCCACAGACCACTAAGAATCTCCTGTGCCTCTTCTAGAGGCTGGAGGGCCAGATGACACTACCTTTCCTGTATGGATAATAATAATAAGAATAATAATAATAATAATAATAATTAACTATTTGTACCCCGCCTCTGATTGTGGAGGCAGAACATAGATGTTGTGGCTAGTCGCCATCAATAGCCATCTCCTCCATGACTTGGTCTGTTCTCCTCTGAGGTCTTGATAATAATAATAATAATAATAATAATAATAATAATAATAATTTATTTGTACCCCGCCCATCTGGCTGGGTCTGCCCAGCAGCTCTGGATGGCTTCTGACAAAGATTAAAAATACATCAAAATGTCACACATTAAAAACTTCCCTGAACAGGGCAGATGTTTTCTAAATGTCAGGTAGTTGTTTATCTCTTTGACATCTGATGGGAGGGCGTTACACAGGGCGGGCGCCACTACTGAGAAGGCCCTGTGCCTGGTTCCCTGGTATGAAGCAAACTCCAGGCTGCTTTCTAGCATCTGCCTGGGGGTCTGCGGCTCCTTCTCCCCCAGGAAGGGTCTGGGCAAAAGAGCTTCTGCAACTGCTCTTTTACCACCATGCCCTCCCCGGTCAAAGCATCTTTCTCTCTGCCCCTGTAGGATGAACCCCCCAGGAACCCTCCCTCTCTCTATTTTTTCTTACGTTTCCTGGCAGGTTTGTGGAGGAAAGAGCATGCAATAATATTCTGGCGTATTTGAGGGCAAAACTGGGGGTGGGCGCTTTTGTGCACCCACCCACCCCCTTTTTACAGGAGCAGAACGGCTCCTCCAAGCGACTTACACATTCGGGAACTGCACAGCGGACTGGATCTTCTGCGTCAAGGAGTTGTCATCGCAGCCTGAGCTGGAGCAGACACCGTTCATCCCTGCCACCGTGGAGAAGTTGTAGCCCGGCGTGGTGACAAAGTAAGTTGGGGCCCCCACCATGAAGTACTTATTCAGGTACTGGAAGTACTGAAGCATGTAGGAGTCCTGGGGAGAGCAGAGCGTAAGAACATAAGAACCACCTAGGACATGTGATAAAATCCCTCTCCTTGCTACCTTTGCCTTGAAGGAGCAGCCCGAGAGCAGAGCCCCAGCAGACTCTGAGCTGCTCTGCCCTCCCTGTGCCCAGGCCAGCCCTTAACATCACCCTCCCAGCCTCTTTCATCCCTCAATGAAGGCTCTTGGCCCTTCGCTACTGGAAATTAAACAGAGAATGGAGGACCGGAGGTGGACATTTAAAAAACTGTCCCCATAGGCTCAGCCACTGGAGATCTTGAAAAGGGGTAGAGGGAGGGGGGCTCAAAGACCCTGGATGCTACCTGGGAAGGCTGGTATGTAGGAAAGAGATGGGGGAGGTCAGCAAATCTACCAGCACATCACTAACTAGCAGCCCTGCTGACCCATACTTCATTAAACGGGAAATACTATTTTTAATGCTGCTGTCATTTTGCTTGCTTGCCGTACGATAGAACTGTTGTTCATTGGACCTGTTTATATTGTCATTTTTTTGTATTCATGTTTTTCTGTTTCCCCTGCTCTGGGACTGAAAGCATTCTATGAAGAGTGAGCTATAAATACTGCAAATAATTTAGTTAACAAAGCTACTGGAGGAAGCCAGGTGGAATTAAGCAGCTTCCTTCTTTAAGGTGCAGAGCACTCAGACGCAGCCAAGTCCTCAAGTTCCCTGAAGGAACTTCCTTGTGGAGAAGCCCCTTGGGGAACCATCATCATCGCTGCTGGCCCAGAAGACCAGCACGTCAGCCAGCTCTTACCGTGGGCATGGCCAGCTCCTGATTCAGCCCCACTTCGACATGCAACATCAGGAAGATTCCAGCGCAGAACATGAAAATGAAGATCAGCATCTGAAGGTAAGAACGCAAGAGGGTTCTCTGCAGGTGAAGCAGCAGGATCAGGCCAAAGCATCTAGTTCAGCATCCCGGTCCTCCTTTGTCCGCAACCAGGGACCAACTAGAGGCTCCCAGGAAGCACACAAGTCTCACCTGAAGGCCATTATTTTATGTGTTAGATGGATTCCCACCTCCATTCTCTCCACCCGTCATGGGTGGGTCTGTGGGCTCACCAGGTGGTGTCTCATCCTGACCAAGGCCTGCTTAGTGGTGGCCCTCCTGGACCTTCAAGTCACACCCTCTCCCACCTGACACCTCGCCTTTGATCCTGGACTCGGAAACTGCAATTAATCCAGAAAGCGGCAGCTAGACTGGTGACTGGGAGTGCCAAGACCACATAACACTGGTCTTGAAAGACCTACATTGGCTTCCAATACGTTTCAGAGCACAATTCAAAGTGTTGGTGCTGACCTTTAAAGCCCTAAACGGCCTCGGCCCAGTATACGTGAAGGAGCGTCTCCACCCCCATCGTTCAGCCCAGACACTGAGGTCCAGCACTGAGGGCCTTCTGGCGGTTCCCTCCCTGCAAGAAGTGAGGTTACAGGGAACCAGGCAGAGGGCCTTCTCGGTAGTGGCGCCTGCCCTGTGGAACGCCCTCCCAGCAGATGTCAAGGCAATAAACAACTATTTTACTTTTAAAAGACACCTGTTTAGGGAAGTTTTTAATGTCTGACACTATATTGTTTCTGACATTTGGTTAGAAGCTGCCCAGAGTGGCTGGGGAGACCCAGTCAGACGGGTGGGGTATAAATAATAAATTATTATTATATTAGATATGGCTTCCAAGACTAACAGCCACCGAGGGGGAGTCGGTTAAGAAGGCTCAGAAAGAAGGATTCTTCTCCCCGTACCCTGTGTTCTCTCCTGCCTCCTTCTTGCCACCTTGCCTGCTCTCCGCCTTGTATTCACAGACACACACACACACACACACACACACACACCCCACCCTCTGCCACCTAGCCAGCAGCACTCACCACCATGAACCGGACGAAGCTGTTGAGCAAGAAGGGAGCATAGAAGCGTTCTATGAAGGTGCGAAGGAGGCTTCTTGGGCTCTTCTCCTCTGGGCTCTTCTCCTCCAGTTGGACGCAGCAACACAGGTCAAAGCGAGAGGCCTGTGGGCAAAAGGGGCGCCAGCTGAGGACCCCATTGGAGTGTGGGGCTGGGGAGGAGGAGGAGGGGTGGTTGTGGAAGCCTGCAACCCCAGTCAGTAAGGAAACCCTCCCGCCTCAAAAATGCACTTTAAAAGAAAGGCCCCACCCACCTTCTGCCTGCGGGCATCCAGAGACAGCAAGGCCACAAACATGGACACCTGGAGCAAGAAGTCAAAGAGGACGGCCAGGGCAGCGTTCAAGGCAAAGGTCCGGACAGCCGGCATCTCCGACAGGCCACCTAGAAGCAGGAAGGGAGGCGTAAGGTCCAGCAGCAGATCCTGGCTGCTGGATCAGGCCAAAGGCAGTGGTCCACCCTGTCCTCACAGTGGCCAACGAGCTGCCCTATTGGGAAACCCATAAGCAGGATCCAAGCACAAGGGCCCTGTCCCCAACTGTGGCTTCCAGTAACTGGGAATCAGAAGCACTGCTGCCTCTGACTGTGGCAGCAAAACAGAGCCATCCTGGCCAGTTGCCATCAACAGCCCTCTCCTCCTCCAGCCTCTTTTACCTCCATCCAGGTTGGGAGCCATCACTGCCATCTTTGAGAGGGAGACCCACTGTTTGTCTATGCGCTGCATGAAAGTCCTAGCTTTTACCTGTGCTGAATCTTCCAACATTCAGCTCCATTAGATGTCCATGAAAAAAAGATACAGGGTGGACCTCCTGGGCTCTCTGGCCACAGGGTGAGTCAGCATCAGCTTTTAGCTTTGGGCTACTGCCATTCCCTTGTTTTCTTCTTTTCATCTCTCAGGGCTGAGCCTACATCGGGGTTCTCCTGGCTTTTCAGGACCCCAATCCCCTTGCAGCTTCGCCTGCTCCAGCGCTCGCTCACCCCCAGGCAGGTAGGCCTTGTCACAAGGCTGGGATGAGGGCATCCCTGCAAGAAAGCCTCTGGCCCAGTCAAAGGGCCCCAAAGCAGCTCTGCATTCTAGAGACTCCCAGGCTCAAAGCTTTGCAAAATCATATTCATCAGGCATTTCCCGAAGCCTAACTGAGGGATCAGGGACACGGGTGGCGCTGTGGGTTAAACCACAAAGCCTAGGACAGGGGTGTCAAACTCAAATTCATCGGGGGCCGCATCAGCAGTTTGGTCACCCTCAAAGGGCCGGTTGTATCTGTAGGAGGTTTCCTGAATGCATGTAAAGTGGAGGTTTCCTGTGTAGAACGGCCGGCGCCGCTAGAGGGCAGACGTTCTCTGGCTTGTAGGCTGCCGCGCATGCGCTGAAGAGGCGGCTTTCTTGTGTCAAAAAAAAAAAAAGCGAGAATAAAAGGTGAAGGCTGGCGGCCGGCGGCGGCTACACGGGCCACATGACGAGGTCTGGCGGGCCGGATTCGGCCCGCGGGCCTTGTGTTTGACACCCGTGGCCTAGGACTTGCTGATCAGAAGGTCGGCGGTTTGAATCTCTGCGACGGGGTGAGCTCCCGTTGCTCGGTCTCTGCTCCTGCCAACCTAGCAGTTCAAAAGCACTTCAAAGTGCAAGTAGATAAATAGGTACCGCTCTGGCAGGAAGGTAAACGGCATTTCCGTGCGCTGCTCTGGTTCGCCAGAAATGGCTTAGTCATGCTGGCCACATGACCCGGAAGCTGTACGCCGGCTCCCTCGGCCAATAAAGCGAGATGAGCGCCGCAACCCCAGAGTCGGTCACGACTGGACCTAATGGTCAGGAGTCCCTTTACCTTTAACTGAGGGATCGTCACATTTCCGCATTCTATGCAGTTTTCTATCAGCCCCGCCCTTTCCCCAGGAAAACCTGCTCTTTAGCACTGAATCAGTGCAAACATCCATCTGCAGAAAAGCTGCAGATTGACGTTTGCTCTGAGATTGAAAAGCAAAGACGGGCTTTTTCCGGAGAGAAGTGGCAGGATGAGCAGAAGTCTAGGTGAGCCCCGAGAGCCCTGCCATCCTTCTCTGCCCAAACCTGGCTGCATTTGGCCACCAGGGTTTTGTACCCGACTCCATCCTCAGAGAACGAGTGGCTTTGCTCACCCAGGAAGAAGCAGATGACTTCAGAGAGGCTGCAAAGGAGCATGCTGGGTGCCACGTCACCCAAAACCCGCCCGATGTGTTGCTCCGTCGTCTCCCCAGGCCGTGGCTCACACCGCTGCAGTGGGAGGCAGAGGAAGGGGGTCTGAGAAACGGGGGGGTCCTCACCCACAGAGCAGCAAGGCGGAGAAGTCGAGGTGTCTGCTGGGGTTCTCAAACAGGGGTGGTCTGGCCTCAGCTGTGTGCAAAGGTGTCCCTCCAATCTGGGCTCTCTCAGACCCCCTTCTCCTTCCCCAAGGCCCAGCAGTCCTGAAGTAGGAGAGCTACTGTTCCAGACAGGGCCAGCCTATCCATGAGGCTGGGTGAGGCAGTTGCCTTGGGCAGCAGGCTGGGGACCGTTGGGAGGAGTGGTAGATCTGAACCCCCAAGCAGCATGCTGCTTGCCGCTGCTTGCCTTACAAGAGCAGGGCCATGACTGCCCCTGCTTGTGCCTCTTTAGCCTCCGTTCCTCCACCCGCTCAAGCGGCAAAAACACCTTTGTTCTGGACATGCCAAGCCTTGGGAGCCCTCCCAGCATTTCTCGCACCTGGTACTCCAGCACGAAGATGAAGATGTTGTCAGCACCGACCGCCAGCACCAGGAAGGGGACGACCTCGATGATGATGAGGGAGGAGGGCAGCCCTACGTAGGAGTAAAAGCCCAGGGACGACAGCACAGCTCCCAGGACCACCAGGATTCCTCCGAAGCCCAGCGTCACCTTGGAGTCCACCTGAAAAGATGAGGCAAGGCGTGGTGACGAGAGGATGCTCCTCAGCAGCGGGGACGCACAGAGGCAAGCCCAGTCCTTGCACCTGCTTCTACACCCAGAAAGGCATGAAGCCTCTTCCGGATGTTGTGCTGGGTCCAGGAGAAGAGCAGGGCTCTCTCCGTGGTGGCACCAAACTCTGGAAGCACTCGGAAAGCAGCTGCTCCTTAAGTACTGGAAGCCTTGATGCTGCAGGAGGGACTGGAGCTCCTCTGCCCCCCTGCTTCTCCTCCTCCTCTTGGGTCTAGCCACTTCCACCCGCCTTGCCGTGGGGCAGCCCCTTCATACCAGGATGCGCTTCCAACTGGAGTACTCGCCCAAGGCCAGTGCAATGTACACAAAGATCACCAGGTAGCTGACAGCAAAGACAGGGAGGTCCTCCCAGGTGGTGCGGTTGATCTCGTCCTCCAGTGAACGCTGCAGGTATTGGGGGGGGGGGGGCAGATAAGAGGGCCTTAGAGTCTATAGGGGAGAGTCTGCTGGAGCAATCAAGGGGAGGACTTTCCACCTGCCTTCCCCACTCCCTTACTGGCAGGTGGGGGGCAGATATTGCTTTTGCTGCAATTTGGATGTTTGCATTTTATTTGGATGTTTGCATTTTATTGTTTCAGTGTTTATTTGCATGAGATGTTTGCCCGAATGATATTACGCCTGACTTTTTGGTTCAGTCGTGCTCTGTTCCGTAACTGTTAATGCATTATCTCGAAATGCTTTTATATATTTATTTTGTACGTTGATGTGAGCCACCTTAACAGTGTTAGAAACTGAGATAGGAAAGCTAGGAGCTGAACGGCACCTTAAACTGAGGTTATGGGCGCAACAATGGAATGTCTAGGTGCACTTTCTTTTATAACAAGAATACAAAGCTGAAAATGAACAAACTGAAGCTGAAATATTATGTTCATTTTTCACAAGGTCTAGTCCTTCCCCTGCCTGTCCCCCATAATATTCTTAAGAGGGTCCCTTCTCCAGTCTTCAGAGAAGTGGGGAGGCAGAAAAATGTCCTTTCCTTCCACCCTGCAGTTTTAATCTGAAATCTCAGGCACAGCACTGCGCCCAGAGCTCGCGCTAATGAAATTCCCTGTCGCAAAACAATGGGAGTTTCGAATACTGCACCTTGAGCATGGGAAAGCAGCCGGGGAAGGACAACCAATGGGAAAGGCCAGCTCAGGATTGGCTTCACAGGCACATAAGATGCTCAAAGCGCATAATTCAAGCCGGCCCTCCACATTCCTTGCACCAGCCGAGAGATGCCCCTGATTCTGTGCCCGCTCAGCTGAAGCTCTCCAGGCACACAGGGATGAGAGGGACATACAGTGGTACCTCGGGTTAAGAATTCGTTCTGGAGGTCTGTTCTTAACCTGAAACCGTTCTTAACCTGGGGTACCACTTTAGCTAATGGGGCCTCCTGCTGCCGCCGCACAATTTCTGTTCTGATCCTGAGTTAAAGTTCTTAACCTGAGGTACTATTTCTGGGTTAGCAGAGTCTGTAACCTGAAGTGTCTGTAAACTGTAGCGTCGGTAACCCAAGGTACCATTGTACAGTGGTACCTCAGGTTACATACGCTTCAGGTTACAGACTCCGCTAACCCAGAAATAGTGCTTCAGGTTAAGAACTTTGCTTCAGGATGAGAACAGAAATCGGGCGCCGGCGGCACGGCGGCAGCAGGAGGCCCCATTAGCTAAAGTGCTGCTTCAGGTTAAGAACAGTTTCAGGTTAAGTACGGACCTCCGGAACGAATTAAGTACTTAACCTGAGATACCACTGAAAATTGAAAAATCCCAAAGTTTAAAAATGATGAACATCAGGCTCTCTGGGCAGGTTTTTCTCCTCTCCTCCGCCAACGACCTGACTGATTTGGACAGTGAAGGCAAAAAAAGAAGAAGAAGAAAGTAGACACAGCACAGAAGGGGAGCAGGGATGGAATATAACCTTCTCCAATCAGTCTAGCAGGTCACTTTGGGGCTGGCCGGGCATCTGGGGCTTCATTTCAAACCTGGGGTCCACTGGTCAGTGGAATGGGCTTGTTCTGGCCGGCAGATGTTGGGCACCACTGACCGCAGTGGCATGAGGTGACCCCTGCCAGTAGCCCCAGCCCCCAATGGCAAATGGGAGGCACAGGGGTCCTTGGCACCCACCTCTGCCATGTAGGCGACCGTGTAGCTGTCTTCATGTTCCCGCTGGAATTCCTGCACGATCTCCAGGAACTGCTTCTCCCACAACATGGCGAAGTCGAATCGAGGGTCACTGGGAGGGAAGTTGTTCAAGGAGAAGGTCAAGATGAGGGCCTGGCCTTCCGAGTACTCCTCCTCTGTCAGGCAGAGAAGAAGGAGGTCACTGAGAGGCAGGTTGGGGGTGGCACATCCGCAAGGCAGCAAGCCCCCCCCCCCCGAGAGCCCCAGTTCCCTCGCACACAGCCCCTTTCTCCCTCAAAGCACAGGTGTGGTGCTTTCGCCAGGCCCCTCAGGTGCCACTGCTGGGCCTGACTAGGTGGGGCATCTTGAGGCCCTCAGGAATTTCCTCTTCGGATAAGTATAATGATAGAGGGCCTTCTCGGTAGTGGCACCCGCCCTGTGGAACGCCCTCCCACCAGATGTCAAAGAGAAAAATAACTACCAAACTTTTAGAAGACATCTAAAGGCAGCTCTGTTTAGGGAAGCTTTTAATGTTTAATAGGTTACTGTATTTTAGTGTTTCGTTGGAAGCCACCCAGAGTGGCTGGGGAAACCCAGTCAGATGGGCGGGGTATAAATAATAAATAATAATAATAATAATAATAATAATTACAGTACTTGGAATGAGTTTATACAGAATATATTAGGTGATGGATAAAGATTATGCACATCTGGATACAAATGTGCGGAAATCTCCTTTCTTTTATTTTCATTTTCATTTGTGTTTTCCCCACAACCACCACCACTCATTTCTAAAAAAGAAAGGAAGGGGAAAAGAAAAAAACAGGAAAAAAATGTGAACAATCTATTTTCTTTCTTTTTTAGAAAGGAGCAATGGGGGAGGGAAGGGGGGGGACATAAGCCATAGTGATAGAACTTGCAGATGTCCAATGCAGCTGAACGCTGGAAGTTACGGAATAGATAAAAGGAAGTCCTTGGCACAGTTGAAATGTGGAACTTGGTATATGTGAAGAGTTGAAAAAAAATATTTTAAAAAACTTTTATAAAGAAACGAGAAGCTCTCCTATTGGGCATATTAGATTCAGATACCCCAAATTAAAATAAGAGCATATTCTTATACGCAACAATGGCAGCAAGAATAGTAACAGCTAAACATTGGAAAAGTGAAATAGTACCAACAAAAAAAGAGTGGGAGGACAGACTATTTGAATATTTTGAAATGGCAAAACTGATGGATACAATTAGGGGGCAGTCTAACCAAAGGTTCCAAAAAGAGTGAGGAGTGTATAGAGATTACCTTAAAAAAACCCAGTGTCCTCAAATCAAAACCGGGACTTGCACTGAGTAATTTTCGCAAACCACAATATGGTCTATAACTAAGTACAGTAGATGGAGAAGGGTAGAAATGATGAAATGAGAAAGAAACAGATTAACAAACAGGAAAGTAGACCCTCTTTGAGGAAGGAAAGAAGTAATACTAGAAAAGAATAAGAATGGGAAATATAAAATAGGGTAACATAAGTCCATGTGCAAGAGCATACAGATTTATGGTTATATGTTTGTTGTTTGTTTTCTTTTTAGTTTGTTTCTTAATTGTCCTTACATGTTAGTGTGTGTGTTTATGTGTTGTAACAAAAAGTTAATAAAAAGCATTTTTTAAAAAAACACACGTAAGCTGTGGTGGTTGCCACAGTACCAAAATAGCACATGTGCATGTGCACACACACACACACCGCTGACCTTAAAAAATGTCTTAATACCACTTATAACCGCAGCCCCTTGTGGCCTGGGCAGCCCAATCTGTGCATGACACAAAAGACCCAATCTTTCCTCCCAGGGGGGTGGGGGTGGGCATGCCTCTTACCTGGATATCCCCCCACGGCCAGGAAAGGGAAGACAGGCCCTCCGTATTCTGCCATGCAGCTCAGCTCCAGCGAAGTGATGTCTTGGAAAGAGAGAGGTGAGCTGCGAAGGCAAAGGAATTGAACGCCTAGTGAGAGACCGGCGTTAAGGACCCTCTGGGAAGCCCTCCTGATTTCAGAGGAAAGGAGCTGTCTCGTGCACCAGGGACAGCAGAGGACGCTGCCTTTGCCAGAACCGGCCCATCGAGCTCTGCACTGTCTGCTTCAGGCGTGGAGAACCTCCTGGCCACAAGCCAAAATTCCCCCACCAGGAGTTCAGCTGTGGCCCCCAAACCGCAGTCACTTGCCCCACGCATGAAATTGCTGGTGGGGCGGGAAGAGAAGCAGCGGGCAGGGCACAACTAGGAGCCCTAAACTGCTGAAGGATGGGAGGGTCAAAGCCTGCTGAGTCAGCTGCACACTCAGGGAACTCGCTTGAGCAGCCAGTGTCTGAAAAAAGAAGGGTCATTGGCTGGGGCGGAGGCGTGGGGCTTGCAAGGTGCTTTGCGCCAGACCCTGTTTCCCATTGCCAGTCCTGGATTTACAGAAGCCATCATCCCAGTTCCTCACTTGATCCCAGAATGTCCCTCTTTTCCTTAAAGATAAAGGTACCCCTGACCATTAGGTCCAGACGTGGCCGACTCTGGGGATGTGGTGCTCATCTCGCTTTATTGGCCGAGGGAGCCGGCGTACAGCTTCCAGGTCATGTGGCCAGCATGACAAAGCCGCTTCTGGCGAACCAGAGCAGCGCATGGAAATGCCGTTTACCTTCCTGCCGGAGCGGTACCTATTTATCTACTTGCACTTTGACGTGCTTTCGAACTGCTAGGTGGGCAGGAGCAGGGACCGAGCAACAGGAGCTCACCCCGTCACGGGGATTCAAACCGCCGACCTTCTGATCAGCAAGTCCTAGGCTCTGTGGTTTAACCCACAGCGCCACCTGTATGCTTTGCAAGGTGCTTTGTGCCAGACCCTGTTTCCCATTGCCAGTCCCGGATTTACAGAAGCCATCATCCCAGTACCTCATTTGATCCCGGAATGTCCCGCTTTTCCTTAGGACGTCCCTATTTCGATCAGAGAAGTGCTGGAGGTTATGGAGTTATGCCACCCCTGAGCCAAGGAGAGAACTATAGAGTGGAACCTCAGTTTTCAAGCGTCTCAGAAGCCAAACGTTTTGGACGCCAAAAACCCAGAAGTAATTGCTTCCGTTTTTGAACATGCCTTGGAAGCCGAACGTGTTTTTCTTTTTTCCTCAATGGATTTTGCCCACCGCCAGTTACTCCTCAGTTTTTGAACGTTTCGGAAGTTGAACAGTCTTCCGGAACGAATTACATTCGAAAACCGAGGTTCCACTGTACAACCTTTAGAAGACACCTGAAGACAGCTTGTATAAGGAAGTTTTTTAATGTTCACTTATGTTTTTATAGGGGATGCGGGTGGCGCTGTGGGTTAAACCACAGAGCCTAGGGCTTGCCGATCAGAAGGTCGGCGGTTCGAATCCCCGCTACAGGGTGAGCTCCCATTGCTCAGTCCCTGCTCCTGCCAACCTAGCGGTTCGAAAGTGCAAGTAGATCAATAGGTATCGCTCCGGCGGGAAGGTAAACGGCGTTTCCATGCGCTGCTCTGGTTTGCCAGAAGCGGCTTAGTCAAGCTGGCCACATGATCCAGAAGCTGTACACCAGCTCCCTCGGCCAGTAAAGCGAGATGAACGCTGCAACCCCAGAGTCGGTCACGACTGGACCTAATGGTCAGGGCTCCCTTTACATTTATGTTTTTATATTTGTTGGAAGCCGCCCAGAGTGGCTGGGGCTACCCAGTCAGATGGGTGGGGTATAAAACAGAATATCATCATCATCATCATCATTATGGAATAGGACATCCCTATTTTCATGCTGTGATCTGATTTGTCTCGGCACCTGTCCACGTTGGCATGGAGGGGTGGGGGCCACAGAGCCAAAACGTCCCCCCTCCCCCGTCAACCTCAGTTTGCAGCGGCTCTCCAGGTTCCCAGACCTTTCTCAACCCTACCTAGGGATGATGATGGGGACGAACAGAGGACCTTCCGATCGCCTATCAGGGGCTCTAAGCCTGAGCCACAGGCAAAGGGACAATGGCACTTGTGGGAGGAAGGACCCTGCTCTTGCTGGACTGCAGCGAAGCATGAGCAGAGACTCAGAGCCAGCAGTTGGTTGCCAACCCTCCACTTTGAAGGCCACCTCTGGGCGCTGCCAACAAAACCAGGCTCCCGGGAAGGCCCAGCCTCACCTCCTGCCTTGAGGTCTGTGCCAAGCTGGTGCAGGAGGTAATTTGTTCCTGACTCCAAACACAGAACTCACACCCCCTGCTCCAGCTCAGCCTGACGCACACCCCCTGCTCCAGCTCAGCCTGATCAAAACAAAGGCCGCTGTCCCACTAAAGTCTATATTAAAAAAGGGGGTCCCCTGGGGGCCAGGGCTTACTTGACGCAATAGAGGAAGTGGTCCCGCCAGTCCACGGTGCCATTCTTGCCCCTCACCGTCTGGTTGGCTGTCATATTTAGGCGGGTTACGTTGTTCTGAAAATACTGCAACAGGCTGTTGACGCAGCAGTCAGAGAGGGTAGAATTCTGAGGGTTCAGGGGGGCATAGCAGATGTCCTTCAGAGAGACGTTCCTGCCATACTCCGCAGACCAGACCTCGATGGCTTGCAGCCTCTGCTGCAGGTCCAGCAGGTCCAACAGAACCTCCATGGAAAGGATGCCGCTGAAATTCTTATTGCCCAGGATGAGGGAGTCGTAGGTGTAGCTGGGACGGTCCTTGGCGGTCATGATGACCTGGTTAGTCCTGAAGAAGGGCCCAAAGTTCTCATCATAGAAGGTCTTCTCCTTCCGGGCCTGACTGTCGGGTTTGGACCACAGCTCCACAGGGTCTGTGGTCAGCTGGATAAAGACCAGCCCGCTGGAGAGCCCTATCACCACCACCACCGAGATGGTGATCACCTGGATGGGGTAGGAGGCCACCAGTGTGCCCCACCAGCTGAATATCCTGGCCAGGAAGTCATGGGTGGCCTGGCTCACTTTCTGAGAACAGGTTGGCTTGGGCATGGCTTTCTTGGGACCTTTGTCCTTCTGTTTCCGACACGAGCAGGAGCACCCTCGCTGGATCAGGAAGGCCACAAACAGCACCATGAGGAGGCCGAAGAGGAAGATGCACAGGAACAGGACCCCACCCATTCCCCCCACTTGGAAGGGCTTCTGGGCAGGGTGAGGGTCCAGGGCTGCAGGACATGCCTGGGAACAGTCCTGGCAGGAACACCTCTCCTTGGTCCCATTGCCCACTGCCTCGCTGCACTTCCAGGCCGTTCCGTTGAAGGGCACGATGCCACCCTGAATTGGGGCAGAGCCTTCGGGCACCAGATGGAAGGAGATGGCCAAAGGGGCCACCCCATTGCTTGTGTCCCCCTGGTAATCCAGCCACCTCTGGCTGTTGCACAAGGTGGCCCCATATTTGCCACACATGGTGCTGATGGCGTAGCCACCCGTGGCTGGCATCCTCACCCCTTTGCAAGAGTCGAAGGACTCCTGAGCAAAGCGCTGGCTGTAGTAGCACTGGTACTCCAAGACCCCTTGCTTCTCCTCCCCCTGGATGGTGCGGTTGAAATAGCGGGTGACGTTGGTGAAGAGGCTCTGGTCTGGGCTGCAAGTGCTCTGGCAATAGATGCTGGCAAAGTTCTCTGAGCAGGACGGGCAGCGAGACAGAATCGCCTGGGACATGGACAGGCTGGTCTGCAGGTCTCGCAGCTGGGCCTCGGAGCAGCAGGCGAAGGTGTCATTGGCCCCCGTGAACAGCATCGGGCAGACGGTCTGGAGGAGGTTGAGGTGGGAGCCATTGAGTTTCCGGGCCGGCGTGTTGGAGATGCAAGGGACAACTGCTGGGAGAAGACTGGAACTGATTTCGGGGTTCTTGCCGCACACTCCGTAGAAGGAACAGTATTTTGCCTGATGGATTGGTGTGAGGGCAGCCGCCTTGGTCCCATAGGAGGGGGAGGGAGAGATGTCATACAGAACCGGTCATTTCTTAGTATTTATTTTGTCAGTTAGGTCTAGACTTTTTTGTCACCACTATTGTGCTTCAATTCCTCAAACTTCCTTCCCGTCAAAGTCTCTTCTATTGTGAAGACAGAAGTGGACCTGAAGGAGTGTCTCCACCCCCATCGTTCAGCCCGGACACTGAGATCCAGCACCGAGGGCCTTCTGGTGGTTCCCTCATTACGAGAAGTGAGGTTACAGGGAACCAGGCAGAGGGCCTTCTCGGTAGTGGCACCCGCCCTGTGGAACGCCCTCCCATCAGATGTGAAGGAAATAAGCAGCTATCCTATCTTTAAAAGACATCTGAAGGCAGCGCTGTTCAGGGAAGTTTTTAATATTTAACGCTGTACTATTTTTAACACTTGATTGGGAGCCGCCCAGAGTGGCTGGGGAAACTCAGCCAGATGGGCGGAGTATAAATAATAAATTATTATTATTATTATTATTATTATTATTATTATTATTATTCTGCTTCTCTGCAGTCGCCTTATTCTCCTTTGGCACAATTTCCCCCCCTCATCACCCAAAGACACCCCACTGCCTCCCTAACCGGCTGTCTGCTAGCAACATACCTGAGAGCTTTCATTGCTCGTGGTCTTTCTGTTTTTAGCAATTTGCTCCTCAAATACTTTTCTTCTTCTTTTTTGCATTCCTTACTGTCTGCATACTTCTCTCTGTATTTTCATGTTCCTTTTTGGTCTCATTTGAACAAGATTTCCATTTTCTAATAGAAATTTTCTTGCCTCTCTAACAGCTTATTTGACCACATTGGCACCCTGCCAGTACCTCATTTGATCTACAGTGCATACATTCTAGCTAATACTGTCTTTTTAAACAACCCCCCAAATATTTGGAGCGAATTGACCCTCTTGACTTTGACCCTTGCAACTTCCTTTTTGTCCCAGTCCTCTCCGGTTTAGGAAATTTCAAATGTGACCGCTAGATTTTCTTTGCAATTGTCTATTTGCACATACACTGAATCAGATAGCACTATGGTCACTGTTCCCAGTTGGTTCAAGATCACTTGCACCAAGTTCTGGTGCCACTTAAGATGAAGTCCCGGGCACCCTGCTCTGTTCCTAGGGCACAGACATTGAGGGCATCTAGAAATGATACCCCTACGTGTGATGTGTACGCAACAGCCTAGACCAGGGGTCAGCAACCTTTTTCAGCAGGGGGCCGGTCCCCCGTCCCTCAGACCATGTGGGGGGCCAGGCTATATTTTGAAGAAGAAAAAAAATGAACGAATTCCTATGCCCCCACAAATAACCCAGAGATGCATTTTAAATAAAAGCACACATTCTACTCATGTAAAAACACGCTGATTCCTGGACCGTCCGCGGGCCGGATTGAGAAGGCGATTGGGCCGCATCTGGGACTTAGGTGTGTGTAACTGAAGTTGCCTATTACTATAGCATTTCCTCTTTTGAATGTTTCCTTGATTTCGTTCTCCATCCGAATATCTCCCTCAGCATTTTTGACATGTCCCCAGTACAAAGTTACTCTTCGGACCCAGCATTACCGCACACAACGATTATTTGGAGCGATGCTGCTCTGTGTCCTCTTTGACACAGTGCAAGACCACCTCCAGAAAGCCCTCTGCCCTATTCTTCCTATTGCGTTTGCATCCATAGATAATTGTGTCTCACCGGCCCACTAGGTTTCCCCTTGGCTGTGAGAATCCGCACTAAAATCCCTGTTCCCTCTCAAAACGCGCACATTAAAATATATTTGGAGGCCTTGTTTTTGAGCCAAGAACTGCACTGGAACTGTGGGGAACTGTGAAAGTACAACTGAATTCTGATCCGTCCAGGAGGGTGGATCTCATCAGACTGATTTGGAATTTGCAAGAACTCGGACTCTTCGAGACGGGGGAGGCACCTCTTCCACAAGGCTGTCAATATTGCTTGCTGTATTGTCTCCTATGTATCTGCTATCCTATTTTGTTACTGATAGTGGAAGCTGGTTTTCCACCGCTCTGGACGGCAGGACCCAAACCAGTGGATTCCAGTGACAAGAAAAGAGATTCCAGCTAAACCTTTCTGACAGTAAGAGCTGTGTGACAGCACGACAGACTCCCTTGGAAGGTGACAGACACCACTGGCGATTTTAAAGCAGATGTTGAATAGCCATCTGCCAGGGATACTTTAGCTGCAATTCCTGCCGTGCAAGGATTTGGACTAGATGACCCTTGCAGTCCTTCCCAACTGTACAACTGTATGATTTCTGCCTTCGTAAACCAGTGTGAACGTCTTAGGAAAGGAAAGTTGAACAAGGCCTGTCTGTTGTTCCCTGGCAGTCCAGAGATATAGGACCCATTTTCTGTGGGCAGCTGAAACCGGACAGAGATGGACTTGGGCTGCCCATTTAGTTCCATCTCATCCTGCTCCCCTAAGAAACAGCTCGGTTGCCCAAGGCCCTTCGAAGGCTGTTGCCTCCTGAAGCCCTCTTGCCCTTCCCTCCATCATCCACCCCCACCAGGCCCCTGACCTCACTCACCAGGCCCAGCCCGGCCCTGGAAAGCACCAAGGCAAGCAGGATGGCGCTCAGCATCCTGGCAGCTTGTCCTCAGTCCCAGACAGAAGCTTCAGAAAGGAGGGAGTGCCCAGGACTTGCTGTGCCAAGGTGCCTGTCCCGAGTCCACCCGACGCCCAGTTATTAGCAGACCTGGTCTGACATCTGTGGAGCCAATCAGGCTGCGCCAAGGCTGTAAAACCCCTGCTATCATTAACCTGAAAGTGGAGCTGAGGTTCTTCGGACTTGCTTCGGGGAGACCTACCTGTTGTACGCTCTTCAGTCTTAAGAACATAAGAAAAGCCTGCTGGATCAGGCCCATGGCCCATCTAGTCCAACATCCTGTTCTCGCAGTGGCTGAATTGCACACCAGAACCCTCCCATTCTGTGGCTTCCAGCAATTGGGATCCAGAGGTATGGCTGCCTCCAACTGTGGAAGCAGAGCCGAGCCATCATGGCCAGCAGCCATGGATGGCCCTCTCCTTCTCCATGAATTTGTCCAACCTTCTTTTAAAGCCATCCAAGTTGGTGGCCATCATTGCCTCCTGGAGGGGCAAGTTCCCCACTTCAACTGTGCCAGCGAGACCTCCTCCACGGAGGCTGCCATCTTGAGTTCTCTTCGCCGGGAGGGTCACAGGGGCGGAGAGGGCGGTGGCAGCAGCAGCAGTGATGTTGTCTCGCTTGGCCATGCATGCCCTGGCCCCGGCTGGTGGCCTGAAGAGCTTGGTGCCTGCTCTGCCCGTGCAAATATTAAGACATCACACAAGTCAGCAACGCTTCGCTCCTGTGCCTCCTCTTCCAGAGTCAGGAGGAAAAGTCCGCCATGGAATATTCCCTGAAGAAATTTTCCAATTCTTATACCCTAAAACAGGAGTCGCAGGCCCCTATATATATGGGACTAGGCTTCTGCTCTACATGCTAAGGAACTTTACGTAGTTAACCATGAAACAGTAGCTGGAGGTGTTATGGTGGGAATTCTCATCTACATAATGAAGAAGTACGGTGCAGATGTCGCAGCTTTTGCTGACAAGCTCAATGAGGATACTATAGCACAAGCAACATCTGTGAAAAATACGATGATAGCTGACCACACTACAGCTATTGAAGAGAAGAAAGAGCAGTGGAGAGTTGAGGGTCATCACTATCTCTTTGATACCAAGCCGAACAATTTTGTCTCAAGCATTATGCTTGAGACAAACTACAGAGAGAGGCTGTTTACTGTATACACAGAAGTGAAGAAGCAGCTGGATTATCACGTGGCAATACAGCATCTCAAGCGGAATATGGAACAAAATCACATGATCAACTGGGTTGAGCAAAACCTTAGGCAGAGTATTACAGCCCAACAGGAGGAGGGGAGCATTGCTAAGTGCATCTTGGACTTGAAGGCATTGTCAAAGTCTCCACAGGCAACTGTTTAAACACAATTGTGACCTCTTAAACCATATGATGGCAAATCTTAATTAAAACATATATATCTTTAAAAACAACAACTGTGCAGGGTGTCAAGGACTTCCTGTTATCCCAAATCTTCCAACTTTCAGTTGCACTGGACGCCCACAAATTCTAGCATTGTGAGAGGTGATAAACTTCTCTCTCCATTTTATCCATGCTGTGCATTATTTTATAAATGTACATTATGCTGCCTCTTTAGCTTTTCGCTAAACTAAAATGTCCGAAATGCTGCAACCTTTCCTTGTAGGCGAGTCACTCCATCCCTTTGATCATTTGGGTTGGCCATTTTGGATCGTCTTCCAGCTCCACAATATCCTTATTAAAGCGTGGCGACCAAAACTGCACACAGTATCCCAAATGCAGTTGCACCAGATTTGGTATACAGTGGTACCTCAGGTTAAGCACTTAATTCGTACCGGAGGTCCGAACTTAACCTGAAACTGTTCTTAACCTGAAGCAGCACTTTAGCTGATGGGGCCTCCTGCTGCCGCCGCGCTGCCGGAGCAAGATTTCTGTTCTCATCCTGAAGCAAAGTTCTAAACCGGGGTACTATTTCTGGGTCAGCGGGGTCTGTAACCTGAAGCGTATGTTACCCGAGGTACCACTGTACTGGCATTGAAACAGGCAAGCTATAAGCTGCCTAACACACCCCACCGCATCCTGGCTGCCCAGAACTCCCCACCATGGCCCCTCCAAAGACGGATGGTCCTCTTCAGGTAAGATGGAGCACCTGGCGGACACCACCCAGCACCTGCTCAATTCTCCCTCCAGGATCCCCTGCCTCAAACATTTCACTACAGTCATACCTCGGGTTGAGGTTGAGTGCTTTCGGGTTGCGCTCCGCAGCGACCCAGAAGTAACGGAACGCGTTACTTCCCGGTTTCGCAGCTCACGCAGACGGTCAAAATGATGTCACGCGCATGTGCGGATGCGGCGAATCACAACCCACGCAGACATGGGTTGCGTTCGCTTCAGGATACGAACAAGGCTCGGAACAGATAATAAAAATAATTTATTATTTATACCCCGCCCATCTGGCTGGGTCCCCCCAGCCACTCCAACAAAACACTAAAATACAATAACCTATTAAACATTAAAAGCTTCCCTAAACGGGGCTGCCTTTAGATGTCTTCTAAAAGTTTGGTAGTTATTTTTCTCTTTGATATCTGGTGGGAGGGCATTCCACAGGGCGGGTGCCACTACTGAGAAGGCCCTCTGCCTGGTTCCCTGTAACTTGGCTTCTTGCAGGGAGGGAACCGCCAGAAGGCCCTTGGCGCTGGACCTCAGTGTCCGGGCAGAACAACGGAGGTGGAAACGTTCCTTCAGGTATACAGGACCAAGGCCGTTTAGGGCTTTAAAGGTCAGCACCAACACTTTGAACTGTGCTCAGAAACGTACTGGGAGCCAATGCAGGTCTCTCAGGACTGGTGTTATGTGGTCCCGGCGGCCACTCCCAGTCACCAGTCTAGCTGCCGCATTCTGGATTAGTTGTAGTTTCTGGGTCACCTTCAAAGGTAGTCCCACGTAAAGCGCATTGCAGTAGTCCAAGCGAGAGATAACTAGAGCATGCACCACTCTGGAGAGACAGTCTGTGGGCCGGTAGGGTCTCAGCCTGCGTACCAAATGGAGCTGGAAAACAGGTGCCCTGGACACAGAATTGACCTGTGCCTCCATGGACAGCTGTGAGTCCCGTTTGTATCCAGAAGTTCCACTGTATTTAAAGCAAATGCAGAAGGTGCTATTTCCCCCTTCTGGGATCGGCGCCCCCTGCCCCCCAATACACTGTAAAAATCAATACAACCCTTCAGGGTTTGTGATATTCTCAGGAACTGCTGGGCTTTAACAGGAAATGGTGTACCCAGCTGAGGGGTGAAGAAGGCAGGCCTGGAACCTCTTTGGAACCAAACTGCTGTTGCAGCCCAGATGGGAGAACACCCCCAGATGGGGCTCATTCGTTTTGCCACGTGGCAGCAAGGAAGGTGCCCGTCTCCCTCCCTCCCTGTGAAAAGAGCAGGCCTGGTAGTCCGCTCAACCAGGCAACCCACTTAAAGCAAAGCCACTCGAATTGCCAAGTCACAGCACGCCTGGCTTTGACCCTTGCAAGTGCAAAGCCACGTAAGCTTCTTGGGGAAACATCCGAGGAGGAAGCAGTGCAGCTGAAGGCAAGGAAAGCCGGGGGTGGGGGGTTGAGGAACAGGCCAGGGAGTTGCGTGTTTGTTGCTTACGGTCCAAGAGGTCCGCAGGCTCCTGATCCTCCGTCTGCTGCCTCCACCTTGAGCCGCTTATCTTCCTTCCTCCTCAAGGTTTACAAGCCTGTCCTGGCCTTGACGCCTGATAAGGCCAAGGGAGCCTGGGCAATAGTCCACTAGTTGCCATTACTGGCAGCTGCTGGCACAGGTAGCCACAAGCAGAACAAGGGCCACAGGACGCACCACGGAGGCGGGGGCCCGTGCTGTGAGCAGACATGCTATCACCCTGGAAGAGCCTTGCTCTGCCTTCACCTCAGACCCGGGGAGCAAAGGGCTGGGGTGGGGCCCGGCTGGCGAGGGCAAAGGAGTGCGATACAAGAGAACTCAGTTTACAGAAACCAGGTGAGAAGGAATTGCAGACGGGGCATTTGGCACATCCAAAAGCAGGAGGTGTGATTGAAGGCAAAGGATGTTTACAGAGTTTCAGGACTTCTCCCAGGCAGCAGCTGCTGCCAGGAATCTCCACGGGAGGAACCCGGCTTCCAAGACAAAGCACCTTCACCCACACAAGGAAGCCAATGGGAAGGGGGACCCTGCACCCACCCACCACCTGGCCCAGAGAGGCAGGCACAAGGGGCCCAGAGCTACTCCCCAGGCAGTGTTGTCAGGACAGAGGAGGCAGCTCAAAGACAAACAAAAAACCCCACAAAGACTTTAGAATGCAGGAGAAGTTGCTCCTGGCCTTAAGGCACTGCAATGGCCACGGGAGGTCAACCCCTTTAATGTTCTTCTGAGGAAGGCCTCCGAACCTGACAAGACGGTGGCCGAGCACAAACACCTGTCCTTTATTTACATCAAATATCCTGGCCCCAAAACAGGGGCCCAGCGCCAGCCTCCTCCCCGACACAGTTCAGCTATAAGTGGCGGTCAGGATCCAGGCGTTCCAGCGGCCGTCCGGTGCCTGGCTGACCGGTGCTTGGCTCCTGACCTCTGCTTCGTGCATCTGAAGCTCCGCAGGGGGTTCCGCTGGCCCTATTGGGGGAGGGAGAGACAGTGTAGAAGTGGATCTCACGGTGGGAGGGGGGTTGCCTGACCACTGGGCTGCTGGGTCCCTTGCCCTGCTGCCGCAATCACAAATCCAAAGGGGCTCTGGCAAAGGTTCCTGAGCTTTTCGCTTGGAGATTGGGTCTGCAAACCCCACCTGCCCACGGGCCACACTATTTGTCCTCAGCACTTGGACTCCCCCCATGAAGGTACAGCACCAGAAGCACCACAGAAAGGGGCAGAAGAACTGCCTAAGGCCCCACATGGCAGGTCCCAAACTCAACCCACACCCAATGTAGCAAAGAGTGAAGATCCCAGGAAACAGCAGAGGTGAGATTTTTGCTCTTGCACCCCAAGGAGTAAGAGGGTGAAGGAACAAACACAGAGGAGGGGGCCTCTGGAGGAGCACAGAAAGTCCCCCAGCTGTCAAGCCCCCCCCCAAAAAATTGTCAAGCCTTCTTTACAGGACCCAGTGCATGATCGACAGCAGCTCCACAAACTTCCCAAGCGGAGGCTGGGAAACAGGGAGCCGTGCCCGGTTCCGTAAAGTTTTGCAAAGAAACCGTCTCTGGGCCTGTGCCAGGGTGTGAGGAAAGGCAGGGCCGTCCCCGCTCCCTCTCCAATTTGGGGTCAGTAGCAGAGGAGCAAGACATACCCTGGTTTTGGGTGGCAGCGGCTTCCGTCGTCTGCGCTTGCTGCCCAGGGGCTGCGCCACAGCCCGGAGGGTGGGAGGCACTGGGGAGAGAAGAGGAGCAGACGCTGGTGCTTACTGGCCCAAACAGGAGGCGGAAGACCCCCTCTTGCGGCCCATTCTCGAGAGGCCTGCAATGCTTTTGCACTAGCTCTCCCCCCCCCCCCCATACCCGGCCCCCTTTGCTGCACTTTTTCTTCTGCACCACAGCTGAGAAGCAAGAGCTTGCCCTCGCACAGCTTAAGAAGACTTGGAGATTTGCATGGACAGTGGCGTGTGGACTCCAAGGTAAGGACTCTGTAGGAGAAACAGGGGCTCCCTCTCTTTCCCCCTCGGAGGAGGGAATCCCAAGTCCCGCCCCAGAGCTCATCTACAGGGCCTGCTGCTGTTCGCCATCCCCTCAGACACGGTGAAGACGCAGCATTGAGCCCCCCTGCTGAGGCCACAAATGCCACCCCCTCCTACCCAGGTACGCTGGTACGTTCCGCAAGTGGGGCTTGACAATGGCTGGGTGAAGAGGCTTGTCGTGGCGCAGGAGGTCCAGGTCCCGAGGATTGTCCTCAAAGTATGTCTGGGAGGAGAGAAATGGAGGTCAGCAACAGTTCCCCAGCAGCCGGCCCTCCCTGACAGCCCCCTCCCACTCTCTCATGTCCCTCTGCCCTCCCCACGCCCAGGTGCTGTGCAGGCGAATACCTTCAGCTTCTCGGAGTTGAGCAGCTCCTCCTTGATCTCCCGGAGGCGAGCTTCCTTGATGGCCTGCTTGGTGACGGACCGCATGGCATCCTGAGAACAAAGGACCCAACTGAGGACTGGGCAGAAGTGGGTGGTTTAAAAGCAATGGGGAGGGGGGGGGACAGGACTTACTCCATCCCCATGATTACCAAAAGCACTGAGTCGGGAGAAAACAAGAAATAGAGGGAGGAGGCAACACCTCCAAATCACGCCGTGACATCCAGAGAACTGGATCCTGTGCTTTACAATTCCTTGCCAAACGTTCCTGCCTCCTCTGAGATTTTCCCTCTCTAGCGCCTGGCAAAACCACTCAGGGAAGAGGATATCAGGGGGCTCCCTGAAGCAGGGTTGTCCTCAACACAGAGAACCCGAGATCTGCCTGAAACAGCTGCCTTTTAATAATAAGAAAATTTATTTACACCCCGCCCTCCCCAGCCAAAACCGGGCTCAGGGCGGCTAACAACCAATAAGAAAAACAAGTTGATTAAAATACAACTTAAAAAACAAGATTAAAATACAACATTAAAACATTAAACTGCAGCCTCTTCACAGGAGACAGGAAAAAAGAAAGAGGGGGTGGGAATCAAATTAATTCTAAGCCAAAGGCCAGGCAGAACAACTGTTTTACAGGCCCTGCGGAAAGAAATCAGATCCCGCAGGGCCCTGGTCTCATGAGACAGAGTGTTCCACCAGGCCAGAGTCAGTGTTGAAAAGGCCCTGGCTCTGGTTGAGGCTAATTTAACTTCCTTAGGGCCCGGGACCTCTAGGGTGTTGCTGTTTATGGACCTTAAGGTCCTCTGTGGGCCATACCAGGAGAGGCGGTCCCGTAGGTGCGAGGGTCCTAGGCCGTGAAGGGCTTTAAAGGTCAAAGCCAGCACCTTAAATCTGACTCTGTACTCCACCGGGAGCCAGTGCAGCTGGAAAAGCACTGAACCCATGGCGACCTCGCCCCCAACCTGCAGTCTGCCCTGCCAGTGATGGCTCTGAAGCATCACCTGTAACAGCTGCCTCCACCGCCCCGACCCCTTTGCCCCCATGCAGGAAGAGGGCAAGAGGAGGTGGTGCGGCTGCAGCCGCCTCCCAGAGCAGCCAGGCCGTGCCCACTCACCCGACAACGGTACCGAAGGCCCTCAATCTCCTCCATCCGGAACAGGTAGGGCCGCAAGGGAGTGTCGTCGCTGCCTGGTGGGGGAGGATCGGGACCGGTTAGAGCAACAGAAAGGCAAGCAGCCACTGCGCGGGGCAACTCTCGAATTGGGCAATTCTGCGCCCAGAGGCAAACCAGTGCCCCGTGCTGACCTCACCGCCCCTGTGCCCCCAGGGGGAGGTGTTCCCTCTACCCGCTTGGAAGACCTCCTGAGGGCAGCACCTCCCTGCCTCGCGAGAACACCCACCTCCTCCTGTGAGAGCTGCCTCGATCTCAGCCAGCACAGCCTTCTCGGAGGGCAGCACAAAGGTCAGGGCAGTGCCCGGGTTGTCTGCACGGGCAGTCCTGCAAGGGAGGAAGACGACAGGTGGTCAGGCAAGGGCAGGGAAGAGGCAAGAAGGGGCTCAGGAGAGGCACCAGGACTGTGCGAAGGGAAGGCACGCTCCGTGAAAAGGGAGGCAGGACACAAACACTCTGGGCCCCTTCCCCCTGAAACAGCTTTATGAAAATTACCAGCTAATCAGAGAAATGGGTCTTTGATAACCGACTCAAGAGGAGATTCAGAGAAGGCTGGGATCTGTGCCAGGCAGCTTGCAAAAAAACCGAAGTCCCAGATGAAACAGAGGCATCAGGTGACCTTTGATTAAGTCCCTGTTCTTAGAAAACCAAGCGTGGCTCGGATGCCTCATCCCGGGAATGTGGACTTCGCGGTTCTGTAAATGCAAGGCCACTTGCTGCTCACCTGCCTGCTCGGTGAATGTAGGACTCCACTGAGGGAGGGAAGTCAAAGTTCAGGACAGCAGAGACGTTCTGGAAGTCAATCCCACGCGACACTCCGTATTCCTGGTCTTTGCCCCTGCAAGGGAAGCAGCAGAAGAGAACACTGAGGGCAAGGGGGGACTCTCTCCCTCTCCTAGGCAGCAGGACAAGGAAGAGGCCCTTCAGAAGCATTCGGGCCTTTGCTAACCAAGCCACTTGGATGCATCCTGCAACCCTACTTATATACCACTTAGTAAAGGTAAAGGGACCCCTGACCATTAGGTCCAGTCGTGACAGACTCTGGGGTTGCGGCACTCATCTCGCTTACTGGCCGAGGGAGCCGGCATACAGCTTCCGGGTCAGGTGGCCAGCATGACTAAGCCGCTTCTGGCAAACCAGAGCAGCACACAGAAACGCCGTTTACCTTCCCGCCGGAATGGTACCTATTTATCTACTTGCACTTTGACGTGCTTTCGAACTGCTAGGTTGGCAGGAGCAGGGACCGAGCAACGGGAGCTCACCCCGTCGCGGGGATTTGAAGCGCTGACCTTCTGACTGGCAAACCCTAGGCTCTGTGGTTTAACCCACAGCGCCACCTGCTGCACTTAACTGCAACTAAAACCTCGAAGCTGTTTATCAAAGAGCGTTAAAAAATGCATTTTCAACAAAAACCAACACTTAAAAACAAATTTCATAACCAAAGTCAATAAAATCAACACTTAAAAGCATACATTATGAACTCAAGTTACCATGCAAAACGAACGCCAGCTTCTTGGGAGAAATCACCTTTAAAGTTGCATTTACTCAGAGAGGGGTTGTTTTATACGCAAGGTGTTAGGGAAGTGTTGTGTTTCAATACCGAATACCCTGTGGGTTCAGTTCAAACAGCCAATAAAATCCAAACTCCAAACTTGTCAGTCAAACAGGATGTTTATTTAGGCGTTGCAAGGGGAGAGGGGTTCGATACAACCTCTGCCAGCAAGTAGTTGAGGGGGTGGCACACCAAATATGAAAAAAACACAAGTCTCAAGCAAAAAGGCAGTTATGTCCACGTATGGCAGTATTTCCTTCTACTTTGCCTCTACCGACTGAATCACGAGGCATAAAAACTTCCTTATCTTTCCCTCCTTCCTTTGTCCTCAACAGTCATAGCAGTTGCTCTTGCGTACATGTCATTCCGCACTTCTCTCATGGTTCTCTTGCGAAAACAACCTGGCTTGGCCTTTCCTCACGTGCATTTCAATTTTATTTAATTCCTTCATAATTTTATTCTCCTTCCACAAAGATATTAGAGTTTACTTTAAAGCCCTAAACGGCCTCGGCCCAGTATACCTGAAGGAGCGTCTCCACCCCCATCATTCTGCCCGGACACTGAGGTCCAGCACCGGGGGCCTTCTGGCAGTTCCCTCATTGCGAGAAGCAAAGCTACAGGGAAACAGGCAGAGGGCCTTCTTGGTAGCGGCGCCCACCCTGTGGAACACCCTCCCATCAGATGTCAAGGAAATAAGCAACTATCTGGCTTTTAGAAGACATCTGAAGGCAGCCCTGTTCAGGGAAGTTTTTAATGCGTGACATTTTAGTGTATTTTTGGTCTCTGTGGAAGCCGCCCAGAGTGGCTGGGGAAATCCAGCCAGATGGGCGGGGTACAAATAATAAATTATTATTATTATTATTATTATTATTATTATTACTGCTTAGGCAGGGTTATTAGAAAAAAGCACAAGTCTCCAGTTGGTGGCTGGCAGCTGCCAGTTGCTTAATTGCAAGAGGCTGCTATTTATGCTGCGCTAGGAGGTTTGTAAAATTCACTTCTGACTGGCCAGCTGGGTAGATGTCATTGGATCACTCACTGGATAGAAAAAAGTGGTCTGAGGTGAGGAGAGAATTCTATGCCACCCAAATCGGATCGGCTGAAGGGTAGGCCAGCTGGAACATAAATAGGCCACCTCTGCCACCACAGATGTGTGAAGCCACAGGAACCAGTCACCTGCCATGATTCAAATTCAGCTTATTTCCTTGTGACGCAGTGGGACAATGCGTCTGTCTGTTAACCAGAAGGTTGGCGGTTCAAGCCCAACCAGGGGCTGGTGTGGGCAGGATTCCTGCACTGCAGGGCATTAAACTAGACAACCCTTGGCATCCCTTCCAACTCTACAACTCTATGATCTACCCCACCATTTATTCCAGGCCCTAGTCCAGTGCCCACATGGCATTTCCTGATTATGGAGAAGGAGACCTGAGGCCAGCTGCACACCAATGGCACCTAGCCCCCCAATCTCCTATTTCACACCATCTGTTGTCAAACAGAACGTATTTGTGGCTCTTAAGCCAAACCTACTTTCCTGCTTTGTTGCCCTTCCTCTTCCTCTTCCCTCTTGTCGGTCCTTCTTTCTCTCCCAGGTCCTGTTCGTCGGTGGCGATGATGTAATCACAGAAGCCCCGATTGAACTGGCTGATGATGTGGCACCTGGAACAGATCAATCGATGGAAACTGTGGTTTCGCCAGGGGAATTCACCTCTGGATATGGCAGGCAGTGCCTGGGGCTGCATCGTGGCCAGGCATGGATGCCACGGCCTGCCAGTTTGTTCATCTCCCCCTACGTGCCCCCTTGAAGGCCAAAGCACCATACCTGCAGCTCCTTTTCCCATCTCCCAGGATGGCAGCCGCTGCTGCTGCTGCTGCTGCTGCCTCCACCACTGCCCCCACACCTACCTAGCAAGGCTCACCTGGACTGAACAGGCAGCTCAGAGTTCAGGACACAGGCTGGGATGCTGAACTGCTCCAGGAAGAGCTTGAGGCGGTAGCAGCGATCGATGGTGCTGACAAAGAGGATGACTTTGCCCTTCACCAGCGAAAGCTTCAGTAGTGCATAGAGCAGCAGGAACTTGTCGTCCTCCGTCTCGCACCGGATCTGGAACTGGCTCAGCTTGGAGCTGTCTGGCAGCTGCGATTCCTGCAGCTTCAGGGTCACCTGTGCAGGAGGTGAAGAGGCGTCATTTTATTTTGGAGTATTTATATGCTGCCTAACCACCAATGGTGTTGAGGCAGCTTAAGCTATTATAGTCGTTACTGCAGCTGGGCCAAGGCATATGTGAATGGAAGGAAGCTTATATTATTTTGATTCCAAAACCAGATACAGATTTGACCTTGGTCCAAAACTATAGACCTATTTTATTATTGAACAATGATTATAAGATATTTGCTAATATTTTAGCTAATAGATTGGAAAAGGTCTTAAATGTTTATATACATCCAGACCAAGTGGGATTCCTTCCAGGTAGGCAGATGAAAGATAATATAAGAAATATCTTAAACGTAATAGAGTATTTAGAAGTAAGAAATGAGAAAAAAGGAGCAATGGTGTTTACAGATGCGGAAAAAGCATTTGATAATGTATCTTGGGATTTTATAAAGAAAGTGATGGCCAACACAAAATGCTGCTGTATAGGGACAGAAGTAGCAGCAGATGCAGATGTAGAAACTGTGCTGTGTGGGAGCAGCTATGGGCGTGCAAGATTCCAAGGATCGTAAATCACCGGGGTTAGAGGAGGAGGAGAAGGAGGAGGATTTGACCTTGGATCAAATCTATGCTTTCAGGTGTCATAAGAAAGCTGCAGAGATAGTGCAGGATAGTACGCAGCCCGGAAATGATCTCTTTCAGCTTCTGCCTTCTGGAAGAAGGTACAGGGTTATAAAGACTAGGACTAGCCGCCTGAGAAACAGTTTTTATCCAAATGCGATTTTGGTTTTAAACACAGTGTAAGGTAGTCTCTGTGGGAGTATATTGTATTTAATTATGGGGTATCAGAGTTTTTAGGGGGTTAACCAGGCTGGGATAGCAGGGATAGCAGGCTTGTTGGTTTTTGAATGTCTGGTGTACATTTTTTCAATTTCATTGTTTTGTATGGGACAACGACAATACAGATTATTGTATCGTAAATGGAATATGGAGAAAAAATTATAAAAGGGATTCAAAATGTATATACAGAGTGCAAAATTAATTATTAACCAGGTGATAACGAACCAATTTAAAATAGAAAAAGGAACAAGACAAAGATGTTCGTTATCACCTTTATTATTCATTCTGGTCTTGAGGTTTTGAACAGAAACATAAGAGCAGACAAGCAGATTGTGGGAATAAAAACAGGGGGAAGTGAATTTAAGTTGAAAGCATTTGCAGATGACTTGGTAATCAGTTGAAGAACCAAAACTATGTCTCCTCAAGGCTTTAGAAAAAAATACAAGAGTTTGGGCGAGTGGCAGGATTTACATTAAATAAAGGAAAGACAAAAATATTAACAAAAAATATGATGGAACTGGAGAAAAAGGAATTGCAGGAGATTACAAAAAATAGAAATTCACAAAAAAGTCAAATATTTAGGAATTTGGCTTACTAATAAAAAATTAAATTTATATAAAGACAATTATGAGAAAGTTTGGAATCAGCAATAAAGATGAATGCACTACCAAATACGTTATTTTTATTCCAGCCAATACCAATAAGCAATCTTGTCTGCTTCAGAAACTGGCAAAAAGATATTTCTAAGTTAGTCTGGAATGGGAAAAGCCTAGAATAAAATATAAAATACTTATAGACACAAAAGATAGAGGAGGCTTCTCCCTTTCAGATTTGAAATTATACTATGAGGACTTCCGGGGTGGCGCCACCGGCAATGGCGGACTCCCTCTGAATTGGAGGGACTAGCTCCACATGAAACGGGTCTTTTCCGCTGCAGCGAAGCGGGGACCCTTCTGGAAATCACAGGCGGATGAAGCCTGTGACCGTGGGACTCGGCGGGCACCCTTAGCGCCCCCCCAACCCACAAAGGAACCCACAAACGGGCTCCGAAGTGAAGAGGGGGAAGTGGCGCGGTGCTGTGAGTCAATTGCTTTTTCTGCGGAGCGAAGCCGCATAGTCGTTGCCGGAGAGCGCTGCCTTTTCCTGGGACAATTTGGCATTTAAAACAACCAACCGTGAGTACTGGAACATTGAACATTTGGACTTCAAATAAGAACTGGCGAAATAAAAAGGAATTTGGACTTAAAAATTAACCCTAATTTGGTACTGAAACGGGAAGGTTTAAACAGGAAGTCACCCTTCCGTTTCCTCGTAGTCAGAACAAAGCAAAGACAACGCAAACTAGAGCCTTAAAAATCACCCTTAAAGGATCAACTTTCATCATTTAAAATCGCTGAACCCCCCTTCGGTAGCAGGGGAAGAAGGGGGACCTTTTTTGAGCTGTTTAAACCTGCAAAAGTGAATCTAAAGCAAAGTAATTTTTCACCGTCCTGACCCTGGAGTCGGGTGTCAGAATTGACGTTTGAAGCTCATTGACCAGAAACAAATGTCTTTGACAGATAGTTAAAAGAAGAGAAACATTGTGACTCCATTGTTTCCTTTCGTCTTTTAAAAGAACAAATATGGACAAAATATCTTAAAAAAGAAACTTTGTTGCTATTGTTTTCAAGAAAAAGAACAACCAGAAGTTTTTCCCCCTAGAGGGGAACTGTGAAATTGTAACTAATTCCTGGGAACTTGCAGCTGTCACTGATTACAACTGTGGGAAAGGATTTGTGACCTTGTAGGACAATGTCTTCAGAAGCACTGTTGGGTGCTTTCTGTAAAATAAATGCCCTATTGGATCAGTTAAGTCAGAAGACGGATTTCATGACTAATGCGGCCAGAACCTTTGAACAGGTAGTGGGAAACTATATGGAGCCCACCCAGGAATCAAAACAGGAGCGTGCCATGACAGAACAACTGAAAGAAGAGGACCTTGCTGAATCTTGGGCGCCAGAGACGGAGGGAGCTGTGGCCCAGCAGGAATATAAACTCTTGGATTTGATAAATGAACTTGGAAAAAATCAGACTTGGAAAGATAAAATCTGGTTTGGTTTGGAAATGGGGGGTTGGATAGACCCCCCTTTACAGGGAGATTTGGACTTTTCAAGTCTGGAAAGGGGCCGTCAGATGTTTGGAGCTGTGGGGGCTCTCAATTTTGAAGGGAATCTGGAGCATGCTTGTAAATACTACATCGAGCCTATCCTGGACTATGGAAAAGGGATCGTCTTGCTGAAAAGGGTCAAAAACACTACCAAGCTGGAGTTCCCACGAATAAAAGGGAAATATCAAGAAAGAGTTACGGAAGGGACATGGAAGAGACTTGAGGGCCTCGGATATAAGATTGCCAGGTTAATGTGCTAGATTAATAGGATAAAAAGGACTGACAAAACCCGGGACCAGGAGGAAGGGACGTTGGATGAAGACTGGATTGCTTTTTTCTTTTATTTTTATCATTAGGACTGTTTTATAAAATTGATGAATGTTAGGAAAATGTTGAAACGAAACTATTTGGCTCTTATAAAAATGTCTAAAGAACTAGGTAAGAATGTTATGGTTTAGGAGAAGTTGGTAAAAATTAAGATTTAAGTTTTAAACTTTAAGGTTTTCTATAAGATAAGATGAAAATAGATCAAGGTAATGTGATGACAGAATACTATGAATTATGGAAAGGATTTGCTGTGATTATTATAAAACAGGATACAGGAAAAGGGAGGAGGAGGAGGTCAAGGAAAGAAGGTATTGAAAGTGGAGAATTGGAGAATGATGGTTTTATTTTATTTTTTTATTTTTTTTCTGTCTTGTTTTTTCTTTTGTGTACTTTTATTTTTAAAAAAATCTTTTTTCAATAAATATCATTTTAAAAAGAAGAAAGAAAGAAATTATACTATGAAGCAGCTTGCATCATGTGGATTCGGGATTGGATAAAATTAGAAAGAGATGAAATACTGGACTTGGAAAGACATGATGACAGATTTGGTTGGCATTCATATTTATGGTACAGGAAAGATAAAAAACATAAAGGTTTTCATAATCATATAATAAGAAAAATGCTTCTAAAAGTTTGGAATAAATATAAAGACCATCTAGAACCAAAAATCCCATGGTGGCATTAAAACCACTTAGTAAGGGAGGAAATTGGCTGACATATAAAGAATTATTGACAGAGGCGGAAAAAGGGTTAAGGCTGAAAGGATATGAGGAATTGAAGACCGTTTTACAAAGTTGATTACATCATAGACAATTCAATGAACAGTTTAAGGAAGACATTAAGGAAGGTTTTAGTTATACAGTTTCAAACTTTCAAAAAGAGATAGTCGAGAGTGACACAGAATTACTTAAAAAAACAGACAATCTCCTACTTTATGGGGAAATGTTAGATGAAATGGTAAAGTCAGCACAAATAAAGTGGGCTCAGGATATAGGTCATAATATACAACTTGAAGATTGGGAAAAGATGTGGAAGGTGAACCCAAAATTTACAGATTGTATCTTATTGAAAGAGAATTATATGAAATGATGTATAGGTGGTATATAATACCAGAGAAAGCAGTCAAAATATATAAAAAGAGATCAAAAAGTTATTGGAAATGTAAAGAAAAGGATGAGACATTCTATCATATGTGGTAGGAATGCAAAAAGATTAGAAATTATTGGGAAATGATATATAATGAATTGAAAAAAAATGTTTTAAAAGGCCTTTGTTAAGAAACCAGAAGCATTCCTTATGGGAATTTTAGACCAAGATGTAAAAAAAGAAAATTGGAAATTATTTATGTATGCAACAACAGCGGCAAGAATTATAATGGCACAAACTTGGAAGACAGAAGAAATACCAACGAAAGAACAATAGCAAAGGAAACTTATGGAATATGCAGAACTGGCAAAACTAACAGAAAAACTACATGAAAAGGACAACAAAGACTTTAAAAGAGAATGGGAACCATTTACAACATATATGAAGAGGCAACATAAAGAAATGGACTCATTGGAAGGGTTTGAGTAAACAAGCACAACTGCATAAAACAAAAAATAAGACTATATGTATTGGAAAATTTGGGGGAAACAATATGAAGGGTGAACAACATGGAAATAAAGCAAAACGGGAGTATGAGGGAAGTCCAGGGGAGGAGGGTCGAAATATGAAAAATTGTACCCACACTGGAGGAATGGCGGATGAAATCAATGGACTATATGGAATTGGCAGAAATGACTGGCAGAATCCGTGACCAGGGAGAAGAGTCGGTGGAAGAAGATTGGAAGAAATTTAAAGACTATTTACAGAAATATTGTAAAATTAATGAATGTTAGAATGATGTTGGATTGAAGTTAAGTGGTTTATAGCTGTATAGGTACAAAAGAATATAGAAAAATTGGTTTTTAATATGTAAAAATCTAACGTTACAATGTATCAAGACTAAGGATTAGGATTAAAAAGGAGGGAAAGGAATTGTTGGATTAACAAATTGAATTGGAATACAAAAGAGGGAGGTATGAGGAGCCCCGGGAAACAAGTAAACGTAAAAGAAGTGAGGAAAAGATGGAATTGTTTTTAACTGTTTTTTCTTTTTTTCTACTTTGTATTTTTCCTTTTTATTGTTAATTTTATTTATTAATGTGATTTTTTTTTCCTTTGAAACTTTAAAAAATATTATTTTTAAAAAAAGAAATATGAAAAATTGTTCAAGATATATTGTTAGAAGAAGAATACATAGAAAAATCAGTAAAAAATATTTTTTTTAAAAGGCATATGTGAATCCCTTCTTGGCTGGGGGCTGCCTCAATGGGCCCCTGATGCTGCTGTTTCCTCTTGCCATGTGGGTGGACTCAGCGAGGGAGGCCTGCTCCCCAGATGACTCTTAACTGCTCCCTTTCTGTGCCACGGATTGCTAGGAGACCGCCAGAACCAACTCAACGCCCGCAGGTTGCAAGAGGTAGACAGACATGGGACCATTACTATCTGTGAAGAGCATTTCCACCACCACCACAATCCCAGAGCAATCGGACAAGGAAATCCCAGGCCTACACCTTGCCTCCTTTGAATCCAAAACCTCCAACCCATTTCCCACAAACTTACAGGGTTATGGAGGACCAGCTCCTTCAGGGCCTCGACATCCGCATTGAAGGTAGCTGACATGAGGAAAGTCTGGTAGATCTTGGGCAAGTGGCTGGAGAGGAGACAAGAGCCCATCATTTGTAAGGTGGCACCAAAAGCCCCCTTTGCCCAGCACTCAGCACCCAAAGGCAGCGAACCAGATGCCTCCAGGATGAGAGTAAAACAGAGCATTGCAGGCACAACAGCCCCAACCTATCCCTCTGCTTCCATAACCTTCACTATAAATATGCTGAGCTTCTTTTCCTAGTGTGATGGCACCAACTTTTTCCAGCCTGAGAGCTAATTTCAACTCAGGATTTCTGCTTATACTACACAATTTCCCCAATATAATATGCCACACAAACAAAATGGATCCAACAAGCCTCAAAATGGATTCTAGGTAAAGGGACCCCTTACCATTAGGTCCAGTCGTGGCCGACTCTGGGGTTGCAGCGCTCATCTCGCTTTATTGGCCAAGGGAGCCGGTGTACAGCTTCCGGGTCATGTAGCCAGCATGACTAAGCCGCTTCTGGCAAACCAGAGCAGCACACGGAAACGCCGTTTACCTTCCCGCTGGAGTGGTACCTATTTATCTACTTGCACTCTGATGTGCTTTGGAACTGCTAGGTTGGCAGGAGCAGGGACCGAGCAACAGGAGCTCACCCTGTCTTGGGGGTTCGAACCACCGACCTTCTCAGCAAGTCCTAGGCTCTGTGGTTTAACCCACAGCGCCACCCGCATCCTAATGGATTCTAGCTGGACACAAAAAGCAATTTCTCTAGCTCCAGGACTATCCCCACTTCCCCCCCTTGGCATAGCATCCAACATTCAACAAATGATGGAGCAGGACACCTGAGGAGGTACTGCTCGTAAGAACTCAGAGACCTCCTAGGCCTCCCACCCACCCTCCCACGGAATCACAGGCTGGCCCCAGGCCTTTCAAAGCCAACAACCCAGGGCCACAATAAACTTACCACAACAGACTTTTCAAGTCTTCCTCAAAGCCAAAGGAGAAAAGGAGGTCAGCTTCATCCAACACGAGGATTTCCAAGGAATCCTGCAGGCTCAGGCTGCCAGCCCTCAAGTGAGCGAGGACCCGCGATGGCGTCCCCACCACCACATCCGGCTTCTCCATCAAGATGGGCCTTGAAGGAAGAGAATCCACAACACATAAAAGCCTCAGTAAGAGATGGGAAGGCCCAGTCTCTGTGAAACAACCACATATACTTGCCTGACCTTGAATGAAAGCTTTGGGTCTGCGATGCAACCATAACCACAGGTTGCTGATGGGAAGAGGCTGCCACCCTTAACTGGGCTACAAAGGATCTCCCCAAGAGGGCAGTGTCAACTGCAGAAGAGGACTCCCATTCATTGTTTCCACTCAGAAAGCAACCAGAGGCCACAGGCAAAATGTGTGACTACAAGAGACTCCAGAGGGCTCTGGAATGCTTTAGAGAGGCCAGCCTGTCTTCCGTCTCCAAAGCCCCCTTGAAAGAAATACCATCACAGCTTGCCAACGAGGAAGGACCCATTTGCAGGAATTATTATTATTTATTAAATTTAAATACCATCCCTCATCCAAAGATCCCAGGTCGGTTCACAACATTAATACACAAAATGAGAACACAAAGGACATAATAAAGCAAAAACAAACATCTCCCCCCTCTACAAAGACATTTAAAAGGCCATAGAATGTTTAATCAGCCCAAGGCCTGGTTGAAAAGTTTTCACCTGGCGCCTAAATATATGTAACATAGGTGTCAGGCGAGCCTCCCTGGGGAGAGCTTTTCAAACAGGCAGTCACTGCATAAAAGGACTGTTCTTGTGTTGCCACCCTCCAGACCTCTCATGGAGGAGACACACAAAGAAGGGCCTCAAATGATGATCGTGGGTCTGGGTCAGTTCATATGGGGAGAGCAGTCCTTGAGGTATTGCGGTTGTGAGTTGCTTACAGCTTTATAGGTCAAAATGAGCATTTCAAATTGGGCAGGGAAACAAATCGTCAGCCAGTGCGGTCGGGCCAGGAATCAGAAAGCATTTTGGAGTTGGGGTTGGGGACTTCAAAAACATGGCCAGCCCAAGAGACAGCCGTCCTACCCCTCCGCCCACTACTCACCTCTGAGCCGCCAAGTCCGCCTGGCCAGAGATGTCAACGAGGTGCAGGTCCCGGGAGCAGTAGGAGGTCAGCTGCCGGAGCATCTGCAGCACCTGCTGGCCCAGCTCCTTGGTGGGGACCAGGATGAGTCCCCGAACAGCCTGCTCCACCACTAGCGCTGACTAGGAGGCAAGAAGAGACCCGGTCAGAAGAGTCCCACACTCTCCAGGCCATCACAAAAGGGGCTCTTTAGGTGCGACCCCTTCACTGCGGGGGCCTGAGCTAGATGGCCCGGGGGGGGGGTCCCTTCCAACTCTACAGCTCCATGTTCCAGTTCTTCCAGAAGGAGCATCTCCACCCCCATCGTTCAACCCGCACACTGAGGTCCAGCGCCGAGGGCCTTCTGGCGGTTCCTTCACTGCGAGAAGTGAAGTTACAGGGAACCAGGAAGAGGGCCTTCTCGGTAGTGGTGCCTGCCCTGTGGAACACCCTCCCATCAGATGTCAAAGAAATAAACAACTATCTAACACAGGCATCCCCAAACTCGGCCCTCCAGATGTTTTGGGACTACAAAAGAGCCAGTGTGGTGTAGTGGTTAAGAGCGGTAGTCTTGTAATCTGGTGAACTGGGTTCGCGTCTCTGCTCCTCCACATGCAGCTGCTGGGTGACCTTGGGCCAGTCACACTTCTCTGAAGTCTCTCAGCCCCACTCACCTCACAGAGTGTTTGTTGTGGGGGAGGAAGGGAAAGGAGAATGTTAGCCGCTTTGAGACTCCTTCGGGTAGTGATAAAGCGGGATATCAAATCCAAACTCCTCTTCTTCTTCTTCCTCTACAATTCCCATCATCCCTGACCACTGGTACTGTTAGCTAGAGATGCTGGGAGTTGTAGTCCCAAAACATCTGGAGGGCCAAGTTTGGGAGTGCCTGATCTAACGTTTAGAAGACATCTGAAGGCAGACCTGTTAAGCTTTTCATGACTGATGTTTTAATGTATTTTTGATCTTTTGTTGGAAGCCGCCCAGAGTGGCTGGGGAGACCCAGCCAGATGGGCGGGGTATAAATGATGATGATGAGGAGGAGGGAGGGAGCCGGGTCCCCAGATCGCTCACCGCTTTCCCCCGGAGCAGGTGCTGCAGGAGGGGCAGGGCGTAGGCGCCCGTCTTGCCGGAGCCCGTCTTGGCCCGCGCCAGCAGGTCTTTGCCCTCCAGGGCCAGCGGAATGGCCTTCTCCTGGATCAGCGTCGGCTTCGCCCAGCCCAGCTCCGCCGTCGCCTGCCGGGCAGAGAGAACGAGAGACACGAGGTCAGGCCCGGAGGAGGCGTTGGAGGCCGCAGCTCCCCCCTTCCCCGCCTCGCCCGCCTTACCTGCAGGAGCCGCGCGTCCAGCCCGAGGTGCGCGAAGCTGCCCGCTTCTCCCTCCATGCTGCCCCTGTCCGCGCGGCTGCCGCTTCCGCTTTCCCCAGCCGGAAGCAGCCGCTCTAGCCGGCCAAACCGAGCAGCGAGACGCGGCCCCAACGGCGCCCCCTGCAGGCCTTGGCAGCTCGAGCGGCGCTTGCTTCGCTGGCTGCTATTGCAGCGTGGAATCTCGGATCCATACGCGACTGGCTGGCTCCCTGGCTTAGCGGGCACCGGCGGAACCCCTTGCCGGGAGCCCTTTCAGTACTGAAGACCTGCTCCGTAGCCTAGACGGGGGGGAATGTGGGCCAAGCGAGCAGCCTCCTCTGGGTCCCGGGAGTGAAGGGGGCACCGCCAGCCAGGCAGAGAGGTGCAGGGCAATCAAGCCGAAATTGGTCTTTATTAGCCCAAATCTTTTTGAATTCTGGTGCTGGAGGAGACTGTTGAGAGTCCCATGGACTGCAAGAAGATCAAACCTCTCCATTCTTCAGGAAATCAGCCCTGAGCGCTCACTGGAAGGACAGATCCTGAAGCTGAGGCTCCAATACTTTGGCCACCTCATGAAAAGAGAAGACTCCCTGGAAAAGACCCTGATGTTGGGAAAGATGGAGGGCACAAGGAGAAGGGGATGACAGAGGACGAGATGGTGGGACAGTGTTCTCGAAGCTACAAACATGAGTTTGACCAAACTGTGGGAGGCAGTGGAAGACAGGAGTGCCTGGCGTGCTCTGGTCCATGGGGTCACGAAGAGTTGGACACGACTAAATGACTAAACAACAACAACAACAAGAAGCCCAAATCTGGTTCGACTCGCCAACCCTATTTGGGTTTAGAGCAGCTAGCAAGGAACTGATCCCATCACCCCAGAAATAGGTTGGCTGAAGTCTGTTGCGTCGGCTTGGCCACTGGGAGTGGGAAACTGGGCCTTTCTCACCTGCATTGAAGCAATCTATCATCATGCTCTATGATCCTTCGCATGCCAATGAGAGTCAGTGTGGTGTAGAGGTTTAGAGCGGTAGACTCCTTATCTGGTGAATCGGTTTCATGTCTCTGCTCCTCCACATGCAGCTGCTGGGTGACCTTGGGCAAGTCACACTTCTTTGAAGTCTCTCAAAGAAGTTTGTTGTGGGGGAGGAAGGGAAAGGAGCATGTTAGCCGCTTTGAGACTCCTTCGGGTAGTGATAAAGCAGGATATCAAATCCAAATTCTTCTTCTTCATGCCAGGCACCACCTAAGGGCCCAGAGGAACCTGAAAGCATCAGAGCCTTCTCTAGAGAGCCTGGCCCACCTTACTCCTTCCCCACAAAAAAAACTTTGAAGCTCCTGGTTGTGGGGGGCTCCTTTGCCAAGAAGCAGCTTGCAGGAGGAGCCTAGTCCCAGAGTCAATTATATTTTCCTCTTGAGCTCAGCCCCCCTTGTCCCCGTACCCCCACCCAAACCCCAAATCAATAACACAAGGAAGAGAAAGCCTTTCGCAGGAAATTTTATTTCACTCCAGAACTGTAACAAGGAACATTATTAAGAATTTACTGTAGTGGGCAAGAAATAAAACGCAGGGATGAGGAGGGGAGATAACTGCATTTCAAATTCTCCACCATTCCATGCTCCAGCTCTGCTGTCACCCACAAATCATCAGGCATGCTTTTGCATAGGGAGAGGCCTCTCTTTCCAAACTCAAGAAAGGCTGTTAAGGAGCTCCATGGTACATAAATGGCAACTTACTTAATGCTGTCTCCTAGCAAGCTTCCTGCCATCCACACTAGAGGCATTAGCAGGGCCGTATAAAAAAACCCCTACTCATCCAAGTGGAAACTCCTCTCTGTGCAATTAAAAGATACTACCTGTGGGTATCCTTAAACTAGGCTCATTTGCAGAAGTCTAGAGATCCCGTCTGTGCTAGCTAGCACTTGAAAAACACCTGGAGCCTAAAGTTTTGCTAACCTCTTGTTCACAATGGTTATCTAGCCTCTCTGCTGGAAACTGGGGAGGGTTACAAGAAGAGATGCTGCCAGAACCCTGTAGGCAACCACTGCTGTTGTCCTAAGCAGCCCCTGCCCCAAGTTCCAGTAGGTATCAGGCCACCCCCACCCCCAGCAAGAAAAAACCCATTTTGAGTATAAATGTTATTCAACCCCTCCCATTTCTTCTTCCGGGCCGTTCTCCACTACAAGGGCTGCCCCCACAAACCTCATGTGTTAAGAGCAAAGAACGACAGGGAACCACCAGAACAGAACAACCCAGAAGTCACTCCCACCAACCGGGATCCAGAAACAGAAAAGCACTTTTTTAAAAAAGTGCCTACTCAGTTTCTTAGAAAGCAATTTTCTCTTCCTTTGGATCTGCACAAGGGCACTGCCCACAGAGGCTTTTCCAGCTGCTGCAACACAGCAAAGCAAAGAACGGGGTGGCACGTGAGAGACTTCTGTGGGCAGGGCACCCCCTTCATCAGGGAAGAGGAAGTATGCAAATGCTGCTCCAAAGATGTTTCACTTGCTGTGCTTCCATCTGTCCTTTCAGTTGTGCCAAATCCAGGAGGGTCAAGAAGTGCTCGGTGGAAGCGGTGCCTGTGCTGTCAGAAGGGCTACACCAATTTTTTAGCCTCAAAGAAGCTCTTGAGGTGCCTCATCTGCCAAATGCCAGTGAGGATGAGGATGATGGTCTGGGCAATGGACCACCACAGCACCCGCTGGTTGGTGCTCTCGCTGGTCATGCGGAATCTCTCCTCTCGGTACTGGAAAGTGAACATGGTGGCGAGAGTCAGAGAAGGTACTTCCCTCTCCCCTTCCCCACACCAGACCTATACAACCCAACTTCTCCATCTACGCAGGTGGGTCCTTCTTGCAGATGTAGGACCTTTCCAATACTACCCCCCTCTGAACAACTCCTGCCAATCTTGTTCTATTGCAGGTACACCACCTGTAAACCCGCTGCTATTTACCTGCAACAAACGCCACCCTAACTCCAGTCGGGCTGCACCAACGGAGCTTGAATGCTCCCCTCCCAAAGAAGTTCCTAGGATTTGGCAAGTGCTTCTCTGAACTTTCAGATGAGCAAAGCTTCTCAAGATGATGCTCCTTAAGTCCTTAGTGATTAGGTAAAGGTAAAGGGACCCCTGACCATTAGGTCCAGTCGTGACGGTGTCTGGGGTTGCGACACTCATCTTGCTTTATTGGCCGAGGGAGCCAGCGTACAGCTTCCAGGTCATGTGGCCAGCATGACTAAGCCGCTTCTGGCGAACCAGAGCAGTGCACAGAAACGCCATTTACCTTCCCGCCAGAGTGGTACCTATTTATCTACTTGCACTTTGACGTGCTTTCAAACTGCTAGGTTGGCAGGAGCTGGGACTGAGCAATGGGCACTCACCCCGTCGAAGGGATTCGAACTGCCGACCTTCTGATTGGTAAGTCCTAGGCTCTGTGGTTTAACCCACAACGCCACCCGTGTGTAATTAGGTAGGAACCATTTAAACATTGAGGCCTGACAAGTTCCTCACAAACCATGGACAGGGTAGATCCCTCCCCCCCAATAATGCCATTCAAGATCCCGCTCCTCCTCCTGAATGGCATTATGGTAAAAAAGAAAGAAAGAAATCCATTACTTACTCTTTGGTAGTTCTGCTCCTTCTGGATCTGCTCCACCTGGTCCAAGAGCTGCCTGGCTCTTAGCTGCAGTTCCGTCAGCTTGTCCTTGGCTGCGATCTCTGGGTAATTGTTGGCATGCTCCCCGACTTGGATATCCAAGTGCACCCGCTGAACACAACACAGCAACACACAAACCAATTCAAGAGCCACCACTGCAGTTCAACCCACTCCCCACCCCTGCCTCATCAGGGCTTTTTCCTCCTCTCTTCCAATCAGTTGCTCAGCAAATGTAGAAAGAGCTCTGGCCTTCTACACCAGCTTCTCTCTTGCTTTACACAAGCAATAACCAGGGTGAGGTGGGGTCCAGTTCATGAGGGCAGAGTACCTGAAGAGCAGCCCCCACCATCTCGGCTGGAGCAAGATGGACAGGGGGAAAGGGCACATAGTAACCTGCTTACCAGTTTCCCGCCTGCAAAAAGGGCCATGCGGGTGGAGTTGGAGTGGAGGCAGATCTGGTGCTCTCCTGGGGTGTGCGAAGTGAAGGTGAAGCGGCCTTCAGAGCCGTATTGCCGGGAGAGGACCATCTGAAACCATCAAGCAGCAGCAAAGTCAGGCAGGTAGGGGTGTGGGGGTATCTCACCTGCTGCTTCCATTTCTGCTCACAGAGCCTGGGGCAATCAGAAGGTCGCCGGTTCGAATCCCCGCAACAGGGTGAGCTACCGTTGCTCAGTCCCTGCTCCTGCCAACCTAGCAGTTCGAAAGCACGTCAAAGTGCAAGTAGATAAATAGGTACCGCTCCGGCGGGAAAGTGAACAGTGTTTCCGTGTGTTGCTCTGGTTCGCCAGAAGCAGCTTAGTCATGCTGGCCACATGACCCGGAAGCTGTACGCCGGCTCCCTCGGCCAGTAAAGCGAGATGAGCTCCACAACCCCAGAGTCAGCCACGACTGGGCCTAACGGTCAGGGGTCCCTTTACCTTTAATGATATCTGATTGGAGCTTTCGCCAGGGCTGAAGACCCCAGACCATCCTCACCCCCACCAAGGAGTCGCCTGGCCCTTTCAGGGGCTTTTCATCCTCTCCCTCACCCCGATGCAGAGGTGAGGAAGCAACAGGCATGTTGCCTCCCTGCACACATACACCCCGCCCCCCAAACTATTGAAAGGCCCCAGGGAGGAGAGGGTGGTGGGCAGGGTCTCCTTGCTCAGCGCCCCCTTGGCTGCTGCTGTCAGGCCAAGCAGAAGCAGCTCCTCCTCCTGCTCCTCAGCTGCTGCTCACCTTCCCATAGGGATCCTTGACCTCCACGAACATGCCCAGGCCCGGCGTGGAGGGCAGAAAGGCCTCGGACTGTTTGTCCCACAGCTGCGTCCGGTAGTTCCCTGCGGAGCGGAGGAACAGGCGCGCCACCGTCAACAGGAGACAGGTGAGCCGGTGCGCGCGCACCCCCCGCGCTCTCCCACACCCCCGCCCCTCTCTCCCCTCCTCGCGCATGCGTACCGATAACCATGGTCTCGTCAGGGATCTCCTCGATGAAGCAGCGCTTCTCCGTCTCCCCGATGTGGAAGTAGAGCGCCTGCGCCCCGCGGCCCGCCGCCAGCAGCACCAGCAGCGCCGCCGCGAGCCGCCACCCCGGCGGCCGGGCCGAGTAGGCCGCGGGATCCCCCGAGCGACACCCGCCTGCCATGGACGACGCTGGTCGACGCTGTCACCTGCCGCGCATGCGCCGAGGCTGCCTCCCCCACCCGCCGGAGGTGGAAACAGCGCCGAGTGCTGCGCATGCGCCGAAGGGGAAACAGCGCCGGTCAGGTGACTCGGCCCGACGGAGGAGGCTGCGCGTGCGCAGAAAGCCTGGGGAGGCTTGCCCTTCCCGGAAGCCCGAACGGAAGAGGCCGCAAGGAGGAAGGGCACCCGCGTGGTCATCGAGACCAACCCCAAGGCTGGGAGGGAGCCTCCTCGGGGCCCTTTTAACCCCTGTATGGAGGAGGAGGAGGACTGAGGCCTCTAGATGGGAGAACTAAACGGGCATCTGGTCATAGCTGTCAACTTTTCCCTTTTCTTGCGAGGAATCCTATTCGGAATAAGGGAATTTCCCTTAAAAAATGGGGAAAGTTGACAGCTATTCATCCAGTCCGGCATTTCCTCCTGCTGCCCTTCCGCCTGGGCAGGACTGAGCGAGAGGCGCAGGCGCCCAGTGCGAGGCAGATGCCACCAGCTGCTTTGGAGTTTACTGATCATTTACTAGCAGAAAAATAACATTGAATCCCAGAATATTTAAATGTTGGGGGAGTGGGGGTGGGGAACACACATTCCCCACCAGGCACGCATATATTCCGGCATTTGAAGACCGCTGGCGTGCCTTCCGTTTAATCAGGGCTTCTCCGGCAGTTTTTCCTGCCTTGCAGGGGGTTGGGACAGGTGGTTCCAGCTCTACAATTCTTTGATTCTCCAGGTTAAGCCGAAGCTGGCTCCTTCCAACCATTCCGCCTGGTTTTCTAGCCACCCCCCTCACTCTCCTGGCTGCCCTCCTCTGTACATGCTGCAGTGGACCCAGTAGGCTCTTGAAACGTGGCACTCAGAAGGTGTACTCCCGATGCGGCCAGAGCAATGTGGAATTGAGTAGGACTGGTTGCTTCCTGTTATCTAAAAGCCTCCGTTTCTGTTAACACGATTAGCATAACCATTACTGGATCGTGTTCAGCTGGTGACACACACCAAAAGTGACCACAGACATGCATAATTTTTTTATGGGGGCTGGACATGTGTTGCACAACATCTTGCAGCCATGCGTTCCTGAATACGGACAAGTCTTATTGGAAATGATCTCATTTCCTCATACCTCAGCTTGTGTCCATAGGAGACCATTTCCTACACGATTCTGGTGTATGAGTAAGCATCATGTACCCTTTCAACGTAAGCCAATCTGAAGTTCCTTTTTTCTCAGAATAGCAGCTTCCTCTTCACTTGAGACAAGCTGTCCTGGGTAAACAGACCTTGCTTCAGTCATTTATATATCAAACTACAGAAAGCTTAAAAAATAGCTATATTTTGGAAGTGGTCTAGTACTGCCAGAGAGTCCAAGCCTGGCCAAGGGGACTCAGTGATGCACACTGTGTCCTTAGTCACCCAGTCAATGCACACTGCCCACCACACACAGCCAGTCACAGATGGATGTACACAAAAAGTGCCAACAGAGCATGAGGCTGTAAACAAGCCCACATGAAGCTGCTGATTCCTCCCAAGCACCCCAAGTTCAGAATCAGAATTGTGCAATGCAGGAATCTCAACTAAAGCATCCATAACAAATGATCAACCTCTGCTACAAACCTCGCAGGAAGGAAAGTCCACCACCGTTCCACTGATAGCTCTTACTGTCAGAAAGTTCTTCCTAATGCTTAGTTGGAATTTCCTTTCTTGTAACTTGAATCCATTGGTTCGAGTCCCACCCTCCAGAACAGGTTTGCTCCATCTTTCGTGTGACAGCCCTTTAGGCATTTGTCTATAATACCTTATTAGTCTCTATAATATCTTATTATGTCCCAAACACACTCAGCTCTCACCAGCACCCCTACAACCATACACAGAGTAAGGAACAACCATCACACTGGGAGATGCTGAAGGAAGATTTCTTGCAAGCATGGAAGGAGATACAGATAAAAATAGCAGAGCAATTCAGAGCAGGGACGGAATACCCCCTTTCTGACACTCCACAAAACAGCCCCATAAGCTCTACCATGAACAGCAGGCAACTCCTCCACTGCTGGATTTAGGGTGATCTGGGCAATTCCCCCCATAAAGGTTGCAGAGCTGAAGGGGTGCAAAATTGAGAAGATCCATAATCGAGCAGAGCAGCAGTTCCTAACACTGCAAAGGGCCACTCAAGGTTTGGGGAATGACTCGAGAGAGCTTTGTCTCAAGATGCAATTATCTCTTGCATATTTCGTGATTACACTTTTCTGTCGACACCATCCCAAGCCTGGCCACGCCTCCTAAAAGTGCTCCATAAATAGCTGGGGTGAGGCCCACAAAGCCATCCAGGCACCAGGATTGAAACCATGTGTGACCAGCAGGAGCAGGAACCCTCCAACTTTGCTGGTACAGTATGGCGTGCTTTAGTGTACTCGAGTGTTGCCTCTTTTCTAACTTTGGTCATTTGCAAGACATCAAGTCAAGGGAGCAAGACCAACTGCTTCTCATTCTCGCCTTGTGGTGAATTGGTTCATTCTGTAAGCGGAAATGCCGGAACAGGGTGGTTGGGTAGCGGAGTGCAGAAACTGGGACCGTCGGTGAGCCTATTTTAAACAAAGAGAGACCAGCTGTTGCTTTGAGATTTGAGATAATGCTCTGCTCAGATGGGGTTGCTGGCTGCAGCTCTTATCGAGGAATTGAGTCTTTGCTTTCTTTTGAAGAGTGAAGCATTTGGAGTATCTGTATTCCCTGCTATGGGCATGATTTAAAAATGCGTCAGGGTTTCTTGTCACTCTGTTTATGTGTTACTCTTTCCTCCCCTTTGCACGTAGCAAGAGGAAGGAGCTTCTGCTGTCATTTTAGGGAACTTTAGTTTCAGCGTCCAAAGTTGCGACATGAATTGCAACATGCAAAAGAGCTGCTGGAAATCCTGGGACCCAACCACAGAATTAATTACAGTGTCTAGCAATCATGTACATTCCCACCCAGTGGTTGTCAAAGGATCTATAAAAAGGGATCAGCCTCACTGGTCAAGCAGAGCTACCAGGTAATGCCTGATTTAGAATGGAGTCTCACAAATACCCTGGAAGTCACATCCTTCTCTTCCTCCTTTCTGTTCTCTGTCCAGATGGGGAGAAGAAGGTCTTTGCCCAGGCAGCCGTCTTCAGGTCCAGGTAAGTGCCCTGGGCCCAGTTGTGTACAGGTGGTTTGAATGGCAGAGTGGGTGCTGCTTCGTAAGTGGCAAATGTAACTTGGGAGGGAGAGGGTGCTAACTGGATGCTTGTGAGAATACAGAAACTTCTGTGCCCACCGAAAAACTTCTCTGTCCTGGGACTTCCTAGTCAAAGCTGTTCCAGCCTCTGCAAACTGGATAGAAGCAGCAAACCCTGCACATTTGACGATGCCCGATTTCTGCTTTTTTGCCTGCAATCAGGTGTCGCTCTTAAGACCAAACAAGCTTCTCATCAAAGTAGATGAGTATTGGGTCTTGCAGCTAGTGAAGAGTGTGAAAGGGAATCTCTCGTCTCATGGGATGGATTGACAACACACCTTCCCTCCCCATTCACACTGCCCAATGCAAGAACACAGCTCTATTTTATCACATTATGAATGCAGGGTGTTTTTTTTCAGTCCAGTTTTGCATCTGATTTTCTTCTGGCGAGTTTGAGGTTGCCTGGCAATGCTGCCAGTACAAGGGGTTGGGGAGGCAAGTCTGATGAGTCAAAGGGGAGAGGAGTTGCTGGGGGTGATGAACCGCTGCCGTTCTGCCTAGAAAGGGACAAGCATCGTCCTGGCCAGGATCTTTGGCATTGCCAGTCTTGGCAGGTTTTGTAAATGGCACGCTGTGCCTGTAGAGCCAGGTATGGGCAATGAGGTGTCCATGCTGATTGGTCAATTCTGAGGCAGCTCAGTCCTCTGTGCATGCATGCACACCTAAAGATCTGGATAATGCTGAGGATTATACTAACAGTTTTGTGGCAGGTGAGAGAAAAGGGAAAGATTTTTCTTGTAAAGGCAGCCTTGTTTGTTTTCAGAATCTGGGATGTCAACCAGAAGTCCCTCTACCTCCAGAACAATGAGCTGGTAGCTGGATACCTGCAAGGGCCCGATTCTGCCCTGGAAGGTGAGTCTGCAGAGTTTTGCTTTCCTGAAGCTTACAGGCTGGTGGGAGAAGAACTATTCCTCATGGGTTGGATGTGACCCATATTGTGGACACAACAAATGCCTCCCTCCCACCGGGCAGACAGGACCTGGGGTTGGACCACTTGGGGAGCCTGGAACATAGCTGTGATTCCTGCATTGCAAGGGCTTGTACCAGTGGGGTCCCTTTAAATTCTATGATTTCTCAAAGGGAGGCATGCAACTTTCTCCTTCCATCAGCACAGCCTGTTCTTTTCCTTCTGCGTTGGTGCTGCCCTCGATTGCCTGCCTGGCACAGAACGTGTCTGTGTGTGTGCCCATGTGTGCACCACTGTGTGCTCCTGCCTCCACCATTGCTTCCCTCTCCTGCAGACTTTCCCCTGCTCATTCTCACACTCTTGTTCTGCCCCTTCACCGCTTCTGCCACCCCAACTTCTACCTCGATCATCAGCTCTGGATTTCTCTTATGGGCCCCCGTGTCTTGGCATCAGTCACTGGGAAAGGAAACTGGACGCCCTTCTTTTCCCTGGCTGTGGCCCTCTAAGCTAAAGGCAGGTTGTGTATGCAAGGCCACCACCATCCTGGGCTTGAAGGTTGTCCCCCCACCTCCCTCCAGGTCAGCAAAAGAGGCAAGGGTAGACCACACCCTCGTCCTCTGACTGCTAAAAGGTAAAGGGACCCCTGACCATTAGGTCCAGTCGTGACCGACTCTGGGGTTGCAGCGCTCATCTCGCTTTATTGGCCGAGGGAGCCGGCATACAGCTTCCAGGTCATGTGGCCAGCATGACTAAGCCGCTTCTGGTGAACCAGAGCAGCGCATGGAAACGCCATTTACCTTCCCACCAGAGTGGTACCTATTTATCTACTTGCACTTTGATGTGCTTTTGAACTGCTAAGTTGGCAGGAGCAGGGACCGAGCAACGGGAGCTCACCCCGTCGCGGGGATTCGAACCACCAACCTTCCGATCGGCAAGCCCTAGGCTCTGTGGTTTAACCCACAGCGCCACCCGCGTCCCTCCTCTGACTGCTACTGAGCCCCTAACCCTGACATCACCCATTATTATGACTCCTGGGAATGCCCTCACACCTCCAGCGTCTCTACTGGGATTCCCCGCAGGAGGCCAACAGACTCTCTCACCTACTCTTTCCCATCCCTAGAGAAGATCTACTGGATTCACAACCGGGCCTTTGACCACGAGAAGTTCTCCATCATCTTGAGCATTCAGGACGGGAAGAGGTGCCTGGCCTGCTCCTCTGGCGCCTGGCCTGCGCTGCAGCTTGAGGTGAGGAGAGGCAGTTTGGCATCCCCGTAGGATGTGCTTGCAGAGGGGGCGGGAAGCCTCACCATAAATCCTCCTCCTGCTACATGCCAGCTTAAGAGTAGAGAGCCAGGCATGGGTGGCGGGAGCAGGAAGGACTCTACTCTTCAGCGGCAGACTGGCCTTGGAAAGAGTCTGGGTAGCTGCTACCTGACAAGTCCATGCCTTTACATCAGGCACCCCCAAACTCGTCCCTCCAGATGTTTTGGGACTACAACTCCCATCATCCCTTTCTAACAGGACCAGTGGTCAGGGATGATGGGAACTGTAGTCCCAAAACATCTGGAGGGACGAGTTTGGGGGTGCCTGCTTTACATGGAGAGGGCCATTGCAGCAGCTAGACTGGTGACTGGCAGCGGCCGCCGGGACCACATAACACCAGTCCTGAGAGACCTGCATTGGCTCCCAGTACGTTTCTGAGCACAATTCAAAGTGTTGGTGCTGAAATTTAAAGCCCTAAATGGCCTCGGTCCAGTATACCTGAAGGAGCGTCTCCACCCCCATCGTTCTGCCCGGACACTGAGGTCCAGCGCCGAGGGCCTTCTGGCGGTTCCCTCATTGCGAGAAGTGAGTTTACAGGGAACCAGGCAGAGGGCCTTTTCGGTAGTGGCGCCCGCCCTGTGGAACGCCCTCCCTTTAGATGTGAAGGAAATAAGTAGCTATCTTATTTTTAAAAGACATCTGAAGGCAGCCCTGTTTAGGGAAGTTTTTAATATTTAATGCTGTATTGTTTTTAACACTCGACTGGGAGCCGACCAGAGTGGCTGGGGAAACTCAGCCAGATGGGCGGGGTATAAATAATAAATTATTATTATTATTATTAGCCATGATAGGTCTGCTCTGCCTCCACAGTTGGAGGCAAAAATGCTTCTGAATTACTATTTGCTGGAAACCACAGGATGGGAGAGGGCTCTTGCGGTCGAATCCTGTTTGCGGGCTTTCAATTGGGGCACCTGGTTGGCCTCTGCGAGAACACGAGGGACACAGGCCTGATCCAGCAGGTTCTTATGTTCTGTCTTCCTTAGGAGCTCTCTCTTGCCCCTCCCTAGTCAGGGGGACGCTAGCCCAAAGCAGACAGGGGTCAGCCGCCTCCTCCCTTTGCCTGCCTCCCTCCCTCACCAGATCACTATTCTCTCCTCCTCCTCAGACCGTCAACATCACAGATCTACCCAAAGGCGGCAGGAAGGAGTCCAGCCGCTTCACCTTCTTCTCCTCTAACAAAGACGGGGCTTGGCGGTTTGAGTCGGCGGCCCATCCCGGCTGGTTCCTGTGCACCTCTTCCAGAGCCAACGAACCTCTCGGCCTCACGCAGCTCCCGGGACCCTCTCATGTGGTGGACTTTTATTTCCAACCCTGCTGAGCCTTGAGGGGCACCCCCCGCCCCCAGACCTGCCCAAGTGCCTAGCACAGCCGCACCGAGGGGTCCCGAGGCACCTGGGAGGATTCCCAAACCGCCGCTCTCTTTTTTTCCTCCTCTCTCAGCCATCCTAGCCCTCCCACCCTCATCAAAAGTGGACGCTTTCGGATGGAGCAGCTCTAAAGGTGGCCGAGTGTGGAGAGGCCTCCGGACATCCCTCTCAGCCATCATGGGGTCCACTGCAGGCAGGTCATTAAGGGGAAACAAGTAGCCTCACAAGATCCAGCACTTCGTATCCAGGTAGATGCCCCTGGGACGAAGCCTCAGGCTGTGTGTGAATAGCCCCGCTTCCCCCAGCTGATTGCCTCCAGCACTAATCCTGCCACCCCTGAACATGCAGCTTCCCTTCTGAAGCCACACTGTGCCGTACAGCCATGGTTTCTGTGACATGGCTGAGATCTCCAGTGAGGTCACTGCGGGTCTTCAAATTTTCTGCCTTCAAATTCCCCTCCACTGGACTCATAAGGAGAAAAGATCTGGGGCATCAGGACTTGAACATAATATTTGTTTCAAAAGAAATTAGCAGAACGTGAAGAACTCGGTTAAAATGAAGGGTGGGCCTTCTGCTGGGCTTGTGACCCCACCCCCACCCCCAGTCGTGCCACTGAGCAGCGTTTGGGCAGGCAGATCACCTGTGGACACAGCCCTGAGCAGATTCTGCACGTCTTTTAAGATGCCGAAAGATGCTGCCTCTCTGGAAATTTTGCTCTCCTTTTTATTATGTTTAACGTGTTTATGTATAATCTTGCATTCGTATGTTTTGAACTGCCCTGAGATCTACAATATGAAGGGTGCTGTACAAATGTTATTAATAAATAAATAATATAAATGAAGGAATCTGGTATTATTTATCTACAAGTTGCTTGGGGGTGGGGGACGACATTGCAGGACAACCATAAGAGAGAACCACTGCAAGGAAGTTGAAGACCCCACCTCACAACAATAGCAGGAGTCTGAAATATATTTCCCGGGGCACCTGAAAACGGGTAGCTATGACATTTTAACTGTTGATGATGCATGCACATCTTTGATTTCCTTCTTTTGTGACCTTTTAAAACAACATTACATTGATTATCGTGAATTATGGATACAATCCATCTGTGATGCTTGTAGATGGTTCTTTAATGTTCTTGTGTGTGTTTGTGTGTTGCGTCGCTCGGAGAAATGGAAGCATGGCTAACCATTCATTCATAAATTTACTTGTATGCCACTTTACTACACACATCATGCTCAAAGCGGCTTACAACCCCAAAAATGCATTTCGAAATCAAGCAATGCAGAAAACAATGTCATTATAATGGAATAAAACAACACAAGAAGAAATAGAACAACATTCCAACACTGTTACACCATTACATCAACACCCAACAGCAAAAACAACAAGGGAGCTGCAGTTTCACCTCGGTCCTACCAGCTCCTTGGCTTCCCAGGGCCCTCCTCATCCAGAAAACACAGCAACCCTATTTTCCATTCTCCTGGATCTCGGCAACCTTTCTGCTGCAACCTGTTCCTGCCCTCCCAGCCTTTGGCTCCGGAGCCCTGGCCAAGAGCGAAGCCTCCTCTTGCGCCTGGGGAATCCACTGCCGTCAAACCTGTCCTGCCGCCTGACACGCTCCTCCTTCCCTCCGCGACAGCTTTCTGCATTCCTTCTCGCTCCATCTTCAGCAGTCCTGGGGGGTGTGTGCTTCCTCACAGCACACCTGACCCTGTTGGGACTCCAAACTCTCCTGGATGTTGGCACTGGGACTCTGCCCATGTCTCGCCATGAAATAATGGGTAAGGAGGAGAATTGGGGTGGTGGGGGTGGTCCTTGCTGGGGTCCCTGGTAAAGAAAGGGGGAGGGGGCTTCCTGATTCAAAGGAAGGGGGAGTGAGGGTCCCCCCGTTGCCTAAAGCCGGCTCCCTGAGCAAAACCCTCCTTAAGGGCAAGGGAGTGAGTCCTCTTACTGTTTACCTGAGTGGAAGTTTCAAATGAGCTTGGCCCGCCTTCCTTGCCCTGATGGGGCAGCAATACTTGAGACGGAACCCCTCCCTTTGAAAACATGCCCTTGCCCCCCCACTGTTAGCTGTAATACAGCGGTACTTCGGGTTACATACGCTTCGGGTTACATACGCTTCGGGTTACATACACTTCGGGTTACAGACTCAGAAATATTGAAGAACTTTGCTTCAGGATGAGAACAGAAATCGTGCTCCGGCGGCAGCAGGAGGCCCCATTAGCTAAAGTGGTGCTTCAGGTTAAGAACAGTTTCAGGTTAAGAACGGACCTCCGGAACGAATTAAGTACTTAACCCGAGGTACCACTGTACTTCTCTTTCAACAGCTTCCCACACTTTTATTCATTTCCTGTGAGAAGAAGCAGAGGCCTTGTATGACGGACTAAGCAGAAGGGCCACTGTCGGCTGCTGCCTAGAAGTCAAAGCCCCCTGTCTAGGGGTTGGGGTCTCCCCTTGCAGACCCTCCCTATTTTCCAGGGACAGTCCCAGATTTCAGGGGGACAGCCACCAAGTTCTAGGCTTACACAGCCCAGGAAAGGAAGAGAAAAATAATAATTATCAAAAACAGGAGTAAAAGCAGCAACAGCACACAAACCCAAAACATCCCTGGAAAGACCCCCACAGCCCACCAACTGGGAGATGTGCTGGCAATGACACCCACATGCCAGAGGGTGTCCTGCCACTTCCCAAAGCTGGTGGCTTTGGAGTACAGTGGTACCTTGGGTTAAGAACTTAATTTGTTCTGGAGGTCTGTTCTTAACCTGAAACTGTTCTTAACCTGAAGCACCACTTTAGCAGGGCCTCCCGCTGCTGCCGCATCACCGGAACGCAATTTCTTTTCTCATCCTGAAGCAAAGTTCTTAACCCGAGGTACTATTTCTGCATTAGCGGAGTCTGCAACCTGAAGCATATGTAACCTGAAGCGTATGTAACCCAAAGTACCACTGTATATCCTCGCACTCTTAAGACAGGAACATAGGACACTGACTCGAATCAAGTCGGACCACTGGCCCATCGAGTTCAGTACTGGCAGCACCTCTCCAGGGTCTCTTCCAGCCCCACCTGGTACTCTGCCACGGAGCCCTTGGAAGATTCACTGATCTGCTTAAAACATGTATCTATCAACATATAGAATAAGAGAACAAGAAGAACGTACGTTTAAAGAAGATTGGAAAATGTTTATTGAATATGTGGGGGGGGGGAATCGTGTACACTTGAAAACGTTGGCAGCAATGAGATAAATTCAACAGTGTAAAGACGTTTTGATGGATGTAATAATGGAGTACTGAATGGTTTAGTTTATATAAAATATGCAGGGATTTATGTTATGCAAAATGAACCATGGAAAGAGAAGGAGGGAAGTAATTGATATTTTAAGGTTGTTTAAATGAATATTCTCTAAATTGAAAAACAGGAAATTTAACAAAAATTATATATATAATATTATAATATAAAATATATCTATCACTTTTCCTCGTAAAAATAATCCCAGAGTAGTGCACATAAAGAATTAAAACAGCAGTGTAGTAAAATACAGAAATTATCCACGGTAAAAGTAAAGGTAAAGGGACCCCTGACCGTTAGGTCCAGTCGCGGACGACTCTGGGATTGCAGTGCTCATCTCGCTTTACTGGCCAAGGGAGCCGGCGTACAGCTTCCGGGTCATGTGGCCAGCATGACTAAGCCGCTTCTGGCAAACCAGAGCAGCGCACGGAAACGCCGTTTACCTTTCCGCCGGAGCGGTACCTATTTATCTACTTGCACTTTGATGTGCTTTCTAACTGCTAGGTGGGCAGGAGCAGGGACCGAGCAACGGGAGCTCACCCCGTCGCGGGGATTCAAACCGCCGACCTTCTGATCGGCAAGTCCTAGGCTCTGTGGTTTAACCCACAGTGCCACCCGCGTCCCATCCACGGTAGAGATTTTTAATTTTATTAATCTCTTATTTATCTACGGTAGAGATTAATAAAATTAAAAAGCATTACCGCAAAAAGCTTAGCATTAGAAGCCAGCAAGATAAAATCACATTCCTGATTCTTATTGCCCTGGTGTCCCCTGCTTTTCCTCCTCCCAGGCTCAGACCTCATTCTTGCCTCATTTGGGGGCGGGGGGGAGCTTGAGCGTGCTTAAGAGGGAGGGGCTCTGGCCTCCATCCCTCTTCCTCCACTGCTGGCTCCGCTGACAGTGAGAAAGACCCTTTGTTCATTATTAATCTTTGCCCACAGCACTGGCAAGCAGGGAGAGCTTGTGGGGGCTCAGCGCAGCCGTGCCACTCACCACCTGGCAAAGGCCCCCTGGCAGCAGCAGCCGCTCAGCTTCTCTGCCCAATGCCTCTTTCTCGAAGGTGGGAAGAGAGGTCACCATGGACTGTGCGGCTTCTGTTGCGCCTTCCCAGCTGCGGCTTCCTCTGGAGGCCGCAGCAGCTGCACGCTTGTGGCGAGAGCGATGCCAGGATCCTGCCGTGGATGAGAAATCACCAACATCCTTCCCTGTCCTGTTCTGTTCTTTCGTAGGCATGCAGATTCTCTGCGAGAGGGAAGAAACTACGAAGCTCATTCAAAAGAGGCGAAACAGGATCAAATGACCGAGTGTGACCAAGGGGACAGGAGAGTCTTGTGAAAAGACAAACCATCCGGAGCAGAAATATTCAAGGAGGGCTATACACACCAACTCCTGCCGTGAATTTTGCCACAGACCTATCTGACCCATCTGGACCATCTAAGACCTGGGCGGAGGAACTTGGCTGGCAAAACGGGAGGTGAGTTGGCAGGGCACCAGCTCAGTTTCGGGGGGTGGGGCGAGTCTTGCTGTGGCTGCAGACCATTTTTTAAGAGCATCAGATTACTACACTCACTGTCTCCCCTGCCAATCTTGCCTGGCTGTGACTGTCAAACTTGGATACTTCCCAAAATGAAAAACAGGCGAGTTTAAGCAAAAGGTGCAACCACTCTGTCAGGCCTGCGCTGGCATCGATGGATGAATCTCTCCTGCGATACACAGCACCTACAAGGACTCTCCGATCCCGATCAGAACCATGCGGTTTGCGTGCGAGTTCAAAGCCTCCTTTCCCCTCGCAATGCAACCCAATTTGGGTCCCAAGGCTGCTAGCCAGGGAAGAAAAACAAAGCTGCAACACGGCCCGTCACGTGATCTGTGCACTTTGTCCCCGAGCGTATTTTGCGGTTTGGCTTAACGCTAAGCAGGTTGCGTGAGGGCCTCAGGAGGCCCAGTGCCAGCCCAGAAGGACCCTCCCTTTCTGCAAAGGCAATTGGGATACTGACCGCTTTAATAGGGGAACGGCCATATAGATCACTGGCAGAGCGGCTGCCTTGCAGGCAAAAGGTTTCAGGTTCAGTGGCATCTCCAGGAGGGGGCTAGGTCTGAAACCCTGGAGAGCAGCTGCCAATTAGAATCATAGAATCATAGAATCATAGAGTTGGAAGAGACCACAAGGGCCATCGAGTCCAACCCCCTGCCAAGCAGGAAACACCATCAGAGCACTCCTGACATATGGTTGTCAAGCCTCTGCTTAAAGACCTCCAAAGAAGGAGACTCCACCACACTCCTTGGCAGCAAATTCCACTGTCAAACAGCTCTTACTGTCAGGAAGTTCTTCCTAATGTTTAGGTGGAATCTTCTTTCTTGTACTTTGGATCCATTGCTCCGTGTCCGCTTCTCTGGAGCAGCAGAAAAGATGTCCTCTATGTGACATCCTTTTATATATTTGAACATGGCTATCATATCACCCCTTAACCTCCTCTTCTCCAGGCTAAACATGCCCAGCTCCCTTAGCCGTTCCTCATAAGGCATCGTTTCCAGGCCTTTGACCATTTTGGTTGCCCTCCTCTGGACACGTTCCAGTTTGTCAGTGTCCTTCTTGAACTGTGGTGCCCAGAACTGGACACAGTACTCCAGGTGAGGTCTGACCAGAGCAGAATACAGTGGCACTATTACTTCCCTTGATCTAGATGCTATACTCCTATTGATGCAGCCCAGAATTGCATTGGCTTTTTTAGCTGCCGCGTCACACTGTTGGTTCATGTCAAGTTTGTGGTCAACCAAGACTCCTAGATCCTTTTCACATATACTGCTCTCAAGCCAGGTGTCCCCCATCTTGTATTTGTGCCTCTCATTTTTTTTGCCCAAGTGCAATACTTTACATTTCTCCCTGTTAAAATTCATCTTGTTTGTTTTGGCCCAGTTCTCTAATCTGTCAAGGTCATTTTGAAGTGTGATCCTGTCCTCTGGGGTGTTAGCCACCCCTCCCAGTTTGGTGTCATCTGCAAATTTGATCAGGATGCCCTTGAGTCCATCATCAAGGTAGGCAATTAGTGTAGGCAACACTGAGCTGCATGGACCAGTGGTTTGGTTCAGTATAAAGGCACCTTCCTATGTTCCTTTCATTGTTCTACGGCTTCTTAGTGCAGTTGCTCACATGGGATGTGACCACTGCAAACAAAAACTTAAAACCAGAGCTTGTTTCTGCTGCCCACCCCCTCACTTCCACAGTCCCAGATGGCTCACAGCACCACCTGCAGCAGGGACTTTGGTGGGAGGGTGGCTGGCCACTGCATGGTACCCATGTTGCTTCTCTGGGGTGACTCAGTCTGCTGTTTTCCAGTGCTGCGGGGTCTGAGAGCACCCTGGAGGCGGTTTTTCCCCAGTGCAATTGGAAAGAGGGGAGGGCAATCATGAATCAGTTGCTTGCCTTCCCCTCTGGGCGCCCTCTTCTCGCTGGGTGACCTTGGCAGAGGATGAAAAGGCACATCCTTCGGGCCAACGATTTTTTGTTGTGTCCCTGCAAGGAGGAGGGCCCCTCAGCCCCCAAAAGAGCAGTCTGACAGTTACTTCCTGAGACGGGTGCTGACGGTGAGTGTAGACTTGCAGGCAAACAGGAAGCAGCAAGTTTGCCCCATCTTTCTTGCTCAGGAAATGGACACAAGCCCTGGGCAACAGGCAGCTGTTGGGTAAGTCTGTGTTGAAACTTCCCCATCCGTTACCTAGAGCTGGGGGGTGCGGGGTGGGAAAGTAGCTCTGATGGCTGAAGCCCTCCCTGGGCAGGTCCGGGGCTGAGCCCCACTGCGGGGAGCTGGGACCACTGTCCTGGAGATCCGAAGGACAGGTCGTTCTGCCCCTCCCAGGGGATGTTGCAGGGTCAGTTCTACATCCCTCCCACTGCCCAGGGCTGGCCTGGTGTTGTGCAGTGACAGAGTGGGTGCAAAGTGCTTCTGGGGCACCCCATAGCGGAGGCAGCCCGAAGGATTCAGCTGGATCTAGTTCTGTGCCAGCGGGCAATGATCACAGAGGTGAGTGATCCCCACCCTGCCCCTCTCCACAGGACAGGCCCACCTGGAAAACATCTGAATGAGAACCAAATTTGGCAAAACCTCTCTAATATGTCTTGTTTTCACAATAATTCATTTTGGTACAGTTGCTTTTTTAATGGATCTTTTCAATAAGCTAACTGAGACTTCACATTATTGAGGAAATTATTATTATTATTATTATTATTATTATTATTAGCACCCCCCTTGGCTTGGTACCCTGTTTGGGGGGGGGCGGACTGGCCACACCATCCTAAACCCTGTGCTGTTGTCTGGGATCCTTGCGGAAACAGCTGCCCAGAACCTGCCCCACTTCTCTCAAGGGGGAAAAGGCCAGGCTGGGGGCAGCTGGGGGCTAGAGATGAGATCCCCCAGTGAACCAGGCAAAACGGTTGCATCCTGACTGCTCTCTCGGGAAAGGGCAGAGAAGGGCTTCCTAGGCTGCCTCGAGCCCTGCTGATGTGGAGGGGGAGACGGCTCGGGCGCAAGAGGCCACCTGCTCCGGGCTTGCTCCTTGGCGCAAAGGGCCCGTCCCCAACCTGCGCAAAGGTGCCCTCGGGTCCGGGCCGCGAAGCCTCCGCGGAGTGAGAGCAACCGGGCCCCAGCCCAGCTCGGCCGACGCCGCCTCCCGGAGGCAGGAAGGCCAGGCGACCGGGCGCGCGGGGAATGCGGCTGCGGCCCTGGCTCTGGCCCGGCGGGGAGGGCTCCCGTCGCCAGTCCCGCCCGACGAGCAGGAAAGGCGGAGCGGAGCCGGGCGCGCGGTCGGGTAAGTGCGGCCGGGCGCGGGGCTCCGGCCGGAGCGAGCCGGTGGGAAGGGGCAGCTCGGATCGGACGGCCCCGGAAGGGAAGCGGGCCGGGCGGGCGGGCTCCCCTGGCGGAGCTGGGAGCGGCCTTGGCCGAGGGAAGGAGACTGGCGGCCCCGACGGAGGGGGACTTTGGCCGGGGAGCAGCAGCTGCCGCCTCCGCGCGCGGCGCCCCCGAGCGCGGCCCGGGTGGAGGCAGCTGGAGGGCGGAGGCTCCTCGCAGGTAGACTCTTCCTGCCCTGGGAAGCCCGAGGTGAGGACTCGGAGCCCGGTTTCTTTTCCAAAAGCCGCTTCCGGAACCGAGCAGCTTGGAAACGGGGTCCCCCCCTACCCTTCGGGCAGCCGGTTTCCAAGCGCCAGCCTACCTGTCTGGTTTTCCCTAGTGGGAAGGCCACCTGCGCCGCGGGTCGAGTTGCGCCGATTCCCCGCCTGGGTGGGAATGCCCGCCTGCCCGCCTGCCTGCCTCCCTTCCCGGCGCCCCTGGCCCCTTTCCCACGTGCTCCCTTCCGCAATCGGAGGAGACGCCGCCCTTCTTAAAGAACAAGGAGGCTGGCCGGGCCGGTCACGCAGCTGGGCCTCGCCAGGTGTTTTGGAGCACAAGCGGCCAGAAGAGCATCATGGGGCGGGGGGCGATGGGAGTTGTGGTCCGAAACGCCGGGGAGGGCGCCAGCTTGGGGGAAAAGGGGGTTGTTTATTTGGAAATCGCCAGCAAGGCTCTCTTACAAGTCAAAAGGCAATAAAGCAACAAAGGCAGCTCCTGTGTGCCAATCACCCGAAAACCAAAAACGACCAAATTAAAGCAAACTCGTAAAGTTCAGAAGAATGGGTTACATAATAGTCAAGGCTGGCTATCATTGCCTGCTGGAATCTCAGGGCGAACAAACAGGTGCTTGCCTGGCACTGAAATGTCATAGTTGATGCCTGGCAAGCCTTCCTGAGGAGGGTCTTCGATAGTGAGCCCCCTCCCTGCTCCCCACTCACTTAAGGTTGTGCACCAGGGAGGTTTGGCCTTGAGGCTGGTTGCTGGGATGAAAAGTGGCCCTTCAGGGACCAGAGTGATTAGCCGTCCAGGACCCCCTAGTTATCTGCCGGCTCTTTGAATTGTGCCCAGAAATGGATCTGCACTCGGTGCTGTGCTTTAAGTACTGATGGGATGTGATCTGTATAGCTAGTCCCCATTAGCAACCTAATTTGGGGCAGAGATATGGTGTATAAATTCTTAAAATACTGAAGAGAAGCCTAGTTTCTTTTCGGCAGCAAAGACATTCCTTTGGGCTAGGGCTGCTCGTTTGGTCAGTCGGCACCTGCCGCTGCCTCATCTCTGATCTGCCCTGATGGGAGCCCCAGAGCTGGTGAGTCTCTGTCTCCCAGCCCACTGCCACCAACCAGTTCCTCCTCCTCTAGCCCAAGATTATTAGGGCTGTGATGGCGGGGGGCTGCACTTCATGCCAGTGGATTGGTGGGGGGAGATTTGGGGCCCTTGGACGCTGCGATTGGCTTCCACCAGCTGAAACGATGCTTTCTAGCATGATGAATTGTGGTCCATTGATACTAGAAGAGTGTCCTTTCCCACCATGAGCCTGTGGGGAGAGACCGCTGATAATGTTGAAAGTGAATGATGGACAATTTAAGCACCCCCAATTTAAACCTGGTGACACCTGCAGGGCCCTTTCCAGGTGACCTTTTGGCCAGGTTCTGTTTGCAGCAGCTTCTCCCTCCCCGACTTCTGTTTCGTGATAACGTCAACGTTTGCTTTCTCTTTTCCAGCGACAGCAGGAGAGGCATGGATCCCGCCCGCAGGAGGCCTGCGTTGCTCAACCCTTTACAAACAAGATGAGGGCTTAGCCTAACTGGACCTTTTTGGACGTTTTCATGGTGAACGCCAGAATGGAGCCTTCTGGATCCTCCAGTCCTTCGGACCTAATAGACTTTCTGACTGATTTAGGAATAAGAGACGTGACCTGTGAAACTGGAGACAGCTTAGGAGGGGCGGGTGACCTGCTGACACCTTCAGAAACCCCCCAGACTGAAACCATGACTCCCCTTCCATTCTTGGGCCTGAAAGACATAGACCTCCTCCAGGGTAGCTTGGAGGGCCTTGGCTGGAGCAGAGGTGAAACGTCCTCTGAGAAACCTTCTCCGCCGCTGGCTCAAAGCCGTGCTGAGGAATTCCACCCTGGAACTTGCCCTTCTTCAGAGCGCCTAGAGATTGTGCAGCCTAGGAGGGAAGCATCTCAGCAGCTGCCGGAAAATCCAAAGAGCCTGAAAAACAGCAGCCATGATAACACCAAGGCTCTCTTCTCGGCCAGCATTCTCCAAGCTGAGCTATGCTTCCTGGACCTGCAAGGGGCGATTGACCGGCAGAAGGAGCCACTGAGGAGTTCCTCCCCTAGCCTTGAGAAGGTTCTGGGGATGCCCCCCTCGCAGGACTCGGCCACCTCCCATGAGCCTTTGCTCCTGGAGAGCGATAGTGGGGAGGAGCCGGAGGAGGACTCAGAGAGGCAGGAGGAGGAGGAGGATGAAGGCTCACTGGAGGAAGAAGAGGAAGAAGAGGAGGAGGTGGAATGCTTGTTTTACGACAACCCGCTCTTTTGCGCAAGTCCAAGAACCACCAGCTCCGAAGGACCATCTCTCTTGGACCGTATGGAAGAAAAGGCCTTCAAGGAAGATGGGGAAGGAATCCCCACCTGCGGTCTGACCTCTACGGATTGTGCCCACGGCCTGCCGTGCCAGACAGGTGTGGCAATGAGCCTTGTGGCCACAGACTCCGAGCCTGCGCCTGAGCCAGATCCTGGTGGAAACCCGTCCCCAGGCCCTTACCCAAGCTACGTGCCTCATTACCGCTCCTTGTCTCCCCTGGTGATCACGGAAGGGGAGCTGGAAAGTGCCTGCCCGGTGGAAGAGGAGGAGAGGGAGCTGCCTCGTTGCCTTGCTCCCTTGTCGGACGCGTCAAAGGAGGTGAGTCCTGAGCATCCAGCCCGGTGTTGCTGCTGCTTCCCTGGGCCAGGCTGCAGGGAAAGGCGGTCGTAGCCCAGAACTCAGCCTAGCCTTAGAAAGGTCAGCCAGCTGATGTTGGATCTCTGCATAGCCTGCCTTGGGAACAAAGGAGACCTGCTGGCTGCAGGAAGGGTGCTTAACAATCCCCCATCTTCAAAGACAAATCAGTGTAGTATTGAGGCTGCTTCTGTATCACAGCCTGCCTGCTCACCCTCCCTCCAGCGCGGTGGCCTTCCCTACAAGCAGACGTGCTTCAGCATGGGCTGCAAGGCCCCCTCGGAAGCCCCCGCCATCGTCTGCTCCCCTCCCTCCCTGGTCCAGCTGCTCACAGGCTGCCATTCTCTCCCCCTGCAGGTGCTTAGCAAACATTGCCCATTGACTGGGCTGGTAGGAGGCTCCATAGGCAGGCAGGGTCTTCCCAGGGTAGGGTGAGGGGGCCAGAGCTGCTCTCCAAGGCCTGGGCTGCCTGCCCTTCTCTGACCTCTGGCTTTGTCTTCCAGGTCCAAGGCTTCTTCCCGGACCAGCCAGACCACACACCTTCCAGCAGCGATTTGGGCCAGATGACTCCCTTAGGTAAGTCTTTATATTATTATTATTATTATTATTATTATTATTATTATTATATTTATTATATTTATTTATTTATACCCTGCCCATCTGACTGGGTCTCCCCAGCCACTCTGGGCAGCTTCCAGTTTCAAGAGCCAGTGTGGTGTAGTGGTTAAGAGTGGTGGACTCGTAATCTGGTGAACCGGGTTCGCTTCCCCGCTCCTCCACATGCAGCTGCTGGGTGACCTTGGGCCAGTCACACTTCTCTGAAGTCTCTCAGCCCCACTCACCTCACAGAGTGTTTGTTGTGGGGGAGGAAGGGAAAGGAGAATGTTAGCCGCTTTGAGACTCCTTCGGGTAGTGATAAAGCGAGATATCAAATCCAAACTCCTCTTCTTCTTCCAACCAAATATCAAAAACAATACAACGTCAGACATTAAAAACTCCCTAAACAGGTGTCTTTTAAAAGTAAAATAATTGTTTATTACCTTGACATCTGCTGGGAGGGCGTTCCACAGGGCAGGTGCCACTACTGAGAAGGCCCTCTGCCTGGTTCCCTGTAACCTCACTTCTCGCAGCGAGGGAACCGCCAGAAGGCCCTCGGAGCTGGATCTCAGTGTCCGGGCTGAACGATGGGGGTGGAGACGCTCCTTCAGGTATAGAGGACCGAGGCCGTGGGCTGCAGACCATCTTTTAAGAGCATCAGGTTACTACACTCACGATCCCCCCTGCCAATCTCCTCCAGTTTGCCGAGAGCACCAAAGGTTCAGCTATTCCCAGAAAGCTGGACTTTTCCTTTGTGACTGCCACCCCACCCCCACACCTAAGAGGCCTGCTGGCTCACTTCTCAGCTGCCCTTTATCTTCCCAATAACCTTTGAGATCAGGTAATCTCAGGCTGCTTGTTGTTTATTTATTGTTTCTGTTGGTTTTAATTGGTCTTGAAGATTTTAAAGGCAGGTCATGCTGCTATAGACTTTCGGTGAAAAGTGGTATAGAACATATGAAAATTATGAAATTATGGAACATAAGAAAATTAATTAAATGAAGTGGAGCCCTCTGGCCTGCTTGTTCAGCCCCAGTGATTGGGTGAAGAGAGATTCTGTGATCCAAAAGCCTTTGGCTTAAGAGAACACGCACACACATGCAAATTCACTCCTGCTGGAAAAAATGATAAGGCTCTCTTTAGCTTCTTCACTGTGGAAATGTCCTTGCACTCATGTGCAGGGTCGCTCTCCTGAACCCACACTTTTCCTCCTCCCCCTCCCCTTTTACATTTTTTTTAGATTTTCAACATCTTTATTGAAAGTTCAAAAAGTACGTAATTATATAAAAAAAATCCTTCCAGTAGCACCTTAGAGACCAACTAAGTTTGTTATTGGTATGAGCTTTTGTGTGCATGCACACTTCTTCAGATACTTCTGTTTCGGTGTATCTGAAGAAGTGTGCATGCACACAAAAGCTCATACCAATAACAAACTTAGTTAGTCTTTTAAGGTGCTACTGGAAGGAATTTTTTTATTTTGTTTCGACTACAGGAGACCAACATGGCTACCTACGGGTACGTAATTATCGTATTTTTCGCTATATAAGACACACATTTTCCCCTCCAAAAATTAAGGGGAAATGTGTGTGCATCTTATGGAGCGAAAGCAGGCTCCTTGGCTTCAGCGATAGCAACGCGAAGCCTCCGAAGCGCAGTGGGAGCTCCCGCTGTGCTCCGGAGGCTTTGGGTTCCTTTCACTGAAGGGTAGGTGCCCCTTCAGCTAAGGCGCAGCGCCCCTTCAGCTAAGTGGGAGGAGAAATGGAAGGGGCTCCGTTTCTCCTGCCACTTCGCTGAAGGGGCGCTGTGCAGAGAGGGGGAGATTCTTTTTTCCTTGTTCTCCCCCTCTAAAACAAGGTGTATCCTATGGTTGGGTACGTCCTATAGAGCAAAAAATAAGGTATATGTGTACTAAACATTATGAGACCTAAAAGATAGCAAAAGAGAAACAGAATGTATATAGAAGGGGAAATGGGGGGGGACCCCCAAACTGTATACTTTACAAGGTTGTTATTGTACTTCACCAGATCTTAACCTATTACAGTATTTGTAAGAATGGATTCCAGATAGAGTATCATTGAATTTGTCCATGGCAAGTCTGCATTTATATGCAAGTTGTTCATATGTTGCGAGTTTGTATAAATCTTCAATCCAATTGTAGAAGGGAGCTGCATTTTTATTTTTCCAATTCATCAGTATCAGTGTTTTTGCTGTGGTAAGGGCACGGAGAGTCCACTCGTATTGTCCTTTTGTAAATATTCAAGAGGATATTTTGCTCTGTAAATGCAAGGTTGTTCTGTACAGTTCTGTTGATCGTTGGTTACCTTCTGCCAAAATTTTTTCAATATAGGACAATGAAAGAACATATGTTTTAGAGAAGCATTATCCCTATTGCATCTCCAACAGTTAGATACCTTAGATAGCCATTTTTAAACAAACATAATGGGGTCCAGTATATTCTAAATATTATTTTTTGTTGCATGAGCCTCAAGTTAAGGTCCAGAGACACCCTTGTTATAGCAGTTAAAACAGTTTCCCACTGTGTGGTCGAAATTGAGATCTCTAAGTGCACCCACACTTTTCTTGAGGCTCCATCCCTCATGCCGTTCAATATGGCATTGGTTCCCTTTTGCCCTTGCTTTTGAGAGGCTGCTGGCCCAGCGTGCACAAGACGGCCTTCTGCGGCTTAAAATAAACCATGCAGGAGCACAGTTTTCAGAATTAAAAATCCAGCATTTACAAGCAGTTCTCAAAAATTATCACCTGACCGATCCTTGGTGTCATCTCACCTCTAACCAGGAATGGGGGCGGACTGGAAAAGTGTTGGGGCATCGGAGTAAGTGAGGCTGCAGGATGCGTCCACTGCTTCCACGGTGTGGGCATTCAGGTCGGGGGTCTGAGCTTGTGACTCGTCCTTTCCAGGACTGAAGTTGTTAGTAGCTTAAACCTGTTAGCTCAAGCGAAGACTTCTTAATTTTCCAGATTTAACTTTGCTGACAGGTCTTTGTCAGCATAGTGCTGTTTGTAGATGTAGTCAATGCATCTCAGGTTCCCATCACAAGTTCAGGCCCCCCCTCTGTTTAGCCTCTGAATCGTTACGCCACTACAGTGGTACCTTGGTTCTCAAACTTAATCCATTCCGGCAGTCCGTTCCAAAACCAAAGCGTTCCAAAACCAAGGCGCCCTTCCCCATAGAAAGTAATGTAAAATGGATTAATCCGTTCCAAACTTTTAAAAACAACCCCTAAAACAGCAATTTAGCATAAATTTTACTATCTAACGAGACCATTGATCCATAAAATGAAAGCAATAAACAATGTACTGCAGTCACACAATCAATCCATCAGTAGCTGAACCGGGTTCCACACAGTCACCAAAAAAAGAGCCACAAAATAAATAGGAAAAACATACAGACCTCAGCGTAACACTCAAAACAGAAGTGTGGCACTCAAATTGGAAGCGTAACACTCAAAATGGAACACATTCGGCTTCTGAGAAAAGTTCACAAACCAGAACACTTACTTCCGAGTTTGCAGTGTTTGGGTTCCAAGTTGTTTGAGTACCAAGGCGTTTGAGAACCAAAGTACCACTGTAGTTGGACCCTCAAATCCCACACTAAACGGGCCAAGTGCTAGGGCTCAGTGATATCTGGTTTTCAACTTTGCGATATATCACCAGCTATTCCTTGCGTTATAGTAACACAGTATCTGAAATAAGGACGTGGCTATATAGATGCATTGGCTGGCTTCGCGGTTTTTCCAGCATCGTGATTTTTGCAGAGTGCGCACACACACACATCATGATTTGCAATGTATTGCCAGGTCAAAAATTTTGAAACCGATATCACAACAGGGTATATTGCTCAGCCCTACCAAATACCCACCCGACCTGACCCCAGCCCTGGTCCATGGAGGACCAGAGTGGAGCCTTGCCACGATCTCATTAACCTGTTGTCCCATCCATTCCTTCCTCCCTTCCCGCCCAGGTGTTGACTTGCCAGCCCAGGAAGGCCTGCTGTTTTCCGTCTGCAGCACCTCCCTGGTGACCGCTCTGCTGCAAGAGCCTTTGGAGAGCCACCCTGCCCCAGAACCTCCATCTCCTGCAGAGATCCGCTGGGCTTCTTCCAGCTTCCGGGCCCTCTCGGCTCCTGCTGCAGAGCAGAGTCGGTGGCAGGAGGAGCACAAGCCACAAGCCCCATCCCGTGGCCACCCACTGCCTTCGTGCGCATGGGTGGAGGAGCCCAGAAGGACTTCCTGCCTGCAGGAGGAAGTTGCTGCGGCAGATTTGCACTTGGCCTCCCTCGGTGGTGCGGAAGGGAAGCTGGAGAGCTCAGCAGAGGGTCTTGAGATGGTGCCCGTCGTGGATGGAGATGAAACCTTGGAAGAGGAGGAGGACGAGGAGGAAGAAGAAACACCGGACGTACAGTAAGTTTGTTCCCTTGGGTGTCTCTTGGGGCCTTTGGCCTCGATTCATCTGCTAGACGCCCACAACATCCTCCTAGTGTGGTTAGAGGCTGGGCCTGGGTAGATGCAACCCAGCAGCAGCCTCCATGTTTGGGCAAGTGTCTTCCTTTGCAAAGGCAGCAACTGCCTCACTAGCAGCTTTGGGGAGCCTCAGCTGTCCTCTCTTCGCCTGCTGCTTCCTCCTTTCCGCCTTCTGCCGGGTCCTCCGCCCTTATGAAGACTTGACATTTTCATTTCCCCAAAAAGTTTTTGATTTGAGTTTCCATTGAAACGAGGCTGTATTTTAATGTTTTAATGTTGTATTTTAATCTAGTTTTTAAGTTGTATTTCAATCAATTTGTTTTTATATTGGGTGTTCGCCACCCTGAGCCCGGTCTTGGCTGGGGAGGGCGGGGTATAAATAAATTTATTATTATTATTATTATTATTATTATTATTATGGCTTGTGGCTCTCAGGATCTCTTTCCTTCAGGGCTGCTCCAGCTCTCTACGCAAAGGCTCTAAAGCCGTGTGGGGCAGGGAAGGGCACCGTGTTGCAACACCCATCTGAACAGAAGCGTTGCAAGGAAATGCGTCCCTCGGATGCTCTGTGCATCCTAGAGGGAGAAGGGCAGAGGGGCAGCCCACCGCTGGCCCACACACAGACCCACAGAGATAGTGTGATACCTCCAGGCAGTATCCACCTCCATTGTTCTGCCCGGACACTGAGGTCCAGCGCCGAGGGCCTTCTGGCGGTTCCCTTGCTACGAGAAGCCAAGTTACAGGGAACCAGGCGGAGGGCCTTCTCAGTAGTGGCACCTGCCCTGCGGAACGCCCTCCCACCAGATGTCAAAGAGAAAAATAACTACCAAACTTTTAGAAGACATCTGAAGGCAGCCCTGTTTAGGGAAGCTTTTAAGGTTTAATAGGTTATTGTACTTTAATATTCTGTTGGAAGCCGCCCAGAGTGGTTGGGGAAACCCAGCCAGATGGGCGGGGTATAAATAATAAATTATTATTATTATTATTATTATTAGGCTGCCAACTGCAGGGGAACTCTGGGCTGTCACTGCGGCAGGGGTCCCGCCCCAGCAGCAGCCCGACTTGCAAGGGGCTGATGCGCCAGCGGCTCTCCTTTTCAGATGGATTGGGGCATCCATTGTACTTCTTCACGCAGCGCGTAGTTAAACTGTGGAACTCACCGCCACAGGGCCACCAACTTGGATGGCTTTAAAAGAGGGCTAGGCAAATTTGTGGAGGAGGAGAGGGCTATTGTTGGCTCCCCGCCAGGATGGTTATGGAATCAGTCGTGCTTCTGAATATTAGTTGCTGGAAACCACAGGAGGGGAGAGTTGCTCTTGCAGGTTTCGCATAACGGGCATTTGATCGGCCGCTGTGAGAAGAGGATGCTGGACTAGTGTTGACCCGATCCACAGGCTCTTATTATGTTGCCTTTTACCAAGTCCATCTTATAATAGTAATAATAATAATAATAACAACAACAACAATAATAATAATATTTTATTTATATCCTGCCCTCCCCAGCCGAAGCCGGGCTCAGGGCGGCTAACAACAATAAAATAATACAACATTCTAAAATCATTTAATTATAAAATTAATTCAAATCAAATTGATGGCAACCATTGGGCTAGAGTTCTGTGAAGATTGCCAAAGAAGGGAGTCAGGCTGTGCCTGTGGTGGAACAGCTCTGTCTTGCAGGCCCTGCAGAAAGATGTCAAGTCCCGCAGGGCCCTAGTCTCTTGTGACAGAGCGTTCCACCACGTCGGGGCCAGTACTGAAAAGGCCCTGGCTCTGGTTGAGGCCAGCCTAACCTCCCTGTGGCCCGGGACCGCCAAGATGTTTTTGTTTGAAGATCGTAAGTTCCTCCGTGGGACATACCAAAAGAGGTGGTTCCGTAGGTACGAGGGTCCGAGGCCATATAGAGCTTTAAAGGTTTAAATCTTGTTCAGTATTGCTTACTTTGACTATCAGTATCTGTCCAGGGGTCTTTCAGGGTCTCTTTTATGCCTCCCTGGCTCCACCTCCCTTTAGTTCCAGGGACCTCGTTCCCTCAAGACTTCCTGTCAGTTCAGACCAGACCACTTTCAAGGGAGGGGGCACCTGTTTTCCAGCATGGCTTTGGATTTCTGGCAGTCTCTTTTTATTATCATTAATTTTTATTGAATTTTCCATTTTGTAATATTTAGACACATCATCTTTATCCAGTTTACTTCTTTAGCTCTTAAGAGCCTGCGACTTCCCTCCCTCCCTCCCGCCTCACGGTTTCCAAAGTTCACCTTTATCTCAAAGCATTTATACACTTTCCAATTTCCTTCAAAATACCACATTTTTAAAATAAATCTCAACAGGGAAAGAACAATGATCATTACCAGTCTTTTTACAACCCTGCTAATGTTGTTAATTGCTTACAATGGTCCTTCAAATATTGTATAAATTTACTCCCAATCTTTTCGGAATGCTTGATCACACTGGTTTCGGATTTTTTCCCGTCAGCTTCGCTGATTCCGCAAAGTCCATCATCTTCATCTGCCACTCTTCTTTCATTGGGACTTCTTGTTGCTTCCATTTTTGAGCTAAAAGAATTCTTGCTGCAGCTATTGCATACATAAACAGTTTTTTTTTTATCTTCCTTTGGTATTTCTTCCCCTACTTTACCCAGTAAAAACGCTTCTGGTTTTTTAACCAAAGTATTTTTATACATTTTCTTTAATGTATAAAATGTATTTCTCCCCTAAATTGATTTTTGAATTCTGAATTTATTGTTATTCAATTTTTATACTGTTTTTTGTGTGTGTTTTTTTGCATCAATTAAGTGTATTAAATTTGTTGTAAGCTACGCTGAGCCCGGTTTTCTGAACCGGGAAGGGCGGCATATAAATAAACATTTATTTATTTATTATTACATATCATTTCCTAGTAAGCTTTTACCTCCTTACAAGTCCACCACATGTGATAGAAACTACTCCTATACAGTGCATTAATGCAGTGCATTAAAAGAAAACGTTACGAAAATGATGTATAGATGGATTGCTGACAGTCGCAGCCTGAAAGCCCCAGTGGCATCACCCCGGGCTGGACCATGCGAATTGGCCACTACTCAGAGATGAGGGCAGCAGCTTCAGTGTTTTTCCATGGGATGCAGCTGCTACCCCTCCCCACCGAAAGCTCCCCGCTTTGCAACTGGCCTCTCGCTTTCCTTTCTTTTCCCCCCTCTTTTATATTTTTATTTCAAAACCAATTTTTTTTTAAAAAACATCAAATTCAAAATCCATATTCATTTTCTAATATAAGCCTATTACATAGATTACCTAAATTAAAATACATCTAATTGCTCTAGGCTTCCCTTTGCTATATGTAAATACAACGCAATTAACAAATTATATTATAAATGATATTGTTGTTGTTGTTGTTTAGTCGTTTAGTTGTGTCTGACTCTTCGTGACCCCATGGACCAGAGCACGCCAGGCACTCCTGTCTTCCACTGCCTCCTGCAGTTTGGTCAAACTCATGTTGGTAGCTTCAAGAACACTATCCAACCATCTCGTCCTCTGCCGTCCCCTTCTCCTTGGGCCCTCCATCTTTCCCAACATCAGGGCCTTTTCCAGGGAGTCTTCTCTTCTCATGAGGTGGCCAAAGTACTGGAGCCTCAGCTTCAGGATCTGTCCTTCCAGTGAGCACTCAGGGCTGATTTCCTTCAGAATGGAGAGGTTTGATCTTCTTGCAGTCCATGGGACTCTCAAGAGTCTCCTCCAGCACCAGAATTCTAAAGCATCAATTCTTTGGTGATCAGCCTTCTTGATGGTCCAGCTCTCACTTCCATACATCACTACTGGGAAAACCATAGCTTTAACTATACGGACCTTTGTTGGCAAGGTGATGTCTCTGCTTTTTAAGATGCTGTCTAGGTTGGTCATTGCTCTTCTCCCAAGAAGCAGGCGTCTTTTAATTTCGTGACTGCTGCCAGGTTCCCATATACTCCCCACTCCCCTTCACCCATGTGTGATCTCAATATTTCACTTCTTCCATCTTGTTGTGTTATTATAATCGCTTTCCTTTCTTGCAGCCGCCCTGAAGAGCCAGCCTCTGGGAAGGGCACCGATTCAGGGGAGAAGACGCCACCCGCCAAGGAGCAGGCAGAGCCCAACGGCATCCTCCACGCCAACGGCAGCGCCCCCCCTGCGGACCAGGCTGCCGCGACGAGGCTGGCAACACGGCTCTACCACTTGGATGGCTTCAAAAGGTCGCAGGTGGCCTCTTTTCTCCGGAAGAAGTAAGGGGGTCTTGGATCAGGAACAAAGGCAGAGGCTTCTCTTCTGGCTGGAGTGGTGTGACTCAGATTGCCTTCCTGCCCAGCTGGCTTATTTCAGCTCAGTTCCCTTTTTCTTTTGTGAGGTGTTCACAGAGGAAAGGAAGGATTGAACTCTGATTAATAAAAATACACCCAGAGGCTTGAACCAGCAAGACTCTGGGAAGGGTGCGTATAATAATCTCTGTCCCTCCACCCCTCGGCCCAGGTCGTTTTATTCACAAAAGAACTTTTACAGAGTGTTCGTAAGAACCAATCAGATTTCTTCTGAGCATTTCAACAAACGCCACCTGGGGACAAAGTTAAACTACAAACACTAGTTAGGCAGGCATACTTTTGGGTAAATGAACGAAAACTACAAAGGAGCGCATTCAGCAACCCCGGAAGTCATAAACAATCAGTACATATGATAAGAAGGATGGCCAGGAGGACAGCGATCATGATCACCTTTATGTGAAACCTGTTTCCTGGCCCTAAGATTAACATCCTAAGATTAACATATCAGAAAAGCTACATCAAAGAAACTGCCCACTGTCTTTGATGACCCAGGACTCCTGTCTAAGTGGGTACCTGACTTGTGAAGAAAGAGAAATGGAACAGGGATGCAGAGGTGTGGATTGATCAAGAATCATATCAAAATAGTTTAAACCCAGTCAACGCAATGCTTTCATTGCTGACACAGATGGCTTACCCTATATTTGTTATAATTCCTCATAGCAATCCCACTTGATCACTACACTTTTGCTCTCCCAGCTAGACACGGCTGCGGCCTCTTGAGGCACGTGGTTAAACTGTGGAACTCACTCCCACAGGAGGCAGGCTTGGGCCAGCAACTTGGATGGCGTTGAACGAGCACCGGGCGGATTCACGGAGGAGGAGAGGGATATTGAGGGCTGCTAGCTAGGCTTTGCCACCACATTTGGAGGCAAAAATGCTTCTGAATGCCTCCTACTGGGAACCACAGGAGGGGAGAGTTGCTCTTGTGCTTGAATCCTGATTGTGAGCTTCTCACGGGCATCTGGTTGGCCACAGTGCGAACAGGATGCTGGACCTGATCCTCCTTGGCCTGATCCAGCAATATGTTCTTATGCTCTTGCAGTGAGCCAGAGGGCAGGAACTTTAAACAAGCCAGGCCTTCCTGATGGCACCCTCTCTGGGCTGAAAAGTCACCCTGACACTGGAGTGGATTTGCATGGGCAAATTATGGCCAGCTGCTCCCTGGTGCCTGGAGTAGCAGAAGGGCAGATACAGTGGTACCTTGGGTTACAGACGTTTCAGGTTACAGACACTTCAGGTTACAGACTCTGCTAACCCAGAAATACAGTGGTACCTCTGGTTACGTACTTAATTCGTTCCGGAGGTCCGTTCTTAACCTGAAACTGTTCTTAATCTGAAGCACCACTTTAGCTAATGGGGCCTTCTACTGCTGCCGCGCCGCCGCTGCGCGATTTCTGTTCTCATCCTGAAGCAAAGTTCTTAACCCGAGGTACTATTTCTGGGTTAGCGGAGCCTGTAACCTGAAGTGTATGTAACCTGAAACATATGTAACCCAAGGTACCACTGTAGTACCTCGGGTTAAGAACTTTGCTTCAGGATGAGAACAGAAATTGCGCGGTGGTGGCAGCAGGAGGCCCCATTAGCTAAAGTGGTAGCTCAGGTTAAGAACAGTTTCAGGTTATGAACGGACCTCCAGAAGAATTAAGTTCTTAACCCGAGGTACCACTGTACCTGCTACCTGTTGTAACCCCTTCTTGGCCAACTGTTCCTGGAGGTGCAGAAAAGGGGCTGCCCCCTTTTTGCACCTGGTCAACCTTGTGGGAGGAATACGAGGGCTGGGCTGAGGAGCCCATGGGCAGAATTGGGAGTCCCTCTACAGGCTGGGGGGGGCAGCAGGTGATGCTGGAGAAACCAGGGTGGTGGTGGTGGTGTGTGAGTTCCCCATAAGGCTGCTCCCCGATTCCTTTGGGGGGGGGTCCTGAGCTTCTCCTATGTCTTTGTCCACAGCAACGATTTCAGCCGGCTGGTGAGAGAAGCTTACCTCTCTTTCTTCCAATTCAGCGGACAGACTCTGGACCAAGCCCTGAGGTGATGCTCCTTCCTGTGGGGTCGTGTGTGTTTTTCCACCTTGCTCTTGAATGGGAAGGCGGGTGGCCATGTCCCCCACCCTGGGAAGTACGCTAAACCAGAGGAGGAGGAGGTCTTGGCCTCCCAGGGAACAGCCCAGCGGGAGAGGCAGGGGGCTGCCCTAGGTTTCTACACACTTTGGATCAGCCTCAAAAGGGCCCCACAGCAGGTTACAACCAGAAATTTACATTGTATTGTATTAGTGGGGGAAAAGAGAGAGCAGTAATTTTTTTGAAGGGATCACTTAATATAGCATCCAAGTGAAGCAGAGAGGAAGCTTTGTGGGAGGGGGGTGGAATTCCTGTTTTGGCTATTCTAGGAGGGCAGAAAGGGACGCGGGTGGCGCTGTGGGTTAAACCACAGAGCCTAGGACTTGCCGATCAGAAGGTTGGCGGTTCGAATCCCCACGACCGGGTGAGCTCCCATTGCTCGGTCCCTGCTCCTGCCAACCTAGCAGTTCGAAAGCACGTCAAAGTGCAAGTAGATAAATAGGTACCACTCCAGCGGGAAGGTAAACGGTGTTTCCGTGCGCTGCTCTGGTTTGCCAGAAGCGGCTTAGTCATGCTGGCCACATGACCTGGAAGCTGTACGCCGGCTCCCTCGGCCAATAAAGCGAGATGAGCGCCACAACCCCAGAGTCGTCTGCGACTGGACTTTTACCTTTACCTTTAGGAGGGCAGTAACAGGCCTTGCCCAGCAGGGGTCCTTGATAATTTGAGGGAGGGGAGGGGAGAGAGAGCAGGATTCTGGCTGAAGGTCCTGCTGACATGGACAAGGAATTGGGCAGGTGTGGCGTAATCCTATCTCCCCTACTGTCCCTGGACCATTGCCGCCTGTGTGTGCTGAGCTCCACCCTTGGGAAGGATGCAGAAGGTGTTGGGATGTCCCAACTTCCTTCCAGGTTCGTGGAGTGATGTAGTTGGCACTGGGAGCCGGCAGAGGAGTGCAGTTGCCTCAGGGCTGCCTCTCCTCACGCGCTTCTCTCCCTCCTCTTTGCAGGTCCTTCCTGAAGGCGTTTGTGCTCACTGGGGAGACCCAGGAGCGGGAGCGGATCCTGCGGCATTTCTCTGAACGCTATCACAGCTGCAATCCCGAGGTCTGCTTCAGCCCAGGTAAGGCAGCCAGCAAGGCCGGCTCTTCACCTGCAGCCCCAGACAGGGCTTAAATGAAGGAGGGAGCCCTTGTCCCTCGTCTCATGCAGTTTGGGCGTCAGTGTGCAAACAGTCCCAGGTGGCCCATGTGTATCCTGAACTGCGTGGGATCCTTTCTACTTGTAAGGTTTTGTGGCTTTAAAATAAATTTTATTCACCTTTAGCTTTAATGATTACCGTATTTTTCGCTCTATAAGACACACTTTTTCCCTCCTAAAAAGTAAGGGGAAATGTGTGTGCGTCTTATGGAGCGAATGCAGTGACGGGCTGCCCTTCTCCCTCCTCGGGGAAAAGCCTGCAAGTGCTCCACGCGGCTCGTGAAAGGGAGCTCTGAGCAGAGCCTGGGATGCATACAGGCTATGCTCAGCGCTCCCTTTAAAGAATACTTTTTTTCTTGCATTCCCCCTCTAAAAACTAGGTGCGTCTTATGGAGCGAAAAATACGGTATTGTCACAAATAAGTCATTACAGGATTCTCTGAATTCCTGAACTTTCCTCCGCCCCTATGTGGTTTCCATAGTTATTATTTTCCAACTGCATCATATAATGTTCTCCATATTTTCTTAACGCTCAATTCTCACCATAGTTCTCATTACATTGCAGGTGTTTTTTTTTAGAATCCTGCCGATGTTTTTAATTGTTTACAGTGTTCTTTTAAGTAACTTATAAATTTCCCCCATTCTTTATTGAATTTATTATCCTCTTGATCTCTGATCTTCCCTTTCGTTTTTGCCATTTTGCATAGTCCATCATCTTTGTCAGCCATTCTTCTTTTTGTAGGTACTTTATATTCCTTCCATCTTTGGGCTAATAACATTCGCGCAGCTGTCGTAGCATACATAAACAGTCTTTTCTGCTCCTTTAGTATTTCTGGACCTAGAATTCCTAATAAAAAAGCTTCTGTTTTTTTCACAAAAAATTATTATTATTTTAAATCAACTCATTATAAATCATTTCCCAATATGCTTTTGTCATCTTGCACATCCACCAAATATGGTAGAATGCGCTGGAAGGTTTTGTGGCTTTTGCTTGCGGCGTCACTGCCAACAAGCCTGCACACTTTGGGGTTGGAGGCACCGTGATATCTCTGGAGGGTGTGAGCTGTCCTCTTCCACAGCTTCTGTAGCAAGGTGCACATCTGGGCAGGTGTGTGTGTGTGAGAGAGAGAGAGAGAGAACAGCTATTTCTTCCTGCCCCCCCCCCCGCTCCTGCCCCTTGTCAAAACATCATCATCATTTTACTTGTATACCGCCTTTCCATAGTTAACAGTGCTCAAGGCGGCTTACCACATGACAAGATTTATATAATTACCAACATAACAAAAGTCATAACCAATAAATAAAACACATCAAAAAGTACACAACCAAATGGAAAACGATTTCCACATAAATCATAAAATCTAAAACTGAGTGTGGCGATCACACAGGGTCCCCGGACGTTTAACAGTCTATTGATCCCTGTGCCACCACTGTGCTCGCTTCCCCGCTGCCGCCAACCCGTTACTCTCGGGTAAAACACTGAGTCCAGACAGTTGTTAAAATTGTACCAAATAAACAAGTTTCTTTTATAATCATTAACAAGTTTATGGTTTCTCAGATAATATTCCTGTCAGTAGCTTAACTTTAGTTTCTTTACCGGCCTATACCTTCCTAATACCTTCTGACTCTCAACTGTTTGACTGACTCCTCTTAACAAATTCTCTCCATCTCTCACATCAGACTAGCCCAACCCACAGACTTATCCTCTCTGTCTCTTCTAACTCCAGACTGACTTCTCAGCCACCCTAACTCTAACGCTAACTCCTCCCCTTGGGTTCCCATTGGTTAGTCATTTTACAATTAGTTAACCCTTTCGTTATGAACCCAGTATGATGTCACACACCTAGGAGGGAAAACGCCACACTAAGAATATAGCATCAATATCAGTTACAATTTAAAATGACATAGATAAAAAACAAAAACAATTTAAAAAACAAAAACGGAGCCCTCTCTGCCCAGATGGAAGGAGGCCAGGCAAGGCCGTTCTGTCCCTCAGCAGCAGGTGAGTCCCTCTCTGGGCAGCAGCAAACAGCCACAGTCCTTAAAGAGCCCTCCAGGCACACAGAAGGATTACATCATGGTCCATTTTCAGTTACGGCTGGCATTAGAAGGAGCAGGTCTCTTGCGATGTACCGTATTTTTTGCACCATAGGATGCACCGGACAATAGGACGCACCTTGTTTTAGAGGGGGGAGAACAAGAGGAAAAAAAATTTTCCCCTCTCTGCCCAGCACCCCTTCAGCGAAGGGGCAGGAGGCTCTGCGCAGAGAGGGGGAGAATTTCCCCCTCTTGTTTTCCCCCTCTAAAACAAGGTGCCGTTTAAGGTGCGTTCAGGCGGCTACCTTGGAAGCCTGGAGAACGAGAGGAGTCGGTGCGCACCGCCCCTCTCGCTCTCCAGGCTTCAGGTTCCTTTCGACCTGCTCTTTGGGGCTGGCGGGGGGAAGCCCACCACCAGCCTCAAAGAGCAGGTCGGGGAGCAGCGCAAAGGCGCGCAGCAGAGAGGCTGCTGCCATAGCCACGCGTCACCTCTCCAGCCGGGAGAGGGTCGCGGGGCTATGCTGTCTTCGCTCCATAGGACGCACACACATTTCCCCTTCATTTTTGAAGGGGAAAAAGTGCGTCCTATGGTGCGAAAAATACGGTATGTCTTGCCCAGCAAAAATGAGCTTTGCAGGAAAAAAGAAAGAGAGTTTGGATTTGATACCCCACTTTATTGCTACCCTAAGGAGTCTCAAATCAGCTAACAATCTCCTTACCCTTCCTCCCCCACAACAAACACTCTGTGGGGTGAGTGAGGCTGAGAGACTTCAGAGAAGTGTGACTGGCCCAAGGTCACCCAGCAGCTGCATGTGGAGGAGCGGGGAATCGAACCCGGTTCACCAGATTACGAGTCCACCGCTCTTAACCACTACACCACACTGGCTCTCTAAGCCAAGCAAAGGCCAGAAGGCTTCTTCTCCTTCCTGCATAGCTAAGAGACCTGCCCTTCATCCCACTCTGCAGCTCACAGGTCCTCCCCAAACTGCACTGCACCTCTCAGGACATCGCTTCCTGCCCTCCCAATTAACCCGAGTTCGAAAGTTCTGGGTTGGCCAGAAGGACAAGGTGGGTGGGGTGGGGTCAGGGGCTGTGCCCCCTCTTGCCTTCCCGGGCAGTTGGGCCTGCCCAGTTTGCATGTCTTTAGGGGGTCTCAGAACCTGGGTCTGCTGGCTGCAGACTTTAATAGGGGATGGGAAATGCCCGGGCCCGAAAGAGGTTCTGCTACGCCTCCAATCCGGCCTGGGACATTGTACTCCTGTTAAGGGCAGGAACTGCAGGCAGGAAGATTTGTTTTCATTTCTTGGGTTCCAGCCCAAGGCTCCTTGCTGGTCCTCAGCCCCTTTTCTGAGTAAGGGGGATTGCTGGCGTTCTGGGAGCAGGGGGCCTGGGTCCTTTGAGCCTGTGGGCCTCCCCTGACCTTCCCCTTGGTCTTCTCCCTCCCTCTGCAGATGCTGTTCACACCCTCACCTGTGCCATCATGCTCCTCAACACTGACCTGCACGGGCAGGTAAGTCCATGGGGGATGGGGGGGTGGCTTTTGTATGCAGGGGGCCTAATGGAAAGAGGGCTCGCCTCCCACCTTGGGTCTAACTGTGCGTGTAGGGAAGGGAAACGGGAGGGCGGCTTTGGGGGGAGCACAATCTGGACGTTGCGTTACCTTTGGCCTGATGTGCACCTTTCCTCCCTTCCCTGCTTGTGGCACGCAGCATAGCGGGCGGAGCATGACCTGCCAAGCTTTCCTCACCAATCTCGACGGGCTGAACGATGGTGGCAAGAACTTCCCAAAAGAACAGCTGAAGGTAAAAAGGAGAGGGAGCTCTTTCCCCTTGCCCTTGGGGGGGGGAGAGAGACCGGGGGCTTAGCTTGGTTGGGCAGTGTCAGGGAACTGCCATCAGCTCAGAGGCAAGAGATGGAAGGGCAGTTGTGTTATAGGGAGCCTCCGGAAATCTTGCGAAGCAGTTCCTCCTCCAGCCAGGAGGGAAGCCCCACCTCCAGGGACCAGGGAATGCCTCAACCCCGAGCTTGAGCAAACCGAAGAGGTGGGAAGCGCATCCTTGCCAGAGCCCATTCTGCGCAGTAGTCTTTGGCGCAGGGAGGGGCAGAAAAGGCTGGGGGTGACGCAACTTTTATGCTGGGGGAGGTACAAAAACCGACCACTCCCGGATTCTGCTAGCGATTGAGCCAGACATGAACTTACAACGCTCTTCACTGTGAATAGTTTGCACCAAGAACAAAGCCTATAAAAGACAGGTCGGAGCCCCGCCTGGTTACTCTTGAGCAACCGCCACACCCTGTGACAGGCAGCCTTCCTTAGGCCTTCTTTGTATGGAGGTGGGCAGCCTTCTGCCACTTTAGGTGCCAGCCAGGGGGACGACGGGCAGCCGTCCGCTTGGAAATCCCCCCCGTACAAAAAAATTATCTCTGTGTTGGGAACTTGGGACGCAGAAGGGGAGAGGCTCCGGGGTTCACATTCTCCTGGACGACGGGCCAGACCTTTTTAAGACGTGAAAATGTCTTTTAAAGCATTCTGTCTCGTCCAGCCAAAAGCTTGACTCTGAGCACCTCTGGCACCTTGCTTTGTTTGAGCTTCTGTCCCCAAGGGATCAGGTGCTCATTTTCGGAGGAGAAGGGGAAATCCTGACAGACTTGTTCTGCCAGAGGAGGCGCCTGAGGCCCAGGCCCCTTCCAGCTGGCTTCTCCTTTGCCTCCTCGGGGGTGCGGCGGGTCCTGGGGGGACATGCGGCAGGGTGGGGCCTAGATGTGAAGAGGGAATCATAGACTGATGGTTCTCTTTTACTCTCTCTCTCTCTCTCTCTCTAGGAGCTATATCATTCCATCCGCCAAGAAAAACTGGAATGGGCTGCGTAAGTAAAGATGGTGGCAACGACGTTGGGGGGTGGGTGGGTGTCAGAACTTCTGAGTGGGCAGAAGAGAGACCCATGGCTGCTCCTGCATGGAGCCCTCCAGCCCCAAATCCCTGGGAGCACAGAGAGAGAGAGAGAATTGAGGGGCCACAAACTCACTGGGAAATAATCTTCAGCCAGTCTGCTCCTAAAGGGGGCTCACAGCCAGGACTTCAGGTGATGGACGGAGGCTGAGGCTGGGGGCAGCTGCCCTGGTCTGCCTTTGAGGTCTCTCCCACCACGGGGACCATAGAATTGTGGGAATGTTGTGGATAGAAGGAGAGGATATATTGGTTAAATATTATCCTTCCTCACTCACGCTAGTGAGTCAGTAGCAGAGTACATTCCCCAGTATATCACGGGAAGCTAGTTGGTATATTCCTTTGAATCTCTTGAGTTAAGCAGTCCTGTCTGGCTTGTCCAGATTGGGTTTGATCCTGGTGAATTCCCCTTTTATCCCTCTTAAAAAGAATAAAGACACAACAGTCTTCTTTTAAAAGTAATGATAAGAAGTTTACTTACATTCAATTCACAGTAGGTTCCCTACTGGGACGCGGGTGGCGCTGTGGCCTTGTCAGTTTGCATTTCTTAGTACAGAAAGTATTGATCTGATGTGTAGAGATCTTTCCTGTTCTACTTAAATCATTAGGGTTCTGGAAGGTTTCTTTCTATGTGAAAGGAACAGGAAGAAGGTTCTTGTTTGGGTTATTCCTTCTGAGAAGCTGAGAACAGCTGGTTTAAACTGGTTCTGTTACCTTTCTGTCAAGATCATGCTGACTATAATTGTAAGGCCAGAAGGAGCCGGAGCTCACTTTCTCTTTCTATCTCTTTGTTCTGGTGTGGTGTTCTGTTCTGTATGCTATAGTGTTAAGGTTTAGTCTTATAAGTTACTGTAAGTTTGAGTTAAGTCTGCTGCAACTGGATTTTTTACGGACTGTGCCAATCCTGAATGTATTGGATTTGTGACCATCATGTTAATTTGCCTTCAGTAGCAGTAAAGCTCTGCTGGATGAGATACAATTGCCTCTGGTCTGTTTTTGGGAACTCCGCAATGTGTTTAAGTCGTCCTCCTCCAATGATGACAGATGCCTTTCCCCTCTGCTCCCCTAAGCGACATCAGTGTTGACATCAGATTCAGCTTCCAGTTGGATCAGCTTCTGTTTGTGGGAGGGGAGGGCAGCCCAATGCCTTGGGGGGGGTCACCCTTAGCAGTCATGTCAGCTTTCAGAAAAGGAGTTTTTTTCTGCAGTGGCTGAATCTGGAGCTGTTGCTCACCCTGTCCTCTGTCCCCGCGAAAGGCCTTTTCAGACAGACCCTCACAAAGCCTCTTTCTCCTTTTTCTGCTGCAGGGATGATGATGATGATGATGAGAAGTCGCTCAGCGGCGCACTGCTCTCGCCCTCAGCATCCAGCCAGAAGAAAGCCAACCCTTTCCTGACTCTGTCGCACGACCCCGAGGCGAAAACCTACCGGCAGGGCCTCCTGGCGCGCAAGGTCCACGCGGAGGCCGATGGCAAGAAGAGTGAGTGCTGGGCCAGGGGGCACGGCAAGCAGCAGCCCACAGGGACCTGGGCCTGCGAGAGACATCAGCCGTCTCACATGCATGCCAGGCCTGTGGGCAAGCTGGGTGGGAGTGGGCAGTGGTTGGGGCACTCCTGTGCCACAGGGGTCCTAAGCAACCTCACAGGGGTCCTAAGCAGCCACAGGGGTCCTCCAGCCCCTCCTGGGCAGCCCTAGACACCAAGGTGCAGGTGGCAGACCCAACTTGACCGCTCCCCATCTCACTCTTTTGCAGCGCCCTGGGGCAAGAGAGGCTGGAAGATGTTTCATACGGTGCTGAAAGGGATGGTTCTCTACTTTTCCAAGGTAACCAGGAGCAGGTCAGACCACTGCGGAAACCAAAGGACTTGCGCTCCTAGGCCACCCTCCCCGCGGGAGACCAGGGCTGTGCTGCGCCCCAGCAGAGCAATTCTGCGCTGCCTCCCCAGATGGCTGTGCAGTGCTTGGCCCTTCTCTCTCTTCTGGCATCTTTACTTCCCACCCACCCTTTCTGCTGACCCCTGGGGTCTCGCAGTTGCAGGTAGAAAGCTTTGCTTTGCTCGCAGCTTTGCATGCAGAAAGTCCCAGGTTCAGTTCTGTACGGCTGAGCTGGGAATGCCCTCCACCTCCACCTCCACCATGAGAGCCAGTGTGGTGTAGTGGTTAAGAGTGGTAGTCTTGTAATCTGGGGAACCGGGTTCGCTTCCCTGCTCCTCCACATGCAGCTGCTGGGTGACCTTGGGCCAGTCACGCTTCTCTGAAGTCTCTCAGCCCCACTCACCTCACAGGGTGTTTGTTGTGGGGAAGGAAGGGAAAGGAGAATGTTAGCCGCTTTGAGACTCCTTAAAGGGAGTGAAAGGCGGGATATCAAATCCAAACTCTTCTTCTTCTTCACCTGAGACCCTGGAGAGCCTCTGCTCATCTGGGTTAGGGCGTCCTGAGCTAGAGGGACCATTGTGTGGTGTGTCTCTTTAACCAGGGGCTTCTTCCCAGGCTGGCTGAGTGGGACCCTCTGCCCTGGCTGCCGGCTCAGTTGCACCCAGGACCCCTCCCCCCGGCTCCGTTCATGTTATCCTGGGTCTGCCCCCCTGCCCGCCTTGCCCGACTGGCCTCGGGCGCCTCTCAGCTCATCTACCTGGGGTTAGTGCTGCAGGCAAAATCTCTGCTCTGCCCCCGCACCCCCAATTCAGCTTGCTCCTGCTGTTCTCGCAGGATGAGAGCCGGCCAGACGCCTCTGCCTCAGAGGAGCCCATCGGGGTTCACCACGCCCTGGCCGAGAAGGCCAGCAAGTACACCAAGCGGCCCCACGTCTTCCGGCTGCAGACGGCCGACTGGCGCATCTTCCTCTTCCAAGCCCCGTGAGTATTTGCAGACCTCTCTTGCAGCTACCTCCTCAGCTCAGGATTTCCTTTTGGCTCCCTCCTGTCATGGATGGGTCCAAGGGAGGCAGGCCTCCCCAAACCACTGCCGCTTCCTCCTCACCTGAGCGATTCGTAAGCTTCACAGATCCAAAAAGAAAAGCAACAAAGGATGGCTTTGGGCAGGAAGCAGCAAATCGCATTCGGAAAGACTTCGGTTCTTGTGGTATTAGTGACACAGCAGCAACATTCTTCATCAGCAAGCATAGAGCAAACAGTTTTAGTTTTTTAAGTGTGTATTCAGAACGGAGAAACAGGCTTTGGTCTCTGGCGTGCCTCAAAATCTGTCCCTGTCACTTAACTATAGTCTTCGTCGGCAGTCCTGGGGAGTCAAGGTTACTGCTGTTCCCGTTTAACTGGGTGAAGAGGCCCAACAGTAAACAAATTCTTGCAGAAGGAGGAGAGGTATGGGACCCAATCCTGCTAGGCTGAAGCCCAGCTCTGCCTGCTGGATGTGATGGCTCTTGGGATACGGCTGTATACAGTGGTACCTCCGGTTACATACACCTTGGGTTATAAACACTTCGGGTTACAGACTCCGCTAACCCAGAAGTAGTACCTCGGATTAAGAAGTTTGTCCCAGGAAAAGAACAGAAATCGCGCACGCCGGTGGCGCGGTGGCAGCAGGAGGCCCCATTAGCTAAAGTGATACCTCAGGTTAAGAACAGTTACAGGTTAAGAACGGACCTCTGGAACGAATTAAGTTCGTAACCAGAGGTACCACTGTATAAAGGTAAAGGGACCCCTGACCGTTAAGTCCAATTGCGGACAACTCTGGGGTTGTGGCGCTCATCTCGCTTTATTGGCTGAGGGAGCCGGCGTACAGCTTCTGGGTCATGTGGCCAGCATGACTAAGCCACTTCTGGCAAAACAGAGCAGCGCACAGAAACACTGTTTACCTTCCCACTGGAGTGGTACCTATTTATCTACTTGCACTTTGACATGCTTTCAAACTGCTAGGTTGGCAGGAGCAAGGAGCTCACCCCGTTGCAGGGATTCAAACTGCTGACCTTCTGATCGGCAAGCCCTAGGCTCTGTGGTTTAGAGCGCCACCCGCATACAACCACTGTAAAGGATTTTATTATTTGACAACCACAATTCTGTTTCTGGATTGCAATTTGAAACATAGCTAAACTTGGTGATGTGTGTGTAACTCTTGCCTGCTGGTTTGAGGGCTGCCTGGAGTAAGTCATGCCTGTTGCGTGCAGACTCCGGCTCGGATACCTCCTGTCGACTGTCTTCCTTCTGCGTTTTCCTCCGGCTGCTGCCACCACCAAGCAAGGGCCGATGGGGCTCTTGGGAGCAGGAAAGCTTGCTAGATTAGAAACATGCATTCACTTGGAACCTTCTACCATATGTGGGATTGGGATGCGGGTGGCGCTGATGTCTAAACTACAGAGCCTTGGGCTTGCCGATCAGAAGGTCGGCGGTTCGAATCCCCGCGACGGGGTGAGCTCCCGTTGCTCGGTCCCTGCTCCTGCCAACCTAGCAGTTCCAAAGCACGTCAAAGTGCAAGTAGATAAATAGATACCACTCCGGCAGGAAGGTAAACGGCGTTTCCGTGAGCTGCTCTGGTTCGCCAGAAGTGGCTTAGTCATGCTGGCCACATGACCCAGAAGCTGTACGCCGGCTCCCTCGGCCTGTAAAATGAGATGAGTGCAGCAACCCCAGAGTCGTTCACGACTGGACCTAACAGTCAGGGGTACCTTTACCTTGACCTTACCATATGTGGTGGACATGTCCAGAGTTTAGAAAGTTCTGGGACATGATCCATGAAGAAATAAAAAAGTTACTAAGAACTTCACATAGTAAAAGACCAGAAACTTATCTTTTGGGAATAATGAAGAGTGATATTTCAAAAGAAAAAAACTTATATTTTCTGTACGCGACATCAGCGGCGAGAATTCTGTTGGCTAAGTAACTGGAAGGGTAACCAGGTACTGACCAAAGAGGAATGGTTATGTAAATTATGTGAATATTTGGAACTGGCCAAATTTACGGATAAGACTAAAGCCAATGAATTCATTCAAGAAGGAATGGAATTGCTTGAATGACTATTTAGAAAGACAAGGTTCAAATGCAAAAAAATGGCTGTGTCTAGAATGACCTTGTGAATGGAAAAAGGGAAGTATACATATATGCACATCTGTATATTAAGATGAAAATAATACTGAAATACAGATAAAATATGAAAGGTGAAAAGAATTGTGAGAGTGATGGAAGTCTATTATTTTTATTTTGTAAAATATTGTTAATTGTATTGAAATATTATATTTTCTTTGTTCTTTTACTGTCTACCTTTGCTTTTTTCTTCTTTACTTTTTTTTCCTTTCTGTTTTATTGGATATTATTCTTTATGTATGGTTTTGTTTTGATGTATTTACTTTGCAATATAACAAAGATTAAAATTAAAAGAAAAAAAACGAGAAACATGCATTCATATAACTCTCCCTACCCTCTCCTGTTTACCTAGGACCGCAGCGGAAATGAGTTCCTGGGTTTCCCGGATAAACCTGGTGGCTGCCATGTTCTCTTCGCCACCCTTCCCAGCAGCTGTGGGCTCCCAGAGGAAGTTCATCCGGCCAGTTCTTCCGACGGCACCTTCCAAGAACTCCCTGGTGTGTGTCCTGGGGCTCCTTTAGCAGGCTGCTTTGCCGCTGGTGCACAGAAATGGCAGGATGGGGGAATTTGGGGTGGGCATCAGAGCGCAGCCCATGGGCTGCCCCAAACCCTTCTGTGGCTCGCTCCCCAGCTGCAACCTCCTGCCAGATCCTGGGCAGGTAAGGCTGAGCAGCAACCTGTTCTTCTTGCTGCAGGAGGACCAGCACTTTTCCCACGAATCCTGGATGGACCAGGTGTCAGACGACCTCTTGGAGCACCAGCGGAACCTGCCCAGCAAGCGAGGCCGGGGCCGGGACCTGGAAGAGTATCAACTCAAGAAGGAATATTTGCTCTACGAGGTGGGCAAGGACCAGGCCTGTCTTTTGCAGGGGGCGGGAGGGGAACCTGCAGAGGATGCTCCCACTGTACTCCTCCCCACTTTGAATGCTCAGAACACCTCCCGTATTTTTCGCTCTATAAGACGCACTTTTCCCTTCCTAAAAAGTAAGGGGAAATGTGTGTGCGTCTTATGGAGCGAATGCAGGCGGGAGGCTTTGCTCAGTGCTCCCTTTAAAGAGCCGCACACACGCTCCGCGTGCTCTTTAAAGGGAGCACGGCTCTTGGGGGAGTCTTAGCCACGCACAGCCTCTCCCGGGCAGGGGGATGAAGGTTCCCCCTGCCCGAAGAGGCTGCGTGCGGTTATCCCATTCTGGGATTCAGAATTTTTTTTTTCTTGTTTTCCTCTTCCAAAAACCAGGTGCGTCTTATAGAGCGAAAAATACAGTAACTTGTAAAAACATACATAACTTCTCCAGGGCAAGGTTTTTACAAACGGAGAGTTTGCATGTTGTTGAGGTCTTTGCTGGCTGCTTTGCTCTCAGGCTGCCAACTCTGAGCTTTTCCTTATCCAAATGCCTCCTCACAGTCCTGCGGTCTTTTGCAACCTTCCCCAGTGAGTGCAACACATCTGTCGCAATAAATCTCACTACTGCTCCTTTAAAAGAAAGAAAAATCTGCAATAACCTGCCACTTTTGCATGCGGTTATGTACCCTGACCGTAAAAGCTGTTTTAACAGTGGAATGGACTCCCTTGAAAAGAGGTGGACTTTCCTTTGTTGGAGGCTCTTAAGCAGAAGGAAATAAGTAGCTATCTCATCTTTAAAAGACATCTGAGGGCAGCCCTGTTTAGGGAAGTTTTTAATATTTAATGCTGTATTGTTTTTAACACTCGATTGGAAGCCGCCCAGAGTGGCTGGGGAAACTCAGCCAGATGGGCGGGGTATAAAAAATTATTATTATTATTATTATTATTATTATTATTATAGATTTGGAGGGAGGCAGTGTGGCGTAGTGGTTCAGAGCGGTGGACTCGTAATCTGGTGAACCGGGTTTGATTCCCTGCTCCTCCAGGTGCAGCTGCTGGGTGACCTTGGGCCAGTCACACTTCTCTGAAGTCTCTCAGCCCCACTCACCTCACAGAGTGTTTGTTGTGGGGGAGGAAGGGAAAGGAGATTGTTAGCCACTTTGAGACTCCTTAGGGTAGTGATATAGCAGGATATCAAATCCAAACTCTTCTTCTTCTTCTTGGAGGGCCACCTGTCAGATTCTCCAGTTGTGACCCCTGCATCGCAGAGGGTTGGGCTAGACGACTCTTTTGTGGTGTCTTCAAGCTCTACAGCTTTGATAATTACAGTGGTACCTCAGTTTACAGACGCTTCAGGTTACAGACTCTGCTAGCCCAGAAATAGTACCTCAGGTTAAGAACTTTGCTTCAGGATGAGAACAAAAATTGTGCGGCGGCGGCAGGAGACCCCATTAGCTAAAGTGGTGTCTCAGGTTAAGAACAGTTTCAGGTTAAGAACGGAGCTCCAGAACGAATTAAGTGCTTAACCTGAGGTACCACCGTATGTGATTTTAGACTACAGAAACATTAACTATGGACATATTTTGCATCCTTAATCCTGCGTGAGAAGATGGGGATAACTCCTCCATTAACAGGATGAACCTTCTCCCTGGTCCTGTGTCTGAGGGGCACTGCCCTAGTTGACTCCCTCAGGTGCTGCCGGCCAGAGGCGGCCTTCCCCTCCCCACCCCCCACATGACGCCCTGCCTTCTTTTGTCCCTTTGTGCAGAAGCGCCGCTACGAGACCTACGTGAGGCTGCTGGAGGTGAAGCTGGCCGGCGAAGACACGGAGGACCTTGAGCAGTGGGAGGTCCGGCTGGGGGAGGCGGGCGAGTTGCCGGCCGAGGAGGCCTGCTCGTCCCTGCAGAAGTCCCACTCCAGCCCCTCCCTGAACGTGGACGGCCTGCCTGCGGGGGTCAAAGTGAAGCGGAACATTTCTGAGCGCCGGACAGTACGCAAAATCATCCCCAGGCGCAATAAGCACTTGCTGTGATGGTCCCTGCCCTCCAGTGCTGCCGCCGCCGCCGCCGCCCTCACTGGAGATGGGAGGCCTTTCTGTCTTTCCCTCACCCATCCCTTTGGGTCTCAGCCTTCGAAGCCCAAAGCGGACACACGGTACGAAAGGAGGAGCACTGCCCTCTGAATCGGCGCTTGCAGAATTAGGACTCCAGGTGGCGCAACGTCTCAAGAAACAGATGGGCAGAGGCTGTTGTGGGCACAGTCTCCAGGGCATCGCCCACACCACCCGCCTTCAACGCAGAGACTCAGGGAAGTGTCCTGCCTGCTGCTGCTGGGCTCCGCTTTCGGGGGCTCAGCCTTCTGCTGCCTTAATCCCCGTCCCTCATTCCTCAATCGCTGCCACTGGGCAGCTGTGACCTTTGTGCAATAAACAGAGATATGCAGGGACTCAGCCTGGATGTTGAGGGCCGGTGGGGAGGTGGAACAGCTCCCAGGACCCTTTTGCCCCAGAGGGAGAGGGTGCCTGGGGAGAATTGAAGGCCTCTCACCCCAAAACTCCTAATATAGTGGAACCTCGGCTCCCGAACGCCTTGGGAGCTGAACGTTCCGGCTCCCAAACGATCGAAAACCGGAAGTGATTGTTCCAGTTTTCGAACGTTCTTTGGAAGCTGAACGTCCGGCGCGGCTTCCACAGCTTGCGATTGGCTGTAGGAAGTTGCACTTTGGTTCCTGAACCATTTTGGGAATCAAATGGACTCCCTGAATGGATTAAGATTCCACTGTAACTGATCCCAGTGTCTTCATGTAGATACCAAGTGGTACCTCGGGTTGCATACGCTTCAGGTTACATACCCTTCAGGTTACAGACTCCGCTAACCCAGAAATATTACCTCAGGTTAAGAACTTTGCTTCTTTGAGAGCCAGTGTGGTGTAGTGGTTAAGAGCAGTGGACTCGTAATCTGGTGAACCGGGTTTGATTCCCTGCTCCTCCACATGCAGCTGCTGGGTGACCTTAGGCTAGTCACACTTCTCTGAAGTCTCTCAGCCCCACTCACCTCACAGAGTGTTTGTTGTGGGGAAGGAAGGGAAAGGAGAATGTTAGCCGCTTTGAGACTCCTTAAAGGGAGTGAAAGGCGGGATATCAAATCCAAACTCCTCCTCTTCTTCTTCTTCTTCAGGATGAGAACAGAAATTGTGCAGCGGCGGCAGTGGGAGGCCCCATTAGCTAAAGTGGTGCTTCAGGTTAAGAACAGTTTCAGATTAACCACAGACCTCCAGAACGAATTAAGTTCTTAACCCGAGGTACCACTGTAGAACTGTGATTAGTCCCCCACAGCGCCCCATAGCAGAGCTGCCAGGGGGCCAGAAGGCACTATCCCAGTGCTCCTCTCTGGACTCTACCCTGAACATAGGATTGGAGCAAGGTCTCTCTCCTCTCGTCCCACTCTCTGCAGAAGTCATCCATCAGGGTGACCAAGGCTGACTTGGTTCCATGGCCAGATCCGGACCCAGATTGGAATGGATCTAAATAATTGGTGTTTGCAGCTGCCCCCCCTCCACCTTTGCCTAAAACTGCATCTAGTCGATAGTTGCTCCCATCCAGTGGTTCAGAACCGGTTTCTTTAGGCACAGTCACACTACGGCTGCTTTCAGTGCAGCAGGGACTAGTGAAGAGATAGCCACGCTCTAGAGCCAACCAGTCAGCCCCTCTCTGCTAGATTTAATGAACCAGGAGGGGTGAGGGGGCACACGGTCACATTGCCACCAGCACCTTGCCCACACCAGCTGATTGCATCAGGTGAAACTGGTCCCACGAAACACCCGCAATGACTGCACTGGGTACTTCAACCGCAGCTGCGACAAGTGCAGAGTCAAGACCACTCCAAAGTTGAACAATCTTTATCCTCAAAGTGTGTAGCCGGTTAGTCGCAGCGGGTCTCCGAGGACCCCAGAGGGCCCTTCCCCACAATGGGAATCAGAAACCTCCAGAATGTCCAGAATAGGTCCACTAGCCAGCTGCAAGAGGATGCAATAAAAAAGGGACCCCTGACCATTAGGTCTGGTCGCGGATGACTCTGGGGTTGCGGTGCTCATCTCGCTTTACTGGCCGAGGGAGCCGGTGTACAGCTTCCGGGTCATGTGGCCAGCATGACTAAGCCGCTTCTGGCGAACCAGAGCAGCACACGGAAACGCCGTTTACCTTCCCGCCGGAGCGGTACCTATTTATCTACTTGCACTTTGTGTTTTCGAACTGCTAGGTTGGCAGGAGCAGAGACCAAGCAACGGGAGCTCACCCCGTTGCGGGGATTCGAACCGCCGACCTTCTGATCAGCAAGCCCAAGGCTCAGTGGTTTAACCCACAGCTCCACCCACGTCCCAAGAGGATGCAATGCAAGCTACCAAATGAGCCTTTTGTTTTGCAGCCCGCACTGCCTACCAGAACAGAAGGCCCTGAACCTAGGAGCAACCACAAACAGTTGAGAGCGGTGGTGACCCTTTCCCCATACCCCCCACCCCCAGCTTTGGGGAAGATGCCTGGTGCTTGCACCCCTTGTGTGTGGCACAAAGGGGCCAGAGCAGCTGCTGTTGGGGGCGGGCACAGGTACATCCTCCATCCTCCGGTGGCAAAGTGGCTGGCTAGCTGGCTCCAGGGTCACCATTGCAATGGGGGGCAGGAGTGGCGCCCCCTCCCTGTTCTATCAAAGTCTACTATGAGTGGGTGGACAAGGGGCATCTCACAGAGGTGACTGTTAGGAGGAGTGGCTCAGCAGGAGACGGAGCGACTATGGGGGGGCACTAAGAGTTGTTCTGACTCTGCTAAGGGACCCCCGATCGCTGCCTCGGATTGGTTACTCGTGGAATCCGAAGTAGCAGCAGCACTGATTGGTTCCCCTGGCAAGGGCTGTAGGGTTCACAAAGGCGGAACTGGACATTCCTTTGGAGGGAGGGAGGGAGGCAGGGAGGAACCTTTCAGGCCCCCGAGGGCAGGAAAAAGAAAGCAAAAGAATAGCAGGCCGGAGTCGGACCCCCCAATAGCCACAAAACCCGGAAACGCAGACTGCCGCTTATAACTCCGCTGTTTCCTTCAAGGGTTCCCCACAGAAGACAGGCGCTTCGGTAGCCATTGGCTACATAAAGCAAGCCAGGAGAGCAGAAGAGGCTCTCTGAGCCTGTGCAGAGTACCCCCGGGGAGGGAGCGCCTTCTAGGCAGCCGCGGGCGCCCTCCTCGAGGGGCTTTTCTCAAGCGCGCCGGGCACAGGGCGAGGGCAGCGGCGCCGTCGAGCCCGTGCGCCCAGGGCGCAGCTGCTGCCCGGACGCGCCCCGGGAAGCCCAGCGCAGGGCGCGGTCTCCGGTGCCGTCGGGGGCCAGTCCTGGCCCGGCAGGCTCCGCTCCCTTCGCCTTCTCCTCCTCCTCCTCCTCCTCCTGCCCTCGGCGGGCGGCGCGGCAATTCCAGCTGCCGCCGTTGCAACGAGGACGGAGGCAATGATCCTTCAAATTGCCACATCTGTATAATCTGCCTTTGATTTTCTGCTCCATGAAGTTTTATTTCCGATTGTTCCTCTCCCCGGCCGCGGGGGCTTCTTCCGCTCTCGGCCGACGGGGCGTCGCCTTCGCGCCCCGCTCCCGCCGAGCTCTTTTCCCCGGGGGCCGCCCGGCAAGGCTAAGAGAGGGGTCGCTCCCGGCCCAGGCTCCCGGGTCGTGGTACCTTCCACTAGCCCCCGGCCCGGTTCTGTCGGCAGCCTCACGGAAGCCACGATCTCGACCTCTCTCCTGCCTGCAGTTTGGGTGCCTGGCGGAGGATGCCTGTTTCTAACCCCCAAAGGGCCGGATTTGGCCCAGCGGCCGCCAGCCGCTGACTCTTCCTTGTTCCAGTGGCGCAGGCGACCCCGGCAGCTCCTCCTAACTCCAGTCGCGTTTCCCGCAAGGAAGCCGATTCCCTTGGTAGCTGTTGACTCGGAGGCTTCCAAAGCGCATTAAAGCAGCAGTTCCAAACTGTTTGAAACCAGGTCAGATCACCAGCTCACCGAGCTCAGTTCTGTCTGCACTGGCTCTCCAGAGCCTTACCTGGAATGGAAAAGCCACCAGGGACCAACTACATGCGATCTATCACTGAGGCTCCACCTGAGTGTACAAAGTCAAGCTAAACTGGGTGGCCTGGATAGCACCTTCTCATCTAGAATTCACAGACTCCAGCTCTCCTGCTGTGACATCTAAATTCTTAGGTCCCAGGGATGATATCCTTCCAGTTCCCAGCAGAAACCTGGTATGACCAACCATGATAAAACCGCTAGCATATTTGCTACAGCTAAGCAGGGTCTGGTCTGGTTTCGAATTGGATGGGGGAACCCACTGAAATTCCTGCATTGCAGGGGGGTTGGACTAGATGGGCCCTTGATTCTGTGATCAAGAGTGGGGTTGCTAATCCACAGTGCCAAATGTCTTAAAGCAAGTTTATTTACTCACTTCCTTTGAAAGCACTTTTGGCTTCTTTAAAAAGCTGAATCTTTAGAAGTTGCAAGTTTGTTTTACAAAGCATTGGCTTAAAAAAACCACCATGCTTTTTTCATTAAAAAAAATAGAAGTGAAGATACTTCAAAGTTTTTGGAGTTTTTACCAGAACACCTTTTGCATTATCACCACCCCAAATGGGCATAGCCAGGATTTATGTTATGGGGGGGGCAGAACCTCAGTTAAGTACTTTTTTATTTGATATAGGGGCTATGTCCATACCACCCCAGGATCCTAGAGCAGGTGTAGGGAACTTTTGGCCCTCCATAAGTTGCTGAACTACAACTCCCATGAGCCTCAGCAAACATGGCTGATGGTCAGGAATGATGGGAGCTGTAGTTCAGCAACATCCAGAGTGCCAGATGTTCCCCACATCTGGGCTAGGGACAAAAAGGTCTCCAGTTGCAAACAGCAGTCTTTGAAGAGTTCCTAAAGGGCAGTGCAGGAGTCTTATCCAGTGGTGCATTGCAAGAGAGGTAAATCTACCAGAGAGTGGAGGCTGTGGCCCGGCCAGTCCCTGCTGTACATTGATCTGTTGCAGCTGATCCATGTCTACTCCATCAGGGAGCTGCTACCTGCTGGGATTCTTTCAACTGTCACTTGAACCTGGGACCACACAGTGTTTCTTCTTCCCTGAGCTGGTCCCCATCTTCTTTTGCCGACAGATGGAAAGAGAAGGGTTTCGCCCCCTCCATCTCCCCCAAAATGAAGGCTGAGGGCCACGAGCCTGTTGGATACTTAAAATGCAGTCAAAACCAACCATGCATAGTTGCTAAATAGACACAGGACAGGACAGCTGAAGCTGGCAGAATCCGAGACCAGGGAGAAGAGTCGGTGGAAGAAGATTGGAAAAAGTTTAAAGACTATTTACAGAAATATTGTAAAATTAATGAATGTTAGAATGATGTTGGATAGAAACTAAGTGGTTTCTAGCTGTAATGTTATAAGGGAATATGAAAAAATGGACTATTAATAGGTAAAAATCTAATGTTACAATACTTTAAGATTGAAGATTAAGATAAACAAAGAGGGGAGGGATTTGCTGAACTAACAAACTGAATTGGAATACAGAAAAGGGAGGCGTGAGGAGGTCTGGGAAATAAGCAAATGAAAGATAAGTGATTGAAAGACTGAATTGTTTTTAACTATTTTTATTTTTATTTTGTATTTTTCTTTTTTCTTTTTTTTATTTTGTAATATTTTGAAAACCTTAATAAATATCTTTTATTAAAAAAAAGGACAGGGCAGCTGAAGCACAAGAGTCCTGTAAGTTTCCTGGTTGGCTTATTGCCACACCAAAGAGATGACTGCTGATATCCTGACCAAGCGTCTACCAAGAGACAGCTTCCAGAACCACTGTTCTGTCCTTACACCCCACAACAGAACTCAGTCGCTGAAAGAAATTTCAGCTCCATCATGGAGATGGCAAGGTGCATGTTAAAAAGATGCATCTCTACCCCAACGCATGTGGGGAAGCGCAGCAGCAACTGTGGTGTATCACCAGAGCAGACTGCTGCTAACAAAGGGAGCTAAATGCACACCTTTTGAGCTTTGGTAATCTGTCTCCCAGGGACGCGGGTGGCGCTGTGGGTTAAACTACAGAGCCTAAGACTTGCTGATCAGAAGGTCAGCGGTTCGAATCCCCGCAACGGGGTGAGCTCCTGTTGCTCAGTCTCTGCTTCTGCCAACCTAGCAGTTCGTAAGCACGTCAAAGTGCAAGTAGATAAATAGGGACCACTCTTGTGGGAAGGTAAACGGCATTTCCGTGCGCTGCTCTGGTTCGCCAGAAGCAGCTTAGTCATGCTGGCCACATGACATGGAAGCTGTCTGCGGACAAACGCCAGCTCCCTCAGCCTATAGAGAGAGATGAGCACCGCAACCCCAGAGTCGTCCACGACTGGACCTAACGGTCAGGGGTCACTTTACCCTTTAATCTGTCTCCCATCTGAGCACAACAAAGCTGAGACAAGGAATAGTGTTGTGGACTTTTCTGAGAAATCAGAAGAAGCCAAAGACCTTATACAGTGGTACCTCGGGTTACAGACGCTTCAGGTTACAGACGCTTCAGGTTACAGACTCCGCTAACCCAGAAATAGTACCTCAGGTTAAGAACTTTGCTTCAGGATGAGAACAGAAATTGGCGGTGGTGATGCGGCGGCAGCTGGTGGGAGGCCCCATTAGCTAAAGTGGTGCTTCAGGTTAAGAACAGTTTCAGGTTAAGAACGGACCTCCAGAACGAATTAAGTTCTTAACCCAAGGTATCACTGAATACTTCTCATCACAAACTTCAATGTCCAGATCTGCCTTCTAGTGTCATGGCTCCCTCTGCAAGCGATGCACAAGAAGAAGATGCAGAGGACCAGACTCCTGGCAGCAGCAGCCGAGATGAAGGGAAGCAGCTCAGTGGAGACAAGCCTGCCCTGGAGGAGGAGGAAGCTGATGGGACTACAGGTCCAGGACCACGGGTCAGATGCTCATCCAGAACCCTACTTTGCAGGGTCGGCGTTACCTCAGGGGACCTTCCACGTGGGAAGAGATAGAGGAGATGCCAGCTGCAGAAGTCAGTCTATGGAGGGAGGCTGCACAGGAGGAGATATGGATGCATTGCATCAAAACAACACTTGAATGGGATGAAGTATCAATATGTACATGAGGCCATCCAAGACGGACTTGTGTAGTTGGCTTATTGCCGCATCAAAGAGATGACTGCTGATATCCTGACCAAGCGTCTACCAAGAGACAGTTTCCAGAACCTTTGAGTCAGGATGGGACTCTGGGTGGTTTCATAAAAGAGCATGTATGTTGTTTCGCCTGAGAATGGGTGCATGGGATATTTGCAGTGCAGTCAAACCAACAATGCATGTTTGCTAGATAGGCACCAGATAGCAGCTGAAGCCCTGTAAATTTCCTAGAGAGGGCTCTGAGAGACACACCCAGGTGCCCGGTCAGGGGGAGGGTCTATGCATATGTAACATCTCACCTGGCTGGGTGGTTTTACCTCCATTCCAGAAATTTGACTAATTTTAAACTAAAGTATGTCTTTGTAACTGGATTATCATTTTAAGCCTGCCTGAACAAAACTGCTGTATCTGTTACTCTTCAACAAGTATTCTGAGTGAGTAAATGTTATTCTTTTTTTAAACTTTTACAAGACTGTTTGTGTGATTATTGTTTTAAGGGGAGAAAAGGGGGAAACACCAGAAGAATCCTTAAAGCATCCTGGATTACTTAAACTAAAAGGCTAAAACTAGCCTATTAAAGGTTCCCTTTGAAGGGGCAAAGGTATGGCACGCTGCTTCCTCAACATAAGGAAAGAAAGATAATTTCTAATAAATATCTACTCTCCTACATCCCCACAGAGCCAAGGGTTTCGTGTCATTAATACAAACTGCTTTTATTCAAAGAGATGCAGGGGAGGAGACTGTTCTGTGCTGATGGAAGCAGGGTAAAAACCCGCACCCATTTCCCAGGGGTGCAGCTTGGGTGAAGTACTGTCTATACAGCATGAAACAAAGGCATATAGACGTGGACACACAGCGCAACTCGACACCTACCACGTTCCAGCAGCTCTGCTTCAGTTTCCCCTAGGCAAAGGAAGAGCTCAACCGCTCAAAAAGGACAAGGCCCTCAACATCTTGCCTTGGCAACTTTGCAGGTACCCTACCAACGCTGAAATGAGATCAGGTCTGCAAATGTTGGCAAGAGCAGTTTGCTGGCCTGATCTGGCCCCTGTATTAGAGCAAGCCAGTAAAAGAGGACGAGGGGGAAAGAGCCCACCAGGAGAGGAATTGTGAGATTTAACTTGGAGTTGCAGGCTGAGAATCCTCCACTGGGAAATTTCGCACCAGCTGTTTGTTGTGCCCCACTCCTCCTGAGCGAAAGATGCTCAGCCCATCTGTCTTCGCACCATCTGTAACTGAATCAGCTGCCTCTGCCTTCGCCCACAAAAGCTGCACTTGGGGTCCTTATCTGTGAGGTTGCACTTGTGCCTTCCTTTTTCTGCTGTTCAAACATGGCAAGAACGAAACAGGAACAGCCAGAAATAAGGGACAGTGCGATCTGCACAAGCAAGCAACTTAAACTGCAGCCAGGATCCCCTAGGGTGAGGAGAGAAGCAGCCCAGGCGTTCAAGCCCCAAGCCTGCTCTTCTCCCAACTACTCCCTCTGCCCCTCTCCAAGTGTCCAGTCCTTTCAAAGACCCACAGTTTGCACAAGCACCTTCACCCGCCTTAGTGCAAGAGAGAACAGTAGCAAAGTGACTTCATAAAGCATCACTTGATTTCATTGGTTTGAGTTCCTCGATTTCAAGGTGTTTAGACTGTCCTCACTTTTGGAGTCTGGGGACGCAAGCACATTAATGCCACCTGCTCCTCCATCTTTCCCAGCTTCATGGGTAACAGGATGGCCTTGCATGCTTGCAATTGCTGCAACTGCTTGTGTGGATTCCATTGCCCACTGGGGCGCTCTGCAGATTGAACCAGTTCACATCCCTCTTCGTTGCCGCTGGGCTATAAACAGAGTGGCCCAGGAGAGCTGGCCTGGCTCCCAGAGGGACTGCATCATCTACAGGTGGTCGTAGGTGGTGTTGGGAGGTACAGGGCCCCGTGAAGATGAGCTGTAGTAATAGGGGGAACCTGGAGAGAAAGAGAGAGAGAGAGAGAGAGAGAGAGAGAGTGTGTGTGTGTGAGAGAGGCTATTAGCAAATAACCTGCCCGGGTTAATCATTCACTCCAGCTCAATACACATTAATCATCTCGTACCCACAGCCTTTGCAGACCTCAGCAGGGTTCATGTTAAGATGCCATCAAAACAGCCCGGGGGATCATTCCCTGCCCCCTATTCTGAGACAGGGCCAGGCTACTTCCTTCCTGTTCAGGACTTTGGTCAAATGGCTTCCTTCCCACAAGAGAAGCAGAAAGTTATCTGGCATCTGTGCAAGGTGTGTGACTGGCTGCAGAAGCGGAGGTGGAGCTTTGGTCACTTTGGGTTTCAAAATATTTGGGCAGAGCTGTGGGCCTCTGGGAAAAGGAGAGTCTCAGTCAGACCTCTCTGTGTGGTCATTTGTGGCAAGGAAATGGGGTTGGAAGGAAGCCCACCTATAAGGGATATGGAGTCCTGTAACGGACAGTTTATTTTCTCTAACTCCCCACCACCACCACCCCCCAAAAAATGGGGATCCCATTCAAATTCTTTCATCAGATAATCGCTGTTCTTAGCCTTTGTCACAAGGGTTCATCTTCTTGTACCTGCTTCCACTGGAGGCAGCGCCTCTTGTAATCCAGAATGCGGCAGCTAGACTGGTGACTGGGAGCGGCCGCCAAGACCACATAACACTGGTCCTGAAAGACCTACATTGGCTCCCAGTATGTTTCTGAGCACAATTCAAAGTGTTGGTGCTGACCTTTAAAACCCTAAACGGCCTCGGCCCTGTATACCCCATCGTTCTGCCCAGACACTGAGGTCCAGCTCCGAGGGCCTTTGGCGGTTCCCTCCCTGAGAGAAGTGAAGTTACAGGGAACCAGGCAGAGGGCCTTCTCAGTGGTGACGCCCTCCCCATGGAACACCCTCCCACCAGATGTCAAAGAAATAAACAACTATCTGACTTTTAGAAGACATCTGAAGGCAGCCCTGTTTAAGGAAGCTTTTAATATTTGATGAATTACTGTATTTTAGTATTTTGCTGGAAGCCGCCCAGAGTGGCTGGGGAAACCCAGCCAGGTGGGCGGGGTATAAATATATTAGTAGTAGTAGTAGTAGTAGTAGTAGTAGTAGTAGTATCTCTTGATCATGGAGAGGACTCAAAGCACAGGAGCTTCCCGAGGGGCAGGCAGTGACTACATTCTCAACTCCGCCAAGAGAAGATCATGTTGGAACTGAGAGCTTGCAAAGAGCAATCTTCGATTTGGAAGGGGGAACAAGGGTCATCTAGTCCAACCCCCTTCAATGCAGGAATCTCAGCAGAAGTGCAACAAGTAAACAGTTCTACTTTCCAGCATTCACAGCGGGTCAGGTCAGCCCAGTCAGGCTCCTTGCTGCTGGCTAGTTGCAAGGACAGATGCTCCTCCTTTCTGTGTCGGAGAGCACCAGAAACAGTCCTCACCTGCCTAAGCCCTCAGCTTTGGCCCTCAAGGTCCCAGGAGACCTGACACACAAACTGCCAGGTCAAGCTGGGAAAGCAACAGTTCCGCCCCCCACCCACACTCAACCACCTCCCCTTGCAGCCCCAGAGGAGGAGACTCACCCAGCAGTCCAGAGTTGGGGAATCGCCAGGGCTCTCCATAGCTGGTGTAAGGGCCGTGGCTGTAGGCGCCGCCAGAATAATCACTCCCTGCTGGAGACAAAGAGAAGGGAATACACGTCAGAGGCAGATAGGGGAAGGCTCGCTGGTGGTGCTGCAAGTGAGGACATCTCCATAACAGCTAAATGCAGGGTTGATGTGGTTGTTAAGGCTACAAATTTGTTTTCAACGCGTACTACAAAAATCAAGATGCCAAACCTGGTTGTTGCCATCTTCCTCCTGCTGCCTTCTAAGAGTGTGTAGGAAGTGATACACAAGTAGCAATCAAGTACAACATTCCTTGTTTTTCTGGAGTGGACATGCGGGGGAATGTTTGGTCCAGCCAGTTGAAAACTTCCTATTTCCTCCTTGCTGGAGCATCCTTCCTTTTGCATGTGACTAGAGGTGGACGTGACCTTACCTGCCCAGGTAACAAAAGGGCAAGGCACAAAGCACACCTCTCTCTTTTTCACTTCCTCTTTTCCACCTTCCTTTCGTCGTATGAACTGCAGTGACTACCAGTCTGCAGTCACTGGGATTAACCCCCATATGGGGTAGATCCACATGTACATATTTGTAACTAAGTCTGCCTTCATGGATCCAACTGTGAACTGATGATGTGAGTAAACTTTTATATATACTTTACTCAAGATTGTTGATTCTTTTAAGAGGGATGTAAGGAATGTGGGTGGCGCTGTGGGTTAAACCACAGAGCCTAGGGCTTGCCGATCAGAAGGTCAGCGGTTCAAATCCTGCGACGGGGTGAGCTCCTGTCGCTCGGCCCCAGCTCCTGCCAACCTAGCAGTTTGGAAGCACGTCAAAGTGCAAGTAGATAAATAGGTACCACTCCAGCAGGAAGGTAAACGACGTTTCCGTGCGCTGCTCTGGTTCGCCAGAAGCGGCTTAGTCCTGCTGGCCACATGACCTGGAAGCTGTCTGCGGACAAATGTTAGCTCCCTCGGCCACTAAAGCGAGATGAGTGCCACAACCCCAGAGTCGTTTGCGACTGGACTTAACGGTCAGGGGTCCCTTTACCTTTACCTTTTAAGGGAACTTACCAGGAATCTAATATTGAGAGGCTTAAACAAGCCTGCAACCAGGGGGAATGTAAAACTCTGCTAAGTTATAGAACTTGCTAGTGCAAGTTAGGAAGGATATTAATAAACAATATATCCTCTCTTGCCTCCCTGAACATTCCCACAGAGGGGACTCGGACTCTAGTGCTTCTCAAGATGGAAGTGAAATGGGGGCACCCAAATTTAAGGGAGGAGCTTCTGCAAACTCGGGGGACTCCTCATATGTGCAGAAATACCGAAGCCTGTTCATGAAAAGGTTTTTTACAATGGCCTTGGCAGGAACCTCTGAGCTGACAGGCTGCTGGAGACAGTTGAGCAGCGGCTGAGCAAGGGAGACCTGAAGCCAGGCAGAGGCTCAAAGGCTGCAGTCTTCAGAACTACCCTGCCCTGAAATGCGCAAGCTAGGGTAGGGCAGCCCTCCAGCAGGAGAAAGTGGGGTGAGAGACAAGTGGGGTGTCATTAATCTCTTCTCTGCTCCTGAAATCCCCCTTCCCTGAGGATGCCTTCCTAAGTGAAACTCCGAAAAGGATTGACCCCCCACCCTTTCTATGCGCTCTATGCTGCAATGTTTTGTAATGGGTCCCTCTCAGTTTGGAGGTGAAACGGGGGGCCACCCCAAAGGAAGGTAGCAGCATCTGAACAGCTGGGGGACTCTCTAGATATGCAGAGGTCTATCTATGCACCTGTAAATGGAAAGAAAACGGTGACCCACATCAGTGTCCTCATAAGGAAACAACAGCCCCATTTAGTCAAGCATTATTAGCAGTTTATATTCTCACTCCCAATCTTCCACCAAGAGGGTGGAGGGGGGTGGAAGGGCTCCTCCTGACAGATAAGTAACAATCCACGGAAGTCCCGATGCTATTTTCGGCCACATCCAAACCTTAAAACACTATTATATCACTTTAACAGTCATGGCTTCCCTCCTCAAAACAAAAAGCATCCTGGGAAATGTAGGTTTTAAAAAAGTGTGCCAAGAGATGTTAGGAGACCCCTATTCCCCTCACAGAACTACAATTCGCAGAATTCCCTAGGAGGAAGGATTGAATGTTTCATATCCTCCAACCGATGAAGATAGGGACATCCTATTCCATAATAATAATAATTTACTATTTATACCCCACCCATCTGACTGGGCTGCCCCAGCCACTCTGGGTGGCTTATAACGTATATAAAAACATAATAAAGCATTAAATATTTTTTAAGAAACCACTTCTCTATACAGGGCTGCCTTCAGCTGGCTCAAGAGTTGGGTAACTCCATACCCTCCAACATTTCTCGGGTGAAAATAGGGATGTCCTAAGGAAAAGCAAGACATTCAGGGATCAAATCAGAAACTGGGATGGCTTCTCTAAATTGGGGCCGTCCCTGGAAAATAGGGACACATGGAGGGCCTGCTTTTTCACCACTCTGAAGTGTGATGTGGCCTTAACCCAGTGTACTACAGAAGCCAGCAACAGGACTCCCGTTTCCACAATGGGGCTTCCCCCTTCTTCTCCCCACACGCCTCCCTCAAATCTTCTCTTGAGTCCCAGAAGAGTGGGGAGGCATGGAGGGGAGATTGTTCCATCTGGCAGGCGGAAACGTCTGCACAGATTGATTGTATCAGCGCAATGTTTAATTCCACGCATAATTCTTTTTCTAGTACTTCCTCCAAGTACTCCAAATATGTCACGTACACTAGTCTTGGTGGTCCTTAACAATGGCCCTGAAAGGTAGGGTTGTCTGCTTAACCTCAAATCCCATGTAAGGTTCAGCCGAGGGATCAGCAAACTTTTTCAGCAGGGGGCCGGTCCACTGACCCTCAGACCTTGTGGGGGGCCGGACTATATTTTGAAAAAATAATACAGTGGTACCTCGGGTTACATACGCTTCAGGTTACAGACTTCGCTAAACCTCAGGTTAAGAACTTTGCTTCAGGATGAGGCCCCATTAGCTAAAGTGGTGCATCAGGTTAAGAACAGTTTCAGGTTAAGAATGGATCTCCAGAACGAATCAAGTTCTTAACCTGAGGTACTACTGTATAGGGAAGATGTTTTTTAAAAAAATGTTTAATGTTTTATATATGTTGGAAGCTGCCCAGAGTGGCTGGGGCGACCCAGTAAGATATGTGGGGTATAAACAGTAAAATTTTCATTATGGAATGGGACGTCGTCCCTCTTTTCATTGGAGAAATGTTGGAGGGTATGATTGACGGCTGGAGCAAGTTCAATGGGGCAAAAGTTTTCCTCCACGAAACCTGATCCTAGCCATTAACGTGTTTGAAAAATGAGCTCAGAAACGATTTGGCCCCTCCTCCAAATGGCAAATCGGATAGGTGTAAGAGGATCTGACTTCCTGTGGCCATTTTGAAGACTATATATTTTGGGGGGGGGGGACGACGACGACGAATGAATTCCTATGCCCCACAAATAACCCAGAGATGCATTTTAAATAAAAGGACACATTCTACTCATGTAAAAACACCAGGCAGGTCCCACAAATAACCCAGAGATGCATTTTAAATAACAGGACACATTCTACTCATGTTAAAAACACGCTGATTCCCGGACCGTCCGCGGGCCAATATTGAGAAGGCGATTGGGCCGGATCCGGCCCCCGGGCCTTAGGTTGCCTACCCCTGGTTTAGTGGATAGAGGTGTCTTTGTATTTGTCTTTAGGTTGTCTTCAGGAGTGTGTGTGTGTGTGTAGGGGGGTGTCGGTTAGAGCAGGTTTTCAAACCATTTGGATGCTGGTGTTGGTGAGGGGGGTGGGGCTGGAGCCTGACTGCAAGGGAGGGGAACAAGATTTCAAGGGGCATTTGATTGAGTGCTCTCATTACAAGCGGTGTAAAAGCAGCCCCCAATCTCTCCTTTCTTCTCCTGACCAATCTCATTTCACGCTTGAGGGGAGGGAGCGCGCAAGGGAGAAGACTCTGTATTCTCAACGCTGCATTAACCACATCTCCAAGGTAACCCAGGAACACACCAGCTCAGCACGTCCGCCAAGCCAAAGGGAACGGCGGCACCAGCTTGCCAGCTTCTCCCGCCTCAGCGGGCAAGGCCTTCCTCCTGACAGCAGAATTCGAGGCTTGCAAAGTTCAGGCGCAGCTTAGGCTGGCAAGCAAAACATGCTTACTAGGGAGCAAGCACCCCTGAACAGAGTTGTGCTTACTTCTGAGTCAACGTGCACAGGATTTGCCCTTAGAACATGGGTAGGCAAACTAAGGCCCGGAGGCCGGATCCGGCCCAATCGCCTTCTAAATCCGGCCCACGGACGGTCCGGGAATCAGTGCGTTTTTACATGAGTAGAATGTGTCCTTTTATTTAAAATGCACCTCTGGGTTATTTGTGGGGCCTGCCTGGTGTTTCACAGGAGTAGAACTGTGCTTTTATTTAAAATGCATCTCTGGGGTATTTGTGGGGCATAGGAATTTGTTCGTTCCCCCCCCAAATATAGTCCGGCCCCCCACAAGGTCTGAGGGACAGTGGACTGGCCCCCTGCTGAAAAAGTTTCCTGAGCCCTGCCTTAGAGGCTGCAAAATGGCCACAGGAAATCAGATCCTCTTACACTTATCCGACTTGCCAGTTGGAGGAGGAGCCAAATCGTTTCAGAGCTCATTTTTTAAAAACGTTAATGGCTAGGATCAGGTTTTGTAGAGGAAAACTTTTGCCCCGTTGAACTAGCTCCAGCAGTCAATCATACCCTCCAACATTTCTCCGCTGAAAATAGGGACGACGTCCCATTCCATAATGAAAATTTTACTGTTTATACCCCACATATCTTATGGGTTGCCCCAGCCACTCTGGGCAGCTTCCAACATATATAAAACATTAAATATTTTTTAATAAAAAAACCTTCCCTATACAGGATTGCCTTCAGATGGCTATGGAGTTGGATAACTCCATACCCTCCAACATTTCCCCAATGAAAATAGAGACATCTGAAGGAAAAGTGGGACATTCTATGATCAAATCAGAAACCGGGATGGCTTCTCTAAATCAGGGACGTCCCTGGAAAATAGGGACACTTGCAGGGTCTGCATCAAGTTGGCCTCAGAGGCCTTTTGCAAAGGGGCTGCCAGGTACAAGGCCATCTTGGTGGTGGCACCACAGCTGCGGCGGAATTTTCTCAATTTCGGGAAGCCCAGCTCCCCTGCTTCTTGATTTCAGACAGCGTTCGAATACATTTTCATTCTGGAAAGTGTTTTATGAGTGATTGCTGTTTTTAAGTCTTCTGGTTTTTAATGCTTCTGTGCATTCTCAATATTTTTATTGGAGTGAGTCTAACATTGTGTTTTGCAACATGATTTCTTACAATGAAAGCAGAGTAGGAAAATGAGCTTGAAATAACCCAAAGAAACAAGGAAGGGAGGAAGGTGGGGCGGCGGAATGGATGGTCCCAGTAGGCAGAGGAGGCCTAATGCCAACTGGGGGAAGGAGCACCAACAGAAGCTGGCCCTTTAAGGGGGCAGATGGGGCTGGGTGGCCTCAGGCTTGCGGGTTGCAGTGGGGGGGGGCGCTTCCTGGCTGCTCTGGAAGGAGAGATGCTGTGTTGCATAACTCCAGGTGTTTGGGGACTGTATGATGCGTCTCAGTGGGGATGGAAAGACCCCGGAAGGAGGCATTTTCTCTATTCTCTAAAAATGCCATATCCATTTTTAAGTGACAGGGTTGTGTTGAATGGGTAAAAAGGGGGCAGGACAAGGCTTACGAGACCCACCACATGTTTCTTTCCCTGCAATCTGGGGAGGTGGCAAAGCCTGAGATTGCGGGCAAAGTGCGTGGGAGGGAAATAGCCAGCCATGGGCATCCTCACTGCCCTGAGTCCCATCCCTTCCGCCTCCTCCTCCCCTGAAGCTTTTCCCAGGGAGCTCCTTACCTGCCACCATGCCAGCAATTGCAGATGAGCTATAACTTCCCTGCCCGCCAGTTGGGATGTGGGGAGGGTAGCCTGGAAGGGTGGAGCCAACCACTTCACGCCCTAAGAGAGGGAGAGAGAGGGAAGACAGGGACAGAGGAAACCAGAATCAACAGACATGCCAGGAAACACCCTTAGCAGCTGAGGTGCTCAGGGATCTACAAACTGCATTGAACCTTGGTGTGTCTTTGCTTGCCTCCCGAAGCACCAGCCAATACCCACTGGCGCTGTGGGTTAAACCACAGAGCCTAGGACTTGCCGATCAGAAGGTCAGCGGTTCGAATCCCCGCGACGGGGTGAGCTCCCGTTGCTCGGTCCCTGCTCCTGCCAACCTAGCTGTTCGAAAGCACGTCAAAGTGCAAGTAGATAAATAGGTACTGCTCTGGCAGGAAGGTAAACGGCGTTTCCGTGCACTGCTCTGGTTTGCCAGAAGTGGCTTAGTCATGCTGGCCACATGACCCGGAAGCTGTACGCCGGCTCTCTTGGCCAATAAAGCGAGATGAGCACCGCAACCCCAGAGTCGGCCACGACTGAACATAATGGTTGGGGTCCCTTTACCCTTACCTGTACCTAACTGATGTGCCACCCACATTTCACCTCTCCAAATGACCCCCTGACCACTCGGGGAAAGCCCATTGCTCTCCTCCTGACATAGCTGTCAACTTTCAGATTTGAAAATAAGCAGCCTCACCTGTCCCGGGGACAGTCTATGGGATATCTAACAATCCGGGATAGCAGCAGGAAACGGAGCTGGAATAAGGGAATTTCCCGCAAAAAAGGGGAAGGTTGACAGCTATGCCTCCTGACATTCGGGCTAAGGCTTTGATAAAGACCTCTCCACAACCCACAGGCCCTTGTGTGACCGACTTGCAGCAAATATGCACAGGGCACACCCTGCCCCACTTCTCCTTCAGAGCTGTTGTGGGGCCTGGAGCACCCACAGGTGTGCTCATGTTGGGTGCCTAGACGTCCCTGAATGGGCAGCCCTTACCTGTCACAGCAGAGTATGTCTGGTGGGCCGCCAGGTTACGACTCAGCGATGGGTTGGAAGGCGTGAGCATAGATTTCCCGTCGTCCATGGATGTGTTGAGCAGGGGCACGGCATAGATACCTGCCTGAGAAAGGGGTGGGGGCAGCAGGAGATCAGGGCCTTGTAGGGATCTGAGCACAGTCCTCCTTGGCCCCCTGGTTTTCTCCCCACACGGGACTCCCTACTTATTCCTTAGGTACCTTCAGTGTCAATGAGCCCTGAATCCCTTCACAATATGATGGGATTCCTGCGTAGTTGAGATTCCTGCATTGCTGGAAGGGGTTGGACCTTGGGGTCCCTTCTAACTCTATGGTTCTATGAATATATTCATCATACCTCTAACTCAGCCTTGTAGCTTCTCCCCCACCTCCATCCATGTCCGCGTCCGCCCCCCGTCCCCGGTTAGGGCGTCACCTTATTATGAGTTGGACCACTGGTGCATCAACATTATGAGGGGTGTGAAACACAGAGCAGTCAAATACAATATTCCTAGAGTGGACATGTTTAGACATGAAGAGGGATGTTTGTCCAGCCGGTAGATAAACTTCCTGTTTCCTCCTGTGCTGGGACAAACTTCCTCTGCATGTGACCAGAGTTGGGCGTAACCTTACCTGTGCAGGTAACAAAATAGCACAGGGCAGGCAGCCATCTCTCTCTCTGACTCCGTTCCTTGAAGAAGCAACTTCTCCTTAGCCAGAGATGCTCTCTTCAGCCAAGAGAGGACAAAGGAACTACAGTGGTACCTCGGGTTAAGAACTTAATTCGTTCTGGAGGTCCGTTCTTAACCTGAAACTGTTCTTAACCTGAAGTACCACTTTAGCTAATGGGGCCTCCCACTGCCGCTGCACCACCGCCATGCAATTTCTGTTCTCATCCTGAAGTAAAGTTCTTAACCTGAGGTACTATTTCTGGGTTAGTGGAGTCTGTAACCTGAAGTGTCTGTAACCCGAGGTACCACTGTATCTCCTTATGGGATAGAGTCCATGTGTATATATTTTGTAACTTAAGTCTGCCTTCTGGGATCCATTTGTGAACAGAAAGTGTGAGTAAACTCTTTTATACTTTTATACAAGGCTGTGTTGTTTCTATGCTTTCTAGGAGGGGAAAAAAAGGGGAATTACCAGGAAACTTATTTTAGAGACTTATGCAAGCCTGGCAAACCTATCCGCTGTGTAAGTTTAAAAGGGGGATGTTACTCTGCTAAATCATAGAACTTGTTAACACAAGTTGGGAAGGATATAATTAAACAATATATCCTCTCCTGCCTCCCTGAACATTACACACATAAGAAGTGCCAGGGATGGATTTTGGAACCTCTTGTATCTAAAACGTACATCTACCACTGAGTTCCAGCCTCCCCCCACCTTCCACCCCCACCTCAAGGCTGTCATGGCGGCCTTTGGCTCCAGCACTCACCTGTTCTCCCTTGGCATGGCTGGGGGAAGCGTAAGCCTCTGGGAAGTGCTGTCTCTCGAAAGGGCACTCCAGCAGGTGCTGCCCGTACGCCTCGCTGCGCAGGTGCTTGTGGGGGGTGCTGCTGCCTTGAGAGTCTGTGCTGAGCTGGCAGCTCTCCTGGTCACCTGCTGAGGGAAGCCGCAATCAGCCTGACTTGGACAAGCCTCTGCCCAGCCTACCTGCCAGGATTTAACCTGTGGGAAAGGATGCCTCTCTCTTTCTCTCTCTCCCCCAAGCCCACGGCATTTTCGCGCAGGGGGGTTCAAGATGTGGTTTTGTTCCATGCTCTCTTCCTGCTCAGCCCTCCTGGATGCAAAGGGGCAGGTGTGGGTCTCTCAGGGATAGCAAGGATCGTTTCGGTAAATGGGCCTCTTGCAACTGCGCCGTGTTATATACACAAATATAGATCCATGTGCGCATATGCCCCCAGGACTGTGCCCCCCCTTGTTCCACTCCCCAACCCTTCCCCCAACACCCCTTAGACCTTGCCAAACCCCCTTGCAGCTCACCTGACCCCCCCCATCCGTATCCTCTTGCAGTTCCCTCATTGTCTAGCGAATAGAATTTTCAGACAGTTGCACCCACCATTTCTGTCATGTCTCATCACTCGGTGGACCAATCAGGACAGGACAATTTGGGGAGGGGAGATTCTTTCCCTCCCCTAAGGGGCTTTGAGGCACCCTTCCTCTTCCCCACCCATATAATGTTCATTTCATAAAATCATCCCTATTTAAAAAAAAACTTCTTTTTTGCAGTGATAGTAGCAAAGAAATCTGACTTTGCAGCCACCCCTTGATACGGTTCCGTGAGTCAGCATCTACTTTCACCTGTGGAGAGTTTAAGGCGGCGAGTTTGAGCCATTGTTGCTATTTTATCAATATTCCACTCATACAATTGCCCTAGCCAAATGAAATCTAAGCCACCTGAGAGACTGAATGAAACTTTGTTTGGCTTTAACTTTTCGCATTGTCTTTACCCATTCTGTATACAGTGGTGCCCCGCAAGACGAATGCCTCGCAAGACGGAAAACCCGCTAGACGAAAGGGTTTTCCGTTTTTGAGTTGCTTCGCAGGACGAATTTCCCTATGGGCTTGCTTCGCAAGACGAAAATGTCTTGCGAGTCTTGAGATTTTTTTCCGCTCCCCCCCCTTTTTCTAAGCCGCTAAGCCTTTAATAGCCTTTTAGCAGCTAAGCCGCTAAGCCGCTAAGCCTTTAATAGCCGCTAAACCGCTAATAGCGCTAAGCCGCTAATAGGGTTGCTTCGCAAGACGAAAAAACCGCTAGACGAAGACACTCGCGGAACGGATTAATTTCGTCTTGCGAGGCACCATTGTACTGTATAGTTGTTCTTCTTCAATTTTTGCCCATGAAATGTCCGTAAACAAATAAATCTTTCTATATATACAATTCTTGTTGTCTGTCTATATTCATTTACAAATACTGTTCAGCCTTGGTCATAATATACATTTTTAATTCATTTTGGTATTATTGTCCAATAAATTTCTTTGTATTTTCCGATTAGGAGGTTTATTTCAGTTCTACTGGTTTCCCTATTTCACATCATCTTCTCTATATATAACATACATATATATATATGAGAGCAAGAATAAATGTAAAATGTAATATAATATGTGTATGTATAGTATGTAATTATAAAAAACCAATAGAGATCATCTTTAAAAAAAAGAAAGAAACTTTGGCTTACAGGAGCATTTCCGCCCCCACCGTAACATGCAACAGAGTTATATTGTGAGCAAGTGAGGTGTCCAAAGTTAAACAGGCACAATGTGAGACTATAGAACACCATTGCTAGTTACGGAGCAAACTTAGAACCAATCAGAAGTCAGTCTGGAGCCTTAGCTTGCGGTTTCCGTCCTTTTTGGCACGAAACAAGCGGCTGTGTAAGATTCCCCTCTTCAACCACAGCTACACTCACAGCCTGGAGAAACTACATGTTAACAACAGAGGTGCCCAGAATCAGACCCTGCCACACCCTCCCAGCCCAACGTCACTTACTGTCCTGGATTTTTCTCTTGTGGTCGCTGCTGGGGGAGCCGATCCCTAGAAGGCCGTTGATGGAGTATGTGGAGGAGCCCAGAGAGTCTGACTGGGGCGACTCAGGAGGAGTCACAGCTGAGCTGGGGACTGGAGGAGACACAGCAGTGGGGGGTTAGTGGAGAAATGTCAACAGGCCCTCCCGGGAAAACACCCCCAACCCCTCTTCTAGGGCACACTGGATTGTGGAGGTGAAGAGCAGTTAGGAGGAATGGCCAAGTGGAGAACTCGCCCCATGGCAAGGGGCAAGGGTGGCCTAGGTGCTCAGCTTGGGAACGCTCCCCTCCAGTTAGGACCGAAGGACACATGGAACAACGGCAGAGATTCCAAGCTAGCTATCAGATGTTTCTATCACTCTTCAGGAGAAGGGTGGGAAATCACTTTAACAAACAAACAACATCAGTAGGGCTATTTACAAAAAATCACAATTACAAGCTTTGGGGAAAAGATATCCACTTGTACTGTGAGTTGGCATTGTATAGAAATTAACAGCCATATTGGTCTAGAAATGTTTAAACTTTTAAATACCAACTGTAGAAGAATTGCAGATGAAGATCTTGGACTTTTTGGAGCGGGCTGACCTGACTGGAAGAATCCACGATCAGAAAGAAGAGGAACACCAAGAAGATTGGAAGAAATTTAAAGATTATTTAGCTAAATATTGTAATATAAGATAATTAGAAGATACTTGAAAGTATCTGATAGGCCTAGGACTAGAATAAGAACGTTGTGTAGTAATATGGATTTAAGCCAAAAAGAAAAGAGAGGAAGATAGTTAATTGAAGGTGTTAATTGTATTAGAAAGATGATTTTGGAAAACTGTTACAAAGGTGTTACAATGAAATACAGTTAGGGATGAATCGAGGAAGTCAGATTACAATGAAAGTTAATTTGGATTCTAGAAGTAATAAGTGTTTTTATTCTTTATTTCTTTTATTTTCTTTCTTTTAGTATTGTAAGGTGTTTTGTTTTGTGTTTTTATATGTCATTTTTGTTATAAATGTGGAAAATTAATTTTAAAAATTGAATTTTTTTTAGAAATGTTTAAACTTTTTTTTATTTGTACAGGGGTAACACTGCATTAAATATGTAAAGTCTTATTTACATGGGTTTGATTATAGAAACTAATAAAAAATATTCCCTACAAAAAAAACCCACAACAATTACATGTCTCCCTCCCCACTGCACCCAAAAAAATAATTAAGAACATTTCAGTACTTAGGGCTCATCCACAGTCGAGTTTAATGTGCATTTGAAGCTGCTTGTGTCTCTCTTTTCATTTTTGCAGCATCCTCATGACCTCTTTATCCAGGTGGGAAACTGCACTCCCCCTCACCCCCCGCCCTCTCTCTCTCGTGTACCAACTGTAAAGGTAAAGGGACCCCTGACCATTAGGTCCAGTCGTGACCGACTCTGGGGTTGTGGCGCTCATCCCGCTTTATTGGCCGAGGGAGCCGGCATACAGCTTCCAGGTCATGTGGCGAGCATGACTAAGCAGCTTCTGGTGAACCAGAACAGCGCACGGAAACGCCGTTTACCTTCCCACCTGAGCGGTACCTATTTATCTACTTGCACTTTGACGTGCAAGTCAAAGTGTAGTACCAAATGTAGGATGTAACATAAGTAGTCAAGTACAACACTTCCTGTTTGCCCAGAGTGGACACACAGGGGGATGTTACTCCAGCCAGGAAGACTTCCTGCCACACCTGTCTACAGCACGGGTAGGCAACCTAAGGCCTGGGGGCCGGATGTGGCCCAATCGCCTTCTCAATCCAGCCTGCGGACGGTCTGGGAATCAGCATGTTTTTACATGAGTAGAATGTGTCCTTTTATTTAAAATGCATCTCCGGGTTATTTGTGGGACCTGCCTAGTGTTTTTACATGAGTAGAATGTGTGCTTTTATTGAAAATGCATCTCTGGGTTATTTGTGGGGCATAGGAATTTGTTCATTTCCCCCCCCAAAAAATAGTCCGGCCCCCCACATGGTCTGAGGGATGGTGGACCGGCCCACGACTGAAAAAGGTTGCTGACCCCGGTCTACAGCATCCTCCCCCTGTGTGTAACCAGGTAAATGGGCATGACCCTGTGAGACCCCATAAAAGGGCTGGTCATGCAGCCATCTTTCCTTCTTCTTTGTTTTATTCCATCTTGATGTACTTTGCTGTCTGCTGTCTCAGCCAGCAGCACATGAGCTCAAATCCCTACTTGGAATGAACCCACTCTCTATTCTGTAACTCCAAGCTAAAGCCTGCCTTCAGGGAACCTACTGAATGAACTGAATGTAAGTAAACTTCTTATCATTACTTTTAAGAAAAAACTGTTGTGTCATTATTCCTTTTAAGAGGGAACAAAGGGGATTTACCAGGAACAAGCCCAATCTGGTCAAGCCAGATTGGATTGCTTAAGCAAAGAGATTCAAACGATTCTACCAACTAGCTTCCTGCTATATACTGGGGAATGTACTCTGCTACTGATTCACTAGCATGAGTGAGGAAGGATAATATTTAATCAATATATCCTCTCCTACTATCCACAACATTCCCACACCAACTAGCCAGAATGCGGCAGCTAGACTGGTGACTGGGAGTGGCCGCCAGGACCACATAACATCGGTCCTGAGAGATCTGCATTGGCTCCCAGTATGTTTCCGAGCACAATTCAAAGTGTTGGTGCTGACCTTTAAAGCCCTAAACAGCCTTGGTCCTGTATACCTGAAGGAGCATCTCCACCCCCATCGTTCAGCCCGAACACTGAGATCCAGTGCCGAGGGCCTTCTGGCGGTTCCCTCATTGCAAGAAGTGAGGTTACAGGGAACCAGACAGAGGGCCTTCTCAGTAGTGGTGCCTGCCCTGTGGAACGCCCTCCCTTCAGATGTCAAGGAAATAAGCAGCTATCTTATCTTTAAAAGACATCTGAAGGCAGCCCTGTTTAGGGAAGTTTTTAATATTTAATGCTGTCTTGTTTTTAACACTTGATTGGAAGCCGCCCAGAGTGGCTGGGGAAACTCAGCCAGATGGGCGGGGTATAAATAATAAATTGTTGTTGTTGTTGTTGTTGTTGTTGTTGTTGTTGTTGTTGTTATATTCAGTTGAACCCAGAGAGTGGAGCCAAGTGGGTGCAGACCAGGAGGGAGCCATCCAAGGAGGACTTACTGAGGTTATGGCCAGGGCTCAATGTTTTTGGCACCATGCAGTTCTCCATCGGGAGGTTGAACGGCTGCTGAACTTTTGTGCGAATGATCCTGGAGAGAAAAGAAAACGAGCTGGGAGAGGGTGTCTGTGGAAGAACGCAAGGTCCTGCGTCTGCTCGCAGCATTGTTGAGATCAGAAGCTGGTCCTGGCCATTGTTAGAAGCTCAGATATATAAGCTAGGCGTCCAATGGCCCCATAAACCCAGGTTACCGTCGCCACAATGGAATGTGGTGAGTGCTCTCACCTGTTGATGGAGCTGACACTGGGAACAGTGTCGTTGTCACAGACGCCCTCTGCCAGCAGCCGGTCCCGGATTTCCCAAGCGAACATGGTGGGGTTCTGCCGCTTATAATCCCCAATCTTCTCCACCACCTTGGGGGTTGCCACCTTGGGCTTGGAGCCCCCGATCACACCTGGCCGTATACTGCCCGTCTCGTAGTACCTACTCCAATAGACAAAGTAATAGGATTACCACACTCACAACAAGAAATGTTCTTGGCATTGCCTAGAGTTTTATCACCCCTCCAGCTGAAATCTCGCTGCAAACATGGAGATGGGCTCCTGCCGAGAGTGGAAATTTCAAAATGGGTTCCTTGCGGAGTAAAAAATAACAATCTGCTTTCTCACAGCAGCTTTCTCACATCTAATTATTTATTTTTAGGATTAGGATTATTACATTTATTTACATCCCAGCTTTTTCAAAACAGTTTACGGTTAAAGCAGAAACAGCTAAAAACATTGGGGGAGGGGCAATTGTTTGAAAATAAAACTTGAATAACACACAAACACAGTACTTTTTAAAATACAGGTTGTTACTGTTGAAAACATCACAGCCCCAGCACTTTGCCTAAAAACAGTCAGTTCCCAAAACCGTGTTGGAACAAGAAAGTCTTCACTTGCTGGCAGAAGGACAGCAAGGCTGGGGCTAGTCTGGCTTCTCCAGGGAGGGAGACCCAGAGTCTGGGAGCAGCCACCAAGAAGGCCCTCCAAAAAGGTGGTGGGACCGAGAAGCCTCCCCCCAAAAAACTCAGGGCGCAGGGAGGTTTGTATGAAAGAATAGGGCCTTTCAGACAGCTTGGGCCTAAGGCACATCGGGCTTTATAGGTCCATAACCAGCATTCTGAATTGTGCCCAGAAACAGGTGAGTAGTCAGTGGAGTTGTTCCAGCAAGGGAATCATCTGTTTCCTATAACCTGCCCCTGTCTCGCTGCAGCTCTTTGAGCCAGTTGAAGTTTCTGAGCACTTTCAGAGAAAGCCTCACATAACTAGCTCAGACATCCATGTAGGAAGGTGCATACTTCCAAGCACTTGCGTTAAGCAATTGCACTGTAGGCAACCAGGAAAACCCACAGTATACAGCAGATTTCTTTCTTACACCTCAAGCACAGGGTGTTTCTTCAGGCGAAAGGGGACCCTTCCACTTGAAGAAAACACAATAAGAGGATTAAATGGCGTCCTATATTTACAAAGTCCCAATACTACAGCACTTAGTCACTTAACATTCCCAACTTGCAAAACTACTGTTTAGCAGAAATGACAGGAGCTCATTTGGAGGCGGCCTAAGATCGTGGTTAGGGTTAAGCCACAGTTCCTTGCTTTGGAGATCAGTGTCTGCTGCGTCGACAACACCACTCTAAGGGCTGAACAGGCTCTGTAATGTGGTTGATAAGGGTATCCAGAGATTTTGAGTGCATGTGAAATTAGCTTTCTGAAAGATCTCCTTCCTTGAGAGGGGAAATGGGCAAGCCTGGAACGCTCGTGAAACAGCAACGCAATAAAATTGCAGGAGAAACCAAGCAAAAACTTCTGCCACAATTTGTTTTTAATTTGTGTGGGCCATCACAGGCATGGTGAATTGTTCCACAGAGCCCACAGCCCTCCAGCTGGCCACCCCTGACCTCTGGAATGCTCCCGGGATGAGGCCTTTGAAAATGGCCACAGGAAAGGTATGCTCTCAGCCTCCCTGGCTAGAGCTCCTTCTTGATGCCACAGTTGGATTCTTGGAGCGAGAGGCCAATCCGTCTTCCGGCACGGTCATTACTCACCCCAGCTCTGCAGAGCCCTGAGTAGCCACCTTCATGCTTACCTGCCAAGGATTTTGCTGACACAACCGTGACTGACCCGCAGCTGTCGGGAGATGTCACAGGGCCTCACGCCCTGGTGTGCCAGGTCTACAATGCGCTGCCTCACCACCTCTGGCAGGGGCCGGCCATTCACAAAGGCCCCGCCCAGCTGGTTCAATCCTCCGTGTCCTGCTAAGACACAAACCCAGTCCCGAGAGGGATGGGGAGAGCTGGTCTCAGTGCTGTTGCCGCTGCTGTTATTTTTGTTAACGAAAGGTTCTAGATCATGGGTAGGCAACCTAAGGCCTGGGGGCCGGATCCGGCCCAATCACCTTCTAAATCCGACCCGCGGACGGTCCGGGAATCAGCGTGTTTTTACATGAGTAGAATGTGCGCTTTTACAGTGGTACCTCAGGTTACATACGCTTCAGGTTACATACGCTTCAGGTTACAGACTCCGCTAACCCAGAAATACTACCTCGAGTTAAGAACTTTGCTTCAGGATAAGAACAGAAATCGTGCTCTGGCAGCGCGGCAGCAGCAGGAGGCCCCATTAGCTAAAGTGGTGCTTCAGGTTAAGAACAGTTTCAGGTTAAGAACGGACCTCTGGAACGAATTACGTACTTAACCCGAGGTACCACTGTATTTCAAATGCATCTCTGGGTTGTTTGTGGGGCACAGGAATTTGTTCATTTCCCCCCCAAAAATATAGTCCGGCCCCCACAAGGTCTGAGGGATGGTGGACCAGCCCCCTGCTGAAAAAGTTTGCTGACCCCTGGTCTAGATGGAGTGTGGGGCTCTGTTAATTGGAGGATGAAGGGTTTCTATTCCTCTTCTTGGGGTGCTTTACTCCACCACCACCCCAATAGTTGTGGGTGGTGGAGAGGGTGCTGAGTAGTTTCCCAGCCTTGCGGGGAAAGAAGAGGAAAGTTAGATGCCACCTAGAGCTGCCATTGTTTGGGGACGGGCTACAGGTAGAGGACAAAGGCACCCACCTTTTGTGTGGCAGCGGTTTGTGTGTGGGATTGCATGATTGCTAGACAGTTGCAAACAGGCTCTATGGCCCACAGAGTTTCAGAACCTGTACTGAGGGGACTCTATGATGTCTGACTGGGGCAATCAGTCGTAATAGGTATACCCCACACAGATAAGTACAGTATAAGTATAACAACAACAACAATAACAACAACAATTATACCCCCAAACCTGGTGACAGGAAAAACACAATGGGTTAATCCAGTGCTTCCCCCCCTATAAAAATAGGTGCCAATACTCACCATGAAGTGTTACACTTTTTAAGAACAACAAAAAAGAGGTGCCAGTACTGCGTATCCTTGAGTACCCCCGGAAGACAAAGCACTGGGTAATATTATATATATATAATTACTTATTTATACCCCACCCATCTGGCTGGGTTTCCCCAGCCACCCTGAGCAGCTTCCAACAAAAGATTAAAAATACATGAATCCCTATCTCTTCCTTCCTGTCACTACACACTCATTTTCCCTACCTGCAATGGGGAAAGACGTTTCTTTGCTCTCCTCCAGAGAAGAATATCCATTTTGAACTGGACCGTGGATATTTGTAACATTGGTGAAGACTTGACGTTTTCATCCCCCAAAAAGTTTTTTATTTGAGTTTCCACTGAAAGGCGGCTGCATTTTAATGTTTTAATGCTGTATTTTAATCTTGTTTTTAAAGTTTTATTTCAATCCATTGTTTTTATATTTGGTGTTAGCCGCCCTGAGCCCGGTCTTGGCTGGGGAGAGCGGGGTATAAATAAAATTTATTATTATTTATTATTATTATAGTGCAGGGAATCAAACCCCATGTCCCCTCCCCAACGCCACAGCTCTAGTTCAAATGCCTGTCCCTCAAAGTTTCAATTACCTGTTGGGGGGAATAACAGCTGCGAGGTGGATTGGGGCCATGATGAAGGAGCAAATAGTTAAGAAACCTCTATTCTTGTGTCTGGGGCTTGTACTTCTGGCCTGGGGCTCAGAAGTAAGTTTGGTTCCAGTCCCAGACTGTTATTTACTGAGTTGAATAGGATCCAAAATGCAGCAGTCTGATTGGTCCTAGAACAATAGGAGTCAGAATGCAGCAGTCTGATTGGTCCTAGAACAATGCAGCAGTGTGATTGGTCCACAGGAGCCACCCAATCCAGCTCCAGGTGGAAGGGAATCTGCAACCTGATTGGCCTACAGGAGAATCCCGGAATTAGCCAATCACGTGTAAATTGTGTAAATAATGTACATAAAGCAGATATTTTGGGGAAACTTTCATTCCTCACTACTATGAGCTGAATAAAGAGCATGAAATCTACACTTGACTCCGAGTACGGTATATTTCACAGACCTTTCATCTCGCATGCAGTCTGACTCTCAGCATCGAAGGATGATTGACAGGCTCAACTTCTGAATGTCACTCTGCTGGGGATGAACTGCCAGGAGACTTGAGAAAATCGTACGGATGTTCCCAAAAGTGGAGTGGGGAGGCGAATGAGCCTGTTCCCGGAGTTGACTGTGATGCCATATCCCTCCCCTCCTCCAGGGGGCTCCATCCTGCCTTCTGACCCTCTCTTCTGCCATTGCTGCCTCCAGCCACAGTGTGCTGGTCCCGTGGGTTACCCGAGAGGCGAGGTCCAAGTCCGGTCCGAGGTCAAAGGTGCAACGGGGAGGCAGTCCATTGTAGCTGGAGCTGGGTGCAGGGCAGGGAGTCGGGTGAAGTCAGGGACAGGCAAGCAAGCAGGGAGCCAGGGCGGGTCAGGAGCTCAGGCAGGAAAGCAGGACAGGGTTCAGGCAGGAACTAGCAACCAACAACGTTGCTCCCGCAACTTGGGACTGGGGCTGGCCGGCTTTTATCTGCCCCGAGGCATAGGGCAGCCTCGATCCTCTGGTGACTCGCCTCTCCTGGCCTGGAGGCGAGCACTCCTCCTGCGGGAACTTAGTTCCCTCCGCCTCTCTGCCCTGAGCCTCTGCAGCTCAGGAGAGGCTGGAGGGTTACCGGACCCAGAGGCAACCTCAGCCTCCCCTGACGGGGCTGGGAGTGGAGCACCTGCAGGCAATGGGTCCTCCATCACCTCAGGAGCCAGAGCAGACTCAGCTGATGCCTGCACCTGAGGACCCAGCACAGGTGAGGACCCTTCAGGCTCATGCCCCAGCCCCGGCTCAGCTGGTTCTGGAGGCGGGGAATCCTGTGAAGGCTGGGATCCCTCAGGTTCAGCATCCGAGTCCAAATCCCAGGCCATCACACCCAGTCCAACAGGTTGTTCTCCCGACCATTTTTGTTTCCCTTGAATAAGAATGAGCAATGGCATCACCAGGCTTGTGTTTTGCAGGTACACATAGTCCTAGTCAAGACATTTAACATTCTTGACCTCTGGCCACTCAGTTCCCTTCCCCGCTCCCAGGGAACGCGGCCAAGAGTTAAAACTGATGCATCAGAAGTACAGCTTAGATTCCAGGCAAATGCAGCGGACTCTGGCAGGAGGACATGACCTGCCTACAAGGCCAGTTCCAAGAATCACACAGAGAGCACGGAAGCCTGCGATCCTGCCCACCCCACCAACACAGAATGCACAAACATGTTGTTGTTGTTTAGTCATTTAGTTGTGTCCGACTCTTTGTGACCCCATGGACCAGAGCACGCCAGGCACTCCTGTCTTCCATTGCCTCCCGCAGTTTGGTCAAACTCATGCTGGTAGCTTCGAGAACACTGTCCCACCATCTCGTCCTCCGTCGTCCCCTTCTCCTTGTGCCCTCCATCTTTCCCAACATCAGGGTCTTTTCCAGGGAGTCTTCTCTTCTCATGAGGTGGCCAAAGTATTGGAGCCTCAGCTTCAGGATCTGTCCTTCCAGTGAGCACTCAGGGCTGATTTCCTTAAGAATGGAGAGGTTTGATCTTCTTGCAGTCCATGGGACTCTCAAGAGTCTCCTCTAGCACCAGAATTCAAAAGCATCAATTCTTTGGTGATCAGCCTTCTTTATGGTCCAGCTCTCACTTCCGTACATAGAGTTGCCATATTTCAAAATTGGTTCTTTCTTTTTTTTAGGAAACTACCAAAATTGTTGAGCTTTTCTGGGGAAACCTGTTCCCAAAATAATGATTTTTTTGCAGCTGTTTCCACTGCTTTTTCCGTCGTGTTGACATACATCCAGGTTTTCCCTTACATTTTGCTAATTCAGCAGAATTTTCCCCCACTCCATGCTATTTTTACACCTGAAAATCAGGACTTGTCAGGAATTTTCCTGACGTATGGTAAGCAGGAAGCAATAGAGTCCAGCTCCCCCTCCCTTCCTCCTTCCCTCTCCCTCACTTCCTGGTAGCTGAACTTACGTATTTCTGTCCAGTCACACTCCCAACTGCTCTATTCTAAAAGAGAACGTGGACAAGCAACAAGATTGAAACTAGATATACAAAATGCCCTCCTAGCCAGAGTGGCTGCATTCAGTGTGCCGGCTCTTCATGCAGGTCATTCCCCTCCCCAGTTTCCATGATTTATTTTCTAACTAGGTAAAGGGACCCCTGACCATTAGGTCCAGTCATGGCCAACTCTGGGGTTGCAGCGCTCATGTCGTTTTATTGGCCAAGGGAGCCAGCGTACAGCTTCCAGGTCATGGGGCCAGCATGACTAAGCCGCTTCTGGCGAACCAGAGCAGCGCATGGAAACGCCGGTTACCTTCCCGCCAGAGTGGTACCTATTTATCTACTTGCACTTTGAGGTGCTTTTGAACTGCTAGGTTGGCAGGAGCAGGGACCAAGCGACGGGAGCTCACCTGGTCGCGGGGATTTGAACTGCTGACCTTCTGATCGGCAAGCCCATGAGGCGCAGTGGTGGTTACTGAGCACTGGGCTGCAGGGGCGGGGGGAAGGCACCTCCTTAATTTTTGAAAAAGTTTTTCCGTACTTCTCCAAAACTCAGGTATCCCCTGAACATGCCCAGTATTTCCCTTCTGTTTCTTTATGGCTGCATTTTGCCTCCATTTCTGTTGGAACAAACTCCTAATTTCACAATACTATAGTGAAAAGAGTGAATTTAAAAAAAACCCTGTACAGGCAGTGTACCTTAGACACCTTCTCACTTGAATCTAAGTAGCAAACTAAAATCTCTTCCCACTTCCTTCTTCTCTGGGGATATACCTGTGCATTTGTTTTTTGGGGGGTGTGGAGCTGCTTTCCATCCTTGTCTCAGCATGTTGTTAACTATCGTACTGGAGTTAAGCCTCTGCTATGGACTGCAAGGCTCACTCAGATATTTGATCAATGCATTCACATCATACCAATAGTTCAAGATTCTCTGAAGCCCTGCCCCACATATTATCATTCCAATGCGGGGACCTAAGTAGGGGCAATATGGGAAACCAAAAAAACTGAAAACCTCAGATGTTGGAATGCAATATTTCTCATAAAAAGGTAAAGATAAAGGGACCCCTGACCATTTAGGTCCAGCTGTGACCAACTCTGGGGTTGCGGCGCTCATCTCGCTTGATTGGCCGAGGGAGCCGGTGTACAGCCTCTGGGTCATGTGGCCAGCATGACTAAGCCGCTTCCGGCGAACCAGAGCAGCACACGGAAATGCCATTAACCTTCCTGCCAGAGCAGTACGTATTTATCTACTTGCACTTTGAGGTGCTTTTGAACTGCTAGGTTGGCAGGAGCAGGGGCCGAGCAACAGGAGCTCACCCCATCACGGGGATTCGAACCGCCGACCTTCTGATTGGCAATTCCAAGGCTCTGTGGTTTAACCCCACAGCGCCACCTGCGTCCCTTTTAATATTTCTCATATGGTAGTTTTATTTTTATTTTTTAGTAATCCTCAAGTGGAGCTTGTGTGATTACTGACATGAGCCAATAGGTTTCCTTGATACCTGCTCCTTGATACAGTACCTATCAAGGGCAAATCATGTTTCTATGAAGCAGCCTATTTTAAGTCCTGGGGAAATGCAACATCTCCACAACAGACGTGTTGCCAGGAGGAAGGAGGTCTGGATCCTCTGAAGAAAAGGAGTAACCGCCTCATTGCACAAAGGAAGCGTTGCCTGCAGAGGGTCCTGAACTCAGCCCAGCAGGTATAGCACACAGACGCTGCCAATGAGGCTCTTTTTCTCATAGAAGCACAATTGTCCAAGTGCTTTTGGGCTTTGCTTAGAGCTACAGGTAATTTCTCTAGCCTGAGCGGCAAAACTGCAAAAAGCCACCTATCAGGGGTCTGAGCAGAAGGAGGGCAGCAAGGAGTTAATGGGAGGATTTTCAGGGGTTGGAAGCAAGAAGGAAGGAAGGTTGGGTACCATTAACAGAGAAACCCATTAGAAAGACCAAAAGGGAAAGAATCAGGAGAGCGCAATAGAGAGGCAAATCTAATATCAACTAGGGAAAAATAAATAGAGATTAGGGTGAACAAATTAGCTTTAATGGGCTCAGCACTAATACAAGAATAACGACAGAATTGTGAATGCCTCTGAGGGGAGATGGAATATGAGGCCAAAGCAATCATGCAGAGGGCAATAACAATTATGGAGGAAAGAAGGAAAGAAGGTAAAAAAGAAAGAAAGAAAGAAAGAAAGAAAGAAAGAAAGAAAGAGGAAAAGAGAGAGAGAAACTGTTTCCAAATGCTTTACATTTTTTGAAAGGTGGGTTTTCAGCTTATTAATATGTCTCCCACTTCATGATATGTTGAACTGAAGACTCAAGAATTCTGTCCTTCTACCTAAAGAGATGTCTGCCAACATCTCTTGAAAATACTTCCTGGCGCTTGTTGTCGTCACTATTTGGACCTTGGTGTGGAAGTAATGCAGTCCAAAGGGCAGACTATAGATCTCAATTCTCTTCTTGAAAACGGAAAGGATTTGCCAATGCCGCTTGTGAAATTATTTATCTATCTGAAATGTTACCCTAAATCATGAAACCAGGGAAGTGCATGGGGTTTGGGAGGGCGTCCAGCACAACCCCTTGCTCAAGGAAATGAATTCAGAGGTAAAGGTAAAGGGAACCTTGACCATTAGGTCCAGTCATGGACGACTCTGGGGTTACGGCGCTCATCTCGCTTTATTGGCCGAGGGAGCCGGCGTACAGCTTCCAAGTCATGTGGCCAGCATGACTAAGCCGCTTCTGGTGAACCAGAGCAGTGCCCGGAAACACCATTTACCTTCCCGCCGGAGCGGTACCTATTTATCTACTTGCACTTTGACGTGCTTTCGAACTGCTAGGTTGGCAGGAGCAGGGACCGAGCAACGGGAACTCACCCCATCGCAGGGATTTGAACCACCGACTTTCTGATCGGCAAGTCCTAGGCTCTGTGGTTTAACCCACAGTGCCACCCACATCCCAGGAGTCCAGAGCCTCCCCAATAACACTCAGCAAAGGGCAAGCAAAACAATGAAAGGGGTGGAGCGACTCCCCTATGTGAAAGGTTGCATCATTTGGGACTTTTTAGCTTAAGAGAAAAGGTCGCTAAGTTCGGTGACATGACTGAAGTTTATAAAATGTACTCATTTACACAGCACATAGTTAAACTATGGAATTCCTCCCTCCCCCCAGAAAATCCCCCAGTGATGGCCACCAACTTGGACGGCTTCAAAAGAGAATTAGACAAATTCATGGAGGAGAGAGCTATCAATCGCTACTAGTGCCCTCCAAGTCAGAGGCAGAAGTAACTCTGAATACCCGTTTCTGGAAGATGCAGAAAGGGAGAGTCCTGGTTGTAGGTCACCTACAGACATATGTTTGGCCACAATGAGAGCAGGATGACTGGCCTGATCCAGCAAAGGTCTTCCTATGTTCTTAATAAATGACTGCCCACCCTCTCCATGGAGAAAAAGTCCATCACTACCCCTCTCGGTTAATTGGTGTCAGGATCAAACCACACTTGTTATCAAGAGATTTCTCCTAATGTTCAAACAAAATCTAACCTCCTGTACTCCTGTAATCTCTCCTCTTGCCCTCTGGAGCAAACACCTTAAGATTAAGCCTTTTTCAGCTCATGGGTCATATTCCTGCAGGGGTAACCACACCAGTGATGGGGTGGGACTTAGAGGCAAAACTGAGCAGGGTAGCAGGTGTTACTTATGCAGTAGGCTACATGCCAGTCATGCAAAAACAGAGCTTTCTGCACCCACAAACTTCTCCATCCAGACAAGCGAAAGTGCTCTGCCACTTTCCTCCAGCCAAGCCTTAGATAGCTTTGTTTGCTGTGAGTACCAAACCAAAACTTTCCTTTACCCTTACAATCAGCAGCCTTACCTGGCTTTTTCTCTGCACATCACTGAAATATATCTACTGTTCTCCAACAACAAAGAGGTCTGGAGAGGCACATTTGACCCCTAGGTCTAAGGCATGGGTCGGCAAACTAAGGCCGGGAGGGGCAGATCTGGCCCAGTTGCCTTCTGGATCCGGCCCGCGGATGGTCTGGGAATCGCTGCATGGATCAGCGTGGATCTGATTCTGATCGTTCGGGCTGTGCCATCCCCGCACACACACACCACGGCGCCTCCTCCCTCCCTCCCTCCCTCCTCCTGGCTTCTCCCTGCCCTGCCTAGAGGAGGAAGGGGGCTGGGCTTTGTTGGTGCCAGCCCCTCTCCAGAGCCCTTTTGCGTGCCACTCATTGTCCCTCTGCCAGCCCCTGCCACTCGCAAGACACAGGAGCCGCAGTTGGCTTAGCGCCCCTCTCAAGTGGCCGCCATTTAAAGCAGCCCCTCTCCAGAGCCCTTTTGCAAGCCGCTCATCATTCCCCCCCCCCCCCAAAAAATAGTCCGGCCCCCCACAAGGTCTGAGGGACAGTGGACCAGCCCTCTGCCGACCCCTGGTCTAAGGTTTCTGACCCCTCCTCAGTCTTCTCTTCCCTTCTCCAGGCTAAATATATAGTGTAGTGGTGCCCGCCCTGTGGAACACCCTCCCATCAGATGTCAAGGAAATAAACAACGATCTGACTTTTAGAAGACATCTGAAGGCAGCCCTGTTTAGGGAGGTTTTTAATGTTTGATGTTTAATTGCTTTTTTATTATTAAAACTCTGTTGGGAGCCACTCAGAGTGGCTGGGGAAACCCAACCAGATGGGTGGAGTATAAATAATAAATTATTATTATTATTATACAGTGCCTTAAATAATTATTCACAGGACTTGTTTTTTGTGTGAGAGGGATGTGCAGCCAAAATCAGAAATGCATGGCTGCTGGATAGTCACAGACAGGGGACTCTATGATGTCATATCCTCTAAACTTGTGTGGCAGGAAGGGGAAAAATAGAAACGAAATCTTTACTCCTTCCTGTCACTGCACACACTTTTTCTTACCCACAGAGGGATAGGATGTCTGTAAACTCTCGTCCAGAGTGCACACTCCATTTTGGACTATAACTTTTAAGGATGATTGCCTGTCTGATTTGCATCACTGATTTTCATCATTGTATGTGTTGAATCCTGCCAAGACTTTTGATGTGAGTAAATCTAACAATTTATTTACTTAAACAGTCTGAGAGTGATTTATTTGTTAAGAGGGAAACATAAACCAGGGAGAAGATAATCCAAGTCTGCCTAAAGCATCCTTGGATACCATAATTGCTATAGAAGCCTGTGCAACCTTATCCGAATAGCTTATAGAGATAAGCTAACTCGGCTGGAATTGGTATTTGTGTTCTCACACAAGCAGTGCATTTTTTAAAGAAAAAAGTGCCAGTACTCACCAACAAGCAGAGGGAGGGGCCAGCACATGGGGGAGGGGTGTGGCCTGATGCCAAGGCTGGGCAGAGAGGCCGGGTTAGCTGATTGACACTCCCTTGCCTGCCCACCTACTGAGGTGCTGCCGCCCAGGTGAAGAGGCCTTCACTGCCTGGCTTTGAGAGGGAGGCAGCAGGAGTCCAGGATCCTGTCAGAGCATCATGCCTCCTTCCCTAAGCTGGGCAAACACTTCCCGGGCTTTGAAGACGCTCAAACTCAGGACAAGAGGGAGAAACGGGCTAAGAGAAAGGCACGCTTGGCAAACCCTCACCATGACCAACTCCCGTCCGGAAACCTATGACTCCACTGTGGGTGTGTGGATCCAGAACTGGCCTCCACAGACACTTACAGACTCACTGTTAAAACCGTGTTTATGGAAGACAATCTTATGGTAAAGGTAAAGGGGCCCCTGACCATTAGGTCCAGTAGTGGCCAACTCTGGGGTTGCGGTGCTCATCTCGCTTTATTGGCTGAGGGAGCCGGCATACAGCTTCCAGGTCATGTGGCCTGCATGACTAAGCCGCTTCTGGCGAACCAGAGCAGCGCACGGAAATGCCGTTTACCTTCCCGCCGGAGCGGTACCTATTTATTTACTTGCACTTTGACGTGCTTTCGAACTGCTAGGTTGGCAGGAGCAGGGACCGAGCAACGGGAGCTCACCCTGTCGTGGGGATTTGAACCACCAACCTTCTGATCGGCAAGTCCTAGGCTCTGTGGTTTAACCCACAGCGCCACCCGCGTCCCTTACTCATTTACAAATGATCACCAAAGAAGAAGACGACAGGAGATGGAAACTGAGGGCCCTTCCAGAGGCTGATATTTTACTGTAGTAGATCTTTTCTGCAACATGTTTTTGACGCAAGAATAGTGCATTAGTGGTGCACTTATTCCGTGTTATAAGTTGGTCTTGGTGGAAGCTGACCCAACAGGGCAAAGGGGAACAGATAACGCAGAATCACTCCACATGTTGCCATGGTCCCAGTTCCCATCTGCTCAGGCAGTCAGCATAGCCAGGAAGGACAGTGGGAGCCGCGGTTCAGCAACAACTGAGGGTTGTTTCACCTACTTTCTCAGTTCATAGAATCAGAGAATTGCAGAGTTGGAAAGGACCGTGAGGATCGCATCCGCTTCAGCACCATGGATGGCGCTGCAAAGAGCACAAAGACTGCGGCGCTTTGGGTACAAATAGGAGAATCTCACCTCCCACCCCCACCTGAAGAATTGTATTTGTGGATGCTCTTGAAAATAGCAGCAGTAATAATAATGATGATAATAATAATAATAATAATAATAATAATTTTTATTTATACCCCGCCCTCCCCAGCCAAGGCCGGGCTCAGGGCGGCTAACAAGCAATAATAAAAACAAGTTGAATGAACACAACTTAAAAACAAGATTAAAATACATCAATTAAAATACTGAAACATTAAAATATTAAAATGCAGCCTCATCACAGGAGAAAGGAAAAAGGAAAAAGAAAGAGGGGGAGGGAATCAAACTGGCTCCAAGCCAAAGGCCAGGCAGAACAACTATGTCTTACAGGCCCTGCAGGAAGAAATCAGATCCTGCAGGGCCCTGGTCTCATGAGGCAGAGCGTTCCACCAGGCCAGAGCCAGTGTTAAAAAGGCCCTGGCTCTGGTTGAGGCTAATTTGACTTCCTTAGGGCCTGGGACCTCTAAGGTGTTGCTATTTATGGACCTTAAGGTCCTCCGTGGGGCATACCGGGAGAGGCGGTCCCATAGGTACGAGGGTCCTAGGCTGTGAAGGGCTTTAAAGGTCAAAACCAGCACCTTAAATCTGACCCTGTACTCCACCGGGAGCCAGTGCAGCTGGAAAAGCACTGGGTGAATATGCTCCCATGGCAGAGACCCCGTGAGGAGCCTCGCTGCAGCATTCTGCACCCGCTGGAGTTTCTGGGACAGCTTCAAGGGCAGCCCCGCGTGGAGCGAATTACAGTAGTCAAGCCTGGAGGTGACCATCGCATGAATCACTGTGGCCAGGTCGGGGCGGGAAAGGTAAGGGACTTGAGGACGGGTCTTGCACTTGGCGGTGTCTGTGCATCTACAGGATGAACACGACAGAATTGTGTCGGCTTTGTTGTTCCCTCCCCCCCAAAAAAATATTTTGGAATGTTTCTCTTCACCACGTTAGCCCCCCCCCCCGGGGCACGTGATTTCCCCTGATTGCTCGTTGCACTAGCGTAGCCCAGCAGAACTGTAAAAAGTTCACTTTCAAAGCAGCGCCCGCGGTATCCCTGGGCTGGCGGGAGATGGGGAGAGTCAGGACCTTTCAGGTTTTCAGCCTGCACACCTGCACTTGGAAGAGAGGGTTGCCGTTTCCTACTAATCAAATAGCTAATTGCAGTGTTAATTAATTTCTTCCTGGAATGAGGTTTCTTAAGTCAGCGAGCCAACTGAGAAGGATGCGGTCATGAAATGGCTCCCAAACGGGAAATGCGCAGCAAAATCCTCCAGCTGCCGGACTCTTGCAACCGAATTCCATCTAGACGCAAAACTGCATGAAGGACATTCGAAGGCTCGTCTGGAAGCGCCCAGCACCTCGCAGCGCCAGGTAGGAATTTGGCCTCGCCGGCCTCTCAAGCTGCGAGCTGGGGGTCCCGGAGTTCTCTCTCGTCGTCTTCGTCCCAGCATGTTATTGTATTTTCTCTGCTCCGCGCGAAATGCAGCAAATTTCGCGGGGTCTCAGAAGATCCGGAAACAGCAGAGAGGAAAAGAAGTTTGATCAAGCCCGATCGCTTCTCACTTGGTTTTTCCTCCTCGTGACGGACTTCCAGATCAGATTTCCTCGGCCCGGCTGCCCCAGACCCCAACCAACATAACTGATCACAAGACGTAGCACATGCACAGCATTTGAAAAGCAGTACCTATCAACTTGGGGTTCGGGGCGGCGACCCCCTCAAATATTTTATTGGGAGGGAGAAGGGACCTCAGCCCCTAGGAGTTGGTTCTTATGGCACCTGTCCTCCATCCATTTCCAGGGAGCAGCAGTCGGGGGCAAACAGCTGGCGCCGCAAAACCGGGGAGTCCGCCTCGAGAAGACTCGGCATCGCAGGGAAAGTAAGGGCGGCCTCCGCTTGCCTGCACAGCCAAAGCCAACATCCCGGCCCCGTTGCCCTCTGGGCTGGAAACCAGTGGGTCATCCTGCACGTGTGTACGGTACCCGCCTCCCAGGAGCTGCTAGGTCTTACGCACCCTCCGCTGTATCTCCCGGTGGAGCTCCGGTTCCGTTCTCTGTTCTATCTAGCACCGTTGTTGTTGTTTAGTCGTTTAGCCGTGTCCGACTCTTCGTGACCCCCTGGACCAGAGCACGCCAGGCACTCCTGTCTTCCACTGCCTCCCACAGTTTGGTCAAACTCATGCTGGTAGCTTCGAGAACACTGTCCCACCATCTCGTCCTCTGTTGTGCCCTCCATCTTTCCCAACATCAGGGTCTTCTCCAGGGAGTCTTCTCTTCTCATGAAGTGGCCAAAGTATTGGAGCCTCAGCTTCAGGATCTGTCCTTCCAGTGAGCACTCAGGGCTGATTTCCTTCAGAATGGAGAGGTTTGATCTTCTTGCAGTCCATGGGACTCTCAAAGGTCTCCTCCAGCTCCATAATTCAAAAGCATCAATTCTTCGGCGATCAGCCTTCTTTATGGTCCAGCTCTCACTTCCATACATCACTACTGGGAAAACCATAGCTTTAACTATACGGACCTTTGTCGGCAAGGTGATGTCTCTAGGAGCACAGTAGCCGCGCCTGTTGCTCTTTGACAAGTTTCGCTCACATTCCCTCTTCGCCAGTTTTAGAAAGAAAGAAAGAAAGAAAGAAAGAAAGAAAGAAAGAAAGAAAGAAAGAAAGAAAGTGGATCTGATGCCACGGACTTCCGAGGCCATTTGCTCCCTCCTTATTCCCACATGGGATGGAATCAAGACATGTTCGACTCCGTCTTAAAAGTCAGAAAAGCAAATCCGCTCCAGCGCGCCCGTCATCGCCAAACAGGAGTGCCCACCTAGGCCCCGCGACCGTCGGGGATCCTGGGTGCCATGGCACCGAAATCTGTGGGTGCCCGGTCCCTTCATGGGGAATTTTGTGGGTGCTCGAGCACCCAGGGCCGCAGGGAGTTGGCACCTATGTCACCAAAGGTTCTGGAAAAGCCGAATCTTCTCAGAACCCGAAGGGCGGCAGACAGCAGCCCGAAGGTGGTCGCTGTCGAGGCAAGATGGGGACGCAGCCTCCCCATTTTACGTCGGCTCTTTTATTTATTTTGTCATTGAACCATTTTGGGTGCAGAGGTTGCCTCAGAGGAAGATGGAAACACACTGGGCACCTTTTCATTCAAGCTGCTTGCGAGGCTCGCGAGAGAAACACGAGGAGACCAATCCAAAATAAAAGGGTTGCGCCTCGCTCCCAGTCCCACCAGCGCCTTCCTGCCCGTTGGACATGGGAGCGGCCGAGCCGAGCCAAAGAACCGAGCCCCGGGGACGGATCCGTCTCCTCTGCAAGGGGGTTGCCGGGGTCTTGAAGAGATGTTAGGGTTATCCGGATGCCCCAGCGAGAATCCTGTACAAATGTCCCGTTTGCGCCTGGGGCAGAAGGAGCGCTTGGGACTGTATGGCGAAGAAACATAAGAACTCCTGCAATATACCGACAGTCTTCAGAGGCGCCCCAAGACTTCGACGTGGGCAGCCGGGACCATTCAGATGATCTTGTTATATATTTATTTAATTGATCGATTGATTCTACTTCCGCTGTGGCCAAACTAGGTCTGCAAAAGGGCCCCACCTGAGCGTTTCCTTCATGCAGAAATATTCGGAGTGGGACGAGATCGTTTGGGTCAGTTGGAGGCAGCAATTATTCCAAATGCCAGCTGCTAGAAACCGCAGCAAGGGAGAGGGCGTTTGTGGTCGAATCCTGCCGGCGGGTTTCTCTGCAAGAATACGATGCTGGACTCGATGGGCCTCTGGCCGGATCCAGAATGCAGGCACTTATTATGCTTTTACGTCTCCAAGAAAACGGCCGCTGAAATTGTGAGACGGAATTGTGGAGATGGAAGCGGCACCTCGACGGCTCTCCATGTTTGGGGGAAAGGAAAAAAAAAATGAGCCCTTGAAAGAGAAGGGAAGTGGGGCGGGACAGAGCGATGGTCGACGAGAAGGCAGGCCTGGGACTGCAAAACCGACGTGGCGGGCCGGACGGAGCGTCCCTCCGGTCCCTTCGCAGCCGGTGCGGTGGCACTGGAGGACCCGGAGCACCGGGGGACTGTCGCTGCCAGCCGCCGTCGGTCTCGCTGCTTCTCCCCACGAGAGGGAGGGGGCCTCGCCCGCCCAGAAGCCTCCCGGGGAGAAGCGGGACTTGCTACGGATTCGAAAGAGGCACCGGCGAATGCGCGAACCGGAGCACGTGTCCCGAAGCACCCGATGGGATTCGGAACGCCCCGCGATCCAGTCTGGAAGGGCTGGAGACTTGACCCGGGGGAATCAGACGCGCCTCAATCCGAAGAGGCCGACACGTGGCAGCGGCTGGACTCCTCTGAACCTGCTTTTTCTGAAACGTAATGTTTGGCCCAGCATTCACTCGAATATGAACTTCTTTAGGGGAAAAAAGTCTGTTGCTCAGCGGGCAACGGACACTGAATTAGCTGGGCGACCCAATGCTATACAGTGAGTTGCCATATTGTGGCAACCCTGAGAGTTTTTGCAGCGCCGGAAAGAAGGACAATTTTGACATCTAAAAGCCTAAATCGTTGCACAGATGGTGGGCAACAAATAATAATAATAATAATAATAATAATAATAATGGCGAACCGTGCAGCAGAAGCAGCAATACCCCACATCCAAATTTCACGCTAACGGGAGCTGAATTTTCCCTTTTCTTTCCAACCCGCTGGTGGCAATTCTCCTGTTCTCTGCCTCCTGAGAAATCTCACGGTTGCTCTCCGAGAAGAAGAAAATGCAAATAATACGGAAATTGATGACCAGTGGAGATCTCGGTCACCTGCATGGGCGTAGCCAGGATTTATGTTCGGGGGGGCAGAACCTCAGTTAGTAAAGTATATTTACTTGATTTAGGGGGCGGCTATCCCCCTGCCCCACGTTGCCTACGCCCATGGGCACCTGCCCAGTTGAATATAGGCTCAGGATGAAACGAAAATACTGAGTTGGCCCCACTTGGTTGGCCAGGGAGCCACAGACCTGACTTTCAGCCGGCAAAGGCCTCGCGGTGGCCTTTCTGCCCCCAACCCCGCAAATGTCTGGACAACTTGGAAAAGGGGCCCCGCGCTGGCCAGGTGGGCGGGCTGTGACTCCCCCCGCGCGCTCAGAGGTGTGCGCGGGGCGCGCCAGACCCCGCTGATCCCGATCCACGTCTCCCGCACGTCGAAACTTTGCTAGGGTGAGAAGAAGGAGGTGCGCTTCGTGTAGCAGCCCAGCTCCCTCTTCGCCCCGGGGCTCAGCCCCACATGGAGTGAAGAAGCGGCTGCTTTGCGCAACAGCTTCACCCCCAAAAATCAGGGGATCTGGAGGCTGCTACGTAGGAGCCCCAGGGGAGTTTGAACGGCAGGCGAGCACTTCACTCCAAGCTTGTGCGTTTTGTGGGGCAGGGGCTGGAGGAGGCTTTCTCCGGTGCCCCTGGGTGGGGCGAGTCGGGCAGGAGCGACCCCCTCTCCGGCCACAGAGGACGCCTTTGCCCCCCTCCGCAAGCGCACCAAGGCCAGCGCAGAGGCGGATTCTTGCGCCCCGCTTGGCGAGGCGGCTGAGAGCCCGGCGACTCGCTCGGGCTGCTCGCCATGGGGCTCAGCCGTCCCCCCTTGTGTGGACCCTCCCCGCAAGCCTGGCTGGCCGCGGCAGGAGGGCTCCCAGGCTGGCCTTGGGCGCGCGCAACTTCCGCGCAGGCGGGCCGGGAATGCCCTGCCTTCCCTTCCACGGCGTCGCCCTCCCGGACCTCCTTCCCCGACGCCCGTGGGGCGAGGGGGCTGGAAGAGACCGTCAGCCCAGCTGGAGGGGGCAGCGGCAGTTGGGGCGCCAGTTGGGAGTGGAAGGCACGCAGCTGGGGGGGGGGAAGGCTCTTCTCTCACCCGCCGTACAGGTTGGGAGTAGGGGAGTGGCTCCCCCACTCCCTCCCACCCTGGTCCCTCTGCCCCACCGCCACGGGAAAGCTTACCTGAGCGGATGGAGTTATGGGGCATGGCTTGGCCGGCTCGTTGCGGGGCGGGCGTGAGGCCGCCGGGTCCTTTTCCTGGGGGGATCCGAAGCCCTGCTCTTGCTGCTGGGGGAGAGAAAGCGAGAGCGGCCTGAGGAAAGGTGGGGGGCCGCCCCAGCAAAGGGCACTTTTGGGGGCACCTGCTGGCCCTGACTTGGATGCGCGTGTTTCAGTGAGCAGACCTCAGAGGCACCCAAGGCGAGGAGGGCCGAGGGCTCTTGGAAGGGCACCCCCCGTACCCATTTCTCGACGACCATGGGATTTTGCGAAGGTCCCCGGGAAGCTGCGTGGCCCTGGCACCTCTCCACCCCACCCCCGCGCGGGTCTCCTGCCTCTGGCGCCCCAGGAGGACCCTTTACCTGGTCGCCTCCACCGGGGCCAGCCGGAGAAAGGAGCTGCTGGTCCTAGGCGGCTTCTCCGGCCGTTTTGTCCCCAGGAAAAGAGGCATGGCAAGCTGGTTTTATCCACACAGCCCCCTCGCAGCTCTGCCTCGGCAAGCGAAGAGGCGCTGGATTGGCTGCCTGGGGTTTTGGAGGGGGAGAGAAAGCAGGGGGGTCATGGCTGAGTGCTTTTAAGAGTTAAAAAGAACTGCTCAGGAGCTGTTGTGAAAGAAACCAGGCAGGAGGGAAGGAAAGCAAAGCAAGGCCTGGCCTGGCCTGGTGGGGAGAAATCCTTCCTGGGTCCACATCACCTGGCCTGGACTGCTAGGCCCAGCTGTGGCCCCTACTGTCAGCCGGCCCAGGCCAGGCTGGGGCAGCAGAGAGTGCCTGTTATGGTGGGACACCTACCTGTGCCCTTGCATAACGCAGGGAGCCACCTCATTCAGTATTGCACTCTGGGTTTCCAGGCACCTGTAGTGGACCCTTTTCAGGAAAAGCAGACACTCTGCCATCGCACTGCGGCCCTTTGCAGAGGATTTGTTGGTTCCGAGGGCCTCATCCTGTAAACTTGCTCAGGTGGGGCAGCTACCCTACAGAAGGCCTGGTGAAAAATCCCCACATGGAGCAAGAGTTTGTTTCAGTGGAAGGGCGAGGAGCAGAGACACGTACCTAGAACTGTAGAATTGTAGAGTTGGAAGGGGTCGCAAGGGTCATTTTGTCCAACCCCCTTCAATGCAGGGATCCTTCACCCAACTTAGGGCTCAAACCTGGAATGAAGAGTCTCATGCTCTGCTGACTGAGGTTCAATTGTGCTCCTGGCAAGGAGATGTTGGCTGCCCAGAGCAGCCTGGGGAGCTCGCGGACAGGCTGGTAAGCTCCTAGCCACTCTGAGCCAGAGTAAAAAGGTAAAGGTGAAGGGACCCCTGACCATTAGGTCCAGTCGTGGCTGACTCTGGGGTTGTGGCACTCATCTCGCTTTATTGGCCGGGGGAGCCGGTGTACAGCTTCCGGGTCATGTGGCCAGCATGACTAAGCCGCTTCTGGGGAACCAGAGCAGCGCACAGAAATGCCGTTTACCTTCCTGCTAGAGCGGTACCATTTATCTACTTGCACTTTGACGTGCTTTTGAACTGCTAGGTTGGCAGGGGCAGGGACCGAGCAACGGGAGCTCACCCCATTGCAGGGATTCGAACCGCCAACCTTCTGATCGGTAAGTCCTAGGCTCTGTGGTTTAACCCACAGCGCCACTCGCGTCCCTCTGAACCAGAGTGGAGGTGCAGAATTTCTGTGTCCTTGATGGGGTCCAACCCCCCTAGTGAGGAGGGGTAAAAGTCCATCAGGATCTACCGCTAGATTGCTGCCAGATCTGCTGAATCAGTAAAGGATTTCTGATTCCCTCTAGAAACCAGAAGAAGCTGTTGCCAGTTAGGTGTCTGGGGCCCCTGATCTGCAGCAACTCACATCTAGCTTTCGTTCTGGTATGTGGAGGTGTGTGACTCAGGGGCGCAGTCTGTGCTTGGCTCCACCCTTTGAGCATCTGCCCTCAAGCTAGTATTTTGCAGCTGTCACCAGCTGGTGGACCACTCCATTCTGGTTAATAGAATAAGTGTGAAGTCTGCAGAACAGAAAGGACGAGAGAAATGCCAGCAGATGAGGAGAGGTCACATAACACAACATAGACCAGGGTACTTTTGGTGAAATCACAGGAGCTCGGGGGGGGGGGCTGTGCTATGAAATGCAGAATAGCTCTGTAATATTTTTTTGGGGGGGGGAAATAAATTTCCGTATCACTTGATTGTAACAAAACCTCTAAAGAATTTACAATTGCTGTAAATACAGTGGTACCTCAGGTTACATACGCTTCAGGATACATACGCTTCAGGTTGCAGACTCCGCTAACCCAAAAATAGTGCTTCAGGTTAAGAACTTTGCTTCAGGATGAGAACAGAAATTGTGCTCCGGCAGCACAGCAGCAGCAGGAGGCCCCATTAGCTAAAGTGGTGCTTCAGGTTAAGAACAGTTTCAGGTTAAGAACGGACCTCCGGAACGAATTAAGTATGTAACCAGAGGTACCACTGTACAATGAATATGCTGTGCCCTAGCTGCATTTTCTGGATCAAGCCCCACACAGCACATATTACAGTAATATAATCTTGAATTAGGGATGCGGGTGGCGCTGTGGGTTAAACTACAGAGCCTAGGACTTGCTGATCAGAAGGTCGGTGGTTCGAATCCCCGCAACGGGGTGAGCTCCCGTTGCTCAGTCCCTGTTCCTGCCAACCTAGCAGTTCAAAAGCACGTCAAAGTGCAAGTAGATAAATAGGTGCCACTCCAGTGGGAAGGTAAACAGCGTTTCCATGCGCTGCTCTGGTTCGCCAGAAGCGGCTTAGTCATGCTGGCCACATGACCCAGAAGCTGTACGCCGGCTCCCTCAGCCAGTAAAGCGAGATGAGCGCCGCAACCCCAGAGTCGGCCACGACTGGACCTAATGGTCAGAGGTCCCTTTACCTTTACCTTTAATCCTGAATTTACTAATGCCTGAGCAAGGTCTCCTAGCCCAGGAATGGTTGTCATACCAGGCACAACTGGAAAAAAGTGTTTCTAGCCACTGAGGCAACCTGGCCCTCCAGCGCCAGAGCCAGCGCCAGAAGCACTGCATGTCTGCTCTTCCAGGGGATGGGCAACCCCATCTCAGGCAGGCAATTGACCTGTTTCTCTGACATGGGAACCACCCACCCAGAGTGCTGCTGTATGGCTGGGATTCAGGCTCAACTTATTTCTCTTCTCCCATCTCACCACTCAGCCCAGGCACTGGTTCAGGTCTTGCATGGCCTCTCAAGATTCTGATGTTACGTGGAAACAGAGCTAAGTGTCGTCAGCATGCTGATGGTGCCTTTCCCCCCAAACTCCTAATGACAGCTCCCAGAGGCTTCTTGTAGATATTAAACAGCACTGGGGATAAAATAATGGTCTGTGGCACTCCATAGCATAACCAGAGGGGGCCGAAAAGCACCCTCCCAATGCTACTTACTGGATTTGATCCCGTAAGCAGGACTGGAATACAGTGCCCCCAATTTCCAGGCCACAGAGCTGGTCCAGCAGGTATCAAAAGCTACAGTGAGACCAAGAAGCAGGCATCCAGGCCACCAAGGAAGACTCAGTCCCAAGACCAGGTAGAGCCCAGGTTGGAATGGATCAAAATACCGTATTTTTCGCTCTATAGGACGCACCCGACCATAGGACGCACCTTGTTTTAGAGGGGGAGAACAAGAAAAAAAAATCTCCCCCTCTCTGCTCAGCGCCCCTTCAGCGAAGCGGCAGGAGAAACGGAGCCCCTTCCATTTCTCCTCCCGCTTCACTGGAAGGCGCTGCTGCTCTCTCTCTCTGCTGAAGCCAGGAGAGTCTTGCTTTCCCGGCTTCAGCAAAAGGAACCCGAAGCCTCTGGAGCGCAGTGGGACCTCCCGCTGTGCTCCGGAGGGTTCAGGCGGCTATCCCTGAAGCCTGGAGAGCGAGAGGAGTGGGTGCGCACCGACCCCTCTCGCTCTCCAGGCTTCAGCGAAAGCAACGCGAAGCCTCCGGAGCCTGCATTCACTCCATAGGACGCACATACACTTCCCCTTAATTTTTGGAGGGGGAAAAGTGCGTCCTATAGAGCGAAAAATACGGTATTTTGTGTCATCCAAGGATGCTTGCAGCTGCCCTGCTGCTCCTCCCTTCAACACCTTCCCTGAGAAGGAGGCATTTGCCATTGGTTGGCAGTTATTCCCATCCAAGAGGTCCAGGGAAGCTTTCTTTAGGAGTGGCCTGGTATCCTTTTTTTTATAATGTATTTTTATTAAAGATTTTCTTGATTTACAAAAGTATGTGCCATGTCTCTCTCTCGTCCCCCCCCCCCATGTAACATTTTTACAAATCAGTTTCATTTGTTGAGACATTAGGAAGGAAAGGGGGAAAGGGGGGGGGGGAAGGATGGGGGTGGGGTAGGGTGACAATGTTTCTATTTTACTTACTATATGTGGGGTTTTGTGTCAGCGTTGCTTCTGCAGGTTCTCTGCTGTTCACTTATGTTCCTTTGGTGGTGAGAGAGGTTGGGGTTGGCCTAGGGTGTGGTTGTTCATTTGTGGTTGGCTGTGGTGGTCTTCGTTTTCGTGTGTGAGTGGGGTGGGTGGGTGTTTTGGATCAGGTTAACCATATTGATTTGTACGCTGTTGGTGGATTATTGTCGTTGTCTTGTTGGGCTGTGTGTGTGATAAAGGGGAGTGGCCTGGTATTTTGAGGGTCAGGCCTGGTTTGGGAACTGCGTGAATGAACTTTATCAAAAGTTGGGTGATGGAGTGAGCCCCTGTTGCCCTTACTCAGTCTGTCAGTGACTTTGGGTAGCACTGACTCTGGCATACTCCTGGGGTGGGTATCACAAGCACCGGACTGCAGTGGTTTCATTCCTACCTGTGCAGTTGAGTCCAGAAGTAGCACTGTGGAGTGTGCTTTGACTCCCTGGAGCTTGTGTTGTGAGGTTCCACCGGACACTATTTTGTCCCCAACACTGTTTAAAGTCTCCCTGAAGCCACCAGTATATAAATATTTTCACATAAATAAATAACTGGTTAGGACTGCACTGTAATAACTCCAGGTGCATGAAGAGCATAAGGAAATGGTTAAGCAACAGGAACGGAACAGCTGATGGCATTGCAATCAAGGGTAACCGTGAGGAATTCTCTACAATATGCTGAATATAGCCCCACCCCCCTGCTGGTTTGTTTTATTTTTTACCTGTATACCTATTCCAGGTAATATATTCCAAGGTATATTACTTGGAAACTTTTGGGAATTACAGGGACAGAACTACCCAAACTGTACAGGAATTTATTCATGTATGCGACTACAGCGACAAGAATGTTCCTTGCCCCAAAATGGAAAGAAGAAGAAGAAGAAGAAGAAGAAGAAGAAGTCCCAGCAAAAGAAGAATGGATACAAAAACTTATGGAATATGCAGAAATGGCGAAACTTACCGGAAAAATCAGAAATCAAGATAACAAACTTTTTAAAATAAAAGAATGGAAATTG